CCCCTAACCCCCTAACCCCCTAACCCCCTAAACCCCCTAACCCCCTAACCCCCTAACCCCCTAACCCCCTAACCCCCTAACCCCCTAACCCCCTAACCCCCTAACCCCCTAACCCCCTAACCCCCTAACCCCCTAACCCCCTAACCCCCTAACCCCCTAACCCCCTAACCCCCTAACCCCCTAACCCCCTAACCCCCTAACCCCCTAACCCCCTAACCCCCTAACCCCCTAACCCCTAACCCCCTAACCCCCTAACCCCTAACCCCCTAACCCCTAACCCTGGCGAGACGTGGCATGGCGTGGCGTGGCATGGCGCGGCGTACGCGCGTACGGCGATGGGTTTCGGCTGTTGCCCCGCCGGGGTCATTTTTGGTGGCGCGCGCGCGACGGCGATGAGACGTATGTAAAAACATTGCTCATACTAACATTTACGACGTTACGCACTGTGCACAACGGTTCTTAGTAGTCAAATCCGATGCAGCCCCCTACCCCTAAGCGGCAACCATACTGGTGTTAGTCGTCCGGAGATGAATCATCCGCTCCGTGACTTGCGGTCCCAGTTCACGATAGAGGTATCAAGGAATGCATTATCCTACTGTCCGTTTGTCAGAGCCCATTATTGATGGCTGAGGAAGAAGAGAAGGTCCGGGCAGGGGCGACGGCGCGAATAAGTCCGCGTGTCGCCTTTGTGTAGCTAGATTGAAGTGTCGCCCTCTTTGTAGCGCAGCGGCTCTGCACAGCTGAACTTGAAAGGTAGCGGCGCGAGGGTACGATCAGCCCTCCGTTGAGCGAGCTGCCATTGGATCCAGTACATCTGCTCGTGTTCACGGATGTAGCGCGAGCCGTGAAAGCTGCGCAACACAACTTCACGCGATAGTAGGCCTAGCCTACGACGGTCGGTGCTGTACTCGTAGAATCGTTCGGTGAGCCACTTGACGTCCTCGGGCATGATGTCTTGAGGCAGGACAGGGGAGGCAGTGGACGAGCACCCTGCTTGCGGCGCAGTAGTAAACTTCGCCCAAGTGCCAACCATGCTGAGCATGCTGATCTGGGCGCGAGCCAAGGCCATGGGATCATTGGGGGGCACAACCTCGCCGTAACGCTGTGTATGGTCTTCGGGGTCGGTAAGAACGAGGGCGGTAGCGCCAACCTCCGTGGCTACGATAGGGACACCGGCCAGCGCCGCCTCACCGATGGCGAGTGGGAGTCCTTCCGAGATGGACGAGTTTATGAACAGCCACGCGTCTTTGAGCACCTCTTTCGAATTCCCAAAGCCGGCCAAGGTGACGTGAGCAGCTAGGTTCTTTTCGACAATGAGCTTCTCCATCTGGAGAGCATACGCCGGCTGCCGATCTTTAGCCCCATAGATTACGAGACGGTAGTCCTTAAAGCCGAACTGGTTTACGATGTTATCCGCCGCCTGGATGGCCAACTTGATGCCCTTGATAAACTGAATGTTGGATAACATGACCACTGTCGGAATATCGGTCCGAACTTTGTCGACAGGCTTGTACGCGTCCATGTTGCTGATACCGTTGACGACTGGATCGATCTTGCGACGAAAGTGGTTGCGATGGTCCACGTTCGACCCGTCTGTTCCGAGTTCAACCTCCCACATGCTGCACAAGCATGTTAGCGACGAGGCAAGAAAAATCGTGTTGCGTGACTTACGGGTTAAACACTGTCGCACACGGGAGAATTACGTCTGCGTGGAAGTAGGCAAGGTGAGTGGCCAACCCAATACCAGATAAGAGCATGGATTGAACAGCCACAGGTAGTTCAGACTGTGCCACACTGAAGTTGAGGCAGCACTCTCGCCAAAGGATGGCGTGATCCCAGATGCCGAAGGTCACGCCGCGACGGTACTTGAGCACCATGCCGAAAAGACTGCTGATACCGTGGTGGGTGCTCTGGAAGACGCGTGGGCAGCGTTCGGGTACGCCAACAGCAAAGATGAAAAAGTAGGCCAGGTAAATGTAGAGCGATTGGCGAAAGTCGAGCGAACTCGGACGGGCAATGTCAAAGCAATGAGCTGGGTCGGCAATGTTCGGATCCTCGTACGGCTTGAGCCAAGCGGCAACCCAGGCATGTTCAACCTCCTGCGACCTCCAGGTGCGCATGTAGTCCTTGTGCTCGTAGTAGTCGGCCATGGAGAGGAAGACCTTACTTAGCGAGCCGAGGCTGGCATACGTGTAACGCTTGGTGCGGCAGCCCTTGACAAACTGGTTTAGAAGCGGGATGAACGTGCCGACAATGTCGCGCTGGAGCTCCGTGTCATCAATCTTCTCGTCGACCTGTGATTGAAGGAGGTTATTAAGCAGGCCATGCTGAGCTGTGCCGCCATCGATACCCCAAAGAGGTAACAGTTTGACCGTTTGCACCCCCTTTTCAACCTGAAACTGGGGAATACCGTACTCGTTTGCGCACTCTGCCAGAACATGATTGCGGATCGTGCTGTGCCCGTTGACCAGATCCCGACGACAGTTGGACACACCACCGGGTGAGTTGGGCCAACAACCAACGTCGTTGAAAATAATCGAGACACGGTCATGGGTGTCGTTGTAGCAGTCCTGGGGGCGCGTCGTGACAGTGTTGGCGTCCGTGCTGAGGCCCATGGCGTACAGGTCCGACGTACGAATGGCCAGCAGGGTCACTTCAGACACGTCGCTCTCGATGTCCATAGCGGCGACAATCTGGCTGATATTACCGTCGAGGGCGCGGACAGCGTCGTCGAGTCGCCCACTATCACGGGCGCGCCAGTATCCACGTAGTAGGGGCTCCTCACGTAGGATGATCTCGTCGACGAAGCACGCAGTGACGGCGTCGAGTCCGCCTTTCAACCACCTACTCCAGAGCTCGGTGCGAATGCGACTAGTCGGCACCTCGTTGTAGATACACCGGTTAAGGCGAGCCACCCATCCCGAAGGACGGAGGATGTTTAAAAACCCGGGAACCTTGTCGACGTTGGCGTAACGTCGCATCTGGTGAATATGCAGAGGTGAATGGTAAACAAGCAGATTGTCCATATCAAAGGCCTGATTCGTGGGCCAGTCGAGCAGTGGCGCTTCATTAGCCAAGAGCGTCGGAGCGTTGGCCAGTACGGTCCGCTGTCCGTTACCGTGCTCAAGAAAAGTCGTAACCATGGGATCGCGTCGGTGGCTCCAATCGTAGGTGGTCATACATGTCCTACCTGCAATCCGGCGAATAATGAGGCCTACGTTCTGAGACGGGACCCAGGTGTAGTCCTCAATATCGACCGGCTTGCCCCAGAACACGGATAGGGTGTCGCCGGTGTCGGCAGCTTGGTAGTCGGCACGGAGGACATTGGAGCTCCCCTTGCTGTTGGACTTGTAGTGATAATGGAAGCCCAGAGCGACGTTGTCGATGGTCAGGCTGCCCTGGACCATGCGGCCGTACTTGTCGTAGGACCCGACGCTGTGGAACCCTTCGTGGACTACCTCTCGGCTAATGGGCTGACGCGAGGATCGTAGGGGGCCATATTTGTACGTCGAGGTTCGTCCGCCAGCTTCGACACGCCTTGTAAGACGGCAGTCGCTATCGTATGTGGCCACAAATAGAGGTTCAACCTTGTCAGGAAGGGTCAATGGGGTGCCACCGTACACCTGCAACACCATGGCGTTGTGGTCGTCAAGCGCTGCAAAACCAGTAATGGAAGCCCGCTTGAGTTCAACCACGATGCGGTTCTTGTGGATCTTGCGCTTGGCTCCTTTTGACGCAAGCCTCGTGATGTGGGCAATTGAAGGGCGGTGCGAAATGATCAAACAATGTATCCAGAAGTTGCGAATCATCCAGCAAACCTTCCAAACCAGCATGATGACGTAAAGGAGTGGGCGTCGCAAGTACAAGCCGTCGAGGAGATAGAAGAGCTCACGCTCTACGTTTGAGCTTCCACCGGTGATGATGGCAGTCCATTTGATGGCAAGAACGGGAATTCTCACGACCGCGTGCCAGATGCGGTGAAATATACCCAAGGGCCACCTCCTCCGGGTGATCGTGGCGGGCTTTAGCAGAGCGGGAGCGCCATAAACGGAGCGTGGGCAAGAGTTGCCGCCGACCGTAGTGTTGCGCTGATTGACACCCCTCTGATGCAACTCGAGTGCAAGTCTGGCGTGGAAGTCGACTGTCTCAAGGTCAACTCGGGCCTCAGAGGTCCACGCCAAAAACTCTTTCGAAATCCAAATCGACCGACCATTGATGCGGCTGACAATGACTTCGCGGACAGATTGAGGGAGATTATCCCATTGGATGTTGATGTCGATACCAAGGCACAGCTGCTTCGTAAATTCCATCCAAAGTCGGCGAGAGGATATAGCCAGCACGTTGCTATCGGGTTCGGTGCAACAAAACTCGGCCTCGATTCGTTTGGAGATACACTCGTTGCCTGGGATCAGATGCTCCGCGTACACCGCCTGTTCCTTCGAGAGCCCAAGTTGCACGTGAGCTACGTGATACAGAAGGGCCTCCGCAATAGCATGGGCAAGTTGGATGGTCGGGGAGGGGTGTGGCGTGACACCGATTAGGGTTTGGCCAGCGAAGCAGACCGCAATATGGAGCGTCGCCTCGTCGTTCTTGAAGCTGAGTGAGGCAGCATCCATGAAACCGGCTTCGGCAAAGTGTTGTCGGCTGAGAACAGTTGCCTTGACTCGGCCACTGGCCCACATCCGAAGCGTTGTGTCGGCAACTTGCGTGGGCCATCCAGACCCAGTTCCCGAAAGATCCTCTTGACGAGAAAAACAGAGGAGCTCGGTTACAAAGTTAGACGTGTTTGTTCCATCCCAACTGATGACGTTTGGAACAGTGAATGTCGTGGGCAGGTTACTCTTGTGCTGCGGTGTATCAACGACAGTGTGGTCGACCAAGACCTTTCGTTGAATGTGTACGGTAGGGTCGGTGGTTTGAGTGCCACTGGACGGTGAGGAGGACAGCACCGAGGGTGAGGCACACCAGTCTTTGTAACACCACAATGTCGTTCCAATGGCGGCGAGAGCGCCAGCAAAGTTCTGGGCAAGCAAGTCGGTGTACAAGAAGCCAACGGTCCAAGGCAGGGCGTGAATGACACAGCCACCAACAAAACCGATTGCCGCGGAGCAGAGGATGATCTTGATATGTACGGCCACGTTTGTTGTAAAGCACCGGTTGAACTGGAAAAGAATGACGCAGCTGTACCCAAAGGAGTAGCCGTAGTACATGATTGTTGTCTCCTTGTTGTCGATGAAGAGCCAGAGCAGTATAGTCATCACGCCGAAGACGATGAGGATCTTACTGAAGACATCGATCAATGCCGTGCCAAGTGCTTTCCTGCGTTCCTTCTCCATGTGGGCAGCGACGCGCTTGGCATCGTCCAGATGGCGTAGCTTCTCCTCAGACAGAGTGTCCCGTAGGGCCCAATACTTGTACAGCGTAGTGTCGAGGATGATGGATGCGAGACAAAAGTAGCCAAGGCAAAAGCAAAAGCCATAACGAGAACGAAGGTCGACGTAGATGCTCGGATAGGGCTTGCGGGCACTCATGACGAGCATGATCCAACGATCCAAGAGGGCAACAAGAAAGAGCCCAACGTTTTGGCCAATATCGTATTTTGCATGGCGGAACAAGACAAAAACGTTGTGGTCCTTGAGACCTCGAGACAGCTGCCGCTGTTGATGAATGGCGTCACCGACCTTGGTAAACCAGGCAGGGGAGAAGACTTGGGGAATGTCGTAGCCCCCACCACCCCTTTCGAGCAGCCAATTAATGTAGGGCAAGGCCTCGGCAACTTTCGCGACAAGACCGTCGTTCAAGAGCTCCCCCCTGGGCGCTCTAAAAAAGCTGCGACGATGGCTGCTGCGATCGTAGGCAGCGACAGCGGCCCTAAATGCGTTTTGAGATTGCAGACATTGGTCAGACTCCTGCTGCTCTGCATGACAGGAGGGGTCGCAATGATCGCCGGACGAGGTTCGGCCCATCTCGCTTGCGTGCCAACTGAGTATGTCGGCCGCATAAACGCCGGGAATGTGGCTCATCCAGTTGGACCACCGATGACAAAGGCGGCGATAGCGGTACAAGGACAAAACAAGAAAGGCGTACAAGACGGAGAGGTAGATGGCGAGGTCGTAACCATTGACAAAGGTCGAGAGCAGGGGAGAGAGTAAGAGCAAGGAAAATGACTGCAGGAAGACGATGCGGCCCGAAGGAAGAGGACTACCTTGCTGGTGCATGGTGCTCATGATGCCGAGTAGATTGAGGTAGGTCGAAACGCCCAACATATACGCCGCAAAAACCAACCCACATGCAACAGAGATCTTGACAGTGAAGCCAACGAAGCCCAATGTGGAGACGATGGCGGCAATCACAAACCCTCCCGACAACCTCTGGACATGAAAGTGGACCATGTTATCGTAGGCGTAGTGGGGCAGGTAGAAGCTAGCCCCGCTGCCAACCCAGCCGGTGACACCTGCCGTAAGAAGCAGGCTGCCAAGGATGGCATAGACGGAGACTTGGACGTGCTGGGGGTCCATAAAGCCTGTCATGAATAAGCCCCGCCCTACGAAAGTCAACAGGACAATGTCCGCGACAGCTGGTAAGCAAAAGATAGACATGGCGCTAGCCGCTGCAAACCGCATCTTCCAGACATGAACGCACGCGCCTGGGGCGAGGTGGGTAGAGGAAGATGCTGCCAGCGTCTTGAGCACGGCCTGCCGGGAAGGTTCAGGGACGGCATCCATGGTAGCGTACATTGTCATGATCTCGTTGGTTTGGCGATCATGCACCGTTGGGGCACCAAGAGTTTCAAGTGACTTGTTGTACCGGTGGTAGATGATCTTCCCAATGTCTTGGGGAACGAGACCAAAGTAACTTTCGCATTGTGAGCCGAGGGTCCACAACTCAGCAAAGACGGCGGCTTGATCGGGATGGGAGACGAAGAGGGGACAGCGGTCGGTGGTCTCGAGATAGACGTCCTCAAACGCAGCACGGCGGAGAATGGTAAAAAAGATGAGAGCGAACAAGTCGGCGGCGACGTCGACCCCCTGCGGGTTGGCCCCGGGAGCGGGTGTTCTGCCATAGCAGTGAATAAGTGGCCGAGTAAACATGCTCAGAATAGTGTGGTCCCCGTTGTAGAGCGCATCGACCATGGCTTCTTCCATGCGGTCGTGGAAAAAGACGAGGTCCTCGAGTGCGGGAAGTCGCTTAGCACCCCGCCGAGCATGGTGTTCAAGGCGCAGGCGGAGGAGGTCTTCTGTGCTTTGGGTGCCATCCAGGCATGTGCGCGCACACAAGCTCCTCCAGTGAGACTGGGTGGTGCCTTCGATGAGAATGAACGTCGCGTATGCACCAATAGCGTCGGCTAACCGGTTCTTGGACTGGGAAAGACGGAGCTTCTGGAGGAGGAGAAGCACCTCGGCAGGTGTAGCCGTGTCCAGCGCGGTCCTGATTGTGGAGGGCAGTCCGGTAACATGTCCCAACCCCGTGACGTTTTCAAGGATGACCTCGTGTTCAAACTTTTCAAGACGATCCTTATGATGGTGAGCAAGCCAAGTGTGAAGGATAACTGCCGCGTCGTTGGGTGAATTTTGCGAAACAAAGATGTCGATGCCCACCGGATCCGACTCGTCTCTTATCTTGCAGACGCCCCAGAACTGGGCATTACCTTCGGGCATACGAAATCCGGTGTGGAGACCCTTATAGGCGCGAACGCCGCGCGTTCGGAGTCCACGTATAAGGTCGTGCACGCAAACGTCGCAGTCTTTGTGGCGGGCTAGGGCCTGGAGAGCAGCTAGGATGCTCTGCTCCTCGGCACCCACGATTGCCTGGAGCATGTCAAGCTCGCGCAATTGTGCTTGGGAGTCGACAATGGCACCATAGTGCCCGATGAGCGGTTCTGACCAGATGGGAAAGCATCCTTTAGCTGAGAGGGAGTTGCCATCGCGTTCCGTGTCCCAAAAGTTGATCTCGGACGGCAATGAACGAGTGTCGGGATAGGCGGGCGGGGTTACCAATTGTGTCTCCTCCGACAGGGTGCGTACATTTTCCAGGGAGACCTCCTTGCCCACAAAGGTGGCAGTGGCACCAAATATGAGATGTTCAATGTCGTCGAGGGGCAGCCGGGAAACAATGTCAGACGCGGGCGACGGATCGCCGTTGTCGGCGACGACGACTGTGCGGCCCCCTGAAGTCCAAGACTTTTGGAGCTCGACAATCTCGGCGCGACGCAAGTATTCAAAGCCACTGATGGTCTTGGATGGCGATGTTGGCTTCTCGGAACCACCCAACGTGGTTATTTGAAGGGGACCATGCTGGAGAATGGCGCCGAAGTGCTCGGCGATCTTGATGGATCTCTTGACCACGGATGGGTGCGGTCGCTGTCGCCACCGGTCCAAAAACCCAACGAAAAAGCCATCGTCCGCACGTTGATCACGTACACGTGCACATCGCACCATGACGTCACGAATGCGTCGAGCTTGGAAGTACCCCCGTCGCTCCCCATTCTCGAGAATGCAGGCGTTTTCAATGATAATGCCAGAGGCGTAGGCAAAGCTCAAGCTGTCGAGTATCTCACAGTCATGGTGGCAAAGGATGATGCAAGAAATGCCACGCTCGCTTAAGGCCTCGAGCAGCCTGTCAAGTTGGGTGGGCACCGTCATGGACGAGCAACGCACGGCAAATCCCGCCCAGTCGAAACGGGTGTACACATCAACGAGACTTGCTACCGTCACGGCCAGTGTGTCGTTTTCCAGGTCCCCCAGTGCGGCAGTATCGATGCTACCGAGTGTCATCTGCTCGGGGACGGCAGGGCTCACAAAGCTGCTGGCCAGGGAGTGTTTCGAGTCGAAGGCCGTGGACAAGTCGGTGTCGCTGCTCAGCTCCTGTGAAAGCACCACCAGATCGCAGGGTCCCATGTCCATAAAACTTAAGCCGTCGGAGATGCTTGGAAGGACCCGAAAAGACCTTGTGCTCCGGAATGATGACATCGTACAGGGTGTGCTCGAGCCTACACCGCTCAAGCGGTGGGCACGTTTTACACTCGGTTTCCTAACGTCCGTCAACATTCACTGCTCAGGACATAATTGGCCCTGGGGAAATCTGAAGCTCACACTGATTGACCTCCTCTCGTTGGAACGGCTGCCTTGGTTCTGATTCGGACACCGAGTCCCACAAGGTGATAGAGGACAAAGAGCGCAGTAGGTACCACAATAGCGGCGATCCCGACAGTGAGATTGACCGCTTGGTACCAGCGGGCCAATCGTCTGTCCGAGGGGAGAATGCTGTTGCAGTAGACTTCGAAGTTTCCGGGCCTGCATTCCAACAAGCCTTTATCGTTGAGCCCCGGAGGGAAGAAGGACGCCATCAGGGGAGAGGCAGCGTTAGGGAACGGCGAGTACTAGTAGTAACAATATCGATTGCCTGCCTTGTGAGTTAAACGGTTGCCAATCCTGGTTGACTCACTGCTTCTCTGTCCTATCGTTGCTCTATGGGAGCTTGTGTTGACTATGAGAAAGGTGTCGGAATGAAGAAGAATGCAGAGTGAAGATACAACTACGGAAATTACAATTTAAGTACTAGATATGAGGTTGTATTTGATATGGGGTGTGGCACACATCAACAAAAGGTATGTCAGTTGATACACGTTCCGTCCGCTCTACATGTATGCTGTTACTGTTGGGAAAATAGCCGACATCCTCCGTCACAGCCTGTCGGTCATTCCCACATGTTGTTTTTGGGAGCCGGAATCGGGACCTGCAAGAGTCAGAGCCCGCCCGTGAGACAAAGTAAACAAGAGACCCGGCCCCAAAGCTCTCTCGATGAATACGCATGTCAGATCCCCTCCAAATTGGGCAACGGCAACCTGAACACAAGCAGCACAACCGCCAGTAAGATCTGAAACACTTTTGTGCACGGTAACATGCACCATGCCGACAGTTGGGCCAACGCAACAATTCCACAAACATCGAGTCCTAAGGCTTATAAATCCCTTGCAGGCACACAGCGCCGTAAGTGCGTGCCGTCAGCTTCTCATCCAAGACAAAGTAAACAAGAGACCTGGCCCCAAAGCTTCCTTTAAGATCTTCACCTCGGGTTGCCAGCCTCCTGCACGGCGGGATGGCGCACAACGATGGATACGCATGTAAGATCCCTCCAAATTCGGCAACCTGAATACAAGCAGGTCCCATCCTTCTCGTTGAAGATCTCGCTGCGGAGCAGTTCCCATCCTTCTCGTTGAAGATCTCGATGTGGAACAGTTCCCATCCTTCTCGTTGAAGATCACGCTGCGGAATGCGCCACATCCGGCGCCACTGGCCTGCCGTAGGTTGTATCCGACCGCCCGTCGACCCCCGGCGACCTTATAAAAGACATCTGGGGCACAGCAAGACGACCGGTAGGATCTGGAACACTTTTCTGCAGGGTAACGTGCATCATACAGTTGGGCTCACGTAACAATTCCATAAACACCGAGTCCGAAGGCTTGCCAATTCCTTGCAGGTAGGCAACGCCGTCGGTGCGTGCGGTCTACCAATTGACAAGACAGCCGGTAAGATCTGAAACACTTTTCTTGGGGCTGGATTTTGGCTGACCCTTTGGCGGACTGATGTTGTCAGTTAAGCCCATGGGAGTGTTGGTGGAAAGTAGTGCTTGAGGATGCCACTTGGTAGCTCTAAATCCGTTGCGGCCCAACGTGGTATTGGTTGCGTGATGGGGCTGGTCTGGTCTGGGACTGTTGGTGGAAAGTATTGTTTGAGAAGAAGCCACTTGGTAGCTCTAAATCCGGTCTGCCGCCCAACGTGGCATTGGTTGCGTGATGGGGCTGGTCTGGACAACAGGACCAGGTGCTCCCCCACTCGAGCTGCGCTGCCATTGATTGATGTTGATGCTGTTACTGTTGTGCTGGGCCTACGTAACGCCTCGTGTACTCCTTGACTAGCCATCAGTGAATGCCCAGACACAAGCATTTCGCTTGAGGGGATGCCTGTCATGTTCAACATGGCCTCCTTCCCATCTTGACTGGCTTGTGGGGCTCTCCGTGCCGAATGAAGGCTCTTCCCAGGCATTAAATAGTCAAGGACTGCACAAATATCACCATTCCCTACCCGCCAACTTCTCGGATCGCTCACTGTCTCGTCTGTGCTCGCCATTTCTCTTCTCCAACACTTTGAGAAACGATGAACAGAGTAACGTCATCCACGGTTTCGTCCTTCCCCAGTTCAACGATACCTTGCCCGCTCCTCAATCCTTCTGGCGACACTTCTACCACCAGTCTTCAACTCGACTCAGGAAGGGGACCGCAGACACTTCAGGCCACCGGTCCCAGCGACACCTACGTCCTCGTCATTGGCGGCCTTGGCTTTATCGGCTCGCACACTGTTCTCGAACTCCTCAAGGCAGGCAAAAATGTCATTATTATCGATGACCTCAGCAACAGCTTCGAACAGGTTGTGGAACGCATCACTGCTGCTGCTGCCGTATGGTGCAAAGCCAACGGCCGACAGCTGCCCATCATCAAGTTTCATCAGCTCGACTACCGCAGCAAGGCCATACACTTCCTGCTAGAAGCGTACTCCGACAATGACAACCAGACCTCACCCACCACACCTCACGATGGCTCACCGCTTCTCGTCAATCGCCGTTCGAGGATCACAGGCGTCATCCATTTTGCAGCCTTCAAGTCAGTGAACGACTCAATCTCCCACCCCCTGGAATACTACTCCAACAACGTGTGCGGCCTCGTCAACCTCCTCGAGTTGCTGGACCACCACAACATTCGAAAGTTTGTCTTTTCCTCGTCAGCCACCGTCTACGGTACCAAGGCCAATAGCGGCCGCCCTCTGCGTGAGGAGGACGTCGTCCACCATCCTGAGGCCTACACCGATGACCATGCTAGGTTGCAGCATGCTGTTCCCGGTACCACCGGCCTTCTGAGCCCGTACGCGCGCACAAAATACTTTGGCGAGGCCATTCTTGCCGACCTTGCCTACTCGTCTCCTTCGTGGAACATAATCGCTCTGCGCTACTTTAACCCCATTGGCTGCGACGCTTCCGGACTTCTTGGCGAGGACCCCCGAGGCGAGCCCACGAACCTGTTCCCCGTCATAACCCAGGTTCTCAATGGTCGTCGCCCCCATCTTAACATCTTTGGCAGCGACTGGGAGACGCGCGACGGCACCGCAATCCGTGACTTTATCCATGTGTCTGACCTCGCACGTGGACATGTTGCTGCACTTGGGGCCTCGCTCAGAGCCTCCTTCCGCACTTTCAATCTCGGGACAGGCACGGGCACGACCGTCTCGGAGGCCGTTCGAGCCCTAGAAACGGCTGCGGGTATCAAGATTGCAACCAGGCTCGCCCCTCGCAGGGAGGGTGATGTCGGTTCATGTGTCGCTGCCAACTCACGCGCCGTCGCTGAGCTCAGTTGGACAGCTACTGAGAGCTTGGGGCAATGTGCACGCGACCTGTGGAACTTTGTCGCGCGTTGGAACGCAGCCGCCTCCCCGGTGTGACTCCGGAGGAGCCCGACAATGCCTTAGGGCTGACTGGGCTCACAAGCACCCGGAGATTCCGAACGTTTCTCGAAATATGGCCAAGCAAGCTGCCAACCTAGAAACCAACAGAATTATAATTACAGTAAAAACACATGTGTTGCCCGCCTAGGTATCGGAATATGGACACTTTTGGCTGCGCTTGGCGGCTTGACACTGTTGGCATAACTGTACGGAAGTGTGGTTATTACTGCCACATAAAATGAATCTGTTTGTAAGGATGACTACAGCATGGTTTGGCTCAGAAGTAAGACACAACTAGGGGGGTTTTCGCTCCACATGTGGCAGCAACAAGCAGAGGGACCACTACTGTTACTTCTGTTACAGGGGTGATGGATGACAGCGAGGCTATCTTCGCTTTCTTGGCAGGGCAAATGCGTGGCGTTCTTCGTTCTCTTGGCACGGAAAACAGGATCTCAGAAGCAATGGATGTTGCTCCTTGATATCCCACGCACGCTATACAGATATAAGACCACCGTTCCCAAGGTCACCACCCCCCCCCCCCCCCCCCCCACACCATACGGTGCGCCCTGGTCCAACTCAACATCCGCCACCAAGGTGTCCGGACACGCCATGACCACGTACGTCTCCGCTTCATCGGTCTCGAACCTGGCCCCGGCACCCCCCGCCCTCGTCGTCCCAGTCTACATGTACCCGGCCGAAGGCGCATGGAGTCCGCTATTCGCTGCTGCACGCGCCCACCCCAACCTCACCCTTATGTGCATCATCAACCCTGGCAACGGGCCGGGGCCTGAGCGTCTACCCGATGCCAGCTATAAATCGGCACTTGAACAGTTGTGCGCCCTTCCTAACGTTCAGCCTCTGGGCTATGTACACTGTACCTACGGCAAGCGGGACGTGGAGGATATCAAGGCGGACATTGACAAGTACGCGGCGTGGGAAACGCAATCAGGGCAAGCCTTCCGCCTCGACGGTGTTTTTGTTGACGAAGCACCGTCGGACCCCGCGCTCGAACCGTACATGGCCACACTTGCGCGCCACATCCGGGAGGCATGGCACCGCTTCCCCTCCTCGTCAACACGCACAACGCCACCGGCCCTGGCACCTGAGCGAACCCCCCAGCAGCCATCATTCCCCAATACGGGGAGAGGTCCACACTGCAGCAAAGGCGTGGTCGTATACAACCCGGGAACGGTGGTGTCAATTGGTTACTTCGAAGAGGCTGATCACGTCGTTGTATTTGAACAGTCGGAGAAACAATGGTACGACTACTTCCTGAGTCATGGTGTAAATCAAATCCCGCTCTCGGTACGCCACAAGTGCCTCGCAATGGTTCACTCGCAGTGCCTGCCTCCCACGACGGGCCTAGACAAGTTACAGATCTGTTACCCCATTGCAAACGACCAGGCATTCGCCGCTAATGCCCTGGCCAGCCAAATTTGGCGCCTTGGGTTAGGTGGGCTCTTCCTTACCGACCAGCTCGAAGGAGGGTACACGCGCTGGCCGGCAACTTGGGGTGCTGTCGCAGCGTTTCTTTCACTCCAGTAAACACGGCATCTCCTTCCACCACATACGAGTTGCGTAGCTTGTTCGCAGTAAACGGTAAATTAAATATATGCACGTCCAGGAGTTACCTCAACGTTTGGATGGAATTTGTTGTTCGTAACAACTTGGTGTTTTATTTTTATTTTCTACTTTCGTTTCTTCGAAGATCGTAACCAGAAGATGCATGGACGACTATAATACGAGAAAGGTGCTCGTTTACAGACTTGGTAGACTTATGTCTAGCAACATTCACAAAGGGTTGCCCAGCGTTCACATGTCGTTACGCTGTCGGCGTTGTGACTGATTGTCCAGTGCAGTACTGAACCCAGCCATCGAGGTTCATCTTCTTCAAGACAGTGCTGAATTTATCGGTTCCAGTCGCAGCTCCCGTAGCAGAGCAAATCTGTGTCCGCTCAGAGCTCGAGACACTTGGGGCACCCTCGGGGTATTCGATATGGAAGACGGGCTTGCCAGCTTTGATAAAGGGCGCAAAGGTCTTGCACTCCGAGAACTCGACACACTGCTCATTGACAGAAAAGTGGACTGAATCGAGGACTTTGTGGATAATATAGCCTGCATTCTTGAGGCCTGTCGCTATGTTGTACTTGCGGGCTTCGTCGGCGAGGAATTTAACAAAATTAACGGCATCCTGGGATGACAGGCGCAGGCCATTGTTATTTTCCTGCGCGCTACATCAGTCATATGTGCTACAGTACATTTCTGTTTTGCCGTTACTTACGTAGCCGTCCACGTTGTCGGGGTCGATACCATCACAGCCCTTTTCGGCGGCGAGCTTGATGCGGTTGCGCATAACGGAGCGGACACTTTCAGCCGAAACGTTGACCCAGCGCTCCCCCGCCCACCCGTCGAGATTGTTGCCGAGGTCCGCAGTGTGGTAATCGCTTGCGTCCTCACGCCAGTCCTCCCAAGATCCGGCACTAAAGTAGCATACGACATTTTTGCCAACTCGACGCAATCTGTCGATGGTCTCCCTCTTTGTGTCAAACAGGTCAAGCACATAAACGTCCACGTTGGGGGTAATCATGGTGCTACCGGCGTCCACCTTGACGGACTGTGAGAGGACAATCTGCCAAGACACACCGACCTGCGGCGCCCAGAGGGAGGGACGTCCAAGAGCCTCGGAGTCGTGCGGGGTTTCCGGGGTTGAACGATGGCTGTGACGCTTGGCGAGGCCTACTCCGAGGCCGACGGTGAGAGGAATGACACAAAGGAGGAGGAGTCCGACAATAACAAGCATCTTTAGGAGTCGCGGCTTTCTGTTCTGGACGCGTGATTCGGTGTTGACGTCGGTACCTTTGAAGCCCTGTCTCCAGTCTGTCATGTTGGGGGACTGCTGCTTCTTGTTTGTATGGAAGAACGCACTGTTATCGTACACGGTGGTAACAGGAAGTTGGGTGAACGGGCGTTGCGTGACTTCGTATAGTGCTGTACCCATCTATGTTGAACCCAATGGGTTTCGAGACGCCGTGAGGTAGTCTTCCAGTATCTGTAAGAGGGTATGTTTGGCAACAAACGCGTCAGAACGCGTCAGGAGGGGAGGGGCATACCTGAACAAACATACCATGACCCGAGGGAACTGGAGGAGATCTAAAGATCTTGCGATGTGGCTGCGCAGTGTCTCACGACCGAAGCACCGTTGGGTCGAGCCCCAACGACGGTAGCCCCTAAACCCCAAGTCCCATCTCGGCAAAGACATGACCAAGAGGGTGTCGTAAGATCGCGTAGGACCTGGTATGATCGTAAGGCGAACATGTCCCTCGGGACACCGACTAGTTTGACCGCCCTCGTGGCCTGTTTCACTGCTACTGCCACCGCCACTCCACAGTTGGGGGCCACTTCTGATCTCGGCGCATGCTTTAATGGTGGCATGGGGAGTCGGGCAAACGTCCCGTAGGTTTGTTTATGGCTGCTTGCACTGGGACATGCGGCAATTTTCCAGGTAGGCCCGCCCTTGCCACATGCCAAAGGGTCGAGATCTCTTGTGGTACCGGCGTGGCTCGCACGTGGACGCGTCACGCGTTCTGGAACAGCAGGAACAATGCCCACACGCAGGACGCGACTTGCAAGATGCGTCGACTCGACGCGTCGCTTGTTCTGGTTCACCTTTATGTTTGTCCCCAGCACGTTGCCCCGTTTGACATTCAAGGCAAAGGACGAGATCTAGTTCAGCTCAAACCAAGTAGAAGCCTTCCCAATGGGGGACGAGATCTGGTTCAGCCCAAACAAAGCGGATGTCTTCCCAGTGGGTGACCTACGCGCCTTGATCCCCTTCCACTCAACTCCACTCAACACTCTCTTCCTTACCCCAGATCGCGCCTGCATCGTGGTTCAACGTTTTTGGTACACTGAATGGGCAATGCCCGTTGGCGGGATGTCTTCTGAGGCCGATTTGATACTTAAACCTCACGTCCTTGTCCTCTGTCTTGCTCTCCATCCCCCTCTCATCACCTCGAGTACTGAGTCTCAGTGTACGCTCTTTCAGACCCTTATTACTGTACGTAGTCTCCACATACTTAACTATGCGTCCCAAACTGGGCCTAGTGGTATTGTTGGGCTTGTTGGCATCTGCCTTTGCGCATCCAACACACAACATTGTCACCAAGCAAGAGGATGATGATGTCGCCGTCAACAAGCACTACCGCCACGAAGAGAGACAGGTGCCGATAGGATGCCTGGCTTACCAGAGGGCGGCCACTACATCGTCGTCGACGCGTCCTCCAGCCACTACGTCGCCCTCGACGCGTCGTCCGGCCACTACATCGTCGTCGACGCGTCCTCCAGCCACTACGTCGCCCTCGACGCGTCGTCCGGCCACTACGTCGTCCTCGACGCGTCGTCCGGCCACTACGTCGCCCTCGACGCGTCGTCCGGCCACTACGTCGTCCTCGACGCGTCCTCCAGCCACTACGTCGCCCTCGACGCGTCGTCCGGCCACTACGTCGTCCTCGACGCGTCGTCCGGCCACTACGTCGCCCTCGACGCGTCGTCCGGCCACTACGTCGTCCTCGACGCGCCGTTCGGCCACTACGTCATCCTCGACGCGCCGTTCGGCCACTACATCATCCCGTTCGGCCTCTTCCTCGTCGTCTTCGTCTCGCCGTCCAACCTCCTCGACTTCGTCACTTTATGTCTCGACGTCGTTATCAGTTTCCTCGGCCACCTCTGTAACGCCATCGGTCAAGCCGTCAGAGCCAATGTCTCCATCAGTGTCTTCCGACCCAACCGGCTCCATATCCGCCTCGGTTGATCCTCACACCTCCGCATCGGCGTCAGTTGACCCGTCTACATCTGTGTCGGTCAACCCGACCCTCTCGGCGTCGGCGTCGGTCGAACCCACACCATCATTATCGACCTCGCTGTCGGCCTCAGGGAACCCCTCTGCATCAACGCTGGTGGACCCATCGGCATCGGCAGCAACTTCGGTTGAACCCTCTGCGTCTGTCTCAGTCTCGGCAACAGTGTCGGGCGACCCCACATCTTCTGCATCAAGCTCAGCATCGGCATCGGTGAACCCTTCCCCATCTACATCGGTGTCGGTCGCACCATCCGTATCGGCGTCCTCGTCGGTTGAACCCTCTGCCTCCGCATCCGCCTCGGTATCTGTGTCAGTTGAGCCCACACCCTCTGCATCAGCCGCGGTCAACCCCTCTGCATCTGCATCTGCCTCGGCCTTTTCGTCGGTCAACCCTACCGTCTCCCCATCGGTGTCCTCCTCTGTTTCCCCCAGCCCTTCGGTGTCGATCGTTCCCAGCTCAACCATATCGCAGGTTCCCAGCACTTCTGCGTCCGTTGGGCCCATTTCTGGTGCCACGGTCCAGGCCAAGCTTCTCATCCTGGCCCGCGACGAATACTCTGCGGAGAGTGGCTACCATGGCCTCCTCGGTTACGGCATCCCGTTCGAAACCATCCTCGTACCCCAAACGGGCATTCAGCTTCCGAGCCTCAACTCGACCGCTTCGCACGGCCTTTACTCTGGCATTATTGTCATGGATGCCCTGGCGTACGATGATGCGGGTATTTGGGGCAGTGCCCTCACCGTGGCGCAGTGGGACACGATCCATACATACCAAAAACAGTTCAATGTGCGCATGGTTCGCATCAACGAGTATCCTGGTCCCGACTTTGGTGAGTACTCACCCAATTTACGATGTCCTCGCAGCTGATGCGAAATCACAGGCGTAGCCATTTCAGGCAGCGGTGGCTGTTGTGGCGCCGGAGTCGAGCAGCTTATGAGTTTATCCGACGTCTCGGACTTCCCCTCGGCCAACCTGAAGATGTGCGTCTCCAGGGTGGGTGTGTTGTTTGCTGACGTGACAGTGGTGCGACCGTTTCCTCTCAGGGCCTGTGGCACTATCCAGCTGTCGTGACAGATCCACTCACGACCAAGGTAGTAGCCACGTTTGCTCCAGGTGGAGATGTTTCTGGCGAGACTGCGGCTGCAGTCATCAACAAGATTGACGGCCGTGAGCAGTTCGTGTGGTTCTCGAGCTGGGCACCCCAATGGTCTCTGTCGTGTGCCTATCTGCAACATGCGCACATTCACTGGGTGACTCGTGGCCTGTTCCTCGGCAAACGCAAGACGCACCTGAATGCCCAAATTGACGACGTCGAGCTGCCCACGGACATGTACTACCCAACAGGTACAACATTCCGTCTCCGACCCGCCGACCTCGACGGTCACGTTGCTTGGATGGCTGACCTCAACTCTCGCCTACCTTCCGGCTCGGACTTCCGACTCGAGCTCGCACACAACGGCAACGGTGACATTTCTGAAGTTGTTGAGCCCAACGGTTCGGGCGGCCTCTGTACTCCCGACACGGCCGTATACACGGACGACGTCGGCCCAGATCCCCCCCTCGAGTTTGTCAAGCCGCTCGGGACTGGCACCGACGCCTGGCCATCGGAATGGGTTGCATACAACTGGACACTCACTTGTGCCTTGGGCGACGACCTGACGGCATGGTACCAGAACCCGTCCAACCGCGATGCCTATGCCCACGTCTCACATACCTTTACGCACTATGAGCTCAACAACGCGACATACCACGATGCGGCGCGTGAGATTCAATTCAACCAGGCTTGGCTCCAGCAGGTTGGCATTGCCAACGGTGCTCGCTTCTCTACCCACGGTCTTATTCCTCCGGCCATCACTGGCCTGCATAACGGAGATGTCATTCAGGCGTGGCTCGACAACGGCATCACGCACGTCGTCGGCGACAACACCCGCCCGCTTCTACGCAACGGGCAGTCTCCCTACTGGCCTTTGATCAGTAACGTCGCGGACAATGGCTATGATGGCCTTGTTATTATTCCGCGGTGGGCTACTAACATCTACTACAACTGCGACACGTTTGAATGTGATGTCGCCGAGTGGATTGCCATCTCCAGCGGATCGGGCGACTACACAAACCTCCTCGACAATGCCCGCGCTACCAACACCGCCTATATGCTTTCCCTCTACAGTGACCCGTACATGTTCCACCAGGCCAACATGCGCTACGAGGACATGCCCACCATCACCATTGGATCCCAGACATCCAAAATGTCCATGGTCATGGCCTGGATCGAGACGATCGCCCAGGAGGTGTCGCGCCTCACAAACTGGCCCATTACGTCCCTTAAACACGACGACATTGCACAGTACTTCCTGGACCGTATGGCGCTCGACCAATGCGAGCCTTCAGTGTCGTACACGCTCTCCGATGACGGAACCGCTATCACTCACGTCGTCGTCACCGCAGCCGACCAGGCGTGCAGTGTCCCCGTCCCAATCACGATCCCTTCCGGCAGCGCCACTGCTGCTGGCGGCTCCATCGCCAGCGACCAGGTTGGCAGTGAGCCTCCCATCCAGTGGGTCACCCTCAACGGTGGAGCCGCAACGGTTACGCTCAACCCCCCGATTAGTATTTGATAGTGCCTCAGGCAACGGACATTAACCTCTTCGCTTTCGTTGTTTCGTTGTTTCTTTGATTTATGTCTCTTCCCCTACCGAGGGTTGTCCCTCCTTCCCTCAATTTACCCCCCTTATTTCTCCTTGGATGCTTGTCGTGGTACTTGCTCCTGTGCTTTACAGACCCTCGAGCCGTGGCTCGTACTGTTTATAGAGTAAACCCTCGATGCATCCCTAACGCGAGTACGGTTGCCGCAATGGGTGTTGCGGCATTGTCTCAAAATGCCTGCTATTGACCCAATTTTTGTCCGAAAGGCAAGGGGGTAGACGGTTTAACTGCCTTTCGGGCCGGTCACTAGTTGTTTTGCACCAATGTGTTTTGTACCGTATATAACAGGCGCGTGCACAGTCAGAGGAGTGTCAGCAATAGGTGACTCAAGACCAGTGTCAGCGACAGCGCGACCGAGTGGGCAGGAGCCTTTATTCAACAACTGCAACCAATGTTAACAGCTGTGTACCGATCGTCCTCAGTGCCACCGACTTTACCCAATCTCCTCTCGTTAGGGTCCACCAGGCCCTGCGACGAGCTTCTGCCACGAGCTTCCCCGACCACCTGGACACCTCCACATACGGCGGAATGGAGGCTGCTTTGTGGCACGTCAGAAAAGCGGCCATCGACGCATGTTTCTTCTTCTCTGTACGCACATCTAGCGTCCCAAAACAGAGAATAAGAACGATACATACTACAGACAAATTGCGAGTGATACGAGTGAGCTATCGGTCGAAGGTCAGTCGGCGCGTCGAGCGGGGCAAGCCTTCCGTCGACACGTGGAGCGTCGGGCGAGGGGTGTTCGTCGATGGGTCGAGAGCCGTCGGGAGATAGTCGGTGGGGGCTGTCGGTCGATGACCGGTCACAGGTCGAGGCAGAGTTTGGTCAATTTGGTCGATGTCCGTCGGGCCATGACTGCTGTCCATCTCTCTACTGCTTCTGCTTGATGGACCGCGGCCCAGGCTCCGATGCTCGCTCATGAGATGCATTGAGCAAGTCAGCTGTGCATTACATTGTGTGATTCCTGACAGCAGGCATGTTGCACGTGCTGAGAGGCGGCGCGATGCTCATTGCAAAATAACATGTTCGTGTATTGCAAGAGGAAGGGCTATGTTTGGATTAACCTATCTGATGGACATTCCATCAGGGGACGACTCTCTATCTATGTAGTATCGGCGGCGTACGCAGTGTCCTGTCATAATTATTAGTCGTGTGGCTGTGGTCCTGTTTCGTTACCACTGCAGCGGTGGTGCTGCACTCTACATGCATACACACTCTATACACCACTACTGCGTCGCCTTCATCTCCCAAAGGTCCAGCTCCTCAACCCGCGCGGCCCCCTTGCCCGAGTACGACACACCCGTGACCCCCGAGTCAGTGTACACGCGCGTCGCCAGGGCGAAGCGGTCATTGGCGAACACCTCGACGGCGTCATGATCGAGGAAGATCTGCAGCCTTAGGCGCTCCATCCCGCCCTCGGTGCGGAGAAGAGTCATCGGGCCGTCCTCATCGTACTTGGCGATAGTGCGCTCGGCATTGGACGCGTCGCGGTGCACCACAATCGTCTCGTGCTTAGGATAGAACGTGATGCGTGTTGCGGTGCTGTAGTCGGCGCTGTGCCGGACGTGAAGTGATACCTCATCGGTGTCGTCCGTGATGTCGAACGTCGCATCGATAGCCCGCGCGAGCGGGGTGGAGTGAGCAATGGGGAGGCGCTCGCCGTCGAAGAGCTTGGCGTGGAAGAGCTGCTTGCCCCGCAAAGCTGCCAGCTGTGCGAGGGGTCGGATGCCAAGCGTCGCGACATTGCACAGGCCGTCGGAGGCCGAGAGGACCTCAAAGCTCTGCACCTCGTCCATCTTCGATGCCAAGGTACCCGTGACGCCGTCGTACGTCGCGAGGAAGATCTCGCGAGGCATACCAAGGCATCCCGTCCACGACTTGGCCTCGAGGGCCGCGTCGTTCAAGCTCTCTTCGATCATCCAGCCCCATAGAACGGTGCGGCCGTCCGGATGCTTGAACGTGTTGCCCGGGTACAGGTCGCCCCAGTCCACCATCCCCGACGCACTCGTCGCCAGGTAGATCTCACCTACCTTCTCCTCCAGTGTGCCCATAAGCCAAGGCGTGTAGCGCGGCGTGCGTTCCGGCGCTTCCTTCTGAGTGGGAACAGTTGGACGTGGTTTCCCGCCTTCGGAGCCCGTGATGATGACCTGCCTCTCGAGGCCACCCCCAGTCAGCGAGAGAAAGTTGGTGCACTCGAGATTAACACCAAGCTCGCCACCCCACCGCCCGGCTGGACGATGGTGGACTGGTACGCGCAGCAAGGGGTGGAGTACCGAATAGTCGATCTCTCCTGTCATCGTGTTCATGCTTGATTGTTCAGATGGTAGAGCGGGGTAGAGCGGGGAGGGAGGGGGGTGGCGGCGGAACTGCTGGAGACCCCATGGAGACATCTCTGGTCGGGGTTTAAGTACAACTCATGGTCATCGAGAGCGAGTGAGTGTTGAATACATCAGTGGAGCAGACCCGAACAAAACAGTGGAGATCACTCGGACCGGTACATATATTTATCCCCCGGTGAGAATCATCGGAACGGAGGGTCTAAATAACGACCGGTTGACCAAGACGATTCGAATGTTGTCGCTGCTCACATCAGCTCTCATTCTCACCGGCCAAGAACTGTCATGCGTATAAAGGTTGGAAGTACGCGACATGGACTAGAGTCACAGTACCTAGCTCATCCAGTCCCCCATCGCCTTTTCAGCAACAAAGCTCCATGTCCGCCATGAACCGCGACAGCCTCCTCTCCGCCGCTGTTACCAAGAAGAACGCTCGCTCCGCGCGCGTGTCCAGCTGGGACCACTCTGGCAAGAATGAAGACGCCTTCATTGTGCGACCTGGCGAGTCGATCGTCCTTGCCGACATTGAGGGGTGAGTGTCTCTCCGTCATTCAGACTCGCTAACCATTAGCCCGGGTGCGCTCACCCACCTGTGATTCGTCCAGGCGTGCCGCCGGATCCTCGGCCCGGGCCTCGTGCCCTACTCACGCACCGGCGTGGCGATGATGGAGATCCACAACGCTCTCGGCATCGTGTACGAGGATAACGATCCCGACTACTACCGCAAAGTCTTGATCAAGATGTACTGGGACGGCTCCGACACGCCCTCGGTACTCGCCCCGCTGGGCGACTTCTTCTGCATTGGCAACTCCATGCCCGGCAATTTTGAGAGTTTGCCCTTCACGGTCTCGGCCAAGCCGAGCGAGGACCACACGTTTGGCGGCAACTGCGGCGGCAACTGCTACCTGACGATGCCATTCAACAAGCGGGGGCGCATCGAGATCGAGAACCAGGGCGAGCACGCGTACATCCAGTATTTCTACATTGACTACGAGCTCTATAAGGAGCCAATGCCGCAGGACACGCTCTACTTCCACGCCATGTGGCGGCACGAGAACCCCACCGGGGGGTGGGCGCCGAATGGCACGCAGACCAACTCTCTCGAAACCCAGGTCGCCAACCTCGACGGCAAGGACAACTATGTCATCCTCGAGACGGAGGGGCAGGGCAACTATATTGGCTGCAACCACTCCGTCTACCACTTCCAGGGGACTTGGTGGGGTGAAGGCGACGACATGATGTGAGTGGCCCCAGCTAAGGATCCGTGCTGACGGAAGCTTTATCGACGACGACCAGTGGCCGCCATCGATGCACGGCACCGGTGGAGAGGACTATTTTACGCAGGGCTGGGGGATGCAAAAGAACGCCTACAATTTCTGCGGCTCGATCATCCACGAAGGCGATGTCCCCAACACGCAGGTCTCGTACCGCTGGCACCTTCCAGACCCGGTGCGCTTCGACAAGAAGATCAAGGTAACCATGGAGACTGGCCACGGCAACCACTTGCGCGACGACTGGTCGACTACCGCGTACTGGTACCAGACCCTGCCTGGGCCCAAGCTCGAGATCCTGCCCGTCGAGAAGCGCCTCCCCCGCCGCCCCGTCCTGTCTGGGAACCCAGTTGAGGAGCCCAAGATCGAGGACATGCCTGAGCCGCAGAAGTCCAAGGCGATCGAACGCGAGACCCGCTTCAAGGAGTACCTCGAGGACAGGAAGGGCTGGGTCGACCGCCGTGCCGCCGACTCGCAGGAGCGCGCCGTCAAGAACGTCGAGATCGCAAAGGAGATCCGCGCTCGCTGGCTCAGTAGTTCGAAGTAAAGGGTGTTGGTCTCTCGCGACCTCTCGGCTCATCGTGATAATGGAGCAGTGCAATACCGTTAGAAGTAGCGACGCGCTGTGCCATATCGGTGCAATGAATCGGATGCCACATACTTAGGGGGTGCTCGAAGCTGGCTGACTGGACTGCATCAGTGATGTCAGCGTGGCCATCCCCGAGGATCTGCTGAGATACCACCATTAACCATGCATCAGTTACTCCCCGACTGCTATCTATTCTCCAAACCCGCATGTTGGAGAAAGGACTTTGTATATCACTTGCATACCGTTTGAAGTTTCAACACCACCAGGGAGCACGTTTCAGGCCCTTCTAGCCTTGGAGGAGCTGTGGCTTAAAGAGGGCACTGCGAGTTCATGCTGGCGGCACCACTGGTGACCGCGGACCAGATAGACGCCTTGCTAGGGTAAAGGTCCATGCTGTCCTGGCCAGCCTTGTAGGCGATAGAGCCCTGAAAAGATCAGTGGAAGAACGATTGTTCAACTCACAGTTGTGTCGAGATCATCTGGGCCAAACTGCCACGGCATCCACGAAACGCCGCCGTTGACAGCGGCGCTGATCCACGTCGGCATGACCGAAGTCTGCCCGGCGTACGTGTCCATGTTAAACTCTTCTAGGACAACAGGCTTGCCAATGTTGTTCCTGCCAGTCAGCCAAGCGTGCACCAGACACTCACATCGAATCAATGTGGGCCTGAATATAGCTGCTTCCCCAGCCCTCGACCGGCGTCTCCCCCCAAGCCTCCGGGTACATGTGGAAGGTGCCAAAATCGATGTTAGACAGCTTGAGGTTGGTGTTGAAGTCCAAGCCGGAATTTCCATTGTAGGCCCAGTCGCTGCTCGAGCTGTCGTAGTAGAAGCCTTCGTCGCTATCATTAGCTCTGAATTGGCGCCATGCTCACCCAATAGCAACCATGTGGTTCGAATCGAGGCTCTTAATGTACGAGGCGCGGTCCGAGATCCACTGAGTAAGTTGGGCGACCGTAAAGTCCGACTTGGCGGCGGTGGTACCTCCGTTACGCGGCTCGTTTGCAATCTCCCACGCAAAGATTGCAGGGTTGCTCTTGTACCGGTTGACAATGGTGTTGATGTACGAGTCAAAAGCGCTGATCGCAGCCGAGCAGGTGTAGAAGCTCGTGTGGTAGGACGTGTCGCAGCCGAGCTGCTTGACGTACATCTCCATGCCTAAGAGTCAGAATGGACAGTGCGGCTGACCAACCTCCCAGATCGTCCCAGTTGTTGGTGAGGGTCATAATGATCTTGATACCATACTTGGCGGCGTACTGGACAGCGAGGTCGAGGCGGCCGAGACCGTTGGAGCCAGTGTTGACCGAGCTGTTGTCAATAAACGCCACGTCCTGTTACCTACAATGTGTTTCCGTTCCAGAGCTGCGAGTGTTAGCACGGCTCGTCCGTTCATACTGACCTGGAAGTACGTGAGGTCGTAATTGGGTACCGAAGTGACCATGCTAAAGGCCCAGGTGCGAACCACCCTGATGCCAGCGTTTGCGAGGGATGCAAAGGTGGCATCATACTGGGACTCGGTAACGAGCTGGGGGATCCAGTAGGCATTCATTCCTGCAAAGCAGTAATGTTTACCATCCAGCATAAACTTTGTTCCCGAAGTGGTGACAAAGCCTCCCGAAGACGAGGTAGACGACGAAGTGGCCGGGGCGGTCGAAGTGGTCGACGTGGTCGACGTCGCTTGAGTCGATGACGGCTTGGACGACGTACTCGAAACAGTGGAGGTCGAGGTAGACTGCAGGCACTGCCAGTACCAATCGTTGAAGTATGTACAAGTCAGACCAGAAGCACACGTCGTACAACCACTGTAGGAGGCTCCGCCACACTGGCCCCAGTTGGATACAGTGCAGCTGTCGCGGGAGACCTCCTGGGTCTTGGGAATCGCCTGCGGCGCCGCCAAAACAAACGGAAGGAGAGCTACGACCGCAAAAAGCTGGTTTGCAATCATGTCGAAGGTGAAAGCAGTGGAGGTTGTGTGTAAGATATAGCCAGTTGGGCTTGACGAAGACGTAGAAACGAGGTAATCATGGCCGGCTATATATGTGTGTTCGGGCATACAGAACAGTGCCACCGGCCTCACCCCTTGACATTCAGGCCGTTGGCGATATTCCCCGACTTGGGTGTAACATCGGTGGCTCGAGGAGGTTCGGCTTATAGAACAAGCTGCGCACCACGTTGGTTTCTCCCGAACGCCAGGGCTTGAGAGACGTGGCACTGGCTTGACGTTTGTAGTAGGGCTGCCGCAGCGTAGAAACAACTCATGTGACCTGCAGACGGGACGGGACATTCCTCGGCTCATTGGTGCTGGTAGAGTATCGAAGGTAGTTGAACGCGTTTCCTTTCGAATAGAAACAGATAAGATGCAACCAGGAACACAACCCCTAGATTCCGTGGCGTCTCATTGTGCGTGTCACCTGACCATGTTCCTTGAACAGAAGGTCCACGGTACCACGGTGACCGAAAGTGTTTTATGGGCCGGGTTTCTGAAGGGGCCAATGGGTCAATGGGCAAAAACCTCGGCCCGCAAAGGACAACGACTTTGGGCCACAGAACAACTACTCAGTCCTCATTCCCGGCGACCGGTGCCCGAAAGGCAGACCGTGCCCCAGAACCCAACTCGGGCGCCACTGGGCGGTCAGGCAGTCCGCAAGCTACACGCGCTGGCGGGCTTTGTCAACGGCCCGAACAACTACCCAGAATGTTGCTGTGGGTTGCGCTAACATGATCCCTCACGGGCCCCACCCACACAATGCGGAGGTTCAAGATGTCACCACATGGTGTGTCACCGTGGGAGACCGGCAGAAGGCGACTGTTTTCTCTCATCATCGACGTTCCTCGGCGACGGTCCACGAGTACAACCTGAGATCCTCTTCGTAACTGACGGCCTTCGACCGGAGCATGTAGTATAGTTGACGGGCCGAATCACTCGGGCCATTATCCTTCAAGCCATATGCAGTAACTCTAAAGCGCCTCACCGACATGCTGCCCGCTCAATGCACATATCCTCCTGTTGCATTCACTGAAGACGCCACAACCTTCTTGAGAGTGTAAAGCCCCGCCTCCTTGTAACCAGTGTACGAAATATGCTGCAGCGACAGGGACGCGCCGACCTGCTTGTCCGCGTCAATAAACGTACGCCTCCTGGTCGTTCCGTGGCTGGTAGTGACAGTCTTCCTGTCCTTGCCGGGGCCCACAAAGAGACCTGTGAGGAATACGCAGGCGGAGCAGTATTGGCGAAGCAGGAGTGGGGTGCACGGGCGAAAGGACGACGTCGACGACGTCGACGCGAGACTCCTCCTAGTACTTGGGGAGGGCCAGGCGGAACTGGTCTGGACGGGCAGTAAACTCGGGCAGAAAAGTGCTACATAGTTGCAGAATCCACAGATGAACATACCGGATGCTCATTGTGGCCACCGCGAGAACGGAAGAGGTCGCGAGGGAAGTTGCCACTCCTAGCCCCACGACCATGCGTGTTACCGCCTCCAAGGGAACGGCCATGATCGAAGTTGCCGAGGGAAGGGTACATGTTTTGTGAATGGGTGAGTGAGTGAAGGAGGTATTGTGACGCTTGTGAGGAAAGTGGGGATGGAGGGCGCAGCTGGCGTGGCGGGTGGATCCACACGCGGGTGATCGCGGGTGATGGGTACGTGTATGGACGCAACAAAATCAGTAGTACAGTAACAGGACCGAAACATTTACATCCTGACTACAGCCATCAGCTGGTATACACGCCACGAGTAGCTTGGCGATGCGGTGGGTGTTGTGTCTGGTCATTGAAAGCCGGGACACATGATGATGCACAATCTCGTTCTTGTATGTGCACGAGACAAAAGCTCGTGCGCCAGTTGCTGTGACGGGGCGGGTAGGTCGAAGTACAAGAGACTGGCGGGCAATAGGCAGGCTGTAATGAAATCACGTGATTGACGGTGTCCGCATGTGCTCGACAAGCGGCTCTCTCTCATCTCTCCCCTCCTCCCTCCCCTTGCTTTTCGAGAACACCGACAACCCTTGCGTGCTCTTCATTCGCGTTTACGGCCTCGGCGGGCTGTGGGGACGCGATTCCGGTGGGCCTCCTCGAAGGAATCGGCATGAAGATCCATGTGGGCGAGCCACTCGTCAATGTCGGCGAAGTTGAGGTCTTCGTCGGCGTCTTCTTGCGGCTCCACATCCATTGCAGCCTCCTCGGCCGACAACAGAGCTAGAACGTTTTCTTGCCATGATTCGACATCAACGATACCAAAGTCGACTTGGTGGGGAGGGATGGGACGGAACCCCTCGAAGTTTTCGTTGGAGCAAGTGATGATTGCCTGATGGGTTTAGCTCGGAGACCAAGTTCTTGACCTACGGTCTCCCACTCGCAAACGGCCTTGTACTTCTTGAGCTCGAGAGCATGCCTGTTGTTGGCGGTGATGTTGGCAATGCGCTCGCCGCTTTGCTCGCCGCACCGCTCACTGGGCTGTGGCGGCGATGGTGGCCACTTGAATGGGCCGCCGTTGACGGCCATGGTCTTGACCTTGGCCCTCGCCGCATCGCGCTCCTTCTCCCACTCATTGCGCTTTCCAGGGGAGGCGGGAACCCGGCGAAGCTGTGGCTCGTCCTCGTCGCTGTCGTCCTCGTTCATATCCGGGAGCTGGATATGTGCCGCCTCTTAAGACGGGGCTGTGAACCTGGGGACCTCGTTGGCGACCATCGCACCGGGCGTGAGGAGCATCGACACACCAGCCGCGGCACACCATGGGACGAAGCGTGCCACTGTGCCGAGTCGGCATGCGAGCACAACCTCATGGAGGTCGGCGAGGCCCTCTGCGACGGCATCCTGCAGCTCTTGGGTGACGTCCGTCTTGCTCTGGTTGTTCTTGTTGGCCCTCTTCACCATCTTGCCGATCATCTCCTCGGCCTTGTCTGCGCCGGGGGCCCAGGCCAGCCTCAAACCCAGATCGCCCTCTGCTGACATCGAGCTGAACGCCAGGCGGAGGGAGAACAGAGCCGTGCTGACACCCTTGGCATGTTGCGTCGGCCGGATGGAGATGGGCCGCTCGCCGTCGCCTTGGCATTTGCGGTGCGTGCTGCCCGCATACACGCAGAAGCCAATGAAGAGGTATGTGTAGATTCTAACCATCCTCTCGCAAAGAGCGATAGGCGGCAGAAGCTCCACTGGCGCTGGGTATCCGAGCCGGTGGGACTCGCGGTACCACTCAACCGAATAGTCGAACTGGTACAGGGCAGTGGCAACGTCGTGGACGCTAAGAGTCGCAAAAAGAATCTTAAGGCGAGCATGCGTTGACTTGCCCTCTGTCTCTATCAGGACACTGCTGTAACTGCTGCGACTGCGACTCACCCAAGAACAGTTCCTTCAGCAAACACACAAGGCGGAGGAGGTCACGGTACAATCCGGCGGGGTGTTCGCCGGCGACACGGACCCAGGCGGGCGGGGGCGGGGGAGCTGTAGGTGGAGCAGGGGAAAGCGAAGGAGCAGACATCAGTGAGTAAACTCGGATGGTTGACGAGATGGAGTGAGTGAGTGGTTGTGAGACTGCTCATCAAATCCACAAGAACGTGGAGGCAACTGCGCCCTCTGTTTCGGTCACATGGTACATGGATGGCCTTACTCCTCTCCAGTTTCGAGATCAAAGTGCGAGAGGGCGAGTTGCCGTTGGTATCCTTCCTAAAGGCAATCATCGACTGCCAGGTTGACTCCTCGACCGAATATCCCTTCCAACGCACGAGCAGCATAACACCTTTATGGGTGGTGTGCACTCCCAGGACACGGTCAACCATGTATTGGTCGTCGTCGTCCGACGTCAGTACCGCCCTGCGAACTCTCAGCAACGCCTATGCATATGTCACCGTGGGCCTCTTCCTCATCTCGGCCATCGTTTGTGCCATTGCGGCGGCCGGTGCCTTCAGCCAGCACAATGTCAAGTACAACATCGCACAAATCCTCGCCATGTCTGCCAACAGTAGCGTCATTGGGCCCGCCTCACTGAGGACAGCGTTCGCTGGTCACGGGCACGGCAGGGACCCCTATCGCGGACACCTTTACACCACCATCGATGTGCAGGGGAACAACCACCGCGCCATGTTGGCCACTATGCACCCTGCACCGGATCCAGATTTTGACGCCAAGATGACCCACCCTTGTGCCTTAGTCGCGACTGACCTGGGACCGCCTTGAAAGCTTGGACCCCGTTCGATCCCCAGCGCCGGACCGGACGACCCGAAACTCCAGACACCGCGCCATCTTCAATGCTCCTGCTACCATACATAGGTTTTATGAATAGCTTCCCACACGGTCCACAATGCAACAATGTAAAGATCGCGTAGCCTCCACCCAAGCCTTCTCTTACAATGTTGTATATCCACCGTCGACCACCACATCGCTGCCCGTAAAGAAGCCCCACCCGCCCTGCTGATCACTAACGAGCAGGGCCACAAACTTGCCCAGTTCTTCCGCACTCGCAAACTTACGAACTGGGGTACGGTAGTTCCACTCCCTGGACCACTCTTTGAGTTTGGGGTCGTCAGAGGTCGTCATGTCGGTGGCAACATAGCCAGGCGAGATGGTGTTTACAGTGATGCCTAGGTGCGCCCACTCTTCGGCGAGCGACTTGGAGAGCATCGTCACAGCTGCCTTGGAGGCGTTGTACGCCGCCTGGCGTTGAGGACTCATGGCAACCAAGCCGGATATGGAAGACACGACCAAGATCTGTTTGCCGAGCGTCTTGTTGATGCTCTTGATGTCCACTTGGGACACGTCAGGGTCCACGCTGATCGGCAGGTCGAGCCACGAGCGCACCAGCGCACGAGAGAGGTAGTAGGGACCGTAGGTGTTGACCTCGAAGAGCCGCCGAAAGTCGTCTGGAGTGTTGTCAGCGAGGCTGAGGCTAGCCCACACATTTCAAGGCAAGGTGGCCTTGCACGTCGTGCAACTCACCGTCTGTCATGGCGTGCGCGTCCTTCCACAGAGCAACCCCAGCATTCGCGATCGCAATGTCCACTTTTTTTCCAAAGCAAGCCTCGACATCTTGGACCATCCGGTCCGTGTCCTTCGAGTCGCTCGCCTCGCACTTGAAAGCCTTGGCCACCACTCCAAACTCTTCACAGAGAGCTTTGGCGATATCGCTGGCGTCCGTGTGGGTATACGTGATGGCGAGCGTGCCGCCGGCCGACGCGAGGGCGCGTGCGATCGCGTATCCGATCCCGCGGCCGCCCCCGGTGATCAAAATGAGCTTGGCGCTGTAATCGAGCGTGATGGTCATGGCTGATGCGTCGGGGTATAGGATGCCCACATGCACGAGAGAGTTTATATACACAGATCCCACTGATACGTATGCGGCAGCTGGAAACAAGGTGCGAGTGGTGCGTCCTCGGACATTTTGGCTGTTGATGCCGAGCTCGGAAGGATGGAGGGAGACGCAGGGATCCGATCGGTCCGGAAAGCACAAACGTCCAAATCATCCGAAACGATATCCTCTCTCTGGGCATCGGATCGTCCGAATGTGACCTCTGCCCATCGCATTGCTCAGTCCAGCCGGTGGCATCGAGACACTGCAGCAAACTGGTTGGGGCTATAAAACCAGCTGTACCACAGCTCGTTCTTGCCCACAACAACCGTAACTGCGTCCTACACACCATGTGCCAGAACCATACCAACGGCTCGGCCAACTGCGCCGCTCCCGCCACCTCGCCCACATTTTACGAGGACCGCTATGACCCACGGAAAGTCTCCCTCCACCCAGAGTTTAGGGTTCTCCAACCTGGCGACGCAGCCCTCGACGACCCAAAGGCCAACCTCACCTGCGCATACACGCCCCAGCATGAAGTGCTGATGGTCAACAAGCCTGTGCCTACTGCCCGGCCCGGAGAGGCAATCGTCCATGTCAAGGCGACTGGCATTTGTGGGTGAGTAGCGGTGTCGAGCTCTGCTTTCCCCATGCTGACTCCCGCCAGCTCCGACGTCCACTTCTGGAAGCATGGCCACATTGGTCCCATGGTAGTGACCGACATTAACGGCGCCGGGCACGAGTCCGCCGGTGAGGTCATTGCCATCGGCCAAGGTGTCACCAATGTCGCTGTGGGAGACCGCGTTGCGATCGAGGCTGGTGTTCCCTGTGGGGAGGCGGATTGCTACTACTGTCGCATTGGAAGATACAACGCGTGCCCTCGTGTGGTCTTCTTCTCCACCCCGCCATACCACGGCACTCTGACGCGATACCACGCCCACCCGGCGGCGTGGCTGCACAAACTGCCTGACAACGTGAGCTTTGAAGAGGGCAGCGTGTGTGAACCCCTCGCCGTCGCCCTGGCGGGCATTGACCGTGCGGGCCTCAAGCTCGGCGACGAGGTGCTCATCTGCGGTGCTGGCCCTATCGGCCTCGTCTCGCTCCTCGCCGCTCGTGCCTGCGGCGCCGCCCCCATCGTCATCACCGACCTCTTCCAATCTCGCCTCGACTTTGCAAAGACCCTCGTGCCCAACGTACGTACTGTTAAGATTGAAAAGTGCTGGACGCCCGAGCAGACAGCCGAAAAGGTCAAGGCGGCGGCTGCCACACCGGGCTGCGCAGGCGTCAATGAAGGCGGACTGCGACTCGCCCTCGAGTGCACCGGTGTCGAGAGCTCGATCCGCACCGCCATCCACTCGATGCGCTTCGGCGGCAAGGTGTTTGTCATCGGTGTTGGAGGTGACGAGCAGTCCTACCCTTTTGGGCTGGTTGGCGCTCGCGAAATCGACCTCCAGTACCAGTACCGTTATGCCGAGCAGTACCCCAAGGCTATTCGACTTGTCTCGGAAGGCCTCATCAACCTCAAGCCGCTCGTTACCCACCGCTTCCCTCTGAACAAAGCTGTCCAAGCGTTCCAGGTAGCTGCGGACCCAACCCAGGGCGCTATTAAGGTTCAGATTCAAGACTAGTGTTTACGGCGCGCGTTTTCCAATACAGTATGCAAGTGTGCCTTTGGTTTGCAGAGCACTGGCCGACAGATGCAGAACTGACTGCCAGGCAACCTGGGCGGTCCAGCGACGGTGCATGGAGACTCATCTGGACGTGTACAGTTCAGTACTGCACAGAATGGCCACTCGACAAACAAACATAATGCACCATACGTAAGCCGAAGCCGAAGCAAACACCGGGGATCAGGGGAGCAGACTTGGTGGAGACATAGTTAGGTAGTGAACCACAGCAATCTTGTTTGCTCGCGTCCGGTTAGAGCCGCGACACCCTTCAATCATCATATTTTCACAAGAGAAGGCGCAGACTGAGACGCCAAAGGGCTAGCACAGTCAACAACACACGACCACGACCCACATCGACAACAACGTTGCGTCGCTAATTGTTGAGCACTGCGACGCACCCTTTGATATAGTAGCATGTTGATAGGCCCTTGCGCAAAATCTTCTTCTGCGCAGGAAAGGCAGACACGCCATGCAGATTAGACCCTTCCATCTCACCACAGTCACACTCCTATATTTGCATAGACAGTCTCTCTAACGGTTTTGTCATTTTCTCGGCTGGTGTTGGCAACAGGCATTTCTTGGATGGAAACGAAAAATCAATTTGCAGGTTGGGAAGGAGGAACAGCGATCGAGGATGAACAACGATTGGACGATCCAGAAACTCGTGGGCATGTATGCGTGACTAATTGATCAAGTCGCAGTGTGTCAACCGCCTTTTTCCATCCTACGCCTTGGGTAGTGTATGTGGATCATCCTAGTCTTCAATGTATGCCTTGTCCAGAAGCGGCACGATGTTGGCCACATTCTGACGGAGCACATACTTTTTGAAAAAGTATGGCAGCCACACAGTCGTCTCGTATTTAATAAACGTGGATGTGGGAATCGAGAAGACGTCTGGGGCAATTAGTCCGTGTCAAATGCGAGTGGCAATCACCGTCGATCTCCTCAAGGGTAAGCCCCTTGGTCTCGGGAATCCACAGGAAGATCCAAATCAGTGCGACGACGTTGAGGGCAGCGTAGAAGCCGACTACATGGTGGAGTTAGCGTTCATGTAATAGTACTTGGAGCAACTCACAAGACCCAGTAATTCCAAAAGCTCGAACCATGCTGGGGAATGTCATGCCCAACACCGAGGCAAAAAAGTTGTTGACGCACACGGCCCAGGCCATGCCTTGCTCACGCTGGATGGTGGGGAACACCTCCGCGCTGTACATGAACGCAACGGGGCCTTCGCCAACAGAGTAGAACATGGTGAAGATATAGATGAACCTGGATTTCAGGTCAGCGTCGTCGGTTGCTCGATGTCTTCGCCGTTATCTAACTTACGCCGCGGCTAGGGCAGTACGCGTTTGAGGGTCATCGATGATAAAGGCCAGTCCAGTGGCGAGGAGGAAGATGGCCATGAACGGAAAGGTCTAGGTCATCAGCCTGGCTCAGAACCATCATCAAGCGCCAGACTCACAGACAGCAGGAGCGCCCGACGCCCAAACGTGTCGATGGTGAATACCGCCGGGATCGCGAAGAGGAAATTGGTGGCGCCGAACCCGAGCGACGCATACAGCGCCTGCGAGGCAGAGAATCCGCCCATAGTGAACACGGTCGAGGAGTAGAAGGAGATGACTTGTGGTGAGCCACGTTAATGCGAAACCACTCACTATTGATGCCACACATCTGCTGCGCCAGCATGACAGTTGACGCCGCGAGGTTAGCCCTGCGGATCCGTGGGATACGGAAACAGTCGGCCAGACGGGACAGATAACTGGCCCCGCGGGCCTGCGCTCGCTCCTCCTCGTACAGCACGTGCGAATAGTACAGGTCGCGCGCAGCGATGACGGGATGAAGGCGCAAACGGTTGAATGCTGCAAAGGCCTCGGCGTTGCGGCCCTTCTTCATCAGCCAGCGAGGGGATTCGGGGGCAAAAAAGATACCAAAGGCGAGACTTAAACGTTAGCGGATATCGAAAGTGTCATATTCCCAACCACATTACTTACGGCAAAGCAGGGATGAAAGCACTCGCCAGCTGCAGCCTCCACGCAATCTGACCCACGTCTTTCACGACGCAGTTGGCTGCAAACCCCAAAAAGATGCCGAAGCACACCCAAAGCTGCCAGCCCATGGTGAGAGCGCCGCGGATGCGTGCGGGGGACAGCTCAGCTGCATAGATCGGGACTGTGGCCGCCTTGGCGCCGAGACCGAGGCCCATTACCAGTCGGACTGCGAAAAGCGTCTCCCAGTTCTTGGTGAAGGCGGACGCGATGGGCGTCGCGATCAGGCAGAGCGAGGTAAGAAAGATTTCGCCTCGGCGGCCAAAGGCATGGTTGAGAGGGTCGGACAGCCAACAGCCGCTGTGAGTAGTGTGAGTGTTTACCCACTGCGGGAAGACTCACATGATTGCAGCAGAGAGGTATGGCGCCGAGTTGATGAGCCCGACAATCCACTCGTCGCGCTCGCCGCCCGCCTGGCCATATTCGGCATGGATTCCAAATTCTTGCGGAAAGCTCAGGTTGGCACCGTTACTCCCCGTCTGGTCCCATCCCTGTGTTGCGGCGCCGAGCGCACAAATGACCATAGAGTAATATAGCGTCTTGGTGCCTGCCCACTTATGGTCGCGCTCGTAATCCAGAGCAGCGACATCGTCTGCAGAGAGCTCGGGGATGGAAGCGTACAGGTCGGGGTTACGTGCGACGAGCGCGCCTTTGATAAAGGTTTCTGTATGTTCTGCCAGGTCTGGCGTGCAGAAATCGGTAACGTCGGAGATTATCTCGGCGTGTGTACGTTTCTGAGGTGTCAACGAAGGGAGATGGGTTGGCTTTTACCTGAAGAGGGTTAACCACTACGCTGACTGCGTCTGGCTGTGTGGCGGTGTTGAGACGCTGATCGTGGGCCGCAGCGTACTCTTGATGAATCTTCTCGTCCTTGATGTTGGCTGGCATGGTGAGGGGTAAAGTTGGGGATGCTCGACTCATGGAGGTTGTTCCGGGCTCCTCCACAGGACGCCCTTATATTCCTGACGGCTGCTTACATCTGGGGTAAGATCGTCCGGACCGCAGCCGTCCATGTGGGAGTGGGGCCGATGTGCGTGATGTGGTGGGGCCCTGGTGGCGTCAACCATCCGAGACGTGGTCCTGGCTGCGAGGCAACTGTCCGATCCATGGTTCCGGCTGGTGTCCGCCACAGCCATTGTAACCCCCGAGGAAATGTACGACCATACGACCATACGGTCTCCTAGTTGGTGGCTGAAAGCTCCGTGATTGTTCGGAACTACCAAGTGAGACGGGAGTGGGCGACTTGTCACTTGGCCGGAAGATGGTAGGCAGTCGGTGGTTTGAACACGCTCCACACTCGGCCTTGGCACGGCTCGGAGTCCGTCTGTTATATGTCCGACAGTTCGGCGGTCAACATTGTAACGCTACTGTCCGACAATCTCATCTTGCATCCTACCCGCTCGATAACCATTCCAAGTTCCAACAATGCCGCCATCTACGTCTGCACCGTTCAGAACATGCGACAGATGTCGGGCAAGAAAGGTGTTGTGACCGTCAACCTCCGACTCATTGCTGATGACCAGACACGCTGCATCCCAGAACTCGGCTCACCGCTGTCACCGTCAAGCCCATCAAAGTGCTCTTCCTGCACACGCTCCAACACCGAATGTACCTTCCTTAAAGGGTACAAGAAGGCTGGGCGTCGCTCACGGGTAGAAAACGAAGCCAGGTCGATGCGGCAGAGCACGTCGGCTTCAGCAGAGGCAGGAAGGCCACCCACTCCACCTGCCTGGTCGCCGCCCTTTGGAGCCGCTACGACGTCGGCAGTCACTACCGATGAGCCTGTAGCCCCGGTATACCTGTGTGCCACGGCACCGCTCCCTCCTGCGCTGCCAACACCAGACTTGTTCACGGGCCTCGTCGATGTGTTCGCCGGCAGCAGCGGCAGCCAGTATCCTGGTGCGTCGCTGAGCCCTGCGGCACCCATGGTCGAGACGTCACCGGTGGCCGCAGCGTCGACTGTCGGTGCATCGCGTGCCCCGGTGTACACGGCGGACACGCAGATTGAGGATGTCGCGCCTTGGGAGACGGTCAACTTCTTCATCACTCTCTGGTTGCGGTATTGCCACAGCCTGAGTCCGCTGGCCCACAAGCCGAGCTTTAGTCAGCTGATCACAATGCGCGAGGACCGCGAGGACCGGAATCTGAGGGCTTTTATTCTTGGCGTCGGTGGGTACATATGTAAAGCTTGTCAAAGCTGACCGTTCAGTGTCATTCACGATTGGCCAGACTCCTCTCAGCCGCACAGAACCACACTACTCGCGGGACCAGCTCGAACGGATCCAGCGGCGATGTCACCGGGCCAGCATGGCGATCCTAGACAGGAGTTATCACAACGTGACACTGTATCATATCGGCACGTTGATCACGTCAGTAAACGTGTGTCTGAACAAAGCTGACGGCCAGGGGATACTTCTGCGCCCAAAGCATGGGGCAGGTACACCGCGCTGCAGCGCTCCTGGCGGAAGCGTGCCAGATAACGCATATCATGAGGCTGCAGGACGACCCCCCCAGTACGGCCAACGCGATTGAGCGTGAGCAGCGGCTCCGCGTCTTCTGGCACGTGTACGCAGTGGACATTACCGAGGCGGCTGCGGGCGACCTGGTTCATATCAATGCAGAATACGAGGGTCTCCCGCCACTTCCGCTGATTGTGGACGACGAGTACATTACAGCGGCTGGGAGTTTCCCACAGCCTGAAGCCTCGAGGAGCTACATGACTGGCTTTGTGTGCGTCGTACAGCTGTGGCCGATCCTGTCGCAGTGCATAGTGCGCTACCGCCGCTTGAAGCTTGCACAACGGCACGGGCGGGTGCTTGGGCCGGCCGAGGTTGAAGCCGAGCGTGAGTGGGTGCGTAACATGCGCGCCGATGTCGACGGCATTCGCGCAAGCGTGCCCGCCGCACTACTGCAAGGCACATGGGACGAGGGGGTCGATGAGACCACTCGCGCGGTGTGGGGCATGCAGCGCGCCAACTTTATCATAACCGAGGCGTCGGTGTGGTTTTCACTCGTGAGCAAGTTTGTATGAGCGGCTGCCGCTGACGTTAGTTTGACTACAATGGCATGCTGGGCCCCATCACGGAGGAGGAGACCGCTGAGCGAACAAACCTCGCAAGACACATGTACCACATCCTTTCGAGTATCCCACTCGATGACTTGGCCGCCAATGGCGAGAGCATCCGCGGCAAGTTGACGCGCATCATCATTGCGTTGCTCAGCATCCCGGACATGGGCGTAGACTGGGCTAGTACCATCCAAGACTGGTGGTCGTTGTTCTCGCAAATCAACTTTGTCCAGCTCATGCCGACCGACCTCTCGTCGGTGCTCGAGAGCCGGATGCCCAGCCCGGGGTGAGGCCACGGTGACTGGCAGCTCTGTTTCAATCTGTTGTATTGCTTGTTGTATGCATATCCGTTAGCGCTGGCCAGATATCAGACTGCTGCGGCTTGGCCTGTTATGGGCTCTGTTGAGCTGTTGTCGTTAGGTCACGTGATCAGCTCCGCTATCCGATCTATCCTTGATCTGATGTTCGGCGTTACATCCTAACATTAACGACACAACCCCCTTCCCCCCGCCCATGCCCAAAAGCACCACCGCCAGTAGACCTAATACGAGATCAGCATCAGCCCCATTCACCACACCCCGGCGTCACGCGTCGAAGGCCTGCGATCAAGTGCGTAGTGCCCAGTTTTGTGCTGACAGGTCAAGTGTGTTCGGTCCAAAGTTCGCTGTGTCCCCAATGGGGAAGGATGTAGGCGATGTACGGAGCGGGAGACCCAGTGCACTTGGACAAGAGTAAGTCAAACTACTTGGAGGTCACTGACAGACCTCAGATCGCCAATCTTCGTGGGCCAAAGCGGAAAACACAGTCTCACCTGCAAGGGGATCAAGACCAACATGTTGACCAAAGGGCAGGATCCAGACCGGACAACATCCCTGCACGCAGCGTCGTAGGCATACAGTCGATGGACGCAGCTATCAACCTCACCTCTACCTCTGGCACGATGCATCTTGCGCCGCTCGGCCAAGGTATCAGTAACTGGCCGCCGCATGACACCTTTCTCGCGGTACCTGAAGACTGGGCAAACCCAGTGCTGTCCACTGTGCCAGCTGCGTCTCTCCAGGCCGACGATAACTGGCTGACGGCTTTCGTAAGTGCAGTTTTCGGTGTTAACTCGCAATGTCGCCTTATGCAACTGCAGAGACTAGGAAGTTGATTGACCCTGGCAGGACATGATGTTTGCACCGGGCCAGTTGTCCGTGAACATGAACACGGTGGCGGCGAGTCTCGGGGCTCTGCCTGATCTACGCAATGCCCTGGAGCCATTGGATGATTCAGCAATGAGTGCGGCTGCAGTGAACCAGGCGACAGCAATACCGCCGATGGTGCTCCCATTTGCGGCTACCACACCCACCGCGCTGGGTGGTCCAGACGGCAGCGCAATGCGCACTCCGGTGGTTACAACAGGAACTGTGCCGTTGTCAATTAATGAACCGTGCTTGAACTCGACACTCATGGACTCCATGCGAACCTTCATCGGGCCAGACGCCGCCGCAGTATCTCCTCCGTCTGCGCAGTCGACTACATATAACGACACGACGCTCAACCGCCTCGAATGGTACTTCTCCTCCTTTTACAACATGATCCCGGTGTTGGACCGTGAAGACATTCTTACGCGATATGCCGCAAGAGAACATTCACTGCGGTTCCGTGCCCTTGTGCGCTCTGTGATCGCAGTCAGCTGTGCGGCTGAGGACCTCGCCAGACGGACCATGAGGATCAGTGCGAATACCACTGCTACCAGCACTCCAGGGGCTGAACCATCTTCCGATTGCACAATCCACAAAGAGCTCTATGCTGCCGGCGCTGCGATGGCTCTCTCAGGCCCTGCGGCTGACTTGTCGGAATGGGACGTGGTCGCAAGCCTTAACCTGAGCTTGGCATGGGGATGCGTCGGTGATTCTCAAACGGCCTGGTACTATCTTCAGCAGGGCCTTGCTGTGGCAGAGATGATCAACCTCGACAGATGGGACAGGCCATTACGTGCTCCCGATGCGAGGCAGGTGTTCCGTCTCAAGCTGTATTACATGTTGTGAGTATGTTCTCGCCATCTACGTCATTCTCCTAACAGCCAGAGTCATTTTTGAACGCGTTCAGGCCCTCTCTCAGTCCCCAAAGCTGAGAGAGTACGGGTCCCTTCGCCTTCCAGGAGACGTGTACGCCAATACATGCCATGTACGCGAAAACTTCACAACGTCTGCCTTTGCTGGGTTCCCTCTCGGCCACGTGCGACTATTCAGTATCGTTGGTGAGGCTTTTATAGCCTGTTGGCGGGGACGATGTTGCGAGAATGGTCGGATGTGTACGCGCTGGAACAACGACATGGCCGTACAGTGGCAGAGACAACTTTCGACCGAGCGCAACGCCCTCCTTGCAAACCCAGATGGCACCGACGCTCCAGTCAACCTCGTGATATCCATTGCCTGGCTAAGAGAGTGGGTCGACCTTCACGCCCATAGCTAATGCTTAGCCGCTTCTGGAACATGTGCTGCATGCACGGGCTCACGGCCCTGTGTGACGGACCTCCCGAGCTCAACCTGACCCTCGTGGCAGACAATATCCGATGGACATGCGAGTATCTCTCTGGGGTGAGATGCAGACACATAGACCCCACAAATGATTGGTCTCGCAAGCTCGCGGATCTGGGGCACACGGCTGTCATGATCATGCAGGAGACACGAAATACAGATACCAGCGAGGCAGTTCGCCGCTTACTCATGCCGCTTGTGCTCCAACTGGTGGGAGTCGTGACTACTGTGGGTGGAAGCTGGCCTCTTACTCAGGCGGCAGGCACGGAAAAGCCAGACGAGGCTGACAAGTACAGACAGGAAGCGTCAAGCTGGTTCAGGACCTCGTCGCTACTATCAAAGAATTATAGCCCCAGTGGTGTCGACACCGACAGTGGAAACATGGGTGCATTGATAGCTTGAGTGCAGGGAACAAACGTTGCACCAAAAGTTGAAATCTTCTTGGACATGACTATATCCAACAGGCCATGCAAACAACTCTATACATTCAGTGGTGAATCACTTTCCATCCCACCGCGCAAATCCCTCGGTGTGAATCCCCACTATCTGTCAGCTTTGTGCACTACGAAATCCGCTTACTGGAATCTAAGAGCCTGCCAACAGTCTGGTTCGTAAGGTCATCAACACTCTCGGGTCGGATGTAATAGGCTGGCAAAGGGGGGAATATGATGGCTCCGGCGCGGCGGAGGAACAGCCTGGGGGAATTAGGTTCTCGTACAGTGTTACACAACTTACATGTTCTCCAAATGGATATCGCTCAATGGTGTCTCACGTACTGCCAACAGCAGCTTCCTCCCCTCCTTTAGGCACACATCTGCTGAACGCGAAATAAGGTCCTCGCAAAAGCCGATGCGGACCGCCGCGAGCGTCTTCATGCTGCACGGGACAATAATCATCCCATCATGGATGAACGACCCAGAGGAGGGTGGTGCGGCGAGGTCGCCAGGCGCGTAACTATAGTCTGCAAGGTGCCTGACCTTCAAAGGTGTCAGCTTACGGTTGGGGACAACGTGATGGACAACTCACCTCGTCCGGAGAATAATCCGTCTCCATCTTCAGGGTTGTGGCCGCCCATTTTGACATGATAAGATGCGTCTCGATATCCAATGCCCGCAACGCTTGGAGCAGGCGGACAGCGACGCTCGATCCCGTAGCGCCGGTCAAGGCAACAACGAACCGCTTTGGTCGGACGCCCTCTGGAATAAGTGTGAATGGTACAATTTCATCCTCGAGGGATGGCCGTTGGGGCTTGTGTTGTGCTGGGGCAATCGAGTTCGCGATGGAGCCGGATGGGGAGTCGTCGGTTTTGGTAAAGAACATGGCTGGTTAAATGATTGATGAACGTTGGCGGAATCAGGTGAAAGTATAAACTCGTGGGTGTCATACCTTCCCCGTTGCTTCTTATGTATGCGATACTGGTATGCCTCTGCATGGTCTTGAATGTTGGCCACGGCCGCGGAGAACATGTTGGTCCCTTTGCATGTTTTTTCCTGTTTTTCCTGATAATCCGATAATCCGAAAAATGCCCTTCGCGTTCCACTAATGTGTTCTCCGAGCTATGGCGAAGACCATGTGCCTCTCGCGCTCTTCTATTCTCGGAAATGGACATTCCAGTGCAACAGCCTTAGGGTGCAACACTCGGCTTACGAGGAAACCTCACGCAATGCGTCTTTCGCCGGTCGTCCGTTGTTCAACGCGGCCGACCGCTCCAGAAAGCCTGCTCGCGTCGTGATATAAAGAGGACCGGGGGGATGGCCGATCATCATCTTCATCTTCAACGGATTACTTCATTTAACATCTAGACACCAATGGCTACTCCCAACCTCCCCCACCTGAACTTCCGCACGTTCGTCTCTGCCCTTGAGTCGAACGGCGACCTCGTCCGCATCGCCCAGGAGATCGACCCCGTTCTTGAAGCCGCCGCTATCACCCGTCGAGTCTATGAGACTGATGGCCCTGCTGTGCTCTTTGAGAACATGAAGGGTGCCAAGAATGGCTTCTTCCGCATCCTTGGCGCCCCCAATGGACTCAACGCCGACCCGAAGACACGTTACGGCCGTATGGCCCTTCACCTCGGTCTCCCGCATACAGCCGGTATGGGGGAGATTCTGGACAAGATGACCTCCGCAGCCCAGAAACCTCCCATCCCCCCCGTTGTCTGTGAGACCGGCGAGTGTAAGGAGAACATCCTCAAGGGAGATGAGATCAATCTCCTCAATATTCCCGCACCACTTATTCATAAGGATGATGGAGGACGGTACATCCAGACTTACGGTGAGTGGCACACATCTACCATAGAACTTGACGGACCGATGACCCTCTCGGTTGCCATCCAAGCTGATTGCTGACCCCTCAATCAGGAATGCACGTCGTCCAGAGCCCCGACGGCAAGTGGACGAACTGGAGCATTGCGCGCGCCATGATCAAAGACGGACGTCACCTGGTCGGACTCGTTATCAACCCCCAGCACATTTGGCAGATCCACCAGATGTGGAAGAAGGAGGGACGTGACTGCCCCTGGGCACTCTGCTTTGGTGTGCCTCCCGCCGCCATTATGGCAGCCAGTATGCCTATTCGTAAGCCACAATCAGCATTGGGATCAAACAAGGACCTTGCCTGACGACACAGCCGACGGGGTTTCGGAGTCGGGTTACATCGGTTGCATGACAGGTCACCCCCTTTCTGTGGTCAAGTGCGAGACCAATGATCTCCTTGTCCCCACCACTTCAGAGATTGTCTTGGAGGGCACGCTGTCCATCACTGAGGTGGCCTCGGAGGGACCCTTCGGCGAGATGCACGGCTACGTGTTCCCCGGTGACTCGCACCAGAACCCTGTGTACAATGTCGACTGCATCACCCACCGCAACGATGCCATTTTGCCCATGTCGGCTTGTGGTCGCCTGACTGATGAAACTGTGAGGGCTGAAGATCCAACTGTTGGATAAGAGTGCCACTGACGCTCAGCACACCATGATCGGTGCTCTTGCCGCCGCCGAGATTGGTCGGATTTGCCATGAGGCCGGTCTGCCTGTTATCGGTGCTTTTTCTCCCTTCCAGTCCACAGTGACCTGGGTCGCAATCAAGTTCGACACTGCCAAGATTCGCGAGCAAAAGTGGACCTCTAAGGAGCTCCGCCAGCATATTGGCGACCTCGTCTTCAACCACAAGGCCGGATACACCATTCACCGGCTTGTGCTTGTGGGCGACGACATCGACGTGTTTGAAGACAAGGATATCAGTAAGTTCATGTGCAAGCGTCGTTTTCGTCTTCAGGCAAGGATTGACACCTTTAGTGTGGGCATTCAGCACTCGTTGTCGCCCGGGTATGGACGAGACGTTCTTCGAGGACGTTGCTGGCTTCCCCCTCGTGCCATACATGAGCCATGGAAACGGCAAGCCCAACCGCGGTGGCAAGGTGGTTTCGGATGCGCTCATGCCGTCTGAGTACACGACCGGCGCCGACTGGGTTGCCGCCGACTTCAAGAACTCGTACCCGGCCGAGCTCAAGGAGAAGGTACTGGCCAACTGGGTGGCGTACGGATTTAAGCAGTGAGAGGGTGCAGGTATCAAAGTTAGGGCACCTTAAACAATGCAACATGTGTCGACAGACTGTCATAACAGTGGAAGGCGGAAATGGCTTTCAACATCATACATAGTCAGGTTGCACGAGACATATGGAGCTGTGTATATAGACACACATTCACAGTGCACGATCTCTTCAACTGGCCGGTGCGTGGAATGTACGGCCCAGTCTTCCACCCCCCGGTCGGTATGGAACGGCTCATCATCACTGTCAAAATCAAATAGGACGAAACCGCCAACAGCCCCATAGCTTGACACCTACCTCCCCTCTCCCCTGACGACCAACATAACACGTACTGGAGCAGCTTACGACCAGCAATCCCCGTGCTCAGCTTTAACGATCATTGTCCCCTTGCTTCGGGGCGTCACCAGCAACTCGAATGTTTGTGGATACCGCTAACATCGCATCAGCCACAGCCTCACAATCTGCGGGTATGGGTGCAATGGGATTCCACATACATTGGCCCGGTTTAGGGGGACACATGCTATGTTGTGCTTGCTATCATGTCATCAAGTCAGAGTGCGGCACGGGGCTCACCTCCGCCGACAGGGAGCAGCGCTTGTGTGACCAATGCCGGTTTCATTCACCGGCCGACAGGTAAGTACAGTATAAGCTTCTGAGTGTACCGGCTTACGTGCCCGAGACGCGCTTGTCCGACTGAGTCTTCGAGCTGGTAGGTAGCTCTGCCACGGTTTGGACATTTCGTACGCTCGCGCAAAGGTCACAAACTTTCCCACCCATGGGTGGTTTGGTAGCAAGATGACACATGCTCCATGCTCACTTCACCGCTTCTTGATCGTCCTTCTCAGATATGTACCAGTACTTGGACTACGAACTGAGGTGATTCGGTGGGCTGGTCCTCGGCACGCCAGGAGAGAGCTCAGACCATGTCGTTGACTCCGTTGGGACCCTCGCCAAGCGATACCAAAGGCCCCAGAGATACCCGACGTCCGCAACAGCAACCCATTGGCCGCGATCAGAGCAGGCATCACTGGGATATCTCACAGGTTATCCGCAAGCAGGATTCCAAGCGACCAGGTACTGACGGTCAGACGAGCAGCGCGTACAAGTTGCCAAGGTCCTTCCACACCACGACCAAAAGTTGGCGTCATAGCGACAGCGCCAGGTTCCGGAGGAAACAATTCTCTGGTCCTACCAGCGGCTAGCGTGGCCGCCTACTGGAAACAGGAACAGTTGTGTTAACCCTGGCTCCAACAACGCGTCCCCTCTCCAGCGACACGACACGTGTAACTCATTCACTCTGCCCAGTACGTATCCGGTGCAGTAGGCCAAAGCTCTGACATTACATCTCTTGTGCGGCATTGGGGTCCCAAGCGCAGTTGGGTGCATTGTTCAACCAAATGCCACAAGCCTCGGGCACGAATCTTCTCTCGTAATTGTAACACGTTCAATAGATGTCGTTGTGAGGCACTTTCGTTGGGGGCTTGAGAAGGAACCTGTCTAAAAGCGGTTTGAACGGTGGGATGAAATGGCAACAATGCATGAGAAGGGGGTGCTGAGGACTTGATATGCTGTGCTTTGTGGAGTGAGGGCAACATCAACGAGGCGGCAACTCTAGAACTCGATAACGGCGACTCTGACTGGCCCCCTGGATGCTGCATATTTACTGGATCACAACGACGGAATGTGTTTGTGATCACGACCTGACACAACAAAGCCTTGTCGACCACGGGACGCCAGGGACACCCGCCGCGGTATCCGGCGCGCAGAGGCAACTGCCGCCGGTGATGCCACATCGTGGTCGGATCAACATGTCAAATTCGACAGAGGATGAAGTTGCACACTTGTTACCATCGCGACGCCGCAGCCGGTAACATAGTTCCCAAGGCCCGAACCAACGGGAACGCCGCAGCATGGCATTGCGTGGCATTGCCCGACACCGTGGACTGTTTTGTGCATGGGGTGAGCATCACGGCCGAAGCCAAGCTCTGTGAACAGTCGTCCCGCACGGGAGGGATAAGGTTGACGCCGATGGGAGGCGAGACGGTATACGTTCATGTCTGCGACATGGCAGCGAGAACAGTGGGGCTGGATGGACTTGTGGTATTGACAATGAGGCTCGATTTAGTGTATATAAAGGGGGACATCTGAACGACTTGAAGACCCTCCTCAACAAGCTCATCAAATGCCCTTTCGCTCACTCCTCAACTCTCCACTTTACATACCATCTTCAAACACCCCAATTCACAATGAAGTTCTCGCTCCTCACCCTTCTCCCCCTCCTCGCTGTCGCCGCCGCTGCTCCCGCTCCCGCTGGTGAAGTCGCTGCTGGCTCGAACAACCTCGGCCGCGCTCCCGTCGATGTTCCCGTCCAGGAGGAGCGCACCATCGGCGCCCTTTCAGGCTCTGTCAGTGGTGTTATCGGCGGCGCCGTCGGCATCGTTGGTGGCGTTCTCGGCCCTGCCGTCAGCGCCGTCGAGGCCAAGTGCGGCATTGTGGGAGGTGCCGCCACCTCGCTTGTTGGCCTCCTCTGTGGTATTGGCTACAACCAGGGCGGCTACGTCGGCGGCTATTCCGTCAACCAGTGGAAGGGCGTTGGCGGTCTCGGCTCTCTCCCGGTCACTCTCACCACCGAGCAAATCACCATTATCAAGACTGAGATCATCCCCGTAATTGGCACTTGTGTCCAGGGCTACGGCGGCATCCAGGGCGGCACCTCCAGCTGGAGCTCGGGCGCTGCCGTCCAGTGTGTTGACAGCCTCTGGTGAGAAAGTTCATCAACGTCCTTCCTTCGTCGAGCGTCCATAACTTTGGCTCCCCTACGCGTGCATCTTGCACCACCCGCCTCACGCTCTTCGTGGCCTGTCGTTTCAAATCGTAACATTTCAAGTTTGCTGTATGCAAGTCTATCGTTTTCTTTAAACGGCAGTGGGCCACCCATTAATTGCGATATTTACCAGGAATTGGGTGCCACACGCCTTTACTGAACTAGTCATTTTCAGTCGATGGACGACCAGATGCAGTGAGTTTGTAAGCAGTACCTTTTCAATCAACTTCAAGTCGGGCCACAACATATCCATGGGCCATGGGAATAACGAACGTGTCCCACGTGCTGACAATAGAAACTCGGACATGGTCCCCGGCCGGGTTATGACTTGCCGACCCGCTGAGGATGACATATGCGGTTCAACAACGGTATATCATTCCGCATAAAACGATACTGACAAGTGGTGTCGCACATCTGTCTTGATACTGACGGACTCACACGGCCCTATACAACTGGGGCGAAGAAAGCGCTGTGCACAATCGATGACTTTCTGGAGGGGGTCAGGTCCTCCCACAAGCGCGGAGGACTGCATCATTGGGAGCCACGAGCACTGGTCATGAGGTTCTTGAACCGCGAAAGACGATGTTGGCTCCGCTGACGTGCCACTTCCTTGCCGAGGATGGAGCATAGTCAGACAGACATGTGTTGGTATTGCAATCGACCCAGCTATCTGTTGCAAGTGCCACTCTCAGTCGTGCGCGATCACATTTTGGTTCCGTGCGGTGCGAGCGCTAGAGTGCGATCCGTATCTCTCTTCGTCTCTATGCATCATATCATAACAACACTATCGACTCTATAAAGATATGTACATTACCACAGACCTTTAAACATCCGCCTGCTTGGGAGACAGCTTGAGGAACTTGACAGTCCAGTTCCAAAGATCGTCCTGGACATCGGGGTCTATGGCCTGCTTGCTGGGCTGGATCTCCGTCTGGATACGGATCATCTTGCCAGTCTCGTTGGCGTACTTGGGGTCGGTGACCAGCTCAGCAAGTCCCTGGCCCGACAGGAGCGTGGTCGATGTCGTAACTCCCTGCCACCTAAGCACGAAGCCCATGTACGGTATCACATTGTTCATAAGGAAGAGTAGGAGGGGGCTTGCATCTGGCTGTCAGTGCTCGGCGTCACAGTCCCCTGCTCACTCCTGTGCAGCTTCGAACCACCACCGGGGACGAACCCCGGATCAAAAATGTTGACAGCCCACTGCTTGCCCGAAGCGGTGGCCCGGCTGGCAAGCGCGCACGAGAAGATTGTGTTGGCAAGTTTCGAGTTTGGGTACCGCACCTGGTCAGGTTGCATCCTGGGGTCCTTGCAGTGGGCGACCTCGTCGGCCGTCGTTCAATACGGCTTGAGCGAGCTAGGGTTCTCGGGATCGTGGAGTGACGAGCCCACGAAGGAGATTCGCGCGTTGGGAGCAAAGGCGCCTCGGTCGTTGAGGAGAAAGATGAGCAGCGCATGGCCGAGGTGGTTTGTTGCGAAGGTCTGCTCGATGCCATCCTGGATGTAAGTGACTTTGGGTGTGCCGCCGATTCCTGCGCACCCGACGAAGGCGTCGGCAGGCGGGTATGGCCACCACTCGGCACATGAGCGGACAGATTCGGGGTCTGAAAGATCAAATTTGTGGAACTCGACGTTGTCCGGGAGGTCCTTCGGCGGGCTCTGCGACGGTCAGAATGGGATGTGTGGGCGCCACACTCACGCGACTCAAAACGACAATGTGCGTCTCGGGGTCGGCGGCAAGCACCTTGGTCGCTTCGTAGCCGATCCCGCTGGAGCCGCCGGTGAAGATAATGTGTTTCTTGTACTGGGTGCTCATGTTTGGTTGTGTGGCAAGAGGTCTCAAGAGAAAATGTCGTGCTGGAGGGCCTTATCTAGTGACTGGTGGCGGAGGGTGTGGTCCGGCGACCTTTGGTTGTCTTCTGCCCGAGGGCAGTTATACCAATGTTTGCCAGCCAAGAGAGGTCGGCCATCCCAGTGCTGTACTGAGGCCGAGGCCAGTTTCCTTGTATATATAAAAGTGTGCTGTGTAGCCGACGGGCAGCACCCAGTCTCTTGGCCTTGGCAACGCCTCATGGCCAACCGATACGGCGAACAACAGCAACTCGGGCAAAACACCAGGGGGCCCAGTTATTACTTTGTGCCCCACGTCAATGATTTGCATCCGTCTTATTAATTAGGATATATTTACTACATACAGTAATTACATTTCCCTGGCAAATCAGAAGCAAATTCCTTTGGTTTAAAAACAATGAAAAATATTAATTACGTAAGCATAAAAGAGCCCGGATTGACGTCACTTTCCCGCGGGGGGGGGGGTGGTTCCGCACCCATTACCATAACAGCCGTCTGTCTGCTGATGCAGCAATGCAGCAACGTGCAACGGAAGAGGACTCGAGTCGCACCAGCGACCAAGCGAACCGACCAATGCCTTGCGCGGGAACACAATCGCACGACAACACGTTGCTGCCTACAACGACACACACTTGACAACCCCTCTCACTCTCACTCTCACCCCACTCACTCTGAACGAGCCCATCCCATCCCCCCACCATGGCCTCCGCCATGGAAGCCCTTGTCCTCTACCCAGCTACCCACAAGACAGCTGTTGTTGATGTGCCAAAGCCCATGCCTGGCCCTGGAGAGGTTCTCGTCCGCATCCATGCCGTTGCGCTTAACCCGGTCGACTCAATCTACGTCACCCACCCTCTTGCCACCCAGAAGCAGCGTGTGCTGGGAACCGACTTTGCGGGTGTCGTGGAAGCCGTTGGACCAAGCCCCATCCCCAACTCGCCTGCTGTCGGCACCCGCGTGGCTGGCTTTGTCCAAGGCGCTTGCTCGGTGAACGAACTGCCTGGAGCATTTGCACAGTACGTCGCGCTCCCAGCCGACCTGGTGTGGACGGTCCCCAAGGCCATGTCGCTCGAGTCGGCGTCGACCATCAGCATGTGTGGTCTCACTGCTGCGCAGGGAGTATTTGCTCGCCTCCGACTCCCAGCCCCCTTCCCCGTCCCTGACGTGTACAAGGCCAAGACGACGACCAACGCAGACCCTGTCAACATTCTCGTCTACGCAGCCTCGACCTCGTTGGGAATGTACATTGCGCAGTGCTTGCGTGCGTCGGAAAAGGCGTCTGGACGCAAGATTCGCATGATCGGCACCGCGTCACAGTCAAAGCACGCCTTGCTCAACGCACCTCCATACTCGTATGATGCCGTCATTGACTACCGCCACAAGGACTGGCCCAAAATGGTGCGTGAGGCCACGACTGGTGGAAACGGTGTGCAATACGCAATCGACTGCATCTCTGAAGGCGCGACTGTGTCTGGCGTTGAGTCTACGTTTGAGGCCAGCATCCATGGTGAGGGCCACTTTGCAACGTTCCGCGCACCGGGCGGGGCTGGTGGAGGATACGACGTAGGCAGCCTCAAGGTCAAGCCCACGTACGGTGCCGTCTGGGAAGGGCAAGGCGTCGAAGTCGACTATGGAGGTGAGGCAAACCCCGCGTGAAGGCTCGCTGACATTGGCAGTCTTTAAACTGGCGCCCAACGCTGCCGCCAAGGAATTGGCAGTCGAATTTTACCAGTATCTGTCCTCTCAAGACGGGAACTTTGTGCCAAACCCGGTACGGCTCATGCCTGGTGGCCTGGACAAGATTGTGCCCGACGGGTTTGCCCTCTTGGGATCCAACATGGTTTCGGCTCGAGACGAGGGACCTGCGCGTACGGAAGCCCACATGAAGCCCATCAGTGGCGAGAAGCTGGTTTACGTGATTGAGGAGGAGTAGCAGAAAAAAAGTACCATGCATCCATACGTTCTTGCCTCAGTGACGCTAAGGTGGTCAGACTCTCTGGCCACGAAGGGATGTCGTGTACTGGCAAAGACGAGACTCGCGTCGAACTCGGATTGGCAAGACGCTGAGTTGGGGGTCCACGCGTGTGACTTGTTTTACACAGGTGGCGCTGAGCTCTCGAGCTAACTGTCTTCAGGCCCATGTATGGAACCCCCAAGAGAGCCCACGGGATCCTGCGTCAGAACGGTCATCTGTACCCTGGAAAACAGTTTACAGCCAGGAGTGAGGTGGTCGTGTCAGAAATTAGGCAGAGCGCGTCAATGAGATCTATCCCTTGCAAACGCCATGCGACATGCAGCTGCAGAGATTGGAACGAAACATTATAATCATCCATGTCCAAAAAAGTGTTTGTACTGGTACAACGGCGTGTGGTGTATGTGTCGCAGTCTGTGTGGTGTGTGCAGTGCAGTGCGTGTGGTGTTTTGCTGTGGGGTGCGGTACAGTGTGCAGTGTGGTGCGTGCGGTGCGTGTGGTGCGTGTGGTGCGTGTGGTGTGTAGCGTGCATATCCGGGGGGGTGTGTGCTTGTGGTGTGTTGTATTCACCAGTTAGAGTGCCAACGGTCGACCAGCGACTTAAAGGCAAACTTCCTGGACTTGGCCTCCCTCTTGGCCTGCTCTTCGGCAAAGTGCTTGTTCCAGAACGCCTGGGAGCGCTCAAACTCGGCCTCGGTCATGGTGAGCTGGGGCACAAACTCGGCAGCGACGCAGAGCTGGTCGTAGGTGCCGACCCAGTACGCCTTGCGGCCGTACTTGCGGGCAGTCATATCGAGCCACCTGTTGCGGCGTCGGAGGTTCGACTTGTCCTTGCGGGACAGCTTGGGGATAAGGATCGCGAGGGCCTCGAGAGTGGCGCGCTCAGCGTCCGAGATGCGGTTGGCCGGGTCGCGGCTGGGGTTGTACGAGGGTTCGGTGGAGGTGGTGGATGTGGTGGAGGTTGAAGAGGTGGAAGAGGTCGAGCTGACCGAGGCAGAGTCAGAGTCGACAGTGGTGGGGGTGGGGGTGATGATGTCGTGCTTGTGCGCCTTCTTGCGGAAGGTGAGGAGCTGCTCAAGCGTGGCGGCCTGCGCCTTGCGGTAGAGCATGGTGAAGATAGGGAGGATGCCGGTGTACTGGGCCCAGCAGGCAAGGAACCCGAGGATGGCGAGGTTGATGAAGATGTTGGTGAGGGAGGAAGGCATGGTGGCGGGTGTGGGTGGAGGAAGGTGAGGAGGTGGTGAGGAGAAGTGAAGTGGTGGCGAGGGAAAAGAATGAGGAGAGAAGAGGGGATGGGGAAGAATGCATCCCCCCGTCCTCCTCGACCCTCTTGATATATCTTTCTGTTCCAGCAAGAGATACTGGATGCGTCGCTCACGATCATTCACATCGAGCAGGTCACCAAGCGCCATTCATGACTCGCGGTGGCGCACAGACCTTGCCACTGTAGGAAAGAGTCGGGATTACCTAATCGGGGCATATCGGGCCCAACTTTCCACTCCTGTCGGTTTCTCGTCACGTGACCATGAGACCGGTCCAATCTTTCCAAATGCGTCGGTTGAACAGACGGAGACGCATTAGGAAAAGGTGGGATTTTTCTTAATCAGACTGTATTGACCGCTGGCAGACGGAGCCTTTTGGGGCGATTCTGCCAAATGCGGCGACGAGGCTAGTGGCGATGGTGAGACAGGTGCCATGGATCGCGAGCACTGCCAAATGCGGGAGGCCGACGGTCACAACAGTCGCCGTGCACGCTGATGTCACTGTCGACGAGGAAGGCATGATCCGGTGTGCAGGTTCCGGGATGCATGTTGCATGGAGAGGGAGGATGCGGTGACTTGCCAGCTGGCGAGGTCCTTCCGTGGTGACCACCTACGGATCACTGGCCAATGGTCGGGGCCGCGGTGCGATGGTGCAGTGGGTGTTTCTCCATCACCTACACTCATGACTTGCCGTGGTGTGAGGTCCATGCATGGTGCATGTAAGTCCATGTTCCACATAGTCTTGCGGCGGTGGCGACCGACCGTGAGCTTTGGGGTTCACGGCCTTCAGAGCAAAAGTGATGTCTAGTCGCTGGCGAGCGTACAAGCCACTGCCTGTAGCGTGTATGGTAAGGGGTTATGAGTGTCGCCAAGACTCCAGTCAGTAGGGTGTAAGAGTGCAGTAGTGATGGCGAGAGGCAAAGTGAAAGGGAAGAAACCTTCTGGTTCAAGTCCAATGCTGATATACTCTTCCAGACGGCCTTGTAGCGTAACAGTCACGCCGCATACGGGCTTTGGCCTCCTGACTGACGACCGTAAAAGGGCCACCGCTTCCAGACACTCGTGAAGGATCGTGGCTGCATTGGGGAAAGTGGTTTGAAAACAAAATGTAAAACTATAGTGAGCTCGCGCTCGTATATGCGTGTAGAAAATCATTACTAGATCAGGACGATCAGGACGGGAGTAGATCGGTCACTCGTCCTGGTGCACAGCGCGCCGCTTGCCGCGAGCCTTGGCCCGGCCGCGTGCCCGCTCCTCGTCAGTCGAGTGTGGGTGGAGGCGAATAAACGCAATGGCGCTCTGGGCGCATACCAGGACACCGGCGGCGAGGAGGAAAACGAGGGGCGCGTACCACCCGACCGACACTGCGAAGAGGTTGGAGAAGAGAATGGGCGAGATCAGCGCCGACGCCAGGGCCTGGAGGACGGCGAGGCCGCCAAACAGACGACCGGCCTCGCGCGAGTGGGGGATGAAGGACAGGGCCAAGGACGAACAGGCCGCCTGGGTCGGCGAGCCGAGGGTGACTACAGCCGAGGAGGCGATGAAGACTGTGACGGACGCGTGCGCGTTCAAGCCCAGGAGGGTATAACCTACAGTCTCGACCGCGATGGCGGCACGGAGAACCAGCAGATCCAGGGCGGCGCTGCGCTTCGGCTTGGGCTTGTCGGTGGAGTCTGGGGTCTCAGAGGGAGAACGGGCGGACGATGACGACGCAGCGGGACGGTCGTCTGCGTCGGCGTCGAGAAGGGGAGTGGTCTCCGAGGCGTCCTCAATGATGGTACGCTCAGTGAAGAATGGCTTGAGGTAGTACATTGCCACTGTGGATTAGCACACACATCGAGAGGGCTGTGACGTACCTGGAGTCAGACCCAGCAGCACAATCAAGCGACAGAAAGAGATAAGGCTCATGTAGGGGCCGAGCTGGCTGGTGCCCCATCCAAAGGCGTACAGCGCGTACTGGAACTTGACTTGGATGACACCCTGCGAGTTAGCGAGATTCCACAATTGACCAACTCACCATGAGAAGACTTGTAAAGAAGGCACATGCGCCAACCAGAGTCAGGTTCCAGTCCCGGTGAGCGTGTCCGGCGACCACACGCGGCTTGAAAATGAGCAAAGGCTTGAGGAAACCTGTGGCCTGCTTTCCCAGACGGCGGAAGTTGCCTGCTGTCCGGCGAGTGGTGCGTGCCCTGCCGACTGCTCCGGAGATACGCGACCAGGAGCTGTCATCGGCACCACCGTTGAGGGTCTCGTCCTCTTCGGCCTCGGCCTGGGAACGGCGGCGTTCAGCCCACTGGCCAGGGTGGAAGACACGCATGGCGGCGTTACCCACGACCTCGCGCATGTCGGAGATGGAGGGGAGGATGCTGTCACCCTCGTCCTCCCATGCGCGCTCAGCCGCGCGACGGGCCTTGGCACGTTCCTGCGCGACAAGGGCTCGCTTGGTGAGGGCAGCACGCGACTCGGACGAGAGCGATTCAGGAAGGATAAAGCGCAGTGAGAGGGAGAAGAGGGCGTGAACGCAGACGGAAACGTAGAACGGGAATAGACTGCTAGGTTAGTTGGTTCTTGACACAGAAAGCTTACATGTTGCCCGTGGCCGAGATCATGGCACTGCCAAGAATGGGGCCGATGGTAAAACCGCCCATGAGCGCACCGCCAAGCCGCGCAAAGGTAGTCGCGCGTGAGCCGTCTGGCGTCACGTCCGAAATGTAGGCGTGCAAGGTGGCGGACATTGTGGAGAAGCCGCCCAGGCATCCGTCGAGGATGGGGCCAATAAGGAGGACGTAGATGCCACCTTGCATAATGAAGCGTGGAAAGGTGGCAAGGAAGAGGAAACAGCCGTCACTGGGGACATGTTAGCCAGGTGGACTGGTGGGTGCGGTGCATAACGGCGCAGCACATGGTCTTGTCAAATATCCGAGATAAGGCTCAGAGCCGACAATCTGAGTCTCTAACGGTAGATGAAACCGACTCGAGTGCCACTCCACAATCCACAGGATCCACACAGCACCTTCCCCTACCAACGCTCTTACTCACTTGAGAAGCAGGCCGAACTGAACCATGGCCATGATGGGCCTGCGGCCGATCCGGTCCGACACCGAGGCCCAGTATCCCGTCGTCATGGCGGACAGGAGACCAGCCATGACCGTGAGAGCTTGTCCGTTAGTGCCAACTTCCCCACGAGGTTCCCACCAGACACACTCAGCACACTCACTCATAGTCAACCGTGCCGCGGCCGCCTGCACCTTTTCATCCTTTTTACACAACGCCGGGTCGATTTCCGGGTAAGGTGCGCCATTGTTATTGCCGCCGGTGCCAGTCCCCGGGGTCGTCTGGGTCTCGTTGCCGCTCACTGGCGGGAGGGGGACGGGCTGGTTGGGGCGACCAGGCTGCGATGGGGTCGAGGGATACATGTCGCGGTGGGCGCGGAGGAACCACTTCTCGCCGGGGGAGAGCAGGTGTGGTGCAGTCTGGTTGCCGCTGAGACCGCCAACGAGGTCGAGGTTGCCGTCGTGGCCACCGGGGATGGTAGTCCAGAATTCCTTTGGATCGAGCGCCTCGGTGCTGATCGCGCTTGCCCAGAACGCTTCTGCGAGTCCCGCGTCGCTGGCGGGCATGCGCGGCGGGTGAGCAAGACACGCCAGGTCCAAGTACAGCTCTGCCCTAGGCGACATGGTCATGCCGAGGGACATGGTCAGGCCGAGGACAAACGGCATGAGCCACTGCGGCGAAGGCCGGCGCCAGGCCGATCGCCTCGCGATGGACCCGTCACGCACATTATCCCAGTCGTCCGCGGAGGCCGTGCGCTGCGCGCGTTCGTCGGTCTCGTCTTCGGCCTCGCTGTAGCTTGGCAGGTCCCGCGCCGGCGGCAGGTCGGGCAAGCTGTCAAGGTTACTGTTTGCGCCGGTTCTGGCGCGCAGCGACCCGACGGGGCGGGACGGCGAGCGGCTGCCCAACCATTGGAACTGCGGCGTTTCTTCGGCACGCGGTCGCGACTGTCGGGGCTCGAGCTGACGGAGCGACTGGGACTGCGGCTGCCACGGCGCTCGGGGCTGCTGTCGCCGATACTGGCCAGCGAGTCGTAGCTCATCCCGCCAAACTGGATGCGTTCAGCCAAGCCTGCGCCGACGCCACCGGGGGCAAGAGGAGTGCCCGAGGGGACCCATGTGCCCTGCTGTCTGCGTGCATGCGGTTTGTGCGTTGGGTGGTGAGGGTGAGGAGGATGGAGCTGGGCATGGAGCAGCCCCGGGCGGCGATCGGGTGCGCGGTCACGGTCTGTAATGGTCGCATCCGACGCGGTTGAGCGGACGCTCGCGGCGGACGAGGGTTGACGTTCGAGGTGGGGCGGCTGGGTCGTGTCCGGCGCCGCTGTGTGAGCGTCGCACGGGCTGGACATGGTGGGTGTGAGTGCAGGAGAGGTGGGTGGTGGGAGAAGATGGCGAATGTGTCAAGCGGGGGGGGGGGGCTTTGTTTGTATGATATGGCCGTGGATTGTTCAGGGGGGAGAGGGGGGCAAATGGCGGCGGAGTTGGTGGGGTGTTGCGGGGGCCGTTATCGCTGTGCGCCTGGGACGGAGGGGTGTGACGGGTAATGAGACGGAGAGGGATGTGATGTTGGATGTGGGGTGGACGCAAAGGACGACGCTGTCGTATGTGTGCTGGCCGGCGGGGGGTGTTTGGTTGGCGATAAAACGGTCTTTGTCTTCCCTCCATCCGCCTCCCATCACACCATGGCGGCACCACACACCACCATTGTTGGGGTGGTGTGTGTGTGATTACCTCATCGGACATGGCCGTCGGGCGGGAGATACGAATAAAATGGTGGTGGTGACCTATGTGACAGCAAGCACCAAACAGCACCGAGAGAAAGACAGCAGAGCGTGTGTCTCTCATCTCGATCATCTATCACACTTGTCATGCTCTTGTTCTCATGCTCCTTTGTCACATGCATGCGTTTACCTCGCATTGCGTGTGCGTAATGCTCTTGTTACACCTCTCCTAGTCGCACCCCCGCGCTTGGAGCGTACCGGCGTACCGGCATGTAGACCGGATATACAATAATTACGAAGCAGAGCTCTGCGCTCTGGGCGCTCTGTTCGCTGGACACCATTTTCGGCCGCCGTGACGACAACTACCCAGGTGGCCAGGCGGCCAGGTGGTGCTTTGGCTCTTTGCACCACGCGCGTCATTGCGCTCATTGCGCTCATTGCCGCCACTTGGCCGTGGAAATTGGCCATTTTACCCAAGCACCTAGCTCCTGGGATCCTCTTCCTCGGCTTCCAGCATGCAGCATGCAGCGGCAGCGGAACAGTGCGGCCAACTACCCGCCCCGCAGCAACATCTGCGGATAGTCGGACGTTGGCCGTCCGCACACACGCACCCTCTTTGCGCATCGTGGGGCCAAGTGGTGGCTAGAGTGGATGCCGTGATTATCGAGCCGGATACTTGCAGAGTCGTGCCACCGTGGACCACTAGCACCAGCGCAGAGGTACAGAGGTCGGGCAATGAGCGCATGCAACGGTCGGTAATGATCAGGTTGGATCTCTTCACACCAGTCAGGATGGATGTTGTTGGGCGGTCATTACCCGGGGTTCGCAAGCTGAGAGCTGGATGTGCCCTTGGTTCAGACTCGAGCGCCGAAGCGACATGGCGTTCGAGCGCAGTGCATACGTATGTGTACAATGTTTCGGCAGGGAAGAACTTATACAGTGGAGCGCCGCTTACGAGCTGCAGGCAGTGCTAGGACGTCTGTTTCACGACGTTTGCGACGACACAAGAGGAACCAGACGACGTGATGGCGACAAAGACACCTCGGCGGTTGATGATGGGACTAGTTGGGGAGCAGCAGCCGGCGTGTACGTCTCGGCGGGGTACACGACTACTGTGGACGAGAACTTGGTACGGTCGTTGACGTCTTCTCTCAAAACCCGATGCCGGTGCTCGTAATACTTTGCTGCGAAGCGTCCGAGGTCGTCGATTGCAAAGGGTTCCTTGTTGTTACGGGGTGGCACGTTGGTGACGCGCACAGCCTGCTGACACCAGACGTTCAATGCGCTCCTAAGGAACGATTGGATCGTGTGGTATTCCGGGGCGGCTGTGCCACACGGAAGCTGGTCACATGCGAGGTGATAGACCGCTTCCAACATGGTGTCCGTGTCGGTGAGCCAGTCGGCATACTTGAGCGTCGGCGGACGGATGACATTGGCACGTTTCCTCCCGAGGAACGCGTTTCTGTCGCACAAAAGTCAGCGCTGGAAGCACCGGGCGAGCACTGTCGGCAACTCACACTTCGAGAGCCTTGTCCACAACTGCCAGCTTGAAGCATGTCGCGTCGACAACGTCGGAGGCCTGGATACTTGAACTCAAATCGCCGCTGTCGGCATGCTCGCGGGAAAGTACGCGTTCCCAGCACTTGCTTGCCTCACGCGCCGCCCAGCACAGTTGGTACGCGTGCTCGCCAGAGTGATAGGGCGGGAGGCCGAACACGGCGCCCTCGGACCACGAGTTGCGCGGAAAGGCCGCCGAAAGCGGCGCAAGGGATGCTGGGTTGTGGAGGTACTTGGAAGTGTCGTAGGTGGCGGCTACGGGTGCGGCAGGGAGTGAGGCAGTTGGGCAATGCGACATCGACATGGGGGGTCGGGTGGGAGTGACCACTGACGATGCTCCAGGCGTGTTGTGTGTTGTTTTGGCGTCTCGATACTGATGATGGTGGCGACGGAAGCAAACCCCTGGCAGCTTTGTTGCTGTTGTTGATGATGCCACACGCGTCATCCCCAGCAGGGTCGACTGACAGTGCATCTCAAGCCAGTCCTTGCCACAACACCGCCTGCGCCGTTCTTGTTGCTTTCAAGACACGATTCATACTACTCGCCCACGTACACGTGCTGATACTTCGACACACAAACAAACAGTCTACGCCCAATACGCCAAAAGACAACAACACTCTACCTGTGTCTGCCTTGGCGCCGCGCGTTTGTTACGCCTCTGTTCTTCTGCTTCATTCTCTCTTGATGCCCGAGATAGACTAAACTACTGAGACGACCGCGGTCAGATGCCGGGAGGGAGGGAGGAGGGAGGGGAGGAGGAGTTGGGAGTTGGGAGTTGGGGGAGAGGAGGAGAGGAGGAGAGGAGAGGGTTGGATGGTTGGTTGGTTGGTTGGTTGGATGGGTTGCTAAGAGATGGCGGGGTTCTAGTGGTGATACGAGCCGTACGATGGGGCCGACGGCGCAGCGTCGACTGCACCCTTGACGCGGAACTGGGAGAACACGGGGATGTGGTCCGAGGGGAAATACGCGTTGGGGAAGCCGACGACGCGCGACAGATACTTGCGGTCGACGTCGCCGAGCACACTGGTGACCTTGAGCGAGCGCGGGGTGTAAAACACATAGTCGATGGCCTCGTCGAACGTGGGCGTGTAGTTTGTCATCTTCATCTCGCCAAAGCTTGCGCACGACGACCGAAGGCCGAGGTTGTGCACGAGACCACGCGTCGTGTAAGGACCGTACGTGTGGGTCATGAAATCGGGGTGGTCGGGCGGGATCTGGCCGTCGGAAATGTACTCGTACACACCAGACTGCTGGAGCGAGTTGAGGTCGACACAGACCACCAGAGGAATGTCGCGACCCTGCTGGAGCTTGTCGTAGTGGGGCGGGGCGGGCTCGCCTTCGGTGGCCGGCTTGGCCGGGAGCAACGAAAAGCTCTTGACAATCTCCTCGAGACGCTCCATCATCATGCCAATCTGGACGAGCTTGACGTCGCGGAAGCGGTGGTCCCAGTAGAGGTGCGCGTTGGTGACAGCCAGACGGGCGCCAGACTGGGCAAACTCGAGGAGCGCGACGGTGGCAATGTTGTCACGCGCCATGACGCGGTTGAACATGTCGTCGGTACGCATGTCCTCCTTCTTGAGCGCAATCTGGTTAAACTCGATGACCTGGGTCTCGATGAGGTGGAACTTTTCCCGCTTCCAGAACGTCGCACAGCCGTCAATGAGCTTGGCATCCTCGGGCGACATTGTGCGCGCACGCGTGCGCGGGTAGTGGCAGCCGTCGTAGCCGCGTTCCTTGAGCTTGGGGTAGAACCACTCCGAGTACTGCTCGCCGTCAATCTCCTGCAGACAGACAACGTCGGCCGAAGCGTTGATGAGTTCCTCGAGCAGCGTCTCGCGACGGTAACTCCAGTCGAGAGCCCATCCAGGCGTGTACGCGTACGATGAAGACGGGGCAAACGACGGGCACAGAATGTTGTACGACAAGGTCGTAAACGACTCGGTGTTGGCCTGCGAAGGAGACGAAATGTCGGGTTCAATCTCAATCCAAGTACGCTCGGGCGGGGCCTCGCTCTGGTGAACGTCGCGGTAGTGGGCAATGAGCGCCTGGGTGCCTTGCTCGGCAATGGTCTTGCGCACGCTCTCGTCCATGGGGTTGCCGTCCACACCGAGTGTCTCGAGCTGGTAAAGACCACCAATCTCAGTCGGGAGTGAGGTGAGGTTGTTGTCAAACAGCAGCAGCTCCTTGAGCTTGCACAGGACACCAATCTCGGGCGGCAGCGACGCCAGCTCGTTGGACGTGGCGTCCAGGAGGGTGAGCTGCTTGAGGTTGCAGATTGCGGCGGGGAGGACCTTGAGGTTGTTGTGGTTGATGTACAGAGAGGTGATGTGGGTAAAGGTAAAGAGGGAAGGGGAGAGCGTCTTGAGCCGGATACCGCCCAGGTCGAGACCCGTCCACGGCTCGTACGGTTCGTCCTGCCTGGACGCAGGTGCGGGAGGCTGCGCGGGGTTCATGGGGTCGGCGTTGGGGTCGGTGCCACTGCCACCGCCAGCTGCGCTGTCGTTGGACGGTGATGGGGCCGTGACGGCGTTGGAGGCCGTGCTGGGCGCGTTCCTCCTGTGGGTGCCGTTGGGAGTGCTGCTTCCCCCAGGAGTGCCGACGCCTTGCGACGACGCGGGACGGTTCGGGTCCAAGATGGCGACTGCTGCGGGCTTGTTGGTCATGCGCGAGGCCATGGCCGCCGAGCGCGCGCGGTGGTGAGGGGAGCTAGCGACACGCGACGTCTCCGCCCGCAAAAGCTGCTGCTGCCAGTGCGGGGTGAGCGGCGTTGCCTCTGCCTGTGGGCGAGGGGGGCTCGCCTGCTGGGCGCCGCCAAAGCCCATTCCGCCGCCCATCCCGCCGCCGTACTGGCCTGGGCCGCCGTGGCCGCCGCCAAACCCGCCGGAATGCTGCTGGCCGCCGAGGTGCATGCTGCCGCCTCCTCCGCCGTTGCCAAACGACGGGTGGTGCGGGTGCTGTGCGTGGCCGTGCAAGCCGCCGTGCTGGGGGTGTACGCCATGGGGCCCACCTGGCCCACCATGGTGGCCCTGTCCTGGGGGAGGGCCGCCAAACAGGCCGTTGGCACCGCCGCCGAAACCGCCGCCGGACGGCATGGACAGCGAGGGGTTGAAGGCGGCTGGATGCCGTCCCCACCCACCCGAGCCATTACCGCCGCCGCCGCCTCCGCCGCCGCCGCCACCACCACCTGCGCGTCCGCCTAGGCCGAGCTCAGAGATCTGACCTGAGCCTCCGTCGTGGTGCTTGGCGGCCGAGGACGAGGCCGACTGTTGCGGGTAGAACATAAAGTGGGGGGTCTATCGGGAGGGAGTAGTGTGCTAAACGGCCAGAGTCAGCAAAAATGAGGACGTTTGCGTGTGACTTTTTTTGATGCGCACGAGTAGAGAGGAGAGGGGGATTGGGATCCCGGGGAGCGATGAACAATGGAGGGGGCACCGTCGCCAAGGGGGGAGGCATCGGCGAGCCAATGTCGCGGTGGTGCGCAGGGCGAGGGTGAGACGAGCTCCTGATGTGCTCGCTGCTGGGTGGGGAGGGGAGTTGGTGGGGGTGGTGGGGATGGCGGGGGGGATGCGAGGAGACGCCTTGGGTGGGGGTTGGAGGGTGTTGTTGTTTGGTGGAAGAGAATTGATTGAGAGGAAAGGGAGGAGACGAGGTGTATGTACAGGCGCGTGCGCGTGCCAGACAGGGAATCAAAAGGTGATTGAGGTGATTGGTGACGCGGCCTGATGGATATGGGGGTGGGGGTGGTTGTGTCCTGTGTCGTGTGGTTGGATGCTGTAGACGAGGATGGGAGGATGGGAGGATGTGCGATGGGGTGTGTGTGGTGCGAGAGGTGGGGCGGGGAGATTGAGCAAAGGTGTATACGACGAGGAGGGGAGGAGAGAATGGGGGCGTATAAGGAAAGAGACGAGAAGACGAGAGAGAGAGAATCAACCCCCCGGAGCGACCTCTCTGGCACCTGGCACCCACCCAGGGAACGCACGCACACGCACCCAGGCCACAACGGCCACCGCACACCCCAGGCCAGGCCACCCACTGGCCATACAATAGGCCGGCCCACACACCCGCATTCAGGCAGCGCCATCACTCTCTCGCTCCCTGGCCGCTGGCTGGCTGGCAGGATCAGACGGCGGTGGTGGCGGCGTTTCCGGCGTTATCTCAAAAGGTGCAAAACGCGTCATGGATCACTCCCTGCTGTATCTGCTGTGGCGTTCCATCCCACCCGGTGGCGTTCACTGTACACTGTCTTCCGTCCGTATGCGCGTCAGTCCGTGCAGAGAAATAATCATTTTATAATCTATACTGCTGTACAGGTCTCGTGCATCGACTCCACTCCCCCCCCCCTAGCTTAGAGATGAAAAGATGAGAAGAAACATGTATCGATAGATGGGGAGAAAAAAAGGGAATAATAGTACAGGTATTATTAACACACACAAAAACACAAATTAGGATTCACAAAAACGTAAAGGGTGCAGGTGGCCAGGTGGAGACACCCCACCCCGCCCATTAGGAATATCCCCCTTTCTAGTGGACGGACAGAACCCAGGTCTCGAGACGCTCTCTCTCTCGTCCCTTGCTCACTTGGCCTCGGGACTGTCACCTTCGGTCGACACGGCCTCCCACGGCTTGCCCGCGGCCTTGGAGAACTCGCGCACAAGCGCACGCCAAAGACAGCAACGTGGGCGACCGCGTTCTGCATGCCAAACTCGATCGGCCACGCAAACACGTCGGGCTCGTCCACGTCCAGCGCCCGCGCAGCGCCCAGAGTGTCCCCAGGAGCAGGCAACAGGTCGTCGGCAAGCGGCGAGTCGGCACACAGCTTCCAGGTATCTGGGAACGACTCTTGCAGAGTACGCAGCGACAAGTGGTGGCGCGACGCAAGCAGGGCCTGCGATGCCGACGATGACGCAGTGGCCGCAGCGATCAACTGCTTGAGCATGTCGGCTGGGATCTCGGATGCTGCTGCAGACGACGACCGCCGGGGAGCGAGACACGCCGCCGGGAGAAGCAGACGACGACGAAGGTGAGGGTCCATGGGCCGACGTGTTGGATGCCGGGACAGTAGAGTTGCCTGCGGCAGACGCAGCGACAGACGCCGACAGCTCCTTGCCACGGCGGCTGAGGGTGCGCAGGTCGGTCATGGAGATGTGGTACTCGGTAATGGCCTCAATCAGGTAGCTGGAGAGGAAGATGTCAGTTTTCAGGTTACCTAAATACGCTGGGTCGACTCACATCAAGCCCATCATGCCGCGGATCAAGTCCTTGTGCTCGTCCTCTCCCTTGATGCTGTTCCAGCGGCCAAGGACAAACTGCCGCAGGCCCTCGAGCTGCTGGTACGGCTTGGTCTTGACATGGCCGCCGTTGATGCGCTCCTCGCAAAAGTTGCGGTAGAGATACAGACACAGCGAGTCGGTGAGCGACAGCACGCCTCGCAGGGGGTCCTCGGTGACTCGGCCGCGCAGGTGGCCCTTGGCGGTCGCCGGAGACAGGTAGGCGTCGCCCGTACGCTTGAGCGCGTGTGCGCGGCTACCCAAGCTGGCGTATAGGCTGGACCACTGCTCGCGGGTCCAGTCGGCTGTCCCCGACTTGATCTCGTGGCGCAGTCCCGAACGTGCAGGGCGGTGCGGGGAGGGCAGGTGGGGCGCAGAACGGAGCGGAGGTGTCAGGCCTGCCGAAGATGACGACGCAGCACGCGCCAGCTCGTGTGATCCGACGCCGGCAGCAGAACCAGAAGCAGAACCAGAAGCAGCAGCAGCAGTGCCCTCGCGACCCTCACTTGTACGCGCCTTCTTCAGTGGTGGGCGGGACGGCAGGCTACTGCCAGTCGAGATGCCAAGGCCGAGACCGCCAAGGCTGGAACCCGACTCGTCGCCGCTGCTGGTCTTGCGCTTTTGGGCGCGGGCATACGCCTTGAAGCTCGGAAAGGACGACGACGACGGTGGGCTGGGTGTGGCTGGACGGGGTACTGGTAGCAACGTCTTGCCCAGTGCTCCGGATAGCGGGGCCGGGAGACCGGAGAGGAGCTGTTCACAAACGTCAGCCCCCAAAATGTCCAGCCAGGGGCCAAAATATCTTGGCCAAAACTCACCTTGAGGATGGCGTCGGCGCTGCGGCGGACGTCGTCTGCTGTCTGCTTGGAGGTGGACGAGCTTGCAGTGCGCGGCCAGTAGGCCTGGCGCTTGGGTTGAGTGTCGGACGAGCTAGCGGCGGAACTGCTACTGGGCGGCAATGAGCCGGTACGCGGGACGTAGGCGCGGATAGCCGCGGCGGACATTGTGGTGGTGGTGGTGCTGTTGTCGCTGTTACGAACGAAGAGACGGAGAGATGGGAGAGATGGAGAGTGGTGGGGTTGGCAAGGACGAGGGTGTTTCGGTGCCGAAGGGGAGAGTCACAGCGCACCGCGAGCGGGGGTGTGGTGTGTGGTGGAAACGGATCTGGCTTGGCCGCTTGCGCGGAATGCTGGGGAGGGGGGAGAGGAGGAACGGACGGTTGGAGCAGTTGGGGGGGGGTGCCGACTGTGCCGAGTTCCGCAGTGTCCAGAGTACCCAGAGCAGCGAGCAAGTGGGAGGTTGGTGGGGGGGGAGAGAGGTGCTATGAGTGATGGGGAGATGGGAGAGAGGGAGATGGGAGAGAGAGAGATGGGGGGGGGGGGGGGTCGGTTGGGGATAGATTGAGGAGGAGCGGGGAAGAGCGACGACGGCTTGCTTCGTATGCTTCGGGCGAGACGACGGGGTTGGGGGGCGATTCGGGGCTTTGTGTCCGGCTTCTGTGGCTGAGGTGGGTGTGCGTCCGGAGTTGGCTCTCTGTCTTGTGACGTGCACAGACGCACTGCACTGGGAGTCGACAATAAGGGGGGTTTGCTTACGGCCGGGGTCCTGGAAGGGGGGGAACGAGGGGAACGAGGACGAGGACGAGGTGATGGGAGGTGATGGGGGAAGGGGTGTGTGTGTGTGTCTGGTGACTGAAGATGAGACACAGGACGACAAACCACCCGCTTTTGATTGTGATGGGTGGGTGACAAAAGAACACGGCGGGGCTGGCTGGCTGTGGCGCGCGGCGGGGGAAGGCTTGGCGGTTGCACAGGGCAGAGATGAGAGAGAGAGAGATCACAAGAGATCACAAGAGAGAGAGAGAGGAGAAGCGAGCGACGGAGAGCATATGCCAAGAACGGCTCTCTGATCACTGGCGGCGGCAGCGGCGGGGGCGACGACGCAAGCTTACGTCGGTTGTGTTGCTCTTTTGCATGTCTCCGTTGTTCCGAGTAGTCACCGACTCGGAAACTGCACCGTCCGCAGCAGGCTCAACTGTCGGCTGGCTGTGCACTGCTGCTGCTGCTGCTGCTGCTGGCATGCATATGCCTGCATGCATGCATGTGGCCCCCACTCGGCCCTTAGGGGACAGTGTGGGTGTGTGAGACCTGTTCTCTACCGGCGCCGGGCCGAGAGCGAGACAAGGGATAAACTCTGGGCCCAACAAGGGGAGCGCGCCAAGTGCTTCTTCTGTACGGCATCCGACGGTGGGACCTGTGGACCGTTGTGTAGCCACCTGCGCCGGCGCGCAGTATTGCTGGTTGCAATTAGCACAGTTTATAGTATTGTCTCGGCCCCAGCGTGGTTCATTCCAGGCTAGGCCACACCTCGGCCTTTGCGCGCACGCGTGTGTGTTCCAACAAGCAAAGCCCACCAAAAGAAGAGACAGCTCATCCTCTGGCCGGTGGCCTCTGGTGCGTAGCCTCTGCCACACGTCAGAAGCGATCAAGACCCGCAGCAAGGACAGGAATTGTTCTTGCCCACCCTGTGCAACTACACTGTGGCATTCCTTTGTCGGAACCCTTGGTGTGGCCCCAGCTGCTCAGCCTTGCTCTTGTGCTACCACCTGTTGGAATGCTATACCCACCCGTCGTTTGTGTGACAATTGCAACGCCGCAAACGCGCACGCGCTCTCTCTGCGTCTTTTTTTCCTTCCCAGCGTTCCCAGGGGTGGCAGAGGCTGGTTGCAGGTTGGGCCGACACAACGCTTCCATTTTTGAATCTCGGGTTCCGCGGCAACACCGGCGCCGACAAAGGGTGGCTAAAAACGCCTCCCATCATACCCCCCCCAGGCCCCAGGTGGTGCAGGTGGCCAGGTGGTGCACGGCTTCTGGTGGCCGCCGGAGAAGACGTCAGACGGGGGCTTGCAACGGATGACGGCCGTTGGGGGGGCGAAATAGTGAGAGAAAGGAGGGAAGCAGGTGCGGTTATTTTATTTATATTTATTACTAAACGCGCAAGAGGAGCATCTAGCATAACCGAGTGGCACCCATCGGGGTCCCACTAGACGCTCTGTTGATCTGTTGCCTCTGCCGCCACCTGCAACCCCATCCAAGATCCAAAGATCCAAGAGTGAACGATGCTTTAACCCTTTTGTTGGTGTCTGGCCATGAAGACCCACTCACTGTCAAACGGAGGCAGTGATCTCGTGTCACTGTGCACCACTTTCACACCCATCCATCCATCAACAGGGGTGCGGGAGGGATGTATCCCAGCGAGGGCGCGAACATGGACGATCCCCTCCCCCATTCCCATCACTCGCACCCGGTGCTCTCACGCACACACTCACACACACACAGTGATACTCACACGTCCCGTCGACTGGTCGCAACTCCATCCACCCATCCCATCCATCCCATCCTCACTCAGTCACCGACCTCCATCCAACAATGGGACGCACAGGCAGAGGCCCCTTCCCCCTCCCGTCGGCAGGCGACACCGACTCTCGCACACCTTACCAGTCCACATACAACCTCCTCATGACCATGAGCGTAAAGTCGCCCAAAGGCCGCTGTGCCCAGTGCGTCGTTCGCGGTAGACCATGCTACACCCTTCCCGCAGACGTGGACGGGCCTCGCACCTGTACCGAGTGCTTCAGACACGGCCGTGACTGCTGCTTTGACGAGGAGGTTAGTTTTCATTGTTTTACTCGAGCTGACGGGGTGGTATAGACTGCAGCGACCGACGAGCAGACCACGGTCGACCAGGAGGTGGCAGTTGAGGAAGGTTCTCCCTCGCCGGCTGAAAGCTCCGTGGCATCATCGCCTGAACCTGAGCCCCAGCCTCAGCCCCGGCAGCTCCCATGGCTCGCCACCCCACCTACCCACATTGTAAACGCCCACGACTTTCGTCACCTCAACACCTACTACCCCGTCCACGTTCAGCCCGCTTCCACCCTGAACGACGACCTGCAGCGCGCTGCCTTGCAGTCTGCTGCGTTGGAGACGGCGCAGCGACAGGCGGCCGCGCAACAAGCGCTGGCCAGTGGCATTCCGCCGCCGGTGCCGACTGTGTCCCCTCGCCGCCGCCGCCGCGGGGCGGAGAGTGAGCCGGAACCCCAAAGGAGAATGTACCACCCACTGTTCGTACCTGGACTTCACGCGCCGTCGCCAATCCCACCCACCGCGGCGACCGTCCCCGCTCTCCCCGGCCACGGCCAGTCGGCTGGCGGGTATGAAGGACCCCAGCGGTGGCGAGCTCACATCGCCGGCGCTCCTCATCCGACGACGTCTGCCGTGGCCGCCAACGCCGCGCCGCAGATGTACACCCCGCAAATGTACTACTACGTCGTAGCCAACACTGCTCCCTATGACCCGGCCGAGCAGCACCGTACGCACCGCCGTCGCCACGACACCGGGGTAACCGTGGGTACGCCGGGCGACAGTGGCGAAGTTCCCAGCGGGGCTCCCAGCGCCTCACAGCAGACAAGGAATGTCGACCTGTCGCGCTTCGGCAACCACGACTTTGGCAACGCCGATGACTTCCAGCGTGGGGTGTTCAGGTTTGCTGCTCCCCGCTCGAGCTCGTCTGTGCAACCTTCTGCCATGTCGCCTTGGCAGCCTTCCGTGGCCTCGTCTTTGCGACCTTCCTCTTCCTCGAGCTCTTCGGCTTTGTCAACGTCCAGCTCGAGCATGGTCACTCCGCCCGACTGGAACATGGACGACCTCCCGCCCGCGGCGACGACGCGTGTGTGGTACACGAGCACGTACCGACCCAGCGACCGCAGCGACGGTTCTGGCTCGCCCACGCCCGATGAGGAAACTTGAAGACGGAGGGACCGTTCTGGTCAGAACCAGGGTATCAGCCCGTTAGGAAAGTGTGATTTGTGATGTGTGAAAGAGGTGAGTAACTGTGAGCGGTGGCGCACGCCCTGTCCCGCCAACCTGGGGGCCACGTTCTCCCTGGCTGGGGGCGAGCTCCACATGTATGTAGGTGCAGCAAGCTGGGTGCTGACTGAAGTGATAAAGGCTCCGGGGGGTCTGTGACGACCGGCTGGACCGGTCGGGTCGGCGGAGGAAGAGGTAGCCATGGCCGGTTGGTTGGGGCTGTGAGTGTGTGGATTTTGCTGTCGAGGGAATCCCAGAGTGCTAGAGCACACTGTGTGTGCACTGTGCTATATGAGAGCGTTAGAGAAGGAGAACCAGTCGAGATACCTCTGCATGTGACAGAGGTACAGAGACAGTGAGACGACAGAATGGTGGCGGCAACAGAGCCTTCCAACCACCCGCCCGTACGAGAGAGCGCACGGATGAAAGCCGAAAAGGACGCGCCGGGTAGTGCGTGTGCCAAGTCTTTTTGGGCGGAACAGCAAAACTCCGCCCCACCCACAAATCCAGAAAGTGCTCTTTTTGTCTCTTCCCATTTGCTGTGCCGTGGGGGGGGGGGGGGGGGGGGGGGGGGGGGGGGGTTCTGTTTCTGCCGTACTGTATATACTGTCCCCCTTGTCGCCATGAGAATGCTCAGAGACAATGCATAGACGAACTGCTGCCCCCCCCGCCTCTTTTTCCTCTCCCCGCACAGCCATCAGAGAGCCCATCAGCCATGCACCTTCTTCCCCATGTGTATGTTTATTCATTACCCCCTGTTTAAACAGGCGTGATTACACCCAGGGTGTGTGTGTGTGTGTGTGTGTGTCGGCTCTTCCGGGCGGCGGGCACCGGCTGGCTGGGCGGGCGGGTGGTGCTGGTGCTGGGTGGGGGTTGGGTTGGGGGTGGGGGGTCGTCTCCTTTGTCTTCTTGCTCCTCTCCGTCTATACAAGACATCACATAGTCGGCCGTCAGCAACACACACACACCTCTCTCACACACCTCTCTCTCTCTCTCTCCTGTACTCCCAGCTCTCTCCCTCTCCTCGGTCACCTTGTCCACACACCCCACACACCCCCACTCGTCACCACCAACAAACCCTCACACCCACCCACACACATCCTCTACCTGGGGCATCCAGCGAGCTCACACCTCTTTGGCTCTCCCCCCACAGCAACCACTACCTCAACCACCACACCCCCCACTGTCCCACAATGCCCCCTACCCCCATCACATTCTCCTTTCACGCCGACTCGAGCGTCGGCGGCAGCGTCAAGGGCGGGTCGCGCATCTTCACCGTCCAGATCAAGACCCCAGCTCCCTCTTTGCCCGAACCCACCAAACACGCCAACCCAGCCCCGCTCTCCGCCTCCAAGAAGCGCAAGGCAGCTCCCCCCATCCCCGCACCCACCTCTGAGCACCTCAGCAGCGTCATGACCCCGCTCAACGTCACCATCGTCGCTCGCTGCCTCGCCGCACGCCACACGGCTCCCTCCCCACCCGCGTCCACCAAGAAGCGTTCGGGCAACCACACCCCGGCCGCTTCTCCCACCCCTCCCTCTGGGCCTGCCGTGCACCCATACTCGCGTACCAGCGACCTCGCCAACACGCGCTCCACCATCCCCTCGCCCCAAGAGCTCGCGCGTGCAGAGCGTGCAGAGGAGGAAAAGGCCCGCCAGAAGAAGGAGAATGCGGCCGCCGCCCGTGCCGCTGCTGCCCTCGCCCGTCGCCGCAAGGCCCTCCGCTCTGGCCGTGGTGCGTCCCGCATGCCCTCGGCGTCCGTCACTCCGGCCTCCATGATCCCCCCCGTTCAGCGTGCGGTTGCCGCCCAGCGCGCCCGCTCGGCCGAGGCCGCAGCCAAGGAGGCGCAGGCTGCTGAAAAGGTGCTCGTGGGCATGGCCGTCACCGCCGAGCCAGAGGATGACGGCAGTGACACCGGTCTCCCATCTCGCAGCCTCAAGCGCACACGCTCGTCGGGCTTGCTCAACATTACCACCAATGGCTCGGGCTCGGGGTCGGTCAGTGCTGCTTCCCCGCTCCGCACGGTCACCACCACCACCACCACCGGCGACGGCGGTGGTGCTGGTGCTGGTGACGACGGTGACAAGGACGCTGTCGACTCCAAGGACGCACTCCCAGACACTGCCCAGCGCTCCCCTCCGTCTGACAGCTCGGATGCGCCTGCTCGCAAGCGCTCTCGTCTTGCCGAATCGCTGCCGGCTCGTGTGCCCTCGTCGCGGCGCGCAAACTCTGCCTCCCCCACGGGCTCGGCGTCTTCGCTCCCTGAACAGACGACCCCTCGCAAGACTGCTGCTCTTGGTGCCGACGCGCCCGACGCGCCCATCTCGCCCACCGACTCGACCACCATGCGCCGTGTCGTCTCTGCGACCGATACGGCCGGCCTCCGCCGTGGAGGTGTCCCTCGCAACGCCTCGGTCGGCCCAGACTCGCTCCGTGAGCGGTCTCGCCGCGAGGTCCAGTTGCCCGCGCGGCTGCGCGACTAGGCAGTTGGCTGTTTCTGAAGCGCCAAAGGTCCTCCCCTCTGGACCCAGAGGGGGCTGCATATCTGACCTATACTACATCGCTCTCGCCATCACCCACTTGTCCCGGTCCCATCACGCGTGTACTGTCGGCAGCCGTCGCCTGAAGTCGGACGAAAGAGAAGGAGGTCCCAGGCCCGATCTCGTGTCTCAGCCAATCTGTGGCCATTAATCCCCCACCCGCCCACCCGCCCACCGCACCGAGCCTGTCCCCGGCTCAATCTATCTATACTACTACTACACTTGCGGCCCTTCGGCTGCACCCTCCCCCTCTCCCCCACCCCGCGCCTGTCCTGTAGCTGCGCTTGTATGTGTGTTTTGTGTCTTTTTTCTTTTCTGCATATACTGTTGATCCCCCGCTGGCGCTGCCGCCTGGGTGTCACCGCCCCCGTGTTGCTCTCGGCTATCGGCGGAGAGAGGGGGGTGGAGCGTCGCGTGCGGTGCGTACATATGCGCGTGTGCATATGCGTGCAATGGCCGGGCCCAAAGATTTGACCCGGGCCCTGGTCTCAAAACTGGTCTGCTCCCCTTACGTCACTGGCGCAGACAAGAAGGAAGTGTCTCCTGGCCGTGCACTCGTCGTGCGCTCGTCGTGTCGGATGGGGAGGGCGACTGACGCGATTGGGTAGCGGTGTCGTCTCGATACCCAACAAGCAGTCAGCACCACCAGCAGCACTAGCACCACATCAGCGTCACCACCACCGGCACCACCGGCACCACCACCAGCTGCTGCCCTCCCGCGCGCCAAGGCAGGCAGGCACCCCGCGCGCGCAACGATCCCCCCCAATTCCGGCCCGGAACCGGGATTTATCAACAAAGGCGCGGCGGGACGGCTGGCAATCGCGCACGTGGGGTCACGTGATTAGATCACGTGATCAGATGCCACAGGTGTCCACAATCTAATTACATAACCCCCCCCCCCCCCCCCCCCCCCCCGCTTTTTTCTCCAAATTCCCTCCGTCAAATAGCCCCTGCAATTAAAATACATAGATACACGGAGCGAGACGGGGCTGCCATCTGAACACAACCAACCGCTGCAACCGGGATAGGGAGCAGCCCATGTCCACAGGCCACAGGACGGCCACATGCCACAGGACGGGCCAATAGCTCTCAATTATTGCACTAGCTGCTCTGACTGAATGTCACCTACTCGGCTCCTCATTTAGGCCACATTTGTCTTGTCTGGGACACACGAGGCAGGAGCGTGTGCCCCGCCACCACCGCCGCCGCCGCCCCCGCCCCCGCCCGCCCCCGCCCGCCCCCGCCTCCCACACTCTCCCACTGCAGGCCGATACACCGAGACCTCCGAGACCGCGGAGAGGACGCGAGTTGTGGCCGGTTCTTTACGGCCAGAGGAGCGCGCAAGGGACGCCGACGTACGTCACGCAGCCGCAAGTCATCATTGACAGTGGCGAAGGGACAACACTGATGTATGGTTCCGTCACGACCACAACGTTTCGACACATACAACATGCTTTTGCTGTCAAAGCTTAGGATATAGGACAACCTTCACTCGGCTTTGCTTGTATAGTGTGCTTACCATGGAAACACTTGTTCACAGTTGCCGCCATCATGGCACCTACCACATTGCTGTTGGCAGGGCCAGTTAAGGACCCCGCCACAACAACCTCCACTTTGGCTCGTCGCGGCCCAGGTCAAGGTCTTGATTTCCTCGACAACCATCATCTCATCCGCTCCATCCACCCACCCTCCCCGCGTCCAGCTCCCAGCCATGTCCGACTCTGAAGACGACTTCATGTCGGACAAGTTCCTCGTCGACACCCCGGCCACGACAGACACATCCTACACGGCGCTAAGCCGAGCCACGGCGATACGACGATGCAACCTGCTACCGGGTATTTTGTTATGCCGTGCCATTCCATGCACTTACACGTGAGCGAGCTTTAGAGGCCCACACCTAATCTAGACCCAGGCCCGGACATGGGCCAGGCTTGCTCAAATGAAGGGCCTCATACTCATCGAACGACAAATCGAGTTCATCAAGGATACCGCCCCATCGAGCGACATTTAGGATTCATCGAGCGACACCTCGTACTCATCGAACTAGAGAGGATTCATAGAAGCTTGAGAGACGCAATGAGTGGAGCACTGTGTCACGGGTCGTGCCTTCCTTATTGTAACCAACTACATGAGTTGAAGGAAGGTATTCGTTCTGCGTGCGGAGTGGCAAAAGGTCGTAACCTCTACTTCTGGGTGGCAAATCAGTGCAGAGATATAGCTTGGTAGTGACCACAGAGGGTGTTCGAACAGCTCGGAAATCTGCTCCAGTTCGAGGCCCATCGTCTCTGGGAGGAAAAAGAACGTGACAACGATAGCAGTGCAGGAGCAAAGTGAGCCAAAGATCCAGCCTGTCTTCAAGGGCTTCAACGATGTACGGGATTGATGCGTTTGGAAATGTAATCAGGTTAAAGGACTGAGCGAAAGCCGGGATCAAGAAAATGGATGCAAAGAAAAGTGTTGATGAAGCTCATGGACACTGGAAAGGTCTGATTCACCGCCGGCTTAGCAATGTAGCGGTCCCGTCAGGCCCGTCACGAGAGGACAGGGTTGGGCGAGGATGGTCTCCCGGAATATGACACTTCGTCTCGCGCTTCAGTCGAGCCCCACATGCTGAGTACGAGACCGTAGTTGTGGCGCGAGTCATACGTATTGTAAGTGGCTCGATTGCCTTGAGATCGACCACTGGAAGTACTGTGTCGACATCGATGCGGAGCACGATCCTCAACGTTCATGCTTGATGGCTTGACACCGCTTCACTGGGGGTGACATCTGACCAGCTGTCCTGGTCAAGGGCCTACGGGGCTCCCGCATGCACGTAAAAACATGCTACAGGCAGCATTCCTCGAGGCCCCAACTTGCTGCATCCACTAAACTACTCTGCGCGCCTACAGATCACATCCGATTGTGCCAAACACTATGATAGACAAACGACGTTACTCAGTCAGATCGCGCCTGCTATCCGTTCCGCCTGACTCGTCCATTTACCGGCGCAAACCAATCCCCTGACGTACACCTTCCATTAGCAACACGTATTCGTTGAATGGGCCATTGACCCAGTCACGTGGACAGTTGACATCCTTGAACCGTGTTCACCCCTAAGCTGCGCTTGCCGGCACAGCGTTCGACACGTCATCGACCGTCGTTTCTTTGAATTTGCGAGTGTGAGTTTTGCGCTCAAAGAGCTCGTCCAACTCCCTAAAAGTACGGCCTTGAGTCTGATAACGTCAGGTACGCACTTAGGTTTGACTTGTTTTTTTTAAAAAAAAAAAAAAAAATTGACACACCTCGGGTATCGTGAAAAAGACGACAACGACTGCGATCGCCGACAGACCGGCATAGAAGTAGCCCAACTCCAGCCCCCAATTTGCTTCTTGAGCAGACAGCAAGATCGGAGTGGTGTAGTTGAACACGAGACCGGGCATGGCAGACAGACCCGCAGCGATGGAAGCAGTGCGTGCGCGCAGAGCTGGAGTGGCCGTGTCGGCCAAATACGCCCATGCTGTAAATCAGAAAGGACACATATCAAGACGACCCTTCACAAGAAACGAGGGCGTTTGATGTGAAAGAAACGCTTACTCACAGAGGGGGGCGGTGGACAATCCGAAAGCGGTGTACCATACAACAGATATGCCAACGATGGCCCCCATGCCAGCCGCGGGGAGAGTGCCACCAGACATACGTATCTTGGTGCCAATGCCTCCAATCGCCAGACACGCAATCAGGGACACCAGTATACCGCCCAATAGCAAAGGGCGGCGGCCGACACGGTTGACAATCGCAGCCGAGACGAACATGGTACCGATGGTGGTGACCCACGACGCAATGGATGGAATGAGGGGGTTTGCGGTGCCGAGTAGCGAAAGATAGTATGGAAGGCCAGATCCGATTAGCGGGAGACCGATGAACTGCGAAGCGATCAACGGGAAGAAGGAGATCCACGTCCGACGGCGATCCACTCCCTTGAACAGGGCGAGATAACCGCGAGCCGCGCTTTGAGCTTTCATGCCGTCCTGCTTATGGACCTCGGCCATGATGACGAGGTATTCGTGGTCGACGTCGAAACCCTCGACATTGCCAAACAACCGGACAAGAGATTTTTTGGTCGCCGCCTCATTTCTGCGGAAACCGTGGAACCACGGGGTCTCGGGAGCGAAGATGAGCGCCGGCACGAATAAACCGAGAAAGACCAACTCGCTGTAGAATGCGTGCTGGTAGGGAGCACCGGTGCTGGTGATGATTTGACCGGCGATAATCCCAACAAATGCGCCGACCGAGTACCAGATCGAATAGACAAAGAGCATGGTGCTTCGGATATGGGGCGGGCTGATTTCCGATACGTAAACCGTCAGGCCGGATTGGACGAGACCGGTGGCCCAACCAGTCAGGAAGCGGGAAAAAAGATAGTATAGCCAGTTTTGCATGGTGAGGTTGAGGATAATGGACTGCGAAAAGCATCAGTAGCGTTAACAGCAACCGGTCAAGAGGTGGCGAAAGATGGGTTGTACTCACGACCACCATTAAGAATCCGATGAGACGAATGTTGAAGACGCGTCCGAAGCGATCCGAGGTCAAGCTTCCCAGCAGCATGCCCAGAATTTGGCCGGCGTTGAGGATACCGCCCCACGCTGCGACTTGGTACGCATACAGCTGCTTGACACCGCCGACGACCGGGCCACCGAATTTGTCGATAAACTCGTAATTGACCATGACGGTGCCGGGAGCGACAAGAGCGTAACCTGGTGATCAGCACGGATAGGCAGTAGCCAGTGCCAAGCAGGCCAGATGAGATGACTGTCCCTCACCGTCAAACAAAGCCCCAGCGAGGACCGCAAGAGCCCACAGACTGGCGGTGCGGTAAACGAAGAGGGACTTGATGAGCGAGTACCGAGGCAGCAAGGTGTCAACGGCGACTGGCTCCGAGGCAAGGTCACCAGTGGCTTCCTCCAGGTGAGTCATTGTCGCCTTGGAGTCAAGGTCGGTGAGGTCGGCATGCTGCTGGTCGGGGAACGGAAGATTGGTGGTGGGGCCCACGACGTAGCTCATGGCGAGTATGTATTGGTCGAAAGTGAGCTGGGGTCCTGAAGATCAGTGCGGGTCACCAGGAATATTGCGGGGAAGGGTTATATATCTGGTCTGGGATGAGAGCGGAGTCCCATTATGCAGCCCCTCCCTCCCCCACACCCCCCTTTCCTATCCTCTCTTCCTCTGCCGCCCAGCGGAGTTTCTTTGATTGTGGCGGCAGCGGCAGCCACATATACCGACTACGGCGAGAAGTTGGACCGAGGACTTCAACGTTTGCTTGCATGCCACGCACCGGCGCACCGGCTATACGCTGGCTATACGCTGGGAGCTCGTATGTCACATGTCCCCCGCGCCCAAAGGCTGTGAAACCCGAAGAAGTCCCGAGTTATTCCCGAGATCGCGGATTTGTGTGTATCAATTCCGGATCCCGTAACGGTCAATCTTTTTCCCGAGATAGCTATTGCCGGCCGCGGGATTCATCAAGGTCAGCTCTCCCCGTAGGGACGGTAGGCAGTTCTAGCACTTGTTACTGTACATCATTCTCTCGAATCATGACCATCCCGGACGCATCAATTACATACCGAGGTCACCGCCGCATCGACACACCATTATCTCGGGTCATGATCATCCCGGACGCATCAATTACATACCGAGGTCACCGCCGCATTGACTTGTACCGACATGTACATATTGTAGTCACGGATGTCCAGGCCACGGCGACCCCTTCTGTCAACACAATCTCCAAGGCCCATAGCGGCCTGCGTTCTTACCTATCCTCGAGCGATTTCAATCTTCCCAGTCCTCCCAACCTCAGCCAATCAGTATGGTGAATGTCGAGAGGATCACATTCGAGCACTACGAGCCCGGCAGCGCCGTGTCCGTCCCCTCGCCCCGACTGTCGTGGCGCTTCGAGGGTCTCGATACCGATTGGAAGCAATCCGGCTACACTCTGAGCATCAAGAGGGCTTCTGGCACTCGTGAATTTTGTGTTGAATCTGATCAGTCCGTCCTCGTGCCTTGGCCCGACACTCCGCTCGCCAGTAGAGAGAAAGCCAGTGTGCAGCTTGTCGTCACTGCTTTGGACGGCAAAACCTTGCCCGCCGTCTCCGTCAACGTTCGTGTTGCTTTCCTGTCGAGCGAATGTTGGTCGGCACGGCTTATCGGGGCGCCCGTCAGCGATGCGACCAAGACGAAACCGCCTTTTCGCGTATCACGGTCGTTCAATGTCGACGACATCAAGGATGCCACATTGTATGCCACCGCTTTGGGTCTGTACGAGGTCAGCATCAATGGAGTGGTCGTTGGCGACCACGTTCTTTCTCCGGGCTGGCAGTCGTACGAGTACAGACTTGCCTATCAGGTGTACAACGTCACGTCACTGCTTCGCGTCGGGACAAACACCATAACAGCCGATGTTGGCGAGGGCTGGTATGCCGGTCGTCTCGGTTGGGCGGGTGGAGGCCGAAACATCTGGGGTCAGCAGCCGGGATTCATGGCGGCCCTGGAGGTGGACGAGAAGGTCGTCGTACAGACCGACAACACATGGGAATGCAGCAAGACCCCCATCGTCTCTGCGGAAATCTACGACGGCGAGCATATCGATACGACCAAGGGTTTCGACGACAAGACGCGAGTCGAGATCCTACCATTCCCCAAGGCTCGGCTGCACGTCCCCCAGGCGCCCCCTATGCGACGCACAGCCGAGGTGGCCGCAGTCGGTATTCTCCGCTCCCCTTCCGGCAAAACAATCATCGACTTTGGGCAGAACCTGGTGGGATGGCTCAAGTGGGCGAAGCAAGTGGACGGGACGGGCCAGGTCACGATTCGTCACGGCGAAGTACTCGAGAATGGGGAGCTGTGCGTGCGACCTCTACGCGTTTGCAAAGCGACCGACAGGGTCGACCTAGGTGGCCGCACGCAGGGACTCGAGCCCAAATTTACTTTTCACGGGTTCCGGTACGCCGAGATCGACGGCTTTCCTCGCTCGGTTGAACTGGACGACTTTGTGGCGATCGTTGTGCATACCGACTTCGAACGGACCGGCACGTTTGACTCGTCGCATCGGCTTTTGAATCAGCTTCATTCCAACGTGGTCTGGAGTATGCGCGGCAACTTTTTGTCCGTGCCGATGGACTGTCCGCAGCGCGACGAGCGGCTGGGCTGGACCGGTGATCTCGAAGCGTTCTGCCCAGCCGCGTCCTTTCTCTTCAACGCGTGTGGCACAGTGGGCGAATGGCTCGGTGACGTGGCGGCCGAACAGCTTGACTTTGGGCGCGGCATACCGCCTATGATCGTCCCCTGCATCTTCAAGGACGTCTACCTCAAAGATAATGCCCCGTCGTTCGCCATCTGGGGCGACGTGGCCGTCATCTCCCCGTTCGATCTGTATCGATCTTTCGGTGATCTCGAACTGTTGCAGACACAATACAAGAGCATGCTATCCTGGCTCGACCAAGGCGTCCGTCGGTCAGCGTCGGGTTTATGGGACCCCTCGAACCAGCAGTTGGGCGACTGGCTTGACCCGCGAGCGCCTGCCGACGATCCAGGGGCAGGCCTCACCAGTGCCCTACTCGTCGCCGATGCGTTCCTCGTCCACTCGACTCGACTTATTGCCGAGATCAGCGACCTCGTTGGGTGTCCCGAGGCCGCGATCCGCTACCGCGCTCAACACGCGCAGCTTGTCGAGGCCTTCCGTGCCGAGTACGTTACGCCGAACAGTCGCATCATGAGCGACACGCAATGCGCTTACGTCTTGGCCCTGGCGTTCGGGCTTGAGGCGGATGCAAAGCAGGCAGCCGTGTGGGGAGATCGACTGGACAGACTTGTCCGCACCGGTTGTTTCAAGGTCGGCACTGGATTCGCTGGCACGCCGCTGATACTCGGCGCCCTGGCCAAGGCGGGTAAAGTGCAGGTTGCTTATCGAATGCTATTGGAGGGGCAATGCCCTTCATGGCTTTATCCCGTCAGGTAAGTTACAGCCTGTGCTTGATGGCCTAAAGGTAGGTGCTGACAGAATCTAGTAAAGGGGCCACGACCATCTGGGAACGCTGGGACAGCATGCTGCCCAACGGCGACATCAATCCCGGCGAGATGACATCTTTCAATCATTATGCGCTCGGATCGGTAGCAACGTTCCTCCACGAAACGATCGGCGGGTTGCATCCTGTCGAGCCGGGCTGGAAGCATTTCCGCATCCAGCCGCAACCGGGAGGCAGCTTGACTCACGCCAAAGCTGGTCTCGTGACGCCTTATGGTGCCGCTGCATGTGAATGGCATCTGGATGGGGAGCGTCTCCACGTCACGGCTATCGTCCCGCCCAATACGACCGCCCACATCGTGTTGCCTGCCGTGGACAAGGTGATCGGCAGTGGAAAGCACGATTTCAATGTCCGCTGGGAAAGCGAAGAGTCTTGGCCGCCCAAGGCAATCGCCTCCCCCAACAATAGCAGCCCCGACACGGACCCTTTGTAGTAGAGCATGACATCTAGATTCAATATGAATGGAGGGTGTAGTTTAGCCGTGGCTGCATTCACTAATACTCCAAGGCAATAATGGAGGGTATGGGCAGCCCGGGCGCCTGCAGGCGGCCTATGGTATCACGACACATGTCCATAATCCACTGGAACATCGCTGATGTCCCCGCAAAAGGGTACACTGTCAATGCCAATTATCAGGCTTATAAGAGCCGTCATAACATCTGGGTAGCCATGGTATTTAATGGAATTAATACTGCTGGCGGATGGATCTTTTGGACAAATGTTGGCTGGTCTTGACAATGACTCGTATGAACGCAGTCAGACCGATGATTTCTCATGCATAGATAGCTATCAATCACTCCTTCTAATCACTTGTCTAAAGATGTCGCGCAAAAGATAAGCGGAGTGCTTGGGAATGCGCCGGAACGCGTTCTCGTGGTCAACAATCGTTAGACCGTACCGCGGTTCGTATCCCCATACCCATTCGAGGTTACTGAACGAAGTCAGCGCATTTCCTCTTATACTTTATAAGGTCAAGTCAATCCGACACAAGCAACGCACTCTAGTAGAGACCAAGCCATGTACCCCGAAATCAATATCCCATCATCGCGGACGGCTTGCACCAGTTCGCGGATGTACCCGGCGTAATACTCCTGGCGTACCACGTCGTTGATCTGATCCACTCGCGAAGCTTGGGCTTCATTGGCGACACTCATCCCGTTCTCGGTTACCATGATTGCCATGCCGGTGTCTCGTATGTACCGTTCGTTGACATAGCGAAGCAGTTTGCGAAAGCCCCAAGGTGCTGGAAAATCAGCCACCCTCATGGACGCAACACAACCACACTCACCATCAACGGGGTGTCCCATGTGACCTGTGGTGCCCAGCGGCTTTCCGTCCTTTTCAAAGATCTGGTTGGTGCAGCCGAATCCGATTATAAAGGCATGAGCGCCTTCGGATGGGACGCGCTCCCCGTCCGTCCAGCAAGTACTATAGGTGTTCAGACCGAAGCTCCGCGTTAGCTTTGATTGTACGCATCCCCCAATGATACAATTGTGCCGAGTGGACTCACAAATCAGAGCTGTGAGCGACCACCTGCCAGTCGTCGGGTGTGAAGTTGAGCTTGTACTCGCCAAGCTCGTGCTGCATCGTCTCGTTGCAACGCCCAAGATCTGCAAGCATCAGTCCCTGGCACAAACCTGATAGATCCCAGGAAAGGCTCACATATGGGGTCCGCAAACTGGTTTGTTGTTAGCATGGCATATACAGATCACTCATCGCCACGACTGGGGGACATACCAAGCTCAGATTCCAGTCCAGACGAAGCTGAGCACCGGATATGGATTTTTCAGACTCGTCGAAAGGCTCCACCCAATCGCAATTCTTGATACAGTCAGCATTGGCATATGTCCGAGAAGAAAGGCTTTTGTTGCGTTTACGGGTGCGGGCTGCCGGTGCGAGCTTGCTGGGGGCAACAAGGAGGACGTACCAACGTGATTCCAATGATGCCTTTCTGCTGAGCAGCAAATTCAGCCTTGTACAGACGATACGCGTGAGCGTGGCACAGAATGAGGGACCGCGCGAAGCTTGATGTCAGCCAGGTAGAACCCGAGACACTCACATTGCATAATCTTGTATAGGTCGCCAAGAATCTTTGAGGAGGGCGACACCGTTGAAGAGGGTGAATATTTGGGGCTTCAGGGTAAGTAAGGGCACATCTTGAGGCTTGGAGCAGGGGAACCATTCACCTCGTTGATGGTAATCCAATGCTTGACTCGGTCCCCGAGGTATTCAAAGCAGATACGTGCGTATGCGGAGAAGTCTCGAATGATATCACGGTGAGATCGAAAACCGTCATACTCATCCGCAAGACACTGTGGGAGATCCCAGTGGAAGAGTGTAACGACAGGTGTAATGCCGGCCTCCAGTAGAGCATCGATCTGGACCGTCAACCTACGCTTCTCCCCCAAGGGACCAGGGCTGCGCCTACGTCAAGCTCACCAAATCGCTGTAATACTTCATTCCGGCCTGATTCACCGGTGAGCCGGCCTTGCCTGTGGATGATCAGCATCTTCGTAGATGTGCTGAAGTGTAGACAACATACCGTGAGGCAGAATCCTCGGCCACGACAGCGAAAACCGATACGAGTTGAAGCCGTATTGTTTGAGAAGGGCAACGTCGTCGCGGAACCGATGGTACGAGTCACATGCTTGCTCACCCGAAAACGGCATTGTCCTCGTCCAAGTATCCCATACGCTGGAAGATTTGTTATCGAGATGGGCACCGCCTTCGATCTGAAAGCTGGCAGAAGCCGCTCCGTACAAGAACTCGCGAGGCAGAACGGACTGCAGCTCGCCGTCGTTAAGCACTTCTTTCGCTTTGCTAGAGTATTCGATGGCGGTCATGGCGGTTGGTGAGTTAGTTTGTAAGAGACCTGCAAAGTCGTTGAGGGCGCGACTTGTCGAGCTGTTGAAGCGCGAGAAGCCGTGCTGTCGGACATACATACATATAAGTCTGCAGCAGACCAGCCCAGTGGTATGACCGGCTTACACGGACGTAACCGGTTGTAACAACCAGCTCATGCAGCTCACTGCTCTCGGCTCAAAAGTAAACCCGATATGGCGGAAGATTATCCCGAATCCCGGATTCCGTGTCACCAAAGCTAACCTGAGCGGACAAAGCATCCTTCGTGCACATCATATGTGGACAACATCAGATGGAGGTTTCGAAGGAGGCAGGCAGAACGGGGCCCGATGGGGCCCGATGGGGCCCGGTGGCCTCTTCGAGCGAGCTCCAAGGGACACCGTCGCGGCCGCCGGGCAGAGCAGACATGTCGTCGTGAATAGTGCTCGCCCGTCGGCCGGTCGATGTCCCTTGCTCATGAGTGTCCCATGTCTAAAGTGTCCGCCATAATAGATAGGCCGAGTGTCTCGTGGGGTGTCCAAACCAGCTAGATTCGGGCCCGGTGCACCATTAGACCGAGAACTGGCCAGTACAAAAACAACACTTGAGCGTCTACGGACCTCATCTGATATCACCGTCTTTATCATTGCGACCTCGACCACGGATCCAGTTCCTACATACATCACCTACCTTTCTCACTCGGATCCCCACCAACCGTGATTATGTCGAACCCAACCTTTATGGATGCTGTCGTGTTGCTGGTGAGTTCGAGTATTCATCCCTTGATGTTGGTTGGGATGAGACTGATTGTATCCAGGGAGACTCGATTACCGAAACCAACGCCGACGGGACCTTTACCGCTCGAATTGCCGAATGGTATGGAAGAAAGATGGACGTCCTGAATCGAGGCTATGGAGGTGGGTCTCCTCTCTTCCATCTCTGCACTCTCCTTCGCGCTCCCCTGCTCGCATCCTACCTTTTGCACCACGTAGTGGCTAAAGGTTCAATGTGCTAATACGTCTAGGATTCAACACCAAAATGTACGCTCATACATTATGGCACCGGGATGTTGTGATCTAACAGTGCAGGGTGCTGCCTTTGATTCCTCAGATCTTTGGCCGTCTGGGTGAGGCGACTCAGAGGGTTCGGATGGTGGTGATTTGGCTCGGTACGTTACAAGGGGCATCATTCAGCATTGTCCTGGGCAGTTTGGTCCGCGATCCTGACCTCGACAGGAACAAACGATGCCTCTTTTGCTCCGGCGATGCAACATGTGCCTGTCGACGTCTTCAAAAAGAACTTGAAAGATATAATCACAGGCGTCCGGCAAGCTGTGCCCGATTGCGCCATCGTTCTCATCACCCCCGGGCAGATGTTTCAATCGGCTTGGAACGCTGTCATTCGTGAGTGGGTGTACGTCCTTCAAGGCAAGTCAGCCGACGAATTTGTCCCAAACCGCGATGCTCCGACCACAAAGCTTTACGTGGAAGCGGTGATGCAGGTTGGCGAAGAGGAGAATGTAGCCGCCCTGAACGCTTGGGAGTTGATGACCAATGATGCTGGCGGAGAGGATGCTCCGGGCTTGAGCTCGTACTTTACGTGAGTGGACGACTGCCGTGCCCGCCTGATCACTACGCGTCTAACCGAGGCGCATGAGCAAGATTATAGCACCAGCATGAGAGGGCGCTTGAGTGAAGGCTGACGCCTTTTAGCGATGGAATCCACATGACATCCAAAGGTTATGCCTTGATCTTCAATGCCTTCACCAAGCTGGTGGGCGAGAAATATCCCGAGTTGTACGCGGTTGGCATGAAGCGCCGGATCCCCGAGTGAGCACACTTGAACATACTTGGGGCTCAGCTGACGGCGCCAGTTGGCTTGATATCGAAAAGAACCCGGAATTGCTTTACGGGGAGGATGTGTGATACAACGGTAATCTTGTACAAAGTCCTGACCGCTGGAGATGTGAGGAGCGATCATGCATCAGGACATTTGAATGCCTCTGGTTGCACGCCGTTTGCATTCCAAAAGCGTCTTCTGCGCTCCGATATTCCTGCGGCATTTTGTGGTCAAGGCGAGATATCGATTGCAGGCATTTGTTGGCCAATAATGAACGGTGCAGATGATAGTTGGGACGCTTGATGGTCATAAGCTTGATGAATCGATAATCCCTGTCAAGTATATAATGCCTGTGATTCGGCTCTGGATTCAAAAAATGATGGAGGATAATGGATAGCTCAAGACAGAATTTCCACCACCGTCAGGTCGTGCGAATTCCAGGCGGAAAGTCGCAAATGGATATACAGAGCGGACTCTCGTCTCATGGTTACCCCGTCATTTGACAGAGCACCAACATGCGAGACTCGGTCGTTCGACCGAGATTGGATTGGTTGGATGAAGGGAAACCCCTAAAAAGCTGGCGGGAACATCCACATCGATGGCGAGTACCATGGCAACTCTATCAGTGCAGGCAGCAACGTCAGTTCCCCGCTTCCCAGAAGCAGCAGCCCATGGCGTCTGTCAGTAATACCAGGCATGCACAATGCATGGCTACAAGACACTAGCTTTAAACCTCGTTCTCCGAGTCCATACGACAGTCTATTCAAGGGAGAAGGCATTCTTGCGCGCTACACGTCAGTTAATATCCTCTCGCATGGACGCTCGGAAACATAAGTTGGGATAGGGATAAGGGCATCATGACAGAATACTCATCGTCATGAGGTCGTTGAGCAACAGGTCCTCGATGAGGAACGAGACGGCAGTGGTGTCGGAATGAGGAACAATTCATAGTAACGATATAATTATGGAAATTACAATTTAAATACTACATAGATACGAGGGCGCATTTGATACCGTGTGAGGCACACACACCAACACTTGGGTGATCTCCTCGGGCTGGGTGAGGCGGTGGGGGAAGACAACGCCGGCCTCGAGCTCTTTTTGAAAGTACGGCTTCATCGTTAGCTTGATTATTGACGCTATCGCCATGTCCGGTCTTGCAGAAGCGTCTTAAACCCACACGAGTAATCGGAGCGTATGATCTGACCGTGACAACTGATATTTACAATACGGTCGGGCCCAATTAACGCCGACTGCACCACCGCGCGATCCGCCATCCCGAAGACGGCGACTACGCCAAATCCCTCACATCGGCCCACGAACAAGAGCTCGCCTTTGTCCTCGATGCCACATCATGATCGCTGGTGTCCGAGTGACGGCCGCCTCAAAGGCTGTACACGGGACTGTTGAGATGCTCGAGACGTCTGAGCATCAGTCTGAGCATGGGAGTGCTGGGTGTGTTCAGTGTGCTCGGAGTGCTCAGAGTGCTAGGTCACTCATTGACTCCGAACAGGGTCCGAGACTCAAAACTGCTTCGGACCAACACTTGTAGTTGTTCATGCACATACAACCATTGAAACAGGGACCAGCGCGAACGGCGCCTCGCCCTACTTTGACGAGCCGCAAGACGCCCAGTCGTCGCCTGTCTCCTCGGCGAGTTCATTCGGGAAGATGTCTGTCTACTTTGCTGAAGTAGGCGAGTTCACCGAGGTGCCGTTTTTTAGAGGACACGATACAGGTCGACCTGGTGGTAGAGCGGGAGGGTTAGCAGTAGTATTCGATGTTGCACACCTGTAGGACTAAATGCGAGAACGTGTAATGATAGACAGGATATGATACCTTCGCTAGAGAACTACCAATGATGCAGTTACAAGGGCTATGCATGTACAGCGTTCTCTAGCTCATGTACAGGTGGAACCCATAGATAGGTCTGAACACTTTGAGTTGGTGGCGACCATGCTGAGAGAGTTGAGTGTGGGGAGAGTTAGTGGTCCGCGGTGGGAATTATATCCGGGGGTCGATCGGCCTGCCAAGCTTTGGGACCCCGCAAGATTGACGTCCAGGTCGCTTGGAGCAGACGACAGATACAAGAGGTGGATGTTGGCCTATTCGGTCAAATACTCCGTTCCAAGCGACGTCAGTTCCTGCTCCGTCGGAATGCTCCTAGCGCACGTCGTTGTTCGTCTCACCGGCCATTGATGTCAGGCCCCGAAGGCGTGGGAGGATCCTGATGGAGGTCCAAAGGTAGCCAAGGATGCCGAAGGGATCGTGTCCAGTCGCGGAAGATGCTACATCACGTATTATCTTCTACCCTGTGGTCAGCACGTGACCTCAGTGACATCAGTGATCAGTGACGTCCATTGCGAGTTTGGATGTCATCAGCTCTGGCGCTCTGGGCGTACAGAATGCACAGAAAGCGCACACAATTGCAGAATTGCAGAAATGCAATGCCACGTGGGAAACGGAACTATAATTCCACAATACCTCACACGCGCCATCCACATGGCTGTTGGCGTGGCCAGTTAAGGACCACCACAACGACCGCCACAACAACCTCCACTTCTTTGGCTCGTCGCCGCCCATTTCCTCGACAACCATCAATCTCATCGCCGCTCCAACCACCTCCCCACCACGTACCAGCCCCAGCCATGTCCGACTCTGAAGACGACTTCATGTCGGACAAGTTCCTCGTCGACACCCCGGCCACGACAGACACATCCTACACGGCGCGGCGCAAGCGGCAGCAACTCGAATCGCACCGCAAGGGCCAAGCCAACAACAAGCTCTCCCTCCGCGAACTCGAAGCGCAGCGGCGACGCGAGGGCCTGAATAAGAGCCTCTTTGACCTGGATGATGGCGATGGTGAAGAAGGCGATGTGTTCGCTGCGGCCGCTGCGTCTGGCTCCAGTAGCTCGAAACAACAGCAGGCAGCAACCACAAAGCCCAAGGAAGCCGGCAAGTCAAAGGCCATGGACCTCATGATGAAGATGGGCTGGAAGGTCGGCCAGGGCCTTGGACGGCGGCGAAGCGCGTCTCCTGAGCGTCAAACGTCTTCGTCTACGGCTGTAGACCGCGAGAGGGACGACGAGGACAATGCGCCGCGGGGCGGGATCGGGGCCAGTCGTGGCCGTGCAGAGCCGATCAGGATATCAATGTGGGCAGGTACGTTCAAGCTCCAGCTCCACTGGCCACTGGCTACTAGCACGCATGCTCCAGCTGAAAACGCGCTTATAACAGGCAGAAAGGGTCTGTCGGCACGTTCGCCTTCGCCACCCCCACTCCGTGGTCGCAACGATCCCCATTACCTGCCTCCGGGGCGGCACGCGGCTTTGGATTCTGCCGCGCGCTCGTTCCGTGGTAGACAAGGTGCCGAGCAGACGGCCAAGGAGACCGAGAGGAAGGAACACAAGGCGAGGCAACTGTTGGTTGACTTTGACAAAGAAAAGGAAGTCACAGTGAGTTATCCGTAGCTAGCTAGCTGGTCGCTGACATTGCCAGTTCCATCCGCTCCACGCCGAACCAGGCGACCCCTTGTCCCTCCCGCGTCCCCTCCTCAAGCTCATCTATCCGGCCCAACTCACGCCGTCGCCGGGCGCGTCCCGGTCCCCCTCGCCAGCCCTTGAGGCCGCCCCAGCCCCCTCGGCTGCAGCCCTCGCCGCAGCCGCAGCAGCCCGCGCCACCAGCGCCGTCAACATGTCTGCAGCTGTGAAACTGCGCGAACAGATGCGCAGGGACATGCTCGCAGAGATGGAGGTGAACAATGACGACGGCAGCGGCCGTGACGGGGACGTGCGCTTTGGTATCCCTGGTGCTAAAGAGCTCGCAGCTGAAATGGCCGCTGCAAAGGCCGCCAAGGAGGAAGAGGAGGCCAGCGCTGGAGTACATTGGGACGAGATGGTGTCAGGTACAAAGCGTGTCTTGTCCATGACGGTGAGTCTCTGGGGCTGTGGTGTGGTGCTATGTCGGTCCCCTTTGCTGACATTGTCCTCCCCTCTGTAGCCAGAGGAACACCTCGCCTTTCTCGTCTCGCAGCTCCGCAACGAACACCTGTTCTGCTTCTGGTGCGCGTCAAAGTACGCGAGCTTTGAGGAGATGGATGGGCCGGGCGGATGTCCTGGAGAAGCCGAAGATGACCACTAGTGCGCTAGTGCTGGTGTCCAGACGTGTCTTCGTTTACATGTGCATATGTACAAGGGTATATCCAGATGCTGGGTTTGTATAGTAATATAGGTCATGGGTGTGTGTCGTAGAGGAGAAAAGACGTTGGCGCGCAGAGTTAGAACCGCTGGGCAATGTCTGCACGCTTGGCACGTTCAGCGCGCGTGACGGCCTCCTCCATTGCCGCAAGCTGTTCGTGCAGCGCGAGGAACATGTCCGACACGGTTGTCGTCTGCAGAGCACGGCGCGTCAGATCAAACACTCTCCACAGGCTGTGTGCCCAGACTCACAAACTCGGTATACCGTTCGACAAGTGTCGCAGCCTGTGCGCGGGCCTCGCCGAGGTTCTTGCTGCGAGTCGAGACGCGCTCGGCGCCAGCATGCAGCGCAGGCTTCAGCTCGACAATGTCTGCAGTGACAAGTCAGACAAGAGGCTCTCTAAACGCACAGAGACGCACCTTCCAGACCCTCTGCACCGGCCACACCGCGCTTGGCCAGCACGTCAATCTCCCTCAACCCCCTCTCTGCGTCGATAATGTCCGCACGCGCCTCCAGGACCATGGCCGCCTGCTGCGCTTCTGGGAGCAGGTCGCGCGCGTGGACCACCTCGGCCGTCGGCTCTTTTACGTTCCCATCCTTGTCCTTCTCACTCGAGGGGTCGGTCGGAAGCGCCAGGAGGGGTGCGTAGCGGTCGTCTGCGGTGTGAGAAGTGCAGAGAGAGAGAGAGAAGGGCAAGTCCCTCAAAACGTACAGTTGTCACAGAACTGGCGCAACGCAGAGTTGGCGTCGCCCACCTCTGTCATGCGCGCCTCGAGGGCCGCGACGCGACGCGCAATTGTTGCCTGTGGCTCGTCCTCTTTGGGAGACGGAGCAGTCTTGGACGAGCGCTTGAGCTTGAGAAGCTGGACGTCGGCGTCCGACTCGTCGCCGTCGTCGTCCTGCAAGTTGAGTCTTGCGAGCTGCGAGCGGGGCACACCGAGTACGCGTGCTTCGAGTGCGCGTAGGCGGAGCTCGATGGGGAGTGGGGCTGCAGACATTGGGCTGGGGGTTTGTTTGATGGTGGAATGGACGGAGGGATGGACGATGGGACATTCGATGGACGCGCCGGCCGTGCCGTCATCGCAACCCCGTCGCTCGCCGCCGTTGTCGGGGGGCGGCTAAATCGTCGCAACTCTACAGAGGCCTCCACTTGTTGTCTCTTTCATCTCGTCCACCACCATGACCGTCCCCACAACCACCACCATGGCCCTCCAGCCCCGACAGCTCTTCGGCGGAGCTATCACAATGCCCATCCCAGTCGGATACCTGGACGCTAGGTGAGTGTGCATCCACCGTTGCAGCCGCTCCGCCCAAAGGGCATTTTCTTGGTGGCAAAACATCGCACTGCTGGGGTTTGCTTTGGTCAGCAGAAAGTGTCCATACCGGCCTGGTTCAGCTGCTTCTTGTGCCGACCAGGCATGGACATTGTTGATCACTGGAGTACACTTGCATTGGCTCTAAAGGCGTCTCCGGTCACGCTAGCTTCGCCTGTTGCCAGCTACCTGCGTTTACCTCATCCAAACTGACACCTTCCAGTGACATGCGCCAGGTGCCCGACAACCAAGAGGTCTTCCTCTCGCCCGACAGCGACACGTCTATCATTATCGAGATCCTCGCGCCTGTCGACGAGGGTGGTGCTGACCAGGACCTGTGGGAAGCTGCTACGTGAGTGTAGAGAGAGCTGCCCGGCAGCTCGCCCTCCTTTCGTTCACTCATTTGCCACCCATTTGCTGACCTCCTTCCTCTCTTCAGCTTCCACTTTGCCTCTGTCGCACACGACAACGCCGCCCTCTCATCCACCGTCATTACCACCCACCCTCCCATCCCAGCTCAGCAGCAGACTGCCGCGTCCTTTGCGGCGCTGACCAGCCCCGCGCCCGTCGCCCTCGTCGGCACCCAGCGCGTCCACAAGTTCAGCCACGACCCGACCGGCGCGCCCCGCCGCGGACACGAGAGCGACACTCCCGACGAGGTCTGGATCGCGCTCGCGCTGTACCGCGTCGACGTTGTCGTTGGCGCAAGCATCAAAAAGGCCGATGTCGTCGTCACGGCCAACGTCAACGCCTCGGCAGCCGGCGGCGCCGACGAGGTTGTCAAGGTCCAGAAGTGGCTCGACGAGAGTGCCAAGGGCTTTAAGATTGTCGACTGGGGACTCTTTGGTGACCAGTAGACAGCATCGTTAGAGTGGTAGAAGAAAGGAAGCGGAGAACGGAAGTCATTGCATGGAACCAAGCTTGCATTTTGCCCCTTCCTGGAGCTCCCGGCTCTCCTCGTCCACCACTACAGCCACCACTTATCCCAGTCTCCTCCTTCGATCCGCCTTGCCTTCTCTCGAGAATAATCTGGCCTTGTGCCGATCCTACACGATTGGAAGCCCTACGCCACACAATCACCGTCCCTCCTCATCAATACCACATGCCGCCGCCTGCCTGCCGCTGCGCGCCACCCTCACCGCCATCACAACAAACCACCACCCCAGCTCCCTGCCCATAGCCATAGCCATAGCCATAGCGACTCTGAATAAACCGAATGCATGTGGTACTGGAACAATGGGCCTATGCAACAACTACGCCAGGTATCGGTACACGCCAATGTCGTTTGTTCGTTCAAGGTACTCGCGCTGTAAGGGTCGGTCAGTGACGATGATCCCAGGTCGAGTTGAGTGACCACTACTCACATCAATGAGGCCCTCAATGCGCTTCTTGATAAGCGACATGCTCGGCTGGAAGCGGCTGCTGAGCTGGTGGGCCACCTCGGAAATGAGGTCGTTGTGGCTCATCGTCTTGCGGTCCTTCATGATACGGACAATACACGCCTGGGAGTTTGGTCAGTGCATCCTTAGGTAGCCCAAACTCACCTCCACCTGGTGCTTCCTCTCCTCATCCACCATCTCCTGTGTCTCCTCGCGCTCCTTGGGCGTCTCGACCTTGCTCGCCACCTGCATAATCTTGATGCGGGCAAGGGGACTGGTGAACCCATCGTTGAACGCAAACGTGTCGTTGGCACCGACGTCACGACCCTTGGGAGTCTTTGTCAGAACGCGGAATTTACCGCATGCCAATGACTGCAGGGTACGCTGCAAGTCGGCGTCGGCGAGGTCTGTTGCCGACTTGATCTCGTTGTAGCTCAGCACCTCATCCTCGGGCACATCCTCAAAGAGGAGAAGCACGACCAATGCCTGCGTCGAGACGTTGAGGTCGTGGCTGCGCGCCTTGAAGCGGACGCGCACGTCGGCGGTACCCAGGTTGGCTTGCCATGTAAGGCGACGACCAGAGTGGCGCGAATCATAGTACTTTTGGTACACCTCGGTCGCGCCCTTGAGCGTTCCACCAAACGAGCATGACGACGTGGCGACGATGGGTTGGGGCCAGTAACTTGCCGTGAGGACGTTAACGGTGAGCTCAAACGGTACAGCGCCGTGGCGGTTCTGGTAGTGACGGAACGTGGTCGCCGACTCGGCCGACAGACGCATGTCGGTGAACATGCCCTCGAGCTTTTGGGTAAACTGAAAGCCCATCTCGACCTTGAGCTTGGCGACCATGCCGCGCTCGGCGTCGTCCGAGACACTGCGGCCATACAGCAAACGACGGGCAAGGTGGTTCTTGTAGTATCGCTCAAACTTGTCCTTGTCGGACAGGAAGCGGAACAAGATGATCGTCTTTTCCAGCGCCTGTTCAATCTCCTCGTCACTCTTGGCCTTGGCACCCTTTTTCAAGTGCTCGTCGATGAACAGTGACAAGAACTCGGGCGCGCGGGGGTTGGCGTTGATGAACGATTGGAATGCCTGGGTGAGTCAGCTCACAGGGCTCTCACACCGTCCCAGCTTTATCTCACCTCATTGATGGACGCCTGCACTTGCTTGTCGCCTCCAAACGCCTGGTCCAGAATAATGTCAAACTTGTCCTTGAGATCCAACACGTCCTGGACCCAGCGCAGTGCCTGCGCAAGTGCCGTCGCCATGGCGCTGGGAGCCTTGGCTTTACCCTTGCCCTTTGGATCCTTGTCCTTGTCCTCGTCAACATCCATGCCAGCGTCTGCCGAACTGGCGGCACCGTCGTTGATCGCCTTTCCGCGCGCCTCGGCACTCTCGCGCAACGCGAGGCGAAGCGCATCCTTGCCGCCGTTATCGGGCACGCGCAAGAACAACGTGTACATCCGCCGCAGGTCGGGGACGCGGTCGGCATCGAGCATGGCCACCAGTCCAGTGCCGGGCATGCGCATGATGGCCTGAAGGTGTGCTGTGAGAAGGTTCTCGACCAGGAGCGCCTGCAGAGGGACCGAGGTGAGCGAGGAGAGGTAGTGCGCAGTGCGGTCGGCCTCTTCTGCAAAGCGGCGCTCGACCTGGGCGCAGGTGCGTCAGTAAAAAGTGCCCATCACCTTGTCTCGTCTCTCCTCCCCTGAGCGCGACACAGCCACCACCCCAACGACCATAAGGACCGTGCAAACTCACATTCCTGAGATACGCCGGTGCGTCACCCGTCTCAAGATATTGGACGGCCTCGAGGCGATAGAACTCTGCACTGCGACGGAGGAACTCGGGCTCAATGTCTGTTGCGTAGACTGACCGGCCACCCAAGCGCTCCGGGTTATCGAGACGGAGGAGGAAATCGACACAGTCGCGTACTGTTGAGCGCTGGATGGTATGGCCATCGCGCTCGAGTTGGACCTGGGACAGGAGCGTCGCGACCAAGTGGGTGTGAATGGGATGGTTTGTGGACCGCACAATATGGGAGAGGAAGAATACCAGTCCAACTTCGAGCGTTGTCGGGAGTCCGTTCTGCGTCGTGTAGCCCTTATCCTGCGTAGGAGACGGGTGTCAGCACGACCGTGGGTGGCCTGTTATCGCATGTACGCACCAGGTAACGCAAAATGTCCTTGATCTTGAGCATAGCACCGACGTGGTCATCCCACACACTCTTGACGGCGCGCAGGAACCGGTCACCCTCGACCGCACGTTCAACTGCCTCTGCGCCGCTACCGAGTGCGCTCGTGCCAGCGGTGCCACTGGCGCGAGGGAACGCGGGCACTATCCGCTCTTCGGCCAGTCGGTCGAGGTACTCTGCAACAATCGTCTTGAGGCCAGAGTAGAGCTGTTCGCCTTCTGTGGCCGGGGTCAGCCAAGTGTACTCCAGAATGACTGATGGCGGCGGCATACGCCAAACGCGTAGGAGGCAGCACGCAACACATGGGGTAGAATCGCAGAGGCAACAGCACCTGAGGGATATGTTCCTTCTCGCTGGGTGTGTCGCGGCGGGCGGCTTCGGAAGTGCGTGTTCTGAGACACTGAGCAGGAAGCTAACACGTACGCTTGTGGAGGACCATGTTGTACGCATAGCGGTGGTTCTCTTCAAAGGAGATCTTTGGAGCGTTCTTGTTCTGGATCTCGCGGATGGCATGAGAGAGCTTTACCCAAGTGTCCTTGAAGCTCATGTTGGAGCCTAGCTGCGGTAGAGTGTCAGCGTGTTGTGGGCGTGGGCATGGGGTCTGTGTGTGATGGACATACTCTGGGTGGTGGCCGCTGTCGGGAAAGGCGAGGAGTGTCAGCTGGTGTGCATGCATATGCGAGCCGGGAGGGGGCAGCCGTACTCACGACCTTTGGCTTGCCCCTACGGGCCGAGCCGATTGGCATGGCCATGGTGCGTGGTGATGAGAAGGAGATGAGAGTGAGAGAGAGAGTGGACGATGACGACAAACTGAATGTGGACGGCGGCGAAACAACACGGACGGCACGGGCGGCGGCAAGCTGGTGCAGCGGCCGGCTGGCTGGCTGGCTCGCGTCTCGTCCATTTCTGCACACCAACTTGTGTTTTCATCTCTCTCTCCATCTTATCCTTGGCCGTCCCACAGCGCGTCTTTCTTCTGTCGCCCTCCTCCCCCTCTTCCCCTTCTCCCGCGCACCATGGCCACCTCGGCCAACGCGCAATACGTCCTGCGTCTCGTTCTAGGCGCAGCTGCACGCCCCGCTTGGCCTCGACACTTTTCAGCCGCCGCCCTCGCTCATGGCCAAGACGCATCTATGTCGGCCGCCGCCGCTGCGGCCACCTCTGCTACAACTACCAAGGATACTGCAGTCCCCATCTCCTTTCTCGAGCCCGAAAGCGACGACTACGACACTGCGCAGTCCTTGCTCCCTTCTCGTGAACAGCACGACGCTCCGCCGGTCCCATGGCCAACAGTATTTGACCACGGCGAGGCGCGGCCCAAGTCTCACCGCCGCCACCCCTGTGACCTTCTCGCCCGTCTTGTCGCCGAAAAGCGCTTCGACTCGGCGCGTAAAGTCTACGCGGAGCTCAAGGCGCTGCACACGCCCATCAGCCAACGCCGAATCTACCTTGACGCGGCCCTCGGAGCCCTCGAGCAGCCAACAAGCGAAGGTCGCCAGGAGTTCCTTCTGTGGCTGTCTCTGTACTCGAACCGTGGCGCGACTGCCCTGCATGGCAAGTTCAAGGAGACGTGGCAGCCGATTGTCAACCGCCTGTTAGCAACGCACTTGTTGGAGGACGAAGGCTTCTTTGGTGACTTTTTAGAACTGGCTGGGCAGAAGGGTCTGCTTCCCGCCGTCATTCCACCGACGACCTTGGCGCTCGTGGCATCGACAGCTCCAGCAAGGAGCCTGGACATGTTTACCCGTGCCATTGCAGCGTATGTCGACTCAACAACAAGCAAGACATCGACGTCGGAGCGTGCCAACACTCTCCGCGCGCTTGTCATGTCGCAGGTTGAACAATACTGGAACATATACCTCCGTGCTCTTGTCATTGCTGGTTGGACCGACCATGCCAAGGCCTTGTGCGCCGACCCTCCTCTTCTCGTGGGGATGGAAGGCGAGGTCAAGGTCAAATGGGAAGCCCTCACGCTGCGGTTCGTCTCGGGCGAGGCCGTCGAGCGCAAGGAACGCGCGCTTGCCGCTCGCAAACAGGCTGACGAGGAGCTGCGGCAGAACCCAATGCTCCCCTTCAACTCCAAAATGTCTCCATCTCGCGGGCAGTCGATGAACGAACGGTGCCGAGAGGCTCTCAAGTCCGCCAACCTGCCCTACGTCTCGGTGCTGGCAGCAATCCAGCGCGACTTTCTCCTACAGGGCCAGCTCCAGCAGCTCCACACCTTTCGCAAATCATTCACTCGTGGACGCGGCGACCTTGGCACTTCCATTCTCGATACGTGGTGGTGGCACGCTGAAATTTACCGTCTGGCCGAGGACGGTCTGCACCACGACGCCGTAGCCACATTCCGCCGACACTTTTTATGGATGGGTCTCCCGCCCACCCAGATCGGTAATGAGGTCAAGGTGGAACCGCATGTCACGCTCCGCGTTCCGACCATTCAGGTCATTACGACCGTTGCCAGGTCAATCCTCGAGGTTCTGCCCAAAGAGGAACTGGGACAATGGCATAGGCGATTCCTCAGCCAGACGGTCCACTCCCCCATGCTCCAGCCGACACCCATGACCCACGTCTCTTGTGTTCGCCCCATCGCCCACCGCCTCGGTCCCACTGGCGCCTCCGAAGCACTCTACGACATCCGAATGACCGGGCAGAGACCACACATTGCGTGCTGGAACGCATACATCCTCTCTCTCGTGGGTCGCGGCGAGATTATTCGCGCCAAGCAGCTCATAAACGCCATGGAGCACCGCGAGATCTGGTACGGATTCAAACTCCCTGCCCCCGTGAGCATGACGTACACGGGTGTCGTCTGGGTCTTGCTCAAGAATGGGCGACTTGACGAGGCAATGGCCATGTTCCGAAAGTACCAAAACTTCCTCACTGAAAACGGTATGAAGCTGCCCGAAGACGTCATGTCGGCAGTGACAACAGCGCTCGCCAACAGTGAAAACAATTAGACCACACGCACCTCCATCATAGCAATCTTCTCTGCATTGTCCGCACCCTTGCATCATTCTATTGTGTTCTGTATGTGTGCATTGCCATGAGAGAGAGGGGGGACTAGTGTGTGGGTGGTGGGAGGAATTGACTGCTTCTACTACTGCTGCTGGGGCTCGGCAGGGAGCTGACCCTGCTGCGACGCCTCAATCTCCGACACGACGCGGTCCCAAGCCGCGTCACGAATGTCGTTGACCTTCTGCTGCTTGGCGCTGAGGGGGTAGCCGTACTTGAGCTCCTTGGGGGGCTTGGCGTACTCGGGAGCAGCAATACCGCGGTGCTCGCGGTAGGTCGCGTCAATGTGGGCATTGTCGGCCTCGGTCCACTGCGAGCGGAAGAGGGTGACGGCAACGACATCCTCGGCGGTCAAGTTCGAAGCTGTGAGGAAGGCGCGGAGGTCAAAGTTGTCGCGGGTGGTGGCGGCAACCGGGGTCTCGCCCTGGCGGACAACGAGGAAGACGTAACGGTGCTTGCCCGAGCCACGGGCCGGAGCGGGGGCCTCGTAGCCGAGAACCTCGTTACCGGCAGCAGAGAAGAGGTTGGTCTCGCCGGAGAGGACCGAGAGGGGAATGTCAGTCTTGGCGTAGTGGACACGCTGGGCAAACGCGAGGGCCTCGTGGTTGGGGCTGTCGGGGTCGATGACAAGAAGAGTAAACTTGGCCTCGGGAGCAGGGGAGGCAGCAGTGGCCTCAGCCGGGTGCTCAAAGAGCTGGACGGTGGTCGTAGGAGGGGCGGCAAAGGCAGACGATGAAAGGATGGTGCCAGCCTCGACGGGGGACTCGGCAGTCGAGATGCGGAGAGCGGCCTTGGGCTTGTGGTCGGGAATCAAGTCCGGGACCACGCCAAGCTGCATCACACGCTCCATGACGAGGTCGAGCTCGCCCTCCTTGCGCCAAGCACGCTCGGCGAGCGAACGCATGACAGCACGGCCCATGTGGCCCTTGCCAGCAGTCTGGCGGAAGAGGCGACGTGTAGCGGGGTCGTTGACAAACGCGTCAATCTCGAGACGAGCTATCCTGCGTGCAATCTCATCAGAAGGCGAGGCAGCGGCCTTGGCGCGGAGGGTCTCGAGACGCTTCTGAAGGACGGCGTTGTCCTGGTTGAGGTACTCGAGGGCCAGGTCGTACGCGGGTTCGGCGCCGGCCGGGAGAGCAGGCTCAAAGGCGGCAGGAGCGGCGGCCGAGGCGGTGGACGAGTAGCGCACGAGACGCGAAGGTCCCGGGGCAGCGAGCCTCCGTGCGACGATGCGGGCGGACATGATGGTGAGCTCGGTGAGATGGACGACGACGAAGAGATGCTCTAAAACAGAATGAAGACCCGAACTTTTCCTGTTGGCTGTGGGCAGGTAGCAAGTTTCAGTTTACGTAAATGTGGTATTTAGTTTACGTAAGCTCTCCGCAACCCCCGTGGGCGGAGCTGTCTGATGGCGAGCAACCCCCACTCACCGGCGAGCAGGGACACTTTTGTCACCACTGTCCACATCGTTGTTCTTCCTGCTTTCATCAGACCCATCTTCGTCGCCGTCGCCGCCGTCACACGCCGCACAGACATGCTCCCAGAACAAGACGCTCTGGCCCCGCCCTCCTCCAGTTCTCTCAAACGCCCTCGCCCAGAGCCCCCTTCCCCCTCGTCGTCCTCGTCGCCGAAACGCGCTGCCTCCGAGGACGCTGCTCTCGCCGCCACCGACGCGTCCTCGGCTCATCTCTCTCAGCCCACCACTACCCATTTTCCCTCGTCCCCGCTCGGCATGGGCATGGACTGCGACGACGAGCAAGGCTCCGGTAGCTGGGTTGCCCGTACTGGTCAAGTCTCCCTCAGCGAGGACGCTGGCGCGGCTGCTGCTGCTGCTCCCGGAACCGACGCTCAAGAAGAGGCCAGCACTGAGAATGGCAATGTGCCTCTGCGCTCTGAGGGTGTTGGCCTGCTAGACTCTGTGCTCGGTGCGTCAAGAGCTCACAACAAGTGCTGACCATTCCCCCTTAGGCGCGATCCCACCCCCCTTCACTCCTCATTCATTCTTTTACCTCGTGCCCAAGACGTTCCTCGACGCGCTCAAGGGCTATGCGTTAGGAGGTGACACCACCCCGCCTGCGCTTGACCTCTCGTCGCTCATCGAACCTGGCACCGATGTTGACGTCCACTCGCTCGTGAGCGGCAAAGTTCACTTTTGGCCAATCCGACAGGGCCTAGTTGAAGACGTAGATTTCATCTATGTCGCCGCCGACGGCTGGGACGCTCTCACCAAGTGGTACAAGTACCCCGACACTGCACCTGCTCTTCCCCGTCTCTGTCTCGCCGACGGGCGTATCGAGATTGCCCCCAACGGATACCGTCTCCATGTTGCTACGTCAGCGCTGTCCGTTCCCGTCCCACCCGCCACCCCAGCCGCTCCTCTGATCATCACTGCTCCGAGCAGCACCACCACCCAAAAGCTGCGCGAGTTCATTCGCACTATTGTCGGCGACCGCCAAGCTCTGGGCACCCCACTCCGTCTGTTCACTCTGGACCAGTCCGACGACATTGAGACTCTGGAGGTCGACATCAAGGACATGCCCAAGATCACGGCTCGCCTGTTGAAGAACGACACCCTCCATCAGCTGGGCATGTGCAACGGTGACGCGATCATTGTTGAGTTTGCGACGCTCGCAGGCAACAATTATGCAGTGCACACCGAGGCTGATGGCCTTGCCATTGACAAGCCTGCTGCACCCGCACCGCTGTTTGCAAAGCCTGCCTTCTACTCGGGCAATGGTACCCCGGCCGAGGCTGCTACGTCCAACAACCTCCTTGCCCTTGCGAACGCAAAGCCCCAGACCCGTGCCATGACGCGCGGTAGCAAGGGCCGCGGCCTTGTCGGTCTGAACAACCTGGGCAACACGTGTTTCCTCGCATCGGCCACACAGTGTCTTTCCAACACTCAAGTCCTCGCCGACTACTTTTTGTGTACGTCATTCCTTTGTGTGTTTGTTGAATTTAAAGCTAACCTTCTTCGTGCAGCTGGTGTATATCAAGAGGAGCTTAACCCGGACAATCCGCTCGGTATGCATGGCCAGGTGGCCGAAGCGTTTGGCGAGGTCGTCGAGACCCTCTGGAACTCGCAGCCTCACTCATCGTACTCTCCTCGCCGTCTCAAGACTACTTGCTCCCGCTTTGCGCCCCAGTTTGCTGGTTATGGACAGCACGACACGCAAGAGTTCCTGGCATTCCTTCTTGACGGTCTCCACGAAGACTTGAACCGCATCAAAAAGAAGCCGTACATTGAAAAGCCGGACTGGGTGCCTGGCGGTGGCGACAAGGAGCTCGCAGAGCTCGGCAAGGAGTGCTGGGAGGGCTACAAGAAGCGTAACGACTCGGTTATTGTCGACCTCTTCCAGGGCCAGCTGCAGAGTACGCTCGTGTGCCCCGAGTGCCACAAGGAGTCGATCACCCTCGATCCCTTCATGTACCTCACCGTTCCCTTGCCCATCTCCCAGACGCGTACTTTCAAGCTCATCTTCTTCCCCAAAGATGTCGAAAAGCCTCCCGTCAACGTCCATCTCCTTGTCCCTGCGAACGCGTCTTTCCAGGCTCTCAAGGACAAGCTCGGCAAGCTCGTCGGCGCTCCCGGAGGCAACATTATTGGCTTTGACCTGTGGAAGGGCAGCATCTACTCGTGGTGGCTCGACTCGGACCCCAACTCGGAAGCCAAGGACAGTGACGTCGCGGTCTTCCACGAGCTCGCTGCCCCCGTCACCGCTACGCACAAGGCTGTCTGCACCGTCGCCACTGACGGCTCGGTCACAGTACCCGTCTACACGTTTTCGCCTCACGAGCAACCTCGCAGCTCGTACCAGCGCGACACCACCCCGAACGAGTGCAACCTCGAGCCCTTCTTCGTCACTCTATCGCGTGCCGAGGCTACAGACCCTGCTGCTGTCCGTATGGCCATTGTCAAGGGCTACTCGCGTCTCGTGAAGCCCGAGAAGAAGTCGGCCCTATTTGTGCCTGCTGGCAACCCCGAGGCTATGGAGGTGGAGGAGGAAGAGGAAGAGGAGGTTGCCGACATTCACATCGACGAGTCAAGCTCTGCTGCGGAGCCTTCGGTCGGCCACCTCGCCCCTCCCTCTCCTGCTACTGCTACTGCTACTCCGGCTATTGCTGCTATCCAGCGCAACTCGAGCTCGCACTCACTCTCGTCACAGAGTGGCCATCCTCTTGTCGCCGCCGGAGGTCTGTTCAAGGTCCACGTTGCCGACGCATCATCAACGGACAACACTGGCGGCATGTTCAGCAGCTTCCGCAAGAGTGACCCCAATGAACACAACATTTGGAAGGGTACGCCCCAGCGGGCGTCTAGCAGCTGGTCATCGCTGGACAAGCGTGGCCGTGCAAAGCGTCACGTTCTCCAACGCATCGGCTCCTCCATCTCTAGCCTTGTCGGGTCGGCTGCCAACTCGGACGACGAGGGTGGTGACCACGAGACCACCCCAGCCGCGGCCGCCATCATCCGCCCTGGCGAGGCCATCTTTGTCGAGTGGCCTCAGGCTTCCTTTGGCGAGTTCTTTGTCACCCAGCGCGACTCGCTTATCCGCAACCTCGACCTCGTCATTGACCCAGCTATCGCCAAGGATGCTGCCAAGAAGCGCGAGGGTCGCTCAATTTCCCTCGATGACTGCCTGGACGAGTTTAGCAAGGAGGAGACTCTGGGCCAGGACGACCTGTGGTACTGTCCTCAGTGCAAGAAGCACCAGGCCGCGACCAAAAAACTCGACATTTACAAGGCTCCCGACATTCTTGTCATTTGCATCAAGCGTTTCGGCAGCAGCAGGACGATGCGCGACAAGCTCGACCACATGGTCAACTTCCCCATTGACGGTCTGGACCTGGACGAGCGTGTGGGCGAGCGCCGCGTGACAAAGACGCTCAACCTCACCGATGAGGAAGCTCACCACTATGGTATCGAGCATTCCACCGAGCCCTTCATCTACGACTTGTACGCCGTTGACAACCACTTTGGCGGTCTTGGTGGTGGTCACTACACTGCCTTTTGCCGCAACGCAGAGGACAACCACTGGTACAACTATGACGACTCGCGCGTGTCCAAAGCGTCCGAGGAGTCGGTTCAGAGCCGTGCAGCATACCTGCTTTTCTACCGCAGACGCACGGAGCGCCGCATCGGTGGTATCTCGCGCATCAAGGCCGAGGAGGCCAGCCGTGCAGCTACCCCTCAGCCAAGCGTGCCTGCCTCGCCCGTGATCGGACCCAGCGTCCCAGCGTCTGCCATGGCCTCTGCTGTCGCCTCGTTCCCCGGCACCCCGTCGCAGCCCTCGCCTACGCTGAGCTCCAACTCGAGCCTCGCTTCCAGCTCGCCCCGTCAGTCGCCCGCCGACCTCGCGAGCGCCGGCGCGGCCGTGGGCTTTGGCAACACTGCCTGGGGCTCTGGAAATACCAGCATCAGCCCCGTCAAACACAACTTTGGCGCATCGCTGCCCACGCCCGACTCGAGTGACGACGAATTTGTCCCCATCCAGTCGACTGGTACTACGGCATCGGTTGTCGAGTCTGTCCCCACGTCGCTTGCCGCTAGCGCGACAACTGCCAGCACGAGCACCGGTGCCAACGAGACTGGTCTTGGCGAGGAGTACGCTGTGATTAGGAGCGACACCAGTGACGCCGAAATGGTTAGCGTTCCTCGTAGCCCCCAGAGCGAGGAGGGTGCGTAAACCGGTTCCGAAAGGTTATTGTATCTTCTTCTTTTTTTTCGTTTCAAAGGAAGAGAGAGCGACAAGCATGCGGAGAGGGGGCAGCATGTGGACGTCGCTAGACGACGCATGTACTACTGTAACACAACACATTGATGCATGGCTGAACAGGACACTGTGCGTCTAGGTTTGTCTATTGTTGGCTGTGAGATTAAGGAGATTATGTGGCTAAGAGGACGGTGACACGGCGCGTGGGTCGTCGGCTGGCAGGCTCTTGACGATACCACTGTCCAGAACCGAGAGCACGCCTTGGACTTGGGGTCCTGAATGCGACCTGCAGAGATTGTCAGATATCACCCTTCCGAGGCTCCATTCCCAACTCACTCAAGATACTGATCCAAGAAAGCACGCAGCACGGGTCCGGCGCGAGTATCCATCTTGTCCACGCCCTCGGTATCGTCCGCCCGGCTTGGACCTTGGCTGATCATCAACACGGGTTTGCCGGCCTCGCGCGCAGCCTTGATGAGTCGGAAGGCAGAGTACGTTGCCAACGAAGTGCCCAGGACAAGTAGGCGGGAAGCATTGTGCACGAGGTTGAACCTGAGCGTTAGCGAGCGTGAGCCGGAGCATAACGCACGACTGATCCTTGACGGCAACAGGTAGGGTTTCGCCAAAGAAGATGACGTTGGGCTTGACCTGGGGGAGAAATGACATGTCAGCTGAGCGATAGACATGAAATAGACAGACTCACGACCGAGTGGTCCTCACCCAAAGCTGTGCACTCTGCACACGTTGGAACAGTGAAATGTGTATAGTCGGCGCCTGGCAGCTCAACGTCACCGTCGGGGTTGGTGCGTGGCTTCCTGGGCCTGTTAGTCATGGATCTCGGCAAGTGCACCCCCCAGCCAGATCACGCCAGCTTGAGATGGGGGAGTGACGGTTTGGGCGGCGTTGACGATAGACAACCACCGATCACTTCCAAACTCTCCAACTCACTGTCCCGTCTCCTCCATCATCTTGGCCGTCTCATCCCACACAGGGTTCTCCTCTGCCAACTGCATTTGCCAGGCATCACGTGTCTGTTCGTGATAGTGCGCCATGCAGTGCACTCGCGCGAGGGTGCCGTGGAGCTCAAGGACAGGGTCGGAGGGATCCAAGTGGGGTCCAATGTGGGTTGCCGAGGTCGAAGAACTTGGGCTGCCGGTGGGACCGGAGCCCGAGGAAGAGGGGAAGGGTGACGGCGAGGTAGGTGATGAAGATCCAGAAGGAGAGTTCCGCGCCACGGCAGCCTGGACCCGGGCCAACGCCTTGCGATGGAGGTTGTCGACATTCTGAGTGATCAGATGCGGCGCAAGGCCAAGGGCTTGGAGGGAGGCGAGGTAGATGTGGTTTGGGTTGGGCTGCGCGTCGCGCACTGGCGGGTACTGTAGGTGAGAATGATCACCATAGTGACAGGAGGGTGAGTGGAGTTTGATACGGGCATGTGATGGGTTGAGAGAATGAGATGGCTCCGTCAGCGCGGGCCCATAACGAGGAGCACTGCTACTTACGCCGAGGAACGAACGTGCCCAGTCTGTCAGTCAGCACCCGCATACACCTCGCTCAGCGTCGACCTACATCTTCTCCTGTTCTCATCAGTTTTCACGCCAAAACAAGGAACTCGCAGCTGTTACGTACCTAAACATCTGCCCGCGTGGAGCATCCTCCACCAGCTGGCCGAAGAAGATGGGCCTGTTCGTGCCATGTCAGCGCACACTTTTCCTCCCCGGCCGGCTCCACTCACTGGTAATTCGGGTTGCTATAGCTACCCTCTTTACCTCTATATGCCCTGATCCCCGAATCGACCGACACGCCAGCACCGGTAATCACCAATGTCTGTCCCCTTCCGTCGGCGAGAAACTCGCCCAGGTGCTTGGCTTGGTCAGCCAACGGTAAGCGGGTGAGGGCATTCGGGGGGCCGGCGGGACGGATGGGGAGGTTGGGGATAGATATGCGGACCATTGCTGTTGATGGTAGAGGTGGGTGGGGGTATATACCCGGGAAGCAAAGTGGGGAACACTGTGAGTTTGTGTAAAGTGGACCAACGCAGGTGGAGGTGTGATCGACGCGCAATCAGCACCCGCGCACGGGATTCAGGAAGGGTGTGGCATTTGGCAACCTATCCGCTCGTATCACTCTTAACTCAAAACTAGTTACATGACCGCCCTTGAGCGACATGAGCGGCGTCCTGACATAGCAATGTCACGCAGACGACACCCTGGCCATGTACTGTACTGTACCCGCTGCACATACGAACCCAGCCAGAGAGATTCCAGAAGGAGTGAAACCCCACTTTGCAACTGTGGCAGACGACCTTCCTATCGTTCTCACCAATCTATATAATGCATCGGGCATACAGTGGGCCACATTGGCAGGTGCACAGCGGCTACACATATGGGCGCCGGAACACGGTACTACTACTTCTGACTTCTAAACATGTTTGTTTGCTCTCTCTCTCTCTCGCATCGTATATGTATTCTCTTAATTGGTTCGAAGGGGGTCGGTAGTGGCGGCAGAATCGTCTGCCAGCTCAAGGAGGGGCGAAGTGGTCGAAATGTTGTTGGGTTGGGGTCGCGGTGGTATGGTACAAGTTGCGGGAGGAGATTCGATGCAGGTTGAGACACGGAGCCGTTCGTGGACGGCCGCAAAAATGGTCCATTCGAAGCAAAAGGAAAAGATGAAAAGGTCGAAGAAGGTTGGGGTTGAACGGATCGCCAGCGACGCGCTCAGCTCCCCAAGGCCTTGCACGCGCGCGCTCTAGGCGTCGCCCATAACCACGTCGCCCTCACCATCGAGACCACCCAAGGCGGGACGGAGAGTGCTGCCAGTTCCAGCAAGAACGTCGACGAGCCAGCGGGGGTCCTCAGGGGCGAGAGCGGCACCACCAGTGAGGGTGCGCTGGATGATGGGGTGCTCGACAATGTGCTCGATGGACGGACGCTGCTGGGGGTCGGCGTTCATGCAGCTCACAATCAAGTCGGTGAGAGCAGGCGACAGCGGCGAGAGGTCGAGCCAGGTGAAGTTGTTCTCGCGAAGAGCGTGCCACGAGGGTCCGCCGTCGGGGAGGTAAATATTCATTGCCGACTCGAGGACCACCAGGCCAAAGCTGAAAATGTCGGCCGCCATGACAAAGACACCGCGGAGCATCTCGGGCGGCATGTAAATGCGGTCACCCTCGCGCTCAAGCTTGTCCTCCTTCCAGACACCAATGGAGCCACCGAGGCCAGAGCCCTCGATGATTTCGGCAGGGCTCAGGCGTGGCCATCGGGTGGCCAGGCCAAAGTCTGCAAGTTTGAGGGTTCGGTCGGCAGCGACAAGAATGTTGTCGGGCTTGATGTCAAAGTGGATGACGCCGTGCGAGTGAATGTGGTGGATACCGTCCGAGAGATCACGGACCATCTTCCACACGCGGGCCTCGTCCAGGCGCTCATTCTCGTGGCCAAAGACCTCGAGGAAGGCAGCAAGCGAACCAACACACGCCTCAGTCTGGATGTACAGCTGGCGGTTCTGCTCCCAGGCGTCGACAAAGCGGATAATGTGTGGGTTGGGGTCCTTTGACAGGTGGCGCAAAACGTCAATCTCCTCGAGATGACGAAGACGGTCCATGACCCCGTCAAAGACGCCACGGGTCTTCTTGACGGCGTAGACACCGTCTCCAAAGCGCTCCTGGACCTGGAGGACAGTCGAAAAGGCTCCCTTGCCGAGGGGGTGCATCACAACAAAGCGCGACTCGAAAATGTCGTCCTCTTCGGGAAGGTTGGGTGGCGCTACTGGGTGCGATTGGCGGTGGCGAACACGGCGACTCTTCGTTGTGCCAAAGGTAGGGAGGGAAAGGCGAGGGACAACACCAGTGTCCTTTGGCTGGGTGTTTGGGGCCATGAGCATCGAAACGGCCTTGGGAGACGGTGTCGGAGTGCCACCATACGACGATGACATGGCATGGCGGTCACTACCGCCCTTGGTTGGGGTGCCCTCGTCCTCGGAGCACTCGAGGCTGCTGCTACCGCCAGTGCTTCCGAGACGACGGAGCAGGTTGAGGCGAGTGGCAACTTGGGGAGCCTTGGATGCTGAACCGAGGTGAGTGGTCGGCGACGCCTCGTCGGTGTCCATGGCGCTGTCGGGTGACGACGTGGTGGTCACGGTCAAGTGGGGGACATTGCCCAAGGCTTTACGGGTAGAGGGAGGTGGGAAGAATGGGGTAGCGCTAAAGACGGCCGATGGGGATCCGTCTGATCCTAGAACAGGCTGGGAAATGGACATGACAACACGGCCAGAGCTGCGTGGGTGGGTAAGGTTGAAGGCGTTGCGCTTGACAGGGGTACCGGGCATGGTGAGCTTGTCATCACCGTGGACGCCAAAGTTGGTCAACTTGCTTGCAAGGGTCGGCTCGGGCTGCGAGGCAAGCATAGCTGCAGCGAGCATCTCGGCCTCGGCTTCGTCGCCGTCTGGACGGTGGCCAAGGGAGCGGGCACGTTTGACCGACGGTCCAGCCACTGGCAAAGTGTTGACACGCAAAACAGAAGGTGGAGGCATCTTGACACGGTCTTCCTCGGCGGTGGTAACCGTAAGGTTTGAACTGGACGAGTCGCGTGGCTTAAACTTTTGCTTGATGCCCGACGCCGCAGCCTCAAACACTTCGGGGTTGGGCTTTACATTTTCAAACATGGACTCGGCTGATGCGGGTGGGGTAATACTTGTGGTCGACGAAGACGAGATGGATGAATTCGAGGTCGAAAAGTCGGGCATGGGCGCCAACCCTTGGGACAGAGAAAGCGAGAGGCCAGACTTGTGTCCGACTGAACGTGAGATGCTCTGTTCAGACAGGGGTCCTGCGCTTCGTCGTTGGCGACCTGAAAAGCCGACAGGGAGGTTACCAAGAGACGAACGGGGCTTGCGTCCATGCACAAATGCCGATCCAAACGGAGAGTCGCCGACGTTGTCGACCTGAATGTCACCAAGTGAGACTGCCTTCTTCTGTGCCAGACCTCCTGCGCGATCGTTTGCCTTGCGCGGGCGAATAGGGTGCGACACGGACAGGCGAGGTATCCTCGTGGTGTTTGGCATGCGCCATGGACTGCAGTCCTGTGACTGGGATGTGCGGAGAGTTGTGAAAAGCGGAGTATGGGACACTTGAGAGTGGAGAGGGATAGGTGGCTCGTCGTGATCGTCAAGGACGAGCGACTGGTGGCGCGCACTCCCCGGGGATCCACGCGCCTTGGGCGAGAAGAGGTCGTCCCGGGAACGTGCGGCAGCAAGACTACGGCTATGGCCTGGGACGTGACGGATGGGGCTGTCATCGTCTGCCAGTCGGAGCTTGGCGGCTGCAGTGGCCATGTTGTACGCCGGGGTGGGGCTATCGGCTGGGACGGGCGAGGACGATCCAGCGTCCTTGTCTCCGCCCTTGCTCGGCGAGTAGGCCATGATTTGGAGAGAGGGGGGTCCCGGGCGGGGTGACGAGATGACAAAGTCATAGTCGTGGTTGCGCGGCGAGGGGGATGGAGACAACTTGTGTTTACCCTTTATCGACGAAGCCGGCGACCGAAAGCTCGTAGGAGGTGGAGCTTGGAAGCCCCCGGTACGGAAGGGGTTGGCAGTCGACTCTGCCGGTGTGGAGAGGGCGCCTTCGGTTGCACCGGCCACGGCCAGCGCAGCGAGCGAGGTAGTCGAAGGCATGAACCAGGACGCGGGGCGCTGTGTTGTCCTACGCGGGCGCAGGACGGCAGACGAGCCCTCGGCCATGTTGACGTCGTAGGGCATTGTTGTGCGAGTTTGCGTCGAGTGGTGGTTTCAAATGCGCCTGGTTTGTAGGCGCGCCAGCGGGAAAGAGTCGAGAGGGGGAGAGCGAGGAGGTACAGCCGAGGGAAGGGGAGGGCCGGAGGGGTTTACAAGGATACGTTGCGGGAGTGGATGAGTTGACAGGAGGAGGGAAGGCGCGTTTGCTGTCTGGGAAGGAAGGAGAGGGAGAGGGGGGTGCTCTCCTTTGCCGCTTTTAAATCGGCGCGCGCAGGCGGTATGGGACAGGTATAGGCGACTGGCTGGTGTGGGGATGGGCCGAGGGCGGGGGGTGTGCTGTAGGGAGACGAGGTGTGGGTGTAGAGTGTAGGGATGGATGGGGATGGATGGATGGATGGAGGTGTTGCAAGAACAAGAGACACACGGGGGGGGGGGGGGGGGTGAAGAAGAGAAGAACGGCGTAGGTGGCCACGAGAGTGTTTGTCTTCCCTCTGGGCCCTCTGGGCGCACGCCCGCGCGGTGGTGAGTATGGTATTACGTAACCATAAAACGTGAAAAGGAAAGTCACTCGCGTCAGCGCCTCTCCCTCTCTCCCTGTGCTCTCCCCCTTTTGTGCCAGGCACACACCAAACCTCTCACCCCGCCAGTGACACCACACAAATGGGCTCCACTCATCCAGCTCTTGAGACCACCATCATCTCTCTCTCTCATGCACTATACTGTACTGACAAGGTTTGGGTCGGACATGGAGTAGGCAGGGCAAAGGCAAAAACAAGGAGAGTCATAGGCGTCGCATCGGTATGCGCATCCAAACCGCGGACGTCAACTACACAACGCACCCCTGGCTCTGCCTGACACGTCGATCGAGAGAGAGAGAGAGAGAGAGAGAGGTATGGCTCGCTCTCTCCTGGGCGTGACGACATCCCCGCTTGCACAGCAACATTGCAGACAAGGGGAACCGTAGGTCTCTGACACAAAGGAGCACTGGGGACCACCACATACTACGTCTCGGCCCGCACCCCACATAGGCTCTCTCCTAGCCTCGTTTGCCAGCAGAATGCTGGAATGGACGGTGGGTGGGGATCAGGCGGGAAACCTTGTTTGGGCAGATTGGCCAACGAGGCCAACGACAGTAGTGACAACAACATGGACAACGTATACCGCGTAGATAATGCACGCACGTTCTCTCTCTGTCTCTCTCTCTCCATCTGTCCCGCCTGCATGTCGCTCGCAGCCATCGGTAGATGGGCACCTGAGAATACAGCCCACGCATCATCACTACTGGCACGCGTCCCGCTACCGTCCATCAGCGGTCAGCGCCAGGCAGCAGCAGGAACCAACAGAGATCAGAGATCAGAGACTCGGCTGTGAGCCGCTGATGGCATCGAGAGCGGCCATGAAACGCGTCAAACAGGTCACATCTGGCCAAAGTGGCCACCAATTATCTGCCATCAATAGACACCCAGCGCCACAATCACGCGCGGTTGCCGCACTGTCATGATGGTGCACACCCGGACATTCACTCGACCATGGCGTCGAACACGGCTTGCAGTATAGGGACCAGGCGCATGTCACCCCACGCCTGCAAGCCGGCGACTAACTCGTCATGTCCCAGGTTCGCTCAAAGGGTGTGTCTGTGGATCTGTGGCTTTCTCCCTCTCCGCGTGTATCTGCCGCGGGCTGTCATCCATTTCGGCCGACCGCTATAACAGTCAAGCATACGCCGCCAGCGGCCCGGAATCGCCAACTATTGCATTGTCCACAGGCAAATAACAGGGAGGAGGAGGAGACCAGGCCCCTCCCCCCCCGGGGGCCGTCGTCGCAAAGGGCTTGCGGTGCCAACGGCCGTGCGTACAGGGTGTGCCACGGAATGTACTGCCAATGTCACCGTGATTTGGCACAGTGCACGGTGCTCGCGGCTGTCAAGAGATGGTCAACTAACAACCGCGTGCTTGTCCAAGCGTGCATCAGCTTGCTGCTGGTTCGAAAGCGAGAAAGTGCGAGACAATAACCGTACAACCGTTGTTCAAAGGCCCGGTTGTGTGTGTTTTTCTGTCTCATCGTTCCTTGGGTTCCCTTGGACCGGATTCAACGGCACGGGCTTTGCATTTCCACTGATACCGGCTTTGTTTCTTCTAGCTGCGCCAGCTGCTCTGGCACACGGTCTTACCAGGTACAGCTTACACACTCCTCCCAATCGTCAGATGTGATGATGAGAGCAAGGTGGACGCACATACTCTACCTGCGGCAGGTACCGGTATCATAACCCATAGACATGACGAACATACGTAGAGCTGACACCCCCCCCCCTGGTTTAATGTGAGGTCGTCTGATGGGGATCTCGAGCTGGAAAGGTTCAACAGATGTAACGTTGTGACTAAGAAAATATATCCAGCAGATTACGATTACGAGTAGGATATTGCGTGCTGCTGGCCACCAAGTATCTGCGGACTTACACCCATGACGAGGACCAGAATCGCCCCTTAGACGGGTTTTGATAGAAGGTGAGCTACACAGACGAGTAGGCCTGGCGTGAACAGTAGGTGTGGCGGGATATGGTTAGAACAATACCGTGCCACCCACCACCTTTTTCGTGTCGGTTACCAGCCTATAACAATGCAATGTGGAACATGGGTATCCTGGTAACATGACTTCGTGGCAGCACTCAGTGAGACATTGTGGCCATTCGGTTCACGGTACGACATACAGGCGGTGAGTATATGAGATGACACAAAAACAAACAACCCGCAAAACAAAGCAAAGCAATAATGTGACCAGATTTGCGTTGTCATTATTGGTCCTCAGACCGGACATGCCTCTGGGCCTAGTTGTTGTCCTTCCCATTCGCGATCCAGCTTTTTTTTGGCCTCTTAGGCTACCTATAAATCGCTGTAGCGGCTACCCAACAAGTAGACATTCACGTTGCAAGAACAGCTGTGGCTTGAAAACAGTCCGCTGCCATGGCGTGTCGGTGCCACGCGCACCTGGGTGTGGCGTCCGCCAGACCGTGTTGTGGGTCAGTGGCGTGAAGATCTTGTCAAACTGTTGGGTCTCTGCGGCCGAGACGTGGCGTTCCACGCCGTACCGGTGTGTGCCAGGTGCGGGTCGCAGCAGGTGGCCAAAGGGCTTTGCTTATGGAGGCATGGATGGCACGTTGGCATTGTTGACCGACGTCGACAAACGAATTGTTGCGACAGAGATGGCTTCCTATTCACCTAGCAAGGGAGGGACGCACAACTGCTGTGCTGTTCAGATGCGAGAGAATGCACAAGAGGCCTCTGTGGCCTAGGGCCGATGAGTGCCAAGGTCAACGAGTTCCAAACGACTTCTGGTCATACCAGGGACCACGCTTCTGGGTAAGATGTGCATGATATGTGGTTTCTTTGCGCGCCGTATGTATCTCGGCGCGGTGACTATGGTACTACTACTCGTTTAATTGATGACTAATGGTTCTTGTGACTCGTTCTACTGTGACAACATTACAGGCTACGATGTTGGAATTGTGGCAAGTGGTGGGGAGGGCTGGATGAACAACCGTGTGTGGTGAGGCCCGCTGTGGCAGGGCTGGAGACGCGTGCCCGGCTCGAACTAGAGCGTGACCTACAGCTCGATGCTCACAAGCGCCCATCGCCTAGCGTCCCACTCCCAGTCGCCAACGGACGCGCCCGGACGGACGGGTGTGCCGCCAACGAACATAAGCGCGTGCATGAGCTCGGCGAGGGGTGCGGGTTCACGCTCGTCCTTGTCGAGGACAAGCAGGAGCTGAGTGGCCTCGAGCGTGTCGGCCAGATCAAGGAGTGCGGTGAGGCTCTCGCGAATGTCGAGGCCCGTCTGCGGGGGCGGACTGGGGGCACGCGGGTGCGGGCGACGCGGGTCGTAAGGACGCAGCACATCTGAAAAGTGCGGCGCGAGTGGTTCCGGCGCTGGTGCGCTCAGAGTTGGCGGAAGATGGACAAACACCAGGCGACCCGCAGAGTCATCGTCGGCGACAAAGCCTTTCAACACCGTGTCTGGCGGGGTGACAATCTCCAGCATGCTAGAGACCGAGGCAACTTCCGACGAGGCGTAAGGGAACACCGAGGCAATGAGCGGGAGGACAGGCGCACAACGGCTTGTGCGTGTTGTGGAGGATGAGGAGGACGAGGAGCGAGCAAACGGCCTCGCCAGGCTGTTGCTGTTGTTGTTGTTGTTGCTGCTGGACGACACGCTTGCTGTGGGGGAGGGCGGGAGAGTTGTGGTGTTGGAGAAGGAGGTGAGGGGCGGGCGAGGAATGTGGACGCCGTCACCGAGCGAGCTCGGCGGCGTGAGGGGATAGGTTTCGTTGTGGTGAGCGGGCGGGTAGGCCTTGCCGCCAAACATGTCAGGCGGGTTCCCCCCGCCCGCCTCAAACCCACTGCCTGCCCCCAGTACCCATCGTCGAGCAGGAGCCCTGGGACGTGCCCAGGGCCTCATCGATGTAGGTGTAGGTGTTTCCGCCGACGCCGCCTGCGCGAGCGAGAGCGAGGGCGTTGGGAGTTTGCGATGCGGTTGCGGAGAAGAGCCACGGCATGTCGGTGGCGTGGGTTGATGCGGCGATATTCATGATAAGCAGCAGACGAGCGTGCGTCGTGAGGCAAGGGCTCCGAGGCTGAGGGGTTGCGCTGTGGCGAGTGATGGGCCGCGAATGGGGGCCGTGGAGGACGATGTAGGTGGTGGTTGACGAGATGAGAGAATGAAAGGAGACGACATGGACTACGAGGAGCGACTCTCAACCGTCGCTCGTCAGATAGCGAGTGAGAGCGAACGCACGCACGCCACTCGTCTGATGCCCGTGACCGGCGGATAAACACAGCTAATTACCCGGTAATAACGGGAGAATGCGCAGTCGTCCTAATTAACCACACCCACGCAGTTACCTTAAACAGTCCCCCCCCCCTTCTTGTCTCTCGCTCTCCCATACGTATCGGCGTTATATCCCGTGTGGCACTTTTGGGGATGCGTTATGACGTACGAGCCGCCGGGGCCATTCGCCACCCAACCGAACGCGTCGCTGTGTCGCTTCTGACGTCTTCCATCCCATCTTCACCATCGCTCTCTATACCTGTCATCGCTCTCCCCTCTCTCCATCGTTCTATCCTCATCTCTTTCATTGCAATCTCTCACTCAGCCACAACAACCATGGCGTCCCCGCCCAAGTACGCCCCACCAGTGGGCCAGTACGGCTCCACAGCAGACGATCACGACGACGCTGGCGTCTCGGCCCCGCTTCTGCCCCAGTCGTCGACGGACAACAAGTCCAAGAGGGCCCAGCAGTTTGACGTGAACGATGCGTCGTTTGTTGTCGGCGCAATGGCCGGCTCATCGCGCAACGCATGGACCGACCAGCCTGCCGAGGACGATATTCCCGACGACTTCAAGATTGGTGTCTGCGTCATGGACTGTGACGAGGCTATCCGTCGCGCCTTCATCCGCAAGGTCTACGCCATTCTCCTCGTTCAGCTCGCACTCACTGCTACTGTGTCCATTGCCCTCTCTTTTCCTGGTCCCAAGGAATTTGTTCAGAACAACACCTGGATCATCTGGACCTCACTCATTGGATCGTTTGCCAGCCTCTTTGGCGTCTACTGGAAGCGCCACGAGTTCCCCACCAACATGATCATCCTCACCCTCTTCACGCTCTTTGAGAGTGTCATGATTGGCACAACAACCAGCTACTACGACACGAAGATTGTCGTGCAGGCTCTCCTCATCACTACCGGCGTCTTTGTCGGCCTCACACTCTTTACCTTCCAGACCAAGATGGACTTTTCCTCCTTTGGTCCCTTCCTGTTCGGCGGTCTCTGGGGTCTCATCACCGCCGGCCTTGTGGGCATCTTCCTCCCCTTCAACGCCACTTTTGACCTCGTCGTTGCCTGCTTTGGTGTCCTCATTTTCTCCGGTTTGGTCCTGTACGACACCCAGCAGATCATGAAGACGCTGTCAGTCGACGAGGCAGTCTTGGGCTCCCTCCGTTTGTACTTGGACTTTCTCAATTTGTTCCTCTACATTCTGCGCATCGTGAGTGCTAAAAAGTGGCCAGAACTGACTCTTCCAGCTCAACAGCCAGAACAACGACTAGAGGCGCTGAAAGAAAGCCCGAAAATAAGCCCAAAACATAGCCTTCACCCCCTGCACACTATCCATTGTCCCCAATCTCCCACTACTACCGGCAGAGCCGTCCTTGATCGCCAATATATATGTTTCTGTGTGTATCATGTCTCAGTAGCAGAAGTTGCCCAAATGCATCCCAGTGGCGAGTCAAATTCAGAAGTTGTTGGACACATGTATGTGGCGTTTCTGAGGGAAACCAACCGCGCCGATGGTTTCCACCTCCGTTGTCATCTTGGTCAACCATCGTTGGTGCACCTACCCTCCCCTCCGGTCTGCCTGTTCAGCCTGTTCAGAGCCCCAAAAGCAAGACGACTGGCCCAGAAGGGCAAAAGGTGTGCCTCCACAGAGACTCGAACTCTGGTTGCAGGATCTACTCGTGTTCGAGCTCACACTTTCGTATGAGACCTACGTCCTAACCATCTAGACGATAGAAGCCACACGTTTTAGACGCAGCTCGTTGAATCACCGTGCCACAACATCAGCAGGCGTTGATGAGATGGAGAGCTATACAACGATCTCAGAGTTGGAAGCGTTGCTTGTGAATTGGGGAAACGACGGAGGTTGCAAGGTGGGTGGGTATTGTGGTGTTCTATTTTGTTGGTTATTTTCCGGGCGCTTTTATTCCTTTTCACTTCGTGACCTTAGGATAACTCTCTGTGCATTCTTTTGTCAGCGGGTATGTGGTGCTTCGTGTAGAGCTGTATTTGTAGGTGTGTGCGAGGTTAATTTGTTTAAATGTTTGGGGAAAGAGGAGGATGGGGAGGAGTGCAGCAGAGCACCAAATCGTCGTTAAATAATGACATGAATAATGATCCATTCAACTGTTAGCAACTGCCATCGCAAAATTCCGACACATGTTTGTTCGACAGTATCTTTCTAACATATATATGCACAGGTGAATCACTTCCCCGCCCATTCTACTGCAAGAGTACAACCTATATCTGACCCACAGCACAGCCGTCGCCACGCAAGTCGCTGCCAGCAGCCCACACGTTACGTCCGCTCGGGTCGCGAACAGCGCGGATGACCTGTCCACGGCCGGCAATCTTGCGGTTGTAACCCGTGGCGAGCTCACATTTGTGACCCATACCTGTGTTTGAGTCAGTTGACGTCCATTTCCGACGCACGTGGGCAGAGGGAGAGGAGAGTACCAAAGGTCTGCCAAAGGGCAGCGCACGGCGCACTCTGCTTTCACCAACCCCACGCTACGGCGCCGCGCGCCGCGTGCGGGGGGCCACGCTCCTCCAGCTACCCATCGTGGAATCACCCAAAGCTGAACCCACGCTTCAACTCGTCAATCACCTCGGGGGCGATACCCTCCTCAAACCAGATCTCCGAGTTGACATTACCGGCGTCGGCCGCCCCCTTTGTACCGGCATCAGGCAGACCCGATGAGATACAGAAGCGAGGAGCGTCGAGCGAGGCCTGGGGAGTGAACCCTCGAAGGGTGTTGAGGAGTACTTGAACGTGGCCCTGCGGTTGCATGAAGCGTGGAAAAGAGAAGTCAGATACGATGAAACACGCGAAAATGGCAGTACTCATCTCCCATGACGCCAAAGCTCATCACCAACTCGTCGCCGCGCGTGGCCATGGCCGGGATGATGGTGTGGTAGGGCCGCTTGCCGCCAGCAATGTTGTTGGGGTGGCCTTCGCGCAGAGTAAAGCCTGATCCACGGTTCTGGAGCGTAAAGCCGCAACCAGTAGGGATGGCACCCGTGCCGAAGCCTAGCGAGTCAGCTATGGCAGCTCTGTTAAGAAGCTCTTGTAAGACCCACCCGCATAGTTGCTTGCAATGAACGAGCACGCGTTTCCCTCCTGGTCAGACGTGGAGAGGTAGATGGTATCGCTGGAATGAATGGGGTTGCCGTGCTCGACACCGACAGTCTTGGAGAGGTCGATGAGCTTGGCTCGGGACTGGAGGTACTCCTGTTGCCAAGGTCAGCGACGGTAACAGTCAGTCGCACGTTTGACAAGAGCTGGTCAACAGGGACAAACTCAAACTTGGGGTCGGTAACATAGTACTGGGCTGGGGGTTCAGATCGGTAACGTAACCAGTACTCACTGTCCGCAAACGCGAGACGGAGTGCCTCGATAAGAATGTGCAGGTACTGCGTGCCGTTGAAGTCCAGCTGAAGCACATCGACGCCATGCACCTCCCCAACTGCCTCGACAATACCCAGCGCGATAAGCGCAGTCAGACCCTGGCCGTTGGGTGGGCACTGCCATGAGCATGGGTTACACCAAACTGGTAGCCACGCTCACCTCCCACATGGTAATACCGTCATCCTTGGCGTCCTTGCGGAAGTCATACTTGATGGGCTGGATGACCTCTGCCGTCGTCTCGGCAAGGTCCTCAAGGGTCAAGACACCGCCACCCGAACGGACCAGCTCGACAATCGCTGCAAGTGAGCTTGTTTCAGCTGAGGCCAGCTCACCTTCAGCAATGCGGCCAGTGTAGAATCCCTTTGGGCCCTGGTTGGCCACTGCTTCGAACGTTGCAGCCAATTCGGGGTGGGTCATGATGTTGCCGGCGACCGGTGGGTTCTGTCGTCAGCTTTGTCCTGCAAGCCCCTGAGCTCACGCCATCGGGCATCATCATCCTGGTCGTCAGCCAGAATACGTGGGCAGCAAGGTGACGCACTCTCGCCACGCAGGACTTGCGTTCTTGACAAGCTTCTCTGAGTTCTTCCATGCCGAACTGTTGAGCTCGTGGGATGGGATTCCTTCCTTGGCCATCCGGATAGCAGGAGCGAGGATCTCGGGCATCGTGAGCTTGCCACTGCCAAACTCCTCAACCGTCTTCCACCAGCCAGCCGCAGCGCCAGGGCAGGTCACAGAGTTGAGGTTGGTGAGGGGAATCTGGAGACACGGTCAGAAACGAGCCTCACAGAGTGCAGAGCTCACAGTGTCTCCATTGATACCCTGGCTCCGCAGGTAGTCAAGAGTGAGAGCCTTTGGGGCGCGACCCGAGCCGTTCACGCCGCGGACAGTCTTAGTCTTGGCGTCCCAGAACAGACAGAAGATGTCTAGTGGAGTTAGCTGGCCCCACGATATCCTTGTTGCTAGACCCACCACCACCGATACCTGACTGTCAGCACTTGCCTTCTCTCCGCAACTCACCTGTGCACGTCGGCTCGGCAACGTTCATAGCAGCTGCAGTTGCTACAGCCGCATCGGCTTGCTGTGAGCTGAAGTTGCAATACCAGTTGCTCACCAGCATTACCGCCCTTGTTGAGAATCTCCAGGCCGGCCTGGGCAGCTACATGTCAGCACGCCATCGACCACCGCTAAGCTCACCAAGCGGCTGGCTTGTCGCGACTGCCCCCTTTGCCGAGAAGACTGTCGACCTGCGCGAGGGGAATTGCGCGAAATGGGGGTCGTACGCAGGGTTGAGCTTGTCTGTGTCAATCATTGTGAATGGGGGGATGAGTAGGGAGTGGGCGAGGTCAAGATGGATAGGTGGGCTAGAGATAGACATGGACGCGCGTGTTGCCGGGCATAGCCGATAGCCCATGGGTCGCGTATCCACTGGGCCCACTAATAGGCAACAAGCCGAGTGGAGGTGCGGAGCACCGGCCAGGGGCTCCGGAATTGACCGACATGTGGACGGCGACCGATGCCTTGTTGTCGCTGCAGCTGATGCAGTTCTCTCTGTGTGTGCATGGACTGCATGGCGTAGCATGCCTGGTTCAGTCATGCTTGTCGCCTGATGTTTCGTGTCCACTTTTGCTGAAAGATTACACAAAACCGCGTACGCATTAGAACGGCATCCTATTGAAGTGTAATGAAGCCCGGTGGCGTCTAAACCATACCAACGCACCGACCGTGGGAAACTTGCCTTAGCGCCGAAACTGTCGGTCGGACATAAAGACTTTCGTTTTTTGATTCCGTGGTGCGCCTGGCGGGTCCTGGCTGTGCGGCCGGTGGGAGGGGGAGGGTCCTGCTCGTCAGCTTCGACGGTCTCCTCTTGGAACTGACATCCAGCAAATCAGTCAAAATGGGTTGTGAGTAGCGACGGCGACGGCAACGGCAACGACGCAGAAAGTGCACAAGCTGATCATACCGCTCCGTTCAACCTACTCTCCGCGCCGTCAATGTCTCTTGTGCCGTTTTGCACCACCAAAACCCCCTTCCCCAAATGTCCCTTGTGACAACTTTCGACACTCCCCTCCTACGACGTTCTGGCGCCTCTCTGCATTCTTGATGGAATCCCATCTGCGTGCTCTACACAGCGAACAAGCCCCGTGGTATCCAGGCCGCCCGTAAGCTCCGCACCTCGCGTCGCGAGAACCGTTGGGCCGACAAGGACTACAACAAGCGCGCTCTCGGCAAGTTCTACAAGACCTCGCCCACCGGTGGCTCGTCGCACGCCAAGGGTATCGTCCTTGAGAAGGTGAGCGCGCAAAAGGGCAGCGCTCGCGAGACAGAGGGGAGAGAATGGACATGGACGGGGGGGCGGAAGGACAAAGGAATTTTGGGCGGCGGATCCACGCAGGTTTCGCAGAGGGAACATGTTTTCCGAGAGGAACCCACGTCCGCCTGCCATCCGTCCGTCTGCGCAGAGCGATTGTCCATCGCTTCTCTCTATCTCTCTTTCTCGCCAGGCGCTGTTTGAATTCAACGCAGAGCAAATCTAACATTCCCAGGTCGGTGTTGAGGCCAAGCAGCCCAACTCGGCTATTCGCAAGTGTGTCCGTGTCCAGCTCATCAAGAACGGCAAGAAGGTCACCGCCTTCGTCCCCAACGACGGTTGCCTCAACTTCACCGACGAGAACGACGAGGTCCTCATCTCGGGCTTCGGTCGCCGCGGTAAGGCCAAGGGAGACATTCCCGGTGTCCGCTTCAAGGTCGTCAAGGTCGCCGGTGTTGGTCTCCTCGCTCTCTGGAAGGAGAAGAAGTGAGTGTCACGATATTTCATCTATCCACAGTGCTGACGCAATACAGGGAGAAGCCCCGCTCGTAATCCATTCACATTTGGATGCACTGTATGACTTACCCGGGCATTGAGATGCGAGCATCTGGTAGACTGGAGAACGGACACTTGGAGGGCACTGGTGCAGGGAACTGACTGACCGTTGTGAAGCTACGCCTGGCAGAGGAGGAAGCGGCCAAGTGGAGTGTCGAGCGCTGAGGAGATCTGCGTCTACCAGTTGGTGCGAACAAGTTCGCAGCCACGTTTGATGAGGCCTCTCGCCTCCGATGCGCTAGGCCGCGAAGATCGTAGGCATGCTGAGCCGAGTCTAGCACACTGCGCTGCTGGGGAAGTACCCAACTGTTTTAGCAGCAGATGCCACGTCCCAGAGCCGAGAGTGTGTACCACTTGGACGCACAACAGCCCCTGCACCCCGTTCAAAACACCGTTGTGAGCGGGGCATGTCGCGTCCACTTGCTTGCAACACGCACTGCACCAGCCATGGCCGTGAGCTCGTGCCTCAACGTGTCATAACTGGCACTACCTTGTCGTTTGAGATGACTGCAAGCGTTATCAAACAACTGTGGCAACCAGTTTGACAAGTGTCTCTTGCGTAGCGCGTCCTCTTTCCACCCCACCTCGAACGTTCCCGGCTGCATCCAGAAGCTATGCTACCCGTCAAACGTCATAGTCTCTGCTGCGCGTAGCTGGTCTCTGCTGCTGGCAAAGCATGGACTGCACTTGTAAAGATGCCAAGAATCCGGAAGCAATTGCACTTGTTGTGTCGCACAATGGAACCCGCGCTCCCGTCGAGTCGAGTGTGTTGATCTCGTAGATTCCACTCCCCACTGTCCAGACAAACCTCTTTCAGATGTCAACAACTCCACGCCAAGCAGCATGCCTGACATGACCGACACTCACACGGGTCCCATTCTTGCAATTGACGTCCAGTACGTAGACGACACGGGGTACGCGGCCGCCGTGCTCTTCGACACTTGGACAGCCTCTAAACCACTCCACGTCTTTACACATGTGGAACACAACGTGGCCGAGTACCAGCCAGGCCAGTTTTACAAACGCGAACTGCCTCCCGTCCTCGCCCTCCTCGCTGCCAGTCCAACCCCACCAGCCGTGGTGGTGATTGACGGGTTTGTCAACCTCGACGCTGCTGGTCGTCCTGGTCTCGGACAACACCTCTTCGACGCGTTGGGTGGCAAAGTGCCGATTGTGGGAGTTGCGAAGAACCCGTTTCGTCTTCATGGCGAGGAAGGGGAGCCAGAGGAGCAAGGTGGCCCAGGTGCGATTACCCGCGGGTCCAGCGTGCGACCGCTCTACGTCACGTCTGCGGGGATGAGCCAGACAACGGCCGAGGAGCTCGTCATCGGAATGCATGGCCAGCATCGTCTACCAACCATGCTCAAGCTGGTCGACCAAGAAGCCCGCAAGGCGAGCAAACGATCTGCGACTTAGAGGCGTTCAGCATTTGTCGTCCTCGAAACTGCCTCCTGGCCAGGATCGGTTCGGAGCGCAGAGGATGTGCTCTCATATGGCAGCATGCCTCCCTGGAACTTGTCGACCTTCACCGCCGTAACAGTCCTTGCATGGAACCTCTTATGTACCAAGTAACTCTCCAAGTAATGTATATACCCAGTCCCCTGCACTGGGTACACAGTCAGCTAGTCGGCTGCTCCGCCACACCAAGCTCAACCCTGCCTGTCGCGCTTGTCAGACTGTCACGTCACGATGTTGAACACGTGGAACTGTTGGTACTGTTTACATATTGTTATCTACAGACAGTTTACAAGAGTACTCCTCGCTCCTGGGGATCTTGACCTCTTCAGACTTTGTTGTGAAGTGTGTGATGGGTAAATCCCTCTCACCCCGATGGGCTCTCCTTTTCTTTCTTTCCTTTCCTTCCTTTCAACACCCACTTAAACGCCACGCGCCACAGCCGCCAGAGCACGACACACAGCGCCCACAGCCTCAACATGAATGACGCCATCAAGACCCCAACGTCTGCGCCCAAGGCAGGCAAGACGGTGGAACTCGTCTGGCACGAGCTCGGTTGGCTTGCGGTCGTCTGCCTTGTTGGGGGCCTTGCGGTGGAAGAGCACGTGGTACACGGACGAGACCGAGTTCATGCCCGTGACAGTGGCGAGGGAGAGGACAAAGGATGAGTTGGGGTAGATTGTGGTGGACGGTGTTTCATTCGACTCGGCCTGTGGCGGCGGAAGGTCCACAGCCAGACGGCGCGAAAACGGTGCAGTGCCACCGACAAGAGTTTCGTCCATGATACTTGCCCCCGGGTCGGCAAACGTCGACGGCGGAATGTTGGCGACAGGAGGGCGAGGTCGAGTGGGCTGCTCGGCTGCAGTTGCAGGCGGGTCGACCATCAGAAGGGTGACGGGCTCGCGACGTGTAGCGACAAGTGCCTTCCAGACTGAAAGAGATTTAGCATTTACGGTCACAATTTCGGTAAAACCCACCGTCCAAGTCCTCCTTTGCCATGAGGCCATATGAGCACACTGTCAAACGCCATTCGGTTGCCGCAGCCGAGGCAAAGGCCGCAAAGACGTCCCAGACCTTCTGGGCGCGGGTTGCAGGGGTGCCCTCCATGCGGATTGCCTTGACTTCACACGAGTCGCCCTGCGCATCGGCCATGGCCAGGACAAGGACGCCGAGATGCTTGATGTAGGCCCAAGATCCATGGACAAGCCGCCAGCGGTTGAGCACGTCATAGTTGCGCTGTGGCCAAGCCATGCTCAGCGACGGCTTGGGATCCTCCTCACCCGCAATGGTAAACGCGTGGAAGGGCATCCATGCCTCCGGGAGGTCGAGCGGCTTGCCATGCAAGTTGACGCGCTTGAGCGGACGGGGGATCATGTCGTAGATCTCAAATGCAATGGACATGAGGTTGGGGAGTCGGATCGCTCCTGCGGGAACAACGTGGACAAACGAAGACGTGTAGGATGCAGCGAGGAGCGGCGCAAGGGCTGTGGGCGTGACAGAGGTCGAGTAGGTGATGACATAGATGACCATGGGTTTCGTGGCTTTTGCGCGCAGCTTTCCAACAGCCGCCGCTGTACCAGATGGCGAGGCAGTGACGATGGCGTCCTTGGCCGTCTCGTGCTTGCCGAGGTTGTGAACGGTGTACACTTCGCCAATGTCGCGCAAAAAGTCCGAGGCAAGGCGTTCAGAGTCGTCACCTGGCTCACACACTGCGTACGCCTCGACATCCTTGGGTCCGCCGGCGGGTGAAAGACCGAGCTCGCGCCAGTATCGCAATGCAGCGACCGAGAGACGCATAATGTGGCCACCATAGCCAACATTGACGGTCGCCGTTGGGAGGGTGTACAGCTTTTCGCTGCTGGTCTCGGTTAACTCCAACAACATTGCGCCCGTCTTGAGCAGTTGCGTTGGAGGGCGGACTGGCGACTGTTCCGTTGCGGCATTGTCAAACACGTGGCGAAAGAAACGGTTACGAACGACTGCGTTCGCCAAGGCGTCAATGTCAACTGAACCGAGGTCGAGGTCAACCTTGGGCTCGGGTGCTGGTGAAGGATAGGCGTCGGCAACCTCGTTGACCTCTTCAACCCATGACTGGGCCCATGGTCGACCGATTGAGGTGGCCATGGTCGGCGCGTCCTTGAGCGACGACCACTCGCCACCGACGCATATAGTACCCTCAAACTCGACCTCGTCGTCTGCGGGCGGCGGCGGGGGAGGAAAGATGGCAGTCATTGGTGCTGGTGTGCCGTCCTCGTAGTCTGCTGTTGAGGTTGGCGTAGGAGGTCCATTGGTTGTGACCTGGCTGTCGGCCTCTGAATCACTCTCGTCGCTGTCGACATCCCATGACGCAGTGTAGTCATACTTTGGCGTCTTGTCCTTCTCGCTGCTGGTACCACCGCCCTCGCATGATGCGCGGATACGGTCCACAAGGTCCGCGCGAAGAGACGAGACGGTAGAAGCAGGACTGGGCAGGCCGTACGCGAACCGCGGTCGGCGACGGCGTCCCAGAGGGAGCGGAGCGAATGCTGGCGGCACACTGTCCAGATAGCGTGGCTTCTTGGCCGGCGGCTCGATGACCTCGACAGCCTCGACTGGGGGTGGTGATGGTGGCCTCGGGGGTGCCTGCACACTCTCCTTCAATCTGAGAGACAGCGCCAGGGACGACAGTCGTGGACTGGTTGCTCTTGAAGGGGCCCTTGAAGCGGCTCTTGAAGCTGCCCGCGAGGGCATTCTCGACAAGGGTCTTGAGACTGGACGCGAAGGCGCACGCGAAATGACCTCAAACTTGGGCTCTGCTCCGGTTGGCTCAAAGATACGCTCGCCTTTGGGAGTCTCTGGCGTGGCGACCTCAATCTCATCAGGTGGCGGCGAGTCGAAAAAGTTGAAGTCGTCCTCTGTGACGAGGTTGTTGCGCGAATCATCCAGCTCGCTTGCCCGTGATGGCACCTCGGTGATGATTGCAGGGGGGACGACTGTGTCGACTGTGACGTCGGCCGTACCATCGTCACCGTCGTCACCAAACAGGCCGTCCACGTCCATGCTGTCAGCCGCGACTGGAACAATATCCGCATCGTCATTTGGCTCGGGGACGCCATCCAGTTCCAGCGCACTAGCACGGGGAGTTGTAAACGTACTTCCAAACAGGTCGCCCTCTTCAATTTCAGGCTCGGGACTCTGCGAGTGGGCCGAAAACAGGTCGCCGACGCTTTCGTCTTCGCGCTTGCTGCTGCTGTCGTCCTCTTCCTCGATCATGATGGGCTCCTCTGTCTCCTCGGCCTCTTCCTCCTCCTCGACTTCAGGTTCGGGCTCGGTGTAGCTCGTGAAAAAGTCAAACAGGCCTGTCGCGGCTGACATGAGGTCGGGAGCGGCACCGAGGCCACCGCCAAACCTGGGTGGGAGGGCGGCTGGGCGACGGGGCGTAGGGGCGAGGGGCCGCGCGAGGTGTGTTGGCCATACGGTGAGGACGCCCTGCGCACCGCGCCATTTGGCGGCGACAGCTGCAGGGAGGGAGCGCTCGTCAAACCCAGAGCCGAGGGGCACAAAGTAGACGCTCCAGTCTGGCTGTGGCATGTCGTTGGCCTGCGCAGCGACACGCGCTTCCGTCCTCCCAGCTTTCCATCCGGGACCGAGGGCAGCGTCAAACGCAGCACTGAGACGTTCATCTTGCGGATTGTCCGTTGTGTGCGGCGCAACAAGGAGAGCAGGGAGGGACAGGGGGCGGAGAACCAGTGGCTCTGCGCCTGCGCCCGACGGGGGTGCTGGCGGCCGTGGAGCGCAGTGAGCGGGCGCGCGGGGCTTGGCAGTGAGAATGAGTGCGCCGTCCTCTTTGCTAGCCGTTGCGCTTGTTGGACGGAGGCGCACATCATACGGTGCAGGCCCCAGGACGAGTGACGAAGGGAGCAAGGCAATCCGCACTCCCATTGCCCACGCGAGCTTCTCGCCTGCTGCAGCCTCGAGCAACGGCCAACTTGCGGGAGGCGCAAATGTCAACTGGTCGCAGCCAGTACTTGCGAGGCATGCGAGCGCGTGTCCGTGTTCGGCGCAGGTGAGGCTTGACGCAAGCGAGATGGGTGCAGGGCGGCGGACCTCTGCCAAAGGCGTCAGCTCGTAACTCTTTCAACTACTGTAGCCACAACACCACTTACCGACCAGGCCCTCCGGGACGGGCAGGTTGGCATCAGATGAGAACATCCAGAGCTGGCGCTCGCCATCGGTCTGCGCAGCAGCAGACGAGGAGCCTTCGTCGGCCTTGTCGGCCTTGGCCTTGTCCGCCGCCGTACTGGACGCCACACCAGAATCTGTCTCAGGCTTGACGTCGTTTGCCTTGGGCGCGCCGGCGCCGGATCCAGATCCCGATTCTGACAGACTGGAGCCAGACCCTCCAGCGGCCGGGGCAACGACTGCACACGGGCCTGAGAACAGCCGCCTGATATCCGATGAACACGAGTTGAGGGCTACCCATGCGCGCTCGAGGGCGTCGCTGCGGAGACGGTCAATGGTGGAGGCCTCTTGGTGGCTGACATCTTGTGCTGTTGTCGGGGTGGGGAGCGTGATGAGGGATGCTGTTGGGGCGAGGTTGGGAGGTGCTGACGCCGCTGATGACGAAGGGAGGGCTGGAGAGGGCAGTGGGAGCGCGAGGGAGAGTTGTGGAGGCGCACTCGTGGGAGGAGAAGGGAGCGGTGCGGTTGCTGGAGGGACTGGGATGGCTAGTGTGGTAGAGTTTGTGGGCGAAGGGAGGGGTGGTGGTACTGTTGTTGCTACTGGAGAAGGAGCTGGTAAGGGAGGAGGAGGAGGGGCCAGTGCAAAGACGCGTACGTGCAGCTCGGACGGACAGTCGAGGAGCCACACGCCCGGGACAGGCGTGGATGGACGCGGCGCGTTGCCTGCGAGGAGGTCCATTTGGTGTGTCGGGAGGAAGCGAGAGGGGGGGGCGGTCTCAGCTGGAATGGGGAGCCATGGTGGGCACGAGAGAGGGGGGTGAGGTGTGTGTTCACGATGCGTGGGTAGGAGAGAGAGAGATGAGAGGATGTTGGGACGTGATAAGTGTGTTGTGGAGATGGGTGTTGCTGCCGAGTGAGTGTTCCCTTTGCCCTTGGTCGTCCCTCTCTCTCGGTCACTCCCTGTATGCGGGGCCAACAAATGCCGTCGACTGGTTGGTCACTGGCAGCACGCCGCCGGGGGGGTGGGGGCTTCTGTTTTCTCGCTCGCCATGGCACACGTACACGCCGCATTGCCTGAGCGATGAACACCTGAGGGGCATGTCCCATGCATGCGCGTCCCCTCTGCGATGCATCTCACAGAAAGCGCAGCACCCCCCCTCAAATGCACTCTGTTGCAAGGATCCAAAAGAGGCCACTCAGTACCCAGATGACTTGAATTCCGTCCGTGCCTTTTTACTTTTGCAACAGAGCACGCGAGCCGAGCGACCTCTCATGCCTCTCACATCAACCACAAACCCGTGCTTTCACAAAGCATATGCAACACGTCTCCCTTCTGCTAATGGCAGCACAGTTGCATAATCGGTACTGGCTCGATGCGTAAGGAGAGGAAAAAGAAAAAGGTCCGTAATGAGCATTTGTTCGTGACGTTTTTTGTGTCCTCCCTCCCAGTGACACACTCCCCCTCCATCTCTCTCCCACTTCTCTCTCTCCTCTTTCTCCTCCACCTCTCTCTCTCTCTCTTTCTCTCTCTCTCTCTCTCTAAGGTTTGCTGAGCTGCTCCTTGCGGAAGAAGAAGAAGTAGCCGATGGGGATAACCATCTGGCACGCGAGGCAGAGCCAGAACTCCCAGTGCTTGACGGGGTTGTTGTCGCCAGTCGAGGGGGACCAGAACGCCGCGTTGGGGAACACGTTGCCGGGGCCGATCTTGTCCGGCGATGTCGCGCGCGCAATCATGACCACTATGGAACCCAGGAGCTGGGCGCCCGCGAGCGTCGCGCAGACGTGCAGACGCGACAGAGTCTGCAGCAGGATCATGCCGAGGCCGACACCCTGGATCGCGTCGAGCACGCCGAGCCACAGCCAAAGGCAGGTGGAACTGGAAAACGTTGTCAGCACAAGAGAGGAATGTGGAGAGGGTGAGAACTCACAGGTAAGGTCCGACGGAACCGCCCCAGGGGACATACATGCCGATACCGGAAATGCCCCAGAACATCTGGCACCAACGAGGACAGCCGAGACCGACTGCGAACACGGGCAAGAGCCACGAGTGCACCTTGGCGTACTTGATCAACAGGCCCATGAGCAGGCCCCACACGCCAATGAAGAAGATGGCAATCATGACGACAACGGCCCAAGTGGGGACCTGTGAGTCGCTCCAGAGGAACTGCCAGTTGCGGCCGTACACGGTCGACAGCCAGTAGTCGCGCAGAATCTCGGAAATGAGGAACCAAATGACGAGCTTGCGACGAACGAGCGTCTTGAAGAAGTTGGGCACGTAGGGCGGGATCTGGTGGTAGTATTCGGGCAGACCGGCGTACATGAGGAAGGCGAACAGGAACGAAATGGCCGACAAGGGCCAGACGACGTAGATGATGGCGCGGGGAACAACCCAAGTGGTCGGGTTGGTGCCGTCGAGCGTGTAACCCCAGTACCACAGAGCCGAGACCCAAATCTGCTGGGCACCCTGGACAATGCACGCACGGAGAATCCAGACCTCGGCGGCGGCACCTGCCTCTTCACCAAAGTTGAGGCCAAAGAAGAGGAAGCCAGCAGCCGACGCGACGGCGTAGAACCAAGTGCCGACCTTGGTGATCCAGGTACGCGCCACAGTGAAGGGACCGTGGAGCGACGGGAAGCCGACCATGAGGAACGCAACACCAAAGAGGAGCCAGGGGACCGAGAGGACGTAGACCGAGGGGCGCATGCGGAACAAGGTGTACCAGAGGAGCGTGGCGACGACGAAGATGGCGCAGATAATGTACATGTCGGTGGCGGTCTGGGTGTTGGAGCCGCCAAGGAGCGACAGCTGGAACGACGTTGCCGACAGGAGCTGGCCGAGCGAGATGATGATGGTGTAAATGGGCCAGCCGCCAATCGACTGGTCCATCCAGACCTGGACGCGGGTCATGGGCTTTTCCTCGCCGTCACCGCCAAACATGTCGCTAAAGTGGTCCTCGGGGTGGCTGTGGCCAGACATCGAGTATCCGCCGGCAGGCGAGTCGGGGCGGAAGCCGTCAATCATCGAGGTGGTGCGCGACGAGCCGTGCATGAACGACGAGCCGTGGCCCTGGAGAACCGACGAGCCGTGCATGACCGAGTCGCGGGAGCGGAGCGAGGCGCTAGCGGCCGTGAGCTTCTCCTTTTTCATCTCGCCGAAGAATTGCTTTTCGCTCTTCATGAGGAACTTTTCAATACACAAGTCGCCCTTGGAGTTGCCCGACGACAGTGTTTGCAGCTTTTGCACAAAGTTTTGCGCAACCTCACCGTCAGAGTCGGTAAACGACTCCATGGCCTTGTTGAGTGGCGACGCATTCTTCTCGTCGACAATGGACGAAATAGAGTCGAATGACGACACGCGGGAGAAGGTCGAGAAGGGACGGGGAGGCGCAAAGTTGCCGCCGCTCGAGTCGGTGCTCATGGTGCTCATACGGCGTTCCATGAAGGGGTCGGGCGCGTTGCGGTTACCGGTCGTCTTGGCAAACTGCTTGTTGGCAGCGGCAAGGAAGTTGTCGTACGTCTGGCCGGGGGCGTCTGAGCCACCGGCAACACTGCCGCCACCCATGCCAGGGTTCTCCGAGGGAGCCATGGACTGGGTTTCGGGGTCGGAAGAAACGGCGCTCGAGTGGTCGTCGTCGTAGCCAGAGAAGAACTTGGGACGCGCGCGGGGCTCGCTCGGGTCCTCGTCGTAGAACGATTCGCCCGATGCGCGGTTCTTGCGGTCAAAGCGACGGTGGTAGTCACCAGGCGAGAGCGAGTTGCGGTCGGGCTGACCGGCACCGGGAGGCAGGTTGAGGGCCGGGTTGTTCGGGTCGGGCTGCAGAGACATGCGGTCTGGGTTGGGCGAGTTGGTAGCAGACATCATCGAGTCGGGAGTACCGGGACGGTTCCACTGAGACAGCGAAGTCGAGCTCTCATTGTTGGCGTTACCGCCAGCCGAAAAGTGCGTGCTGCGAGGACCGTTGGCAGCCTCTTCGTAACCCCAGGCGTGCTCGTGGGCGAGCGAACGCGACATGTTGATACTGCGGCGCTGGAAGTCTTCAAGACGCTGACGCCACTCGACGACGGGGAAACGCTGGACGGCGGAACGGGCACGGAGAATGGCACGTTCCTCCTCTGTCGACTTGAGCGCCAGCTTGATCGTCTTGGTGAGCTGTGAGAGCATGTGGGTGGCACTGGTCGATTCGACAGGGAACCACCAACCGGGCATGAGACCAAGACCACCAAGACGCGAACCGACACCAAGGGCACCCTTACGACCAAACTCGACGGCGACAAGACCGAAGGGCTCGTCACGCGAAGGGATAAGGGCAAAGTCGGCACCCGAGAACAGGTAAGGGGGCAGGGCGGTAAACTCGGGCTTGGAGAAGACGCGGTCGGGGTACATTTCCATGAGGCGGGCGAGCTTTTCGGCGGCGAAGCGACCATACAGGTCGATGACGGGACCGACACAGATGAGCTGAATCTTGGGCTTCTTCTCAAGGATACTGGGCATGACATCGGCGATGAGGTCGACACCCTTTTGCTTGGACCAACGACCGACGAACACGAACAGGTCGGCCTGGGGGTCCTGCTTGAGGCCGGCCCACTCTTGGGCCTGGCGCTTGTGCTCAGGACGCTTGGCCTCGGCGACCTGGTCGACCTCGATCTTGTCGACAGAAATGGCGTGGTCGTCGAGGGCCGCAATATCGGTGGGGTCCGGGTTCGGGAGCGAGTCAATGTTGCGCAGAGTCCAGAGCGCCGGGTAACGGGCCCACGAACGCTTGCCGTACTTGTCCGAGACACCGGCGACACCGACCGACTTTTGGTGGTGCGAGATGAACGAGGCGGCGGCGTGGAGCAGGTTGAACGTGTTACCAAACTGGACATACTTGGAGCAGATTTCCTTGGAAATGTTGAAAGCCGCGCAGACCTCCTTCATCTCGTCCTTTGTACGCAGAGGCCACAAGCCCTGGAACTCGGCATTGTGGAGGGAGAGACAGACGGGGAAGATCTGGGGGAGCAGGTAGAGAGGGGCGAGCGCTCCGTGGTAGTCGTTAATGTGGTAAATGTCCACGTCGTTGAAGCGGCGGAGCGTCTCGGCAATAGCCTGGTTCCAAGTCGAGTAGAAAATGGCCGAGCTCAGGTCGTCCATGCGCTGCGGGTAAGGGTCCGACTTGGTCTGCGCGCGGAAGACGGGCGAGTCGAGAATGACATAGGTGATGTTGTCCAGCTGGTGAGTCTCGACCTCGATGAGGTAGGGCTCGCCAAAGATGATGACCTCGATGGGCTCGGCAAACTCGGCCTGCGGGTACTCAATGTCGGCAACCTTGGGAATCACCCAGATGAGGTCGACGTCGCTCATGGCCTTGCCCATGAGGGACGACATAACACCGAGACCACCAATCTTGACCTTGAGCTTCCAGTCGATGATCTCGTACTCGAGGGTGGCAATGAGCACCTTGCGGCGCTTGTTGGGGTCCTCGGGCCAGCCGATCATGCGGTCGTTGGGCTTGACCTTTTCGTGGTGCGGCACAACAGCCTTCTCTGAGACACCGGCGCCCTCCTTCTTCTCGTGGTGGCCGCCAACGATGGGGAAGTAGCTCGAGTCCTTGTGCGGCTTCTGACCCCACTTGTTGATCTTGATAGAGTAGAACGAGTAGCGGAAGATACCGGCGGCGGCAAAGGCGGTGAGCAGAGGAATCGTGAGCAGGAGGGCAAACGCAATGATCGAAGCCATCTCGTGGCCAATGGGCGAAATGGTCCATGCACCCGACTTGTCGTTGACCTGGAGCGTCCACGCGAGGTAAGGGCGGGGCGGCGACGAAAAGTTGAGGAAGTTGGGCGTGAGCGAGTTGGGCGGCAGGCGGTCAATGACACCGTCGCCATCAGCGTCGCCGTAAAAGTAGTCGTCAAAGTCGTAGACGTTGAGCTGGAACTCGGCGGGCCAAGAACTCATGACAGGCATCTTCCACACGCCATCCGACTCGAGAGCCAGGTGAGCGTTCATGCCCAGGTCGTAACCCCAGGTGTTGAAGGAACCACGGAGGAGAAGCTGCGGGTAACGACGCTGGCCGCTAGTGTAACCGGCGTCGGCGTGGAGAATGTGCGCGCCCGAACCAACGAGCGAAGACCAGTACTGGATCATGACGTGCTCGCCCTTCCACCAGTTGTTCTTGAACAATGTAGCGTTCAGAGTGGTGGTGGCCTCGTAGTCGGCCCAATCAGTCCAGTCCTGGCCATAGTTGGCAGTGTAGCGGAACTTTTCGGCACCATAGGCGGTGTGGGTGACCGTGTAAGTGCCATCGGAGACCGAAAACACCGAGTTGTCATAGTCGTTGTCCGGGAAGACCATGACGTTGCCAGACGAGCCGACGCGGATCAAAAGGTGGTCGGTAATGCCAGTGCCGGCAGTCTTGCCCGCGTTGGTGACGTTGCCAATGGTAATGTGGTAGATACCTTCACCAGCGCCCTGAATCTGGGTAGCATACTGCCAGGCCGAAGGAGTGACAGAGACGTGGTCATCGATTGCACCTGTGATCGACTGGCATCCGGTGGCGTTAGACGGTATCTTCGGCGCCTTGGACGAGTCGCCGGTGAAGTTGAGGCTAATTCCTGCCATGACACTGTCACAGTCCATGTTCTGGTCCCACTCAAACGAAATGTTGATGGTGTCGCCGTCGAGAGTGACGCGTGCGTCGTGGCCCGGCGAGAATCCCGAGAGAGCCGGGGGCGGCGGGACCCAGCGTGACTGGGGGACCAAGACCTTGAAGTCGAACGGTCCCATGTCGATCTTCGAGATGCATCCCTGCTTGGTGCCAGTGGTGTCATTCGCGCCGTAGAATGGCGTGTTGGTGTTGCCAAGGGTAATGTTGTCGTAAGGGTACAGGACGTTTTGAAGAACGCTGTCGCCCTGCCACTGAGCGAGAATGGCATTGGAGGCGGTACAGTCAATGTCGTACGAGACGGACGAGTTCTCGTTGGTGTAAAGGAGCATGACACCCTGGGACGTGTCGGCGTCGGTGTTCCAGCCTGAACCGGTAGTGTTGATTTGCTTGGCCGAGGGGACACGGACGGCCGACCACAGACCCATCTGAGTGGCAGTGCCGTTGGAACCGGGGTAGTACTCGAGACGGGTGTTGTTGCTCAGACGAGACAGCATGAAACCATCCTGGATGGCAGGGAAGGTCGAGCGAACCCAGTTGAAGGCGCGGTGGGCACGGCGCATGGGCGCGGTCGGGTCAAAGTGGTCGAGGGCAACGTTGCTGTCGTAGCATCCAGTGACAGACTTGTCGTATGGCAGGTTGTAGTACTGGGTAGCACCGAGACGGTAGCAGCCGTGACGCTTCCAGGCTCCGGTGCTGACCATGGACTGACGACCGTAGAGGTAGTTGGCGGCACTCGAGTCGAGAACGAACAGACCTTGCTCCTCACCATACCACACAAGTGGCATGCCGGGAAGTAGCAAGTGGGTGATAAACTCGCCGGCAAGCTGACGGTGGGTACCGTTGGCCATGATGGGCCAGCGGAACACGTCCTGGTTGGTAACACCGTACATGTGACGCGGGTCAACCTCGCCGTTTTGCGAGTTGAGGAAATCATTGTTGACGAGCATCTGGTTCCAGTTGTCGATAAAGTCGCCCGTAATGTCGTTGGACACGGAGAGCGAACCATCCATGCCGAGCCAACGGACAATGTAACGGTAGATCGAGTAGTGGAAAGCGGACGAGTCGAGAGCAGTCAGACCCTCCTCGCGCAGGAACTTTGTGTTGTCGGCCGGGGTGAGGTCGAGGGCCTGCTCGTAGGTGGTACGCATACCCTCGGTACGGCCGCGGCCAAGGTAGATGGAACCGAACGAGTCACCACCCGTGATTTCACCGGGGATGAAAAAGTTGTCCTTGCCGACGTCACGAGCGCAAGCGCGAGTCGCGTTGGCCCACTCGGCGAGAGCATCGACAGTGACCTGAGTGGCCTTGTCGATACGGATGCCGTCCACGTCCATGGCCTGGATACAGAGACACGAAAAGAGCTTGAGACGTTCGAGAACCTCGGTACGCCACTCGCGAAGACGGTCCTGGACGGAGGCGAACTTTGCGAGCTGACGCTGCCAGTCGGGGTGGACACCGAACGCTTCAATGTCACCGTACTGGTCAAACGACGACTCGTAACAGCCAGTGAGTCCCGGGTCGAGAATCGAGCCGTCATCGTCGTAGAAGGTCGGGTAGACACACGACTCGTTGTACTCGTTGGTAAAGTTGAAGTCTGGGTAGCCGGTAAAGCCCCACGGGGTGTATACTGGCAACTTCCACTCGACCTCGTACTCGTTGGTGTTGAACGGAGCCGAGGCATTCATGTACCTGGGGAAGGACACGTTAGCATGGGCCGGTCGGTGCGTGCGCGCTGGGCCACTCACTTTGTGAAACCAATCATGTCACCCATGGTTCCGACTGTCAAGTCAAAGATGACATACATGCCACGGGCGTGGATCTTGTCGATGAGCGTGTTCCACTCGTCGAGGGTACCAAAGTGGGGTTCGAGGAGGGTAAAGTCGAGAGCCGAGTATCCGTCGGCCTGCCATGGCATGTTGACATAGTTGGTACCGGCCAGGTAGATTGCCTGGTAGCCCATGCTCTGAATGTAGTCGAGACCGCGGTCGTCCATGAGACCACTGGCGTCTCCGCCTGCACGTAGTTGGGTCTCCCTCCAGTCCCACTCGTAGATCAGGTCGAAGAAGTCATTGTTGGACGGGTCACCGTCGATCCACTTGTCGACCAAGAGGGTATATGTAGGAAGCGTCTGTGGGAGAGGAAATGAGAGTCAGCAGGGGAGGGGCAGCAAGTGTGATGGTTTGTGACTAACACGCCAGTTTGTGGGAGACTTTGTGTAGTTGCCTCGGGCTGGGGTTGTATAATCGATACTGTCTGTAGCATCTGTTGGAAGCGGTGAGCAAAAGTAAAGGAGCTGAGGATGTGCGCGCGCCGCGCTGGAGCATACCACTCACCTTGGTTCTTGTTAATGTTCCATGGATCGAGTGTCTCGTTGTAGACGTGTGCTGCGACGCCGACAGAGAGCGCTGCTGTCACGAGCGTGCGCGCTGCTCGGGCCATGAAGCCGCCGCTGCTGCCCGCTCGGGACGTGCTTGACCCCCCTCTGCGCATTGGGTTTGCACCGGATAGAGGGTCGAATATGGGGGTTCTACTGCGACTGGCGTGGAGGCCAAACGAGAGAAAAGAGAGAACGAGCGAGGTGCTGCTGCGTGACGCAGACGCGAGAGCTGCGGAAAATGTCGATGTGGAGAGTTGATGTGCCGTGCGCGAGAATGTAGCGTGTGTGGTGGTGGGGGTATGTGGTTGTCTATACGGCGTAGGGAGGTCCAGTCACCGGGAGGAGCCTGGGAGGAAGGAAGGTGAAGGGGAGACGCGGGAGGGGGAAGGCGAGGAGGGAAGGTGAGGAAGGCGCGGGGGAAGGCGAGCAAGGAAGGTGGTCGAGACCGGGAGGAAGAGGGGGAAGGTGTTGGAGGAGAGGGGAGGAGTGGGAGGGGAGGGGTTCAACACATGTATGGCACCTGCCCAATGCTAGACGCGGGAGAGGTAGTGGTGGAGGGAGAGGAGGAGGTGGTGGTGGTGGTGGAGATGAGTATGGGGAGATGAGAGGAGGTGGTGGACGCAGCGATGAATGCGGAGGAGAACACTGCGACGACGGCTGGCGGCACTGGCGGGAGCGAGAGAGAGATTGTGTCTCTGGTGAGAGATTGCAGGCAGGCAGCGCGCGTGTGGTGGTGGTGCGCTCTGGCTGTGTGGGTGTGCACAGGCGGACGGCCCGCGGCTGGGTTGTCCCCCCCCCATTTCACCCAAGCGCCCTCTCACACAGGCGTACAGCAAAACTCTGCCGGAGCCAGGGCAGGGGGGTGGGGGGCCACAGGAGGAGGACCCAAAGGGAATGTTCCTGGGGCTGTTGAAATAGCTCCGAATGTGCTTTTGGGCACAGGACGCGCCAACTTTTTTCGCGCGCTGGCTGGCCCGCTGGCTGGCGCGGTATACGCGTCAATAGAATAGTGCTGCTGGGTGGGGTGTGTGCAAACAACAAGGGAGCGCAAGTATGTACGCGTCAAAAAAGTGGGAAGGTGTGTGTGTGCATGTGCATGTGCGCGAGAGTTTGGCTGGATATTGCATGCATGGGTGTGTGGTGTGTGCGTATGTGTGTGTGTGTGTGTGTCATGCCTTTGCACAGGCCATCCTCTGCCCCCGCGCCACGGTCACTCACACCGATCATCCACACACACACACACACACACACACACACACATATGGCCCTTCTGACATGGCCGACATGGTGTGGGCATGTATGCTTTTTTGCTTTCACTTGTGCTACCATCTACATACTCGTCGTCAAACACTGCTATTGCTGCCACCTGCATCTCTGACCGTTGTCATTGCTCATTGCATCTTGGCAACGAGGCACACGAGAGAACAAGGGGTGGAGGGTGTGTCCTCCTCTTGCTCCATGTTTCTGGCGTTCCGATGGATGGCCTGCCCCTCCTGCTCCATATTATCCTCTCCTGCTCAACCAACCCCCCTCCACACCGCCTTGCCTGTGCGCATCCGCACACGCGCGTGCCACATGCAGACTCCACGACTGGCCACTGGTGTCATGGTGTTTGCGGCCAGCGGCCAGCGGCTGTGTCTCAATTCTAGACCACTGTTTTTTTTCGGTTTGGGACACTACACGCGCGATAACGCGTTCTGTTCGGGCTGCGTACGTCGCTTTTTTGAGTGTGTCCATGGGCCAGCGGCCACAGCGCGCCAGCGCCTTCCCTCTCCACAGCCGGACGCGTCCAACACATCACCTGCAATTCCTGCAAACCTGTGCCCCCCCACATCGCGAGCACCTTTAACAGCGACTGTACTACTACTGTTGCGTCGCCGCCCTTACATGGCCTTACAGCTCTGCAGCGTTTGCGGGCGCGGGCGCTTGCGGCGTGCACCCACAAACAAGGCCGCACCGCTCTGGTCCGTCGGACATCGGGTTCTAACAACGTCCACATCCTGCTCTCACCCTTACGGCCCGTGGCCCTGCGTCCGACGATGCATGCAACGTCGTCTGCGCCAGATATAACCGCAATCCGCAGCATGGCCAGGACGGCAGCACGGTAGCAAAGCCCTTTACGCAGTAGCGATCCAGTCCATCTGCTGTACCACCCCCGAAAGCGACCTCCGCAGGTGTGCAGTACCAGGTTCACTGCGATCACTGCGATCACTGGACCAGTACGTCGCCAATCGGCAACTTTTTGTGTCTTGCTTTCTTTCTCGCGTTCGGTTCGTTCTGTCTGTCTTTTTGCATGTCGTCAACCCCCCACCCTGTGGCCTGTGCCTCAGGTCTACCTACCACACGCACACGATGTGCACAGGCAAAAAAAAAGGCAGCGGCGCAACGACAACGCACCCACCGCGTCCGCCGCACACACTAAAACCTGAGCTACACGAGACGGCCGGCCTGAACGCGCTGCAAGCTGCACACGCACACGTCGGCGTGGCGTGAGACCCGATTTTCTTTGCTGTGCACCACGCATGTTGTGTTTGCTTGGCCTATGCCGGTTCGGCCTATTGACAAGGATCTCCTGGACGAAGGTACGGCAGGGTTCGCTACTGCTCTGGCTGCAGAGTGATCACAGAGTGACACCGCGAGCGACCGCACAAGAAAGAACGAGAGGAAAAAGCCTCAGGCCTCAGGATCCATTGCTATGTGCCATTTTCTCAGGTATGCCATTTCTTCTGCCGCTCATGCGCACTTCAGGAGCATGTTGGGGAACAAACGCCTCGCTTGGCTCAGGCATCAGGTAATGATCACAAAACATGACATGCCGGGCGGACACAGACTCAGGACCCCCCGCCGGTGCAGATGGCGCGCGCGCTGACGCACACCACCACACCGCCAAAGGACAACGGCATGAGCATGTGGCCCCGTCAGAACTTTGTGGTGGCGATGCCGCAACCCTCTCTCTCCCACCCTCAACCCTCGCCCTCCACCTTCACCCATACCCCATCTGCCGCCACGTCACAGATCAACGGGCAGTTCATGACAGAGCAACTGGGTTGTGCCCAATTAGCATGAGCATGAACGGGGCCGCGCTGGCACGCCGCACAGGCCAATGCGGCGCGGGGGTTACAGAGTCAGAGACGGTCCGGGATTCGGGAGCCGGGGACGACGCCTCGTGTGTTGTCCCAGCAAACGCGCTGGCACGCTCCGGCACAGACTGTTACATGGTTTGAGGCGGCGGAGGAGGCGGGGCGCATGCCCACGCCATCTCGGTACATGGCAAACGCCCATTCATGGCGTACGGCACGTAGCACACTGGCTATCAATCAACACGCGTGTTGGAACTGCTTTTTCGTGGAATACCCGAACAATCGCATTCATGCCGGCCGGGTGGCGACAAGCATGCTGAGAGAAGCAGCATTCGCATTCCACAGTACACGCCGCGGCGGTAATGAAGCAAATGACGGCAGTGTGCCGCCTGCCTGCTCCCGTCTGTCGCGTCTGTCTCGTTGCGGGGCCAAGTGGCAGATCCCAGACTCGTCGCAGTCGCTTAACGAGATTAGTCTTAACTGTCCCGCTTCCTGACCCAGTCCGCTGCTGGCTGTTCGATCCCTTGTTTTCTGATGCAGCGTGGGTGTACAGTGTAGTATGTACTTACATGGGTCCTGTTCTCGGCGTGGGTGGACTGCAATTTCATCGTGTCTGTTTGGGGTGGTTCTGGCCACAACAAACCACCGGCCACATCCAGCAAGCGGCCACGGGCAAAGGAAACCACAAGGCCACAAGGAGCCTCCCACCCAAATGGCACATGGCAAGGGTGTGCCGATGCTGTCATGCTGCGACATCACAAATACAACACACTGCTGCCCTTAGCCACAGCTCCTTTGTTGGTAACCAGAGCTCAGCACCAATCCCAAACTGTGCACTTGCGTCATGACGCAGGCAGTTGCCGACGCAACCGACTTGTCGTACCCCAAACCCATGTCTATTCCTTCCTTTTGGGGTACACTCCATTTATTAGCACTAGCACCGCCGCGGCGTCCACTGCGGCGATGCCGCAGTATGTGCTGTACCTAAAAGGAGCGCGGAGCAGTGCAAAATAGAACTGCTCGCCAGTGAGGGTTGTATGCAGAAAAAACGACAGTTCTTGTCTAATTGTCTGCCCGCTCCGTATATACCAGTGGCATGCGTGATTACTATACAACAAGGTCTAATCCGCGACACAAAGCTCTGCTGGACACCCGCGCCTCTCACCTCGCAGCTAATGGTGCACGAGAAGCAGCCGCACCGGCACGCTTCTTGCCGCCTGCCTGCTCTGCTGCGCCGCCGTTGCCATTCTCCTTGTCCTCGTTCCAGGCCGTGGCCGACCTGGTAGCAGTACGCTCAACAACCGAGGTGCCGTCGCGGAACCTGGCTCGGAAGAGGACGTTTGCGTTGGTGAAAAGACCTTCCTTGAGGGAGACGACGATAAACTGCGAGCCCTTGAAACGGGTACGGAAGAGCTGGCCGATGTGTTGAGTGTGCTGCAGGTCGAGGGCGGCGTCAATCTCGTCGAGAATGTACATGGGTGCGGGCTTGAACTGGAGCAGCGACATGATCAGGGACAGCGCAATGAGCGAACGCTGGCCACCAGAGAGCTCGGTGAGGGACGCCTTCCACACCTCGCCAAGGCGGACCTTGACCTCGAGGCCGTCGGTGAGGTCCTGGCCCTCGGGAGGCTGCAGCTTGGCAAAGTTGCCAGGCAAAAGCTCGGCAAAGATGAGACCAAAGTCGCCGTTGACCTTTTCCCAAGTCTTGAGCAAGGCGTCGCGCTTGTAACGGTCCAGCTCGACAATGGTCGTCTCAATCTTGGCCTTGTCCTTGAGAACAGTCGACATCATCTTGTGCAGGGCTTGCTCCTTCTTCTCGACATTGTCGATCATGTTCATGACCTTGGTGTTGATCTTGCGGCCCATACCCTTGTGCTGCGCCTCGAGCTCGCGACACTGCTCGCGCGCCTGGCCGAGGTTGACGCCCGCAAAGTCGTATGGCGTGCCGGGCTTGCCAAAGAACTGGTACTCCTCGAGGATCCAGGGGAACTGCTTTTCGAGATTCTCCTTGGCTGACTCGGAACCAGTGCGCTCCTTGGCAACGACTCCCAGGTCGTGGTCGAGCTTCTTGAGTGCAAGCTCGGCATCCACAATCTCCTGGCGCTTGGCCTTGAGGTCGCGTTCAAGGTCGTGCAGCTCGTCGTCAAAGCGCACGAGGACGGCGCGCTCGGCCTTGAGCTTGGACTCGGCCGCCTTGTGGTCGGCCTGTTGAGACTTGAGCGTTTCGGCAAGAGCCTTGTGCTCTGCCTTGCTCTTGTTGTGCGCCGCAATAGCCTCATCCACCTCGACACGCGCAGCGTCGATGTCGGCGTCGAGTTGTTGGATCTCAAGCTCGGCAGTCTGGACCTCCTTTTGGCGCGTCTTGACCTGGGTAGTCTTCTTGCCAAGCTCCTTCTTCTTGCTGGCAATGTCGGCCTTGATCTCCTTGAGCTTCGAGTCCTTGTTGTTCTTGAAATCGTCCATCTCCTTCTCAAGGCGCTTGACATCTGCCGATGCTGCCTTTTGCTTCTCCTTGGCCGAGTCGACAACAGCCTTGAACTCGGCAAGGGACTTGCGCGCAGCCTCAACCTCGGCAATGATCTGACGTCAGCTACGGCCCCCACGAAGCAGCTCACCTTTGTCGCGTTACTACCGCTGACCTGCTCCTCAAGTAGCTTGACCTGGTGAAGACACAGGTCGAGTTCGCGACGGTCCTTGCGCCACTGGTCAATGACCTTTTTGGCGCTGGAGAGCTCGCGCGAGACCTCCTCAAGCTTCTTCTTGTGCTGAGTCATCTCACGCTCCACAGCACGGAGTGCCTGGACCTTGACGAGAAGGCCAGACGAGCTGGGAGCAGCACCGCCACTGAGGGTACCCGAGGGGTCGTAGACATCGCCGTCGAGGGTGACGGAGCGGACGCCAATGCTCTTGTCAAAAGTAACGGCCTGCGCGGCCTCCTTGTCCTTGCAGATGAAGACATCGCCAAAGACGTATGCCATGGCGGCGCTGACGTCCTCGTCATAGCCCACGAGATCGAGGGCCAGGTTCACCTTGCCTGGTGCGACACGCTGGGCAGCAGCAATCTTCTCGGCGGACATGCGGAACGCGTTAATCTTGTTGAGAGGGATAATGGTGACGCGCTTGCGCAGGCGACCCTTGTCGAGCAGTGCCGAGCCGACCTTTTCGTCCTCGACAACGACGTTGTACATTTTGCCACCGGCGCAAATCTCCAGAGCCGTCGAGCTAGAGTAGTTGGCCTCTTCCAGGTCGACGAGAGTGGCAACGAGACCCTTGACCTGCGAGCGGTCAAAGTTGGGGTAAGGGTCCGAGTATGTAAAGTCGATGGCGGCAAGTCGTGACTTGAGCGTGTCGCGCTTCTCGGAGAGCTGGGCAATCTTCTGGCTGTGCTCGGCCTGGCGCTCGAGAAGGGTGCGTTCCTTGTCCTCGTCCCAGCCGGCAGCGTCGACACGGGTGCGAAGCTTCTCAGAGTCAGCGCGCTTGGTCGCGAGCTCCTTCAAAAGACCCTCGCCCTCCTTTTCGGCCTTTTTGGCGCGCGGCTCCTTGTCCTTGATCTCGCGCTCCGCAAGACCGATTTTGACCTTTGCCTGCTCGGCCTCGGTTCCGGCAGCCGCAAGTCGAGCCTTGGCCTCGGCAAGAGCTCCCATGTAACCACCAGCACCCTCGTCCTCGTTAGAGGACGAAAGACCGGTGAGAAGAGTTTGGAGAAGCTCCTCGGTACGCGCAAGGTCCGCGGCGCCAGCATCGTAGGCCTGCTTGAGCTCGGCGTATGCGGAAGCCTCCGCAGCAGATGACTGGCGCTTCTGGGCGAGCGAGTCCTCGACATCCTTGACACCGCGCTTGGCGCTCTCGACGCGTTTGGAATCGTCGGCGACGGTGCTCTCCTTGATCTCCAGCTGGGTCTTGACCTTGACGAGTTCGCGTTCGAGGTTGTTGACCGCGTCGGTGAGAGCTTGGACCTTTCCACCCTTGGCCATCTCCTTGGCGCGACGAGCTTCAATCTCGGCAAGCTCCTTCTCCATGTCTTTGCACTCCTTGCCGCCGCGCTCAATGTCGTCCTTGGCGCCCTTGATGTCCTCCTTCTTCTGCTGGAGCGTGACGGCCGCCTTTTCGACCTTTTCACACACGAGCTTCCACTCGTACGCCTTGACGAGGCGTGTGAGGCGCTCAAGCTCAGAGGTGGCCTTCTGGTATTCGAGGTACGAACGCTTCTCAGCGCGGAGCTTCTCCAGCTTGGGGTCAATCTCCTCGCGAAGGAGCTAAGCAGGTCAGCCACAGTCATGATGGGGTTGTTTACTCACATTCTCAATCTCCTCGACCTTTTTGTCCTTCTTTGTCATAGTCTTGACGGCCTTGTCCTTGCGCTCCTCGAACATGCGCGTACCCGCTGCCTCCTCCACCATGCCGAGAATCTCGGCAGGCTTCATGTTGAGCACCTTGGTGATCTTGCCCTGCATGATGAGGAAGTTGGGGTTATTGATGTTGAGCTGAACAGACTGGAAGAGGTTCTGAATCGTCTGAAGCGTAGACTTGTGACCGTTGAGCAGATATTTGGACACATTGCCGACCGCGATCTGACGCGTCACCGTGATCTGGGGCGTGTTCTCAAAGCCGACTGGTGATTTGCTGCGGTCCTGGTTGTTGAAAACAATAGTAACGGATGCCTTGGTAACGCCTGCCTGACCACTGCATGTTAGTACAAAGCGCTGGTCAAGTAGTATTCACCGCTTGTAGATCAGGTCCATGAGGTTGTTTGCGCGGACCTGGCATTCATCAGCAACCTCCCGGTTTTCATTTTGTACCCACCGACTGCATGTTCGTGATACCGAGGACGAAACAGATAGCATCGAGAATGTTGGACTTTCCCGAACCGTTCAGACCTGTGATGGCGTTGAACGACTCGTCGAAGCCTTTTGCCAGTCAGCAACCACCGACGCGCGAAGGATAGGGCAAAACAGGCACTCACCGGAAATGGTCGTCCGCACCGGGTACGACTTGAAGCCTGCTGTCAGCTAAGGGACCACACTAGAAGCTCACCGTCGAGGATGAGTTCCTCGATCCTCATCGTGGGCACGGGTATGCGATGAGGTAGTGGGTGTGCTAGTCGCGAGTGGTGAGTGGTTGAATGGATGTGTTGTTGGGTCCACCTTGTTGACAACAAACCAGGCGCGTGCCATGTGGCTGCGAACAACACGTCATTAAAAATCAACGTTGATATATTTACATCCGCCGTGGCACCCGTCCCAGGGAGGCACGGCTGTCGACAACACCCAACAGAGCAGCGATCGCAACCGAAACGCAGCATGAGAACACCACACACAGTTGCGTGGTATGCTCACTGGATATTCAACGCGAGGGGAAGCATGAAGAGTGCGGTATGAATAATTCACACACTGTGAGGCGAGTCCGTGGGACAGAGGGCGACGACACATTGTGTTACAAAAACAATCAGCAGACCTAGTATAGATGGAAGGCCTTCCGGGAACCGGTTGTAGCGCTGGACGGCTGCGAATACAGAGGCTTGGAAAAACAACACTTAAACGGGTTGCGAAGTGCTCACTCCGATACCCACACACAAACCGGCATGAATCAGAGATCAGTGACAACAGACCTCTTGTCCTCGTCACCGCAAACAGACGCCTCTTCACTAATTAACAAAATTACCGCACGCTCGCGTACTTCACTCATGCTAGCTTTCCTAGCCTGGACTAGTGGCACCGCTGGTGGTTAAGCGTCAGACCATATATCTGCCTCCGCCATATCCATCGCGTCCTTTGGTGGCCCCTAGATCTGTCCTTGGCCTAGTGGGATGACACCGCTGTGCTGATGTGATGTGTAACTGTGCATTGTTCGTGAACCAGGCGTGGCGTCGGCGACGGTGAGTCGAGGTCGTCAGCGGTTCGCGTGCGTCTTTCCACTGATGATTGTTGTGTGAGAAGCAGAGACGACACAGTCGACGTGTGCGCGGTCCTGCCTTGATTGTGAATAGTGGGGTGGCGGGTATTTCCTTGTTCGTCCGCAGTGACGACAATGTCCACGTAGACTGGCGCCGAAATCACACCATGTCTAGTTTGCCATGGCACTACTGAAACATGGATCAGTGCGATCAGTGCGGTGTCAATTTCTGGCGTGGAATCAGCTGACGTGAGCATGTATGTGCTATGTGCTAATCTCGCCCGGATTTTGGGCGGAAAACACAGCCTATCGACCCCCATATAGCACAGGCGCTGCGTGGTGTGTCTGGCAGAAGCATCGCACAGGCCTGCCTCCGCGTGCCGGTGTGGTGCGTGTGGTTGTCAAGGATATGCAAACATATGGCGGCACCAGTCCGGCCGCCGTTATTTTATCAGGATCACTCGGCGCACGCCGGGCGCCGAACGTGGCCGCCGCGATTAAGGAACGAAGGTGAGCCGAACATTTTTCGGGAAACCCGAGAGACGGCCACTTTGGCCACTTTGCAATTGTGAGGCGTTGCCTTGGCAAACATTACCGTCGGGCTATCGTTGCGGTCGCGTCCGTGACGCAGCAACGGGCTGGAGTCGCACGATGGTGGTGGAGCCAGGATCACAACGACGAGAAGGATGTGGCACGGTAGGCAGGTGAACGCCGAGACCGAAATGTCAATCAAACCGAGATCTGCCCGTGAGATTTGTGTGCACTATGAATACCGATATCAGACACATCGGTCCAAAAAAAAAAAACGTATGCGGAAGGAAAGTGCATTGAGATGGATTTGAGATGAATTAACAATATGTTCTAACAAAACGTGTCAGTCTATGTTGGACTACTTTGCCGACTCGAGGCTGGGGACGCGAGTCGAATCAGAGTGTGTGAGGGGAGCGCTGGAGCCCAATGGCGAACCGTCAACCCTCTCCTTCTCCGCAGAGTTGAAGACGGGCTCAGGCTGGGGGACCTTCTGCGACACATTGGTGCGCGTGCGCTCGACGCCGGTGAGCTGGCGGGTGATGTTGGTCTGAGTGGTGGTCGAGCGCTGGAGTCCATCCTCGTCCTCCTCCTTCTTGTTGTTCTTGGGAACACGGGCGAGCCAGTAGAGGAAGATGGCGCCAAAGATGTTGAAGATGACGTAGACCCACAGCAGGCCGAAGTCACGCCAACGGTTGCTAAAGTAGATGTTGAACGCGGCGAGGAAGGTGTCGGTACTGCTCATGGCGCAGAAGTTACACTCGGACGTGGCATTGGCGTCGGTGAGGTAACCGCCGGCAAGGGCAATGTAGGGGGCCATGTATTCACCGCAAGTGGCGCCAGAGGGGGGGTAAAATTGGACAAGCTCAGTGGCAGAGCAAACGACGTTGGCGTGAGCTGTCGCGACACCAAGCAGACCCTCCACAAGATAGGTGAAGGGTGACACACGGTTCATGAAATGCCAGAAGCCAGGTAGCGACTGGAGGGGGACGAGGGTACCGCAGAAGACGAGGCACAGCGAGAAGAGCAGGTTGGCGAGGTTACCAGCGGTTTCGGCGAGCTCGATACCAGCGACCATCATGGTAGCGAAAGTCGATGTGAACAGGAAGAAGACGATCATGAAGAGCCAGATGAGGGCACCACGAGAGTCGACCGCGTCGGTGAGCTGGGCGTTGCGGTAGTAGCCGATGGGGTAGTACCAGCAGAAGAAGAAGAGGGTGGCAGCCAGAATCGACCAGGGGACCTCGACGAAAATGTTCGACAGGATGAAGATCTTCCACGAGTACGTCTTGGACGGGCGCTCACGAACTTCGTACAGCGAACGCTGGATGACAAAGTTGGGCATGATTTGCTGGACGATCTGGCCGAAAATGGTGAATGCCATGAAGACGGAGAAGAGCTGGTTCTGGAGGCCTTGTTGAGAGGTGTCGGCCTTGAAGAACGAGAAGCCGATGAAGAGAGCACACGAGATACAGAGCAGGAGCTTGGACATGATGTAGCTGGGCGTGCGCCAGTACTGCTGGAAGACGCGGCGGAGGACCTCGTACATTTGAACACCGATGGATGCGGCAAACTCAGAGTAGGCGGCCTTGTCGGCCTTGGGGTCAGCCTTGGGGACGAGGGCGCGGCGCTCGTGCTTGATGACCTCGAGCTCTTCACGGACGGCAACACGCTCGGGCGAGTCAAGCCAAGCCTGGTGCCAGTCGACGTCGGTGTGGGAGCCAGGGGCAGCACCAATGGCAGAAAGCATCCACTCGGCGGGGTTTTCGCCAGCGGGGCAAGGAGGAGCACCGTTGCGGACAAAGTAGTCGATGAGAATGTTGGACTGGTGACCGACCTGACCGTAGTAGACAGTCCTGCCACCCTTGGCAAGGAAGAGAAGACGGTCGAACTGCTCAAAGAGCATGGCAGAGGGCTGGTGAATGGTGCAGAGAATGGCCTGGCCGTTGGCAGTAAGCTTCTGGAGGAGCTGAAGAATGTTCCACGAGGTCTGCGAGTCAAGTCCCGAGGTAGGCTCGTCGAGGAAGAGAAGAAGCTCGGGCTTGGCGACGAGTTCGACACCGATGGTAAGACGCTTGCGCTGTTCGACGTTGAGGCCCTCGCCGGGAACACCGACAACGGCGTCGGCGTAGCCGTCCATCTCGAGGAGCTTGAGGACGTCCTCGACATACTGGTACTTTTCGGCGCGGGGAACGGACTTGGGTTGACGGAGGATGGCAGAGAAACGGAGGGCCTCACGGACGGTCGAGGTCTGAAGGTGCAGGTCCTGCTGCTGGACATAACCAGTCTTGCGCTGGAACGAAACATCGCGGGGACGGCCGTCGACAAGCATTTGACCGGTAACAACACCCATTGTGACACGAGTAGCCAGGACATCGAGGAGGGTAGTCTTGCCCGCACCGGAGACACCCATCAGGGCGGTGAGGGTACCGGGCTTGACCCAGCCGTCGACGTGGTCAAGAATACGACGAGGCTCGCCCTTAATCTTGATGTCGTAGCAGACATCCTTCCAGGAGAAGACAGCAGTCTGGCGCTGAATGAGGCCGTCGGCAGCATCAAGGGTCGTTTGGCGCCTCATGAGAGCGGCCTCCTTGACATCGAGGGTCTCCTCGTCGGTGTTTTGGGCCTTGAGCGCGGCGGGGATCTTGCCGCGGGGGAAGACAAGAACCTCACCCTTGGAGCGCTGGGCGGTAATGTACTCGGTGGCGCCGAGATAGACACATGCCAGGAAGATCATAAAGGCGAAAATGATGCCGACGTTGCGCCACTTGTGCGCGTGTTGGTAGTTGTACGCGGCGAGAAGGTACGCGTCGCCGTCGACGGTGGTAGCACCAGCAACAGAGCCGACAGCCGAACAGGCCACCTCGAGGCCAGAAGTAGGGTAGTTGCCACCCGACGGGACAAAGGTCGCACACGCGAACTGGCGGTTGTGGAACTCATTGATCATGAGCGATTCGAAGCCGTAGGCGATCGGGTCGAGGTAGTTGATCCACCTGGCCCAGCCGTGCATGTACGAGATGGGGAGGGCGAAACCGGTGTAGATAACCAGCGCAAGAATGAGAACGGCGGCCGGGGCGAGGGCTTGAGTGAGGGAGCGTGAGAGCGATGCGATAGAACGGAACATCATCGACATTGTAAGAGTGAGGATGAACGATACGAAGAAGAAGAAGAAGAAGGGCCCAGGTTCACGACGCAGGTTGGTCATGAAGTAGATGATCAAGTTGAAGAGAATGGCGTTGCAAATCTTGTAGGGCATGTCGCAAAGCATGGACGCAAAGGCTTCAGCTGAAGGGTGGTAGAAGGCGTATTGCGCATGTTTTTCGACGATGGGACGCTGAGCATAGAGGGTAAGAATTTCGAGGGCCGAACCAAAGGCGTTCATGAGGATGGCGAAGAAGAGAAGACCACCACGAGAGTAGAACGAGGCGGTGGTGGGCTGCAGGTTGTAGAAGATGGACGCGATGATGAGGGCCATGATTGAGTTACCGAAGAGTTGCGAGAGGGTGAGCGACGGGTCCGCCTTGAGACGCTGGAAACCACGGTCAAGACAGAGCTTGACCTGGCCAGCGTACGAAAGGGTGTAGGGCGAGCCGGGGCGGATGTGCTTGGACTGCTGAGCACGACGCGAGGCAAGGAACTCGTCGTAATGCTGGCCGCCAGTGGGGTACTTGGCGTTGAACGCGGCAATCTCGCCCTTGAGGGCAGCATACTCGGGGCTCGCGCGCCAGCGAGCGGAAAACTCCTTGGGCGTTTGGGGCACCTGGTGCTCAAAGCCATCACGAGCAGTACGCTCGCTGGGGGAAGTAAGGGAGGTGAGGAAGTCGGGGGTGGTCTGCTGCTCGGGGCAGTGGAAGCCCATGTTGACAAAGAACTCCTTGGCCTCTGTGCAGCGGCCAAAGTAAATCTGCTCGCCCTCGTAAAGGACACAGACCTTGTCAAAGAGGTCGTACGCGCTCTGTGGGGCCTGGTAGATGGCGACGCAAGAGCTGGTACCAAAGTGCTCGGCGCTGAGGCGGAGGTTCCTGACAAACTCGATGGCGTTGGCCGAGTCGAGACCACGGGTCGAGTTGTCCCAGCACTGGAGAGGAGCGGACGCAAGGGTGGCCTCTGCAATCGAGACACGCTTGCGCTCACCACCCGAGACACCACGGATAAAGTCGTTGCCGACCTTGGTGTTGATGGTGTGCGAGATGCCAAAGATGCTCATGATAACGTCGCGCATGTGCTCGGCATACTTCTTCTGCGTGAGGCCGGCAGGAGGGTTCCTGGGCGCACGAGCACGAGCAGCGAACGCAAGGGTGTCGCCAACGACGAGCTTGGGGAAGTGGACGTCGACCTCTGCGGTGTAGATGGACTCGCCACGGAACTGCGAGTGCATCTCCTTGGGAGTGATACCTGAGGAACAAAGTGTCAATTGAATGTGTCTGGCATGTCGGGTGTCTCCCGGCTCCACCACTGGCAACCCATAATTTAAACTTACCGCGGTAATTAAGATGGGAGCCCTCGTCGAGATAAATGCCATTCATTTCGCCAGCAATCGCCTTCAGGAGCGTGGTGCAGCCTGAACCGGGGGGCCCGAGGACGACCAGCATCTCGCCTGCATCGACAACACCGTCGATGCTGTTGAGAATGTTGACACGGGTCTTGCGACCAGTAATCTTGTCGCGCAGAGTTTGGTAGGCGTAGACGGCAATGTTGCCAACAGTCTTCTGGTAGTCTTTGTTTGTGTGTGAGCGACGTGGGTCCTGACAATTGGGAGATTGACGTCACTCACCGGCATCGGAGCCGTAACCAAAGACGTCCATGTTGGAGTAGGCAAGACCAGAAGTACGGGGAGCAGTGTCCCGGTGACGAACGACGAGCTTGGTCCACTTGCGGACGTCAAAGTTCTCCGAGAAGGGGTCGAGGTCGGAGCCCTCCTCGTAGTCGAAGATGTCGCCTTCAGCAAGAACGGAGCCGTTGGTGGCGACACGGTGGAGGCCACCAGGACGGGTGCTCTGGCGAGTGATCTGGCGAGCAAGCTTGGTGATTTGCTCGTGGCGCTCCTCGATCGGAGTAAACACCTCCTCTTCGTCATTGTCGCCGTCCGTGTTGGTGGGCCCGGTGTGGCTCATCATACGCTGAAGCGCAGTGCCACCGCCGTCCATCGTGGCACCATCGATGTTTGCTGCGAAATTGCCGACCAATGCAGCCATGGCTGGCAGAAAGGGAGAGGGGTGAGGGGGTCGGGTTAGAAAAGGTGGGTGAGGGAAATTGGTGTTGGATCAACTCTTGTGCTGTGGGGCTTTTATTCAATGGCCACGAGTACCAAGCCAAACACTGCTGTCGTGCCATTGACAATGCTCGGCCAGTGCAAGTGCGCACCGGGCAGCTCGCTCCTGATCAAAAGTGGCCGTTCAGCGCCTGGCTGGCCGCCCCAGGCCCCCGTTACGGTCGCCACCGGCGGCCGGGTGCACGGATTGAAGCCCTTTTCACGGCTTTTCCGTCCTGCAAACGTGGCGATAACGTGGGGTTTCCCTGGCTCCACACCTGGTCACCACCGTTTCCAGCCGTTAGTCAGCGACTTGACGTAACGAATTTTCGCGATGGCCATCGGTCTCGCCCACTACCGAGCTACCGATGGTCATTGACGTGTGGATCGCGATATCGATCACAGGGAAAAAAGGCAGGGTCAACTTGCGCGGCTTGGCGGCGGTGTTCACCATGTTGACACACACGACCCGTAGCTGCCTTCACGTCAACTGCCTTCACGTCACCATGGCAAAATGAGACGGGCGGACGGGTCTCTACCCCTCTCGGCGTCCGTAGAATGAGGCCGAAGGTCATGATAAATAAAAGTGGACGTATGCGTCATCGAGTGGGCTCTCTTGTTCCTTGGAATAGAAAACTGTACACCAAGGACGTGCGACCCGCACAGCCCGCCACCGTTCTTTCCCCCATCTTCACCAACAGCAATCCAACGAACGTTGCCATCCGAGCACACATGCCACCACGAAGGCAGTTAGTCACAGCCCACAGATCACACGGCCAACAGTGATACACGACGCCCGTTACTGGCCGGCTCGTGCGCACAACCAGTCCGCTTGACACCTCCGCACGTCCACAGATTATTCACCGTTCTGACAAACCACCTCGACACCTGGCCAAGAATTACTTTGAGAAGGCAGTTGGAGCTGCAGTGAATCTTCAAATCGACAAGGTCATGATACGTTTGTCGACTGTGGCGGACGAGACGGAATAATGCTTGTCACTCGCCCTCGCGCCCCGCCGTCTGTCCATCCGCCACTAGTGTCGGAAGACACGGACTGCGCTGAACTGCCGATCGTCATGGGTGCTAAGGTTATGTCCGCCTATCGCCATGTGCATAGTTGAGCTGGAATCCTGACAAACTGGGGGCTCGCGGTCTACGATTGTTTGGATGAAGACTGTGTGTGGACTAAACGTCGTCCCTGTTTGTTGTTATCGCTACTGTTGCAACAATCCCAACGTCAACACGGCCGCTACCCTCACTTCCAACTTGTGTCCATAAACAGAACTCGTGAGAACAGGAGCCATGAAGTGCATCATACATCAGCACATGTATGTGTCACCACGCCCCGTCAATTGCGAGGTGAGGCGACGGTGTATCACGTTGAGGGGGGATTCTTGCTTTGTGCCGAACCACCGTCGAGTTTTCGTTCGTTTCCGTAAGAACTGCTGCTCTCAGGTAACGGTAACGAAACCTAATACTGGCCATCCCATTCAGCATGGTCAATGGCATCCTCGAACCCAAAACTATGCGGACTTTGGGCCGCACGCACCCATCGGCTTGGCCTTCTTAACTGTTACGTCGGCTTCAGAAACGGTAATCCAGCCGTATCTGCTGTGATGTGCCTCTGAACTGAAGTGTCCCCGCCACAGCTGTAGCCGCTGAATGCCATCACCTTCTGCAAGCATAGAGCTTTTTCTGTCTCTCCTCCGGCCCTCGGCGCTTGTAAATGTCGCCTCCTCGTATGGTGCCAACATCTTTTTGCTCTCATGCACAAGCCTGACTTCTTAGCCGCGTCCACAGCTCCGCATCGGTCCTTCCGAACGTAAGAGAGCAGATCCAGTAGACGTCCTTAAGCTCTCAATGTTTCTTTCCCAGCGTTGAGGTTTAAGAGCCTGGGTATTAATTTCCACGTCGGTTCATTTCGCGCAATTATCATACGTCGATATCCCTTTGACTGGGGCCTATATCCTTACAGCTCTTTTAAATGACAATAGGATTACTCTTATCGCCAGCAAAATCCTATCTGTGCATCCGTGATGCGAGTGGCTTGTGGTAGTCGACCACTGCTTACAGGCGCCAGGGCCTACGTCAGCAGAGGCTGCATGTTCAGAAGGCCTGGCAACGTCTCTCAGTAAATATTCGAGGCTACAGTGAGTACATGACACCAGTACAAGACACGGCAAGATTTCGAGAAGGTTTGGCCTGCGGCAAAAGGCAACGTGTGCGCTGGCACCCTTTATACTGGGCTGTCCGCCACCACCCCGCACGTGCAAGCGCCCAAAACGACCTGTTAAGCCGACCCCACACGGATCCGCGCTGGTGAGAGGTCGATGGAGGCCGGGGGTCGACGTGAAAGCCGGTGAGGCCGCGAGCCCCGGAGTGCTGCTGTCGGCTCTCCCTGGCCCACCTCCACACTTCCGGACGCGGTCGAAGCGGCGCTCGACGGCACAACGAGTTGTTCGCAAGGACGAGCATGCGGGGCAGAGTGGGTCCGCATCGGCCCGGCGCCTGGGGCCGTGTTTGCCGTGTGGGAATTTGATCCCGTTGCCTCCCGACCCGCTTGCGCCGCCGCGCTCCGAGAAAACCCGCCCGCCTGGAGGGCATGAACGTGGGGTCCCATGTCGGTCGCACGCTCCGTACGCTCCGCACACTCCGGTCGATAGTCACCCCGCACGCATGTGCGGTGTTCATGAGAGCAAAAGGGGAATCGTCGGTCCTCCGACGCCCCCGACGTGCTCAACGACGCGGTCGATGTAGATATATAAGAACGTGTGTGTTCTGTCAGCATGAGACCGCCAACTCACCACCTCTCACAAAGTAGCCTCCCTGTGCCACAATCTCCAACCAACAACAAGTGCGTCTCCGATCTTCCGGGACCCGACCTTGTGCCACTGCTGACTCTGCCAGTGACTGTCGCTCCTGTCGCTTCTCCTTCTGCTCCCACTGCTCCCACTGTGGCCATCAACGGCTTTGGGCGTATCGGTGAGTACCACGCTGTGGGCCTCCAAATAGAGAGCGCCCACAGGGCACATCATGTGGCATGCCTCTGACGCCACACAGGTCGCGCCCTCTTCCGCATCTGCCTCGACCGCAATGACATTCGCCTTGTTGCCGTCAACCACACTGCTGCCTCGATCGAGCACCTCCTCTCTGCCATCCACCACGACTCTACCCACGGTGCCTGCCTCCACTCGAGCGAGATCATTGTTGCCCCCGCAGACCACCCCGAGCAGCTCCAGCCCACCGCCAACAACCCCACCCCCTCTGCCCTCCTGTACCGTGGCCGCATCATCCACCTCTTCTCGCACCGTGACCCCGTCAAGCTCGACTGGTCGTCGGCCGGTGCCGACTACATTATGGAGTCGACCGGCAAGATGACCACTGTCGCCACTGCCTCTGTTCACATTTCCAAGGCCAAGGGCAAGAAGGTCATCATCTCGGCTCCTTCCAAGGACGCTCGCAACCTCGTCTACGGTGTCAACCACACCGACTACTCTGGCGATGACGTTGTTTCCAACGCTTCGTGCACTGTGAGTTCTGTCGTGCTGGGTGAATACTGCATTGGGAGTGGAGTGGTGACGATGAGCGCCACACCCCATCTTTCACCCGTCCTCATCAGGAAAACATGGCGGAAAACAAGTGCTAATTCCCTCGCAGACCAACTGCCTCGCCCCCGTTGCCTCGGTCCTCCACAAGGCTTTCGGTGTCGAGAACGGCATGATGACCACCATCCACGCCTCCACTGCGTCGCAAAAGGTTCTTGACGGTTTCTCGGCCAAGGACATTCGTTCCGGCCGCTCCGCCATGGGCAACATCATCCCCGCCACCACTGGTGCCGCCAAGGCTGTGGTCAAGGTCCTTCCCGAGCTTGAGGGCAAGTTCCAGGGTATCTCTGTCCGCGTTCCCGTCACCAACGTCTCGCTCGTGGACCTCACTGTTACCACCACCAAGCCCTTCGAGTCCAAGGAGGAGCTCATGGCCGCCTTTACCACTGCCGCCAACACCCCCGTTTCGGAAGGTGGCCTCAAGGGCGTCCTCGGCGTCTCGATGGAGAAGCTCGTCTCGTCCGACTACCTCACTTCCTCGCAGTCGTCGACCATTGATGTTGACGCTTCGATCGTTCTTGACAACCACACCGCCAAGGTCATTGCCTGGTACGACAACGAGTACGGCTTTGCCAACCGCATGTGCGACCTTGCTCTCTACATGAGCACTCGCGACTAGACAACCACGTTTTAGATAAAATAGATCCTCTCCTTTTTTGGTTTTTGTAGTTTCAGCTTCATGTATTCTTACCAACGTGTTAGAGCGGGCTGGAGTTGTCCGATGGTTGCGATTTCCTCCACGTGCAAAGGACGCTGCACGCACTGATGTCGGGCTAATCGGCATTCATAGTCTACAGTAGCTCCCGCCACACGCGGGCCAAGAAGGCCGATCGGTCAGGCCGGCGCCGCGGAAGATGCCTGACACCTCCCTTCCCCACATGCGTCTGCGGCCCTTTAGCCTGGCCTGCGTTGTCTGTCTGTTGTGTAAGGGAACCCAAGTACAGAGTCAGCGAGCGCCAGAACATGGGGCGTCATGTTGTCTAAAAGAACGTGGGACGCCGACGAGTGACCATGATCCACCGAATGCTGCACAACTCAAGGGGAACTGTGGCCGCGGGCGACATATCCGACGTCCGCTTATGGCCGTGAGCTCGTTGGGCACTTAACCCGCGCGCAATCTACTGACATGTGGTCGGACCTGTCCGCAAGGCACCACGGGCCACGGGACCGCCATGGCTGGCGTCGGCTGGTCCGACGTAGATTAGGCACCTCCAGGCGGAAGTTGTGTGGTGTGTGCATATTGTTTGGGGGATGGGTGGGGGACGTGCATAGATGCGCGAGGAGGTCGGCCATCGTGTGGGAGTCATTTACGGATGAGGTGGCACTTTACTGAAATCATGTATTTTCGTTGCGGAAAGGTTGGGGTTTTGGTGTGCCTCGAGTAGTAGACAGTACCCATTCGGCTGCAACACGGCGAGTCTGACATTCTTGCAATGAGTCTAGTGGGGGACCTTTGCTTTCGTGGATGCAAATAAATGCTTATGTACTGAGTTTACCGTAGTCTACCAGGTTGCTTAGAATGACGTGACCCTCCATCGTTTTACCTGGATTTAAACCATTTTTATTGCTCCCACAACAACAACAGTAGGAACGACTCCTCATTGTTATGCCGGATTGCAAAGCGTGTCTCATCATCATGGCTTCCCGTTTGCAGCCGTGTCGGGTTTAAATGCAGAGCTGTAACCTGAGGTTATGGACAGTATTGTTTTAGTCTAGCCACGGCAATACATTGAACATAATGCAAAGGTTATCATCCCTCGTATGTGCAACTACCACCCAACTCTAGCTGACTCATCTCTCGCATAACTGACATATCGACACCTCCAGCATCGAGCTGGCTGCAGCTATGTACAGCTCACATGACAAAGCACGAGAGAGTGCCGCGGAACGTCGGAACTGAATTATCCGCACTACTTTTTGCGGCGTTCAAACATCACAAAGGCCCATGGCGTTCTCAGATGCACAGGACAAGAGGGAGCTCGGCCGGGAACGTATCGCGGAATTGCGGAATTACACAACCAGTGGGCAAGCATTGGTGTGGAGCCGAGGCCTCGAGAAACTCGTGGGGCATCAGCAATTCTACAACTCGTGTGCTGTGCCTGTACGCCCCAGGCGTCGTAATGAACGAGCGTGCTTGCATGCAGAATGATTATTCGACTAGGTCTATATGAAAATGCAAAAGAATAAGCCACGGAGGGTGGGACACCTGTCTGTGCCTCCGCTGTAGCGTTGGTAAAGGAGGGTGCGGCTGATGTCTACTCCTCCTTGGCAGTGGTGGCTACGGCACCAGGGTTGGCCTCTGGGTCCTTCTCCTTCTTGGAGGGATCCTCGTCAACGGCCGTTTCCACCGTGTCAGTCGTGGTGGTGCTGCCAGCAGCCTTCTTGGGCTGGAAGCGACCCATGCCGCGAAGAACGGTGAGGGCAATGATCAAGGCGGTGAAAGCCGTGCCGGCCGCAAACCAGAAACCGCCATGGAGACCCTTGAGGATGGCCGATATTTTGTCGTCGCCAGCCTGGAGGGCTTTATTTTGCAGACTTGTCTGGACGACAGACACAAAGGCCAGGCCGAGGGCACCGCCGAGCTGTACCAGAGTCTGGAACAGGGCACCAGCGACACTCTGCTCCTCGGGAAGGGCAAGGGTGGACACAAAGATACTGCCGACAGCCATGAGGAAGTCGGCTCCAAGTACGGCGAGCCACATGGCGTTGAATGGAAGACGCCAGTAATAGGCGTCAGCCGGGGCAATGGCGAAGAAGACGTTGGCCAGACCCGTGGCGAGAATGCCAATAGAGATGAGAAGTTGGCCGGGAACGAGGTGGACGACCTTTGCAACGAGAATGTTGCACAGAAGACCGGAAACGGTGGTCGGGAGGAAGCGAAGCATCGCTCCGATTGTGCCAACCAGTTGCACCTGTGGGAGAGTGTTAGCTGCTTGCTTGTAACGCTAGTCTCCAAGTTGTCTCACCTGCTCATAGAAAAGGGTGGCACTGTAGAAAATGGTGGCAAAGCCCATCCAGGTAATGCCGCCAACCAAATACGTCGCAGCAAGCCTGCCCTTTGCGCGTGTCCAGAGAGCAATACGCATAAGTGGTGGACGAGTTGTGCGTGTCTCAACATAGTGCTCCCAGAAGAAAAAGCCAGCGATCATGAGCACCGAAATGATGAGGAGAGCGATAATGTCTGTATTGCGTCAGCCAATGTGCGCCACCACATGGAATTCTCTCGGTACACTCACATCCGCTCTTCCATCCTTGAGGGGCCGTCTGGGCATCTGACACGGCAAATTGAAGCAGGACCAGGGCGACGGTGATGATGGCGGCTCCCACCCAGTCGATGCGACGGTCAGAGTCCAGGTCCCGGTCGGGAGGAACCGCGACGACGCCAGCCACAGCCACCAGCGCGGCGGTGCCGGCAAAAGTCCACAATGCTGCGCGCCATGTCTTACTGGAGGTGCTTGTCAGTAAAGCCTAACTTTGGGTTGAACGAAGCGCTGGGATGCACCGTCCAAGTGCAAGACGATGTCTATCGACACGTGCACCCAGCGACCAAACCGACCAAGACGAGGAGTGTAGGTGGTTGTGACAGGTGGCAGGTGCACGGTGGCAACGACACGTGGAGTGCACTGTCCGCTACGCAGTGTAGGGACTTGGCCATGCCCTTTGTTGGAAGGTGGACTCACTCGGTGTAAGAAATCAGCACTCCGCCGATGATGAGACCCAGTCCGCCGCCGATGGGACCTCCGGCAGAGAAACAAGCAAACGCGCTCGCCCTGGTCCGTCCAGAAAAGCTTGACGCGATGATACCGATAGCCGAGGGAATAGCAAACGCACTGCCTACACCGGCGAGTGCACGAGTGACGACCAGACCGGCGGCATTGGTCATAAACCCGCCGATCAAGGTGAAGATGGCGTTGAATGCCACGCCGGCGATGAAACAGGCCTTGCGGCCGTAGACGTCTGCGACACGTCCTGCGAGCAGGAGGAAACAGCCGTTGGTGAGGGAGAAGGCAGACGAGATCCACTGGAGCTGCGCTTCGGCCATGCCCAGGTCCTCCATGATGAGCGGCAACGCAATGCTCAGACTCATCGAACCGGCACCAGACAGCGCCATGGTCGCCGTGGTCGTGAGTGCGATGGCGATCGTGCGGCCCATGGAGAGGGTGGGATGCGGCGGCGGCTGTGATGCACCCTCGTTTTCCTCGCCGGCCTCAGTGGCCAGTTCTGGTGTGATCACCACACCATACTCTCCAGGTGCGCCGGCAATGCCCGCGCTCGTCGAACGATAGAGGCTGAGTTGGGCGAAATCGGCCTGCTGATCGGCGTCGGAGGAAGAACCCCCGGCTGCCCTCCCAACGTCGCGGCTATGCCTGGGCAGCTTGTCGCCGCTGGCGGTGTCGGTCATGTTGTCAAGATGGAAATGGTGTGATGTATGATGCCAAGCAACAAAAGCGACTATACTTTTAGCAATACCCGAGGCTCGCAGTAGTCACATCGTGTTGCTCGGTCAAGGGAAGTCCGAGGGCTGGATAAATCAACCGAAGCTTTTCCCGCCCACTTTAGTCGCCGCACGCAGCGACCGGGTTCTGCTGCGGTGGGATGTACGGGTGTGCATCGGAACGGCGGCCTTTTGTGGTTGCACAGTGCATGTACGTGCTATGTCAGCCAAAGCATGTATGTACTACCAATCCCATGTACTCGCTATGTGCTTTGCCTCGATTCAGTAGAGTGATCGACATGACGGCGGACGACGCCGGCCGCAGGGCAAATACTGATTCTTGTATGATAACGCCCACGTTGCAGTCTCACCGTCAGGTATCACAAACATGCATTATCGGCTACTTGTACAAGGCGTCCACGTCGCCCCGGATCTTAAATGTTTATTCTACAATCGCGTTGCTTTGTTTCAACGCGTCGTCGTTTTGGACGCGTTGAGTGTGACTGACGGCCAATGGGTCACAGACTTCTTTACAAAGCGTACCCGAGCTCAGCCTCAAGCTTTGTCAAGCTGCGCTTCTGGATCTCCTCGTGCAGTGCGAAGCTGTCGCGGAGGGGCATGGGCAGGAGGGAGGAAAAGTACTCCCGAGTCGCCTCACCAGCAGCCGGAGATGCGGAACGGCTGCGGTCGCTCTCGTTCAGGTTGGACTGGAAGATGCCAGCTGCCGAGGCCGGGAGAAAGTCTTCGTATGTGATGGGCGAGAGCGCCACCGTCCCAGCCTTGATAAGCTCAGAGAGGGGGGTAGGAGACGTGGGCTGGGGGCCGACGAGCTTGTACTCGACGTACGCGAGGTCCTGTTCGACCATCTCGGCATACGAGTCCGGGAAGCTCTTGAAGGCTTCGGCCAGGTTGTGCTGGTGGTGCGCATTGTCGATGGCCGGCGCAGTGCGGGACAAGAGGTCGAGGTAGAGGTTGTGGCCTTTGCGGGTGAGCGCACATCCGCGCTGCTCAATCTCGCCGAAACGTGCACGGTGGCTGCCAGATGCTGCCGCACCAGGTGCATCACCGGGGAAGCGGATGGGCTCGGTGAGGGCCTGGAATGAGGTTTGGCGCAAGAGAATGTCACAGTTGCGGCGAGGTGGACCTTCGATAATCTGCTTGGGTGTGATGCCCCTCGCACTCATGCCCTCCTGGGCGGCGTCAATGTCAAGAACTCGAGGCGTAAGGTGGTTGATGTGGGGGCCACGGAACGCCACAATGTCGGCGACAAGGGTGTGGGCCTCGTGCAGGCGGTTGTAGACGTCGCGCGAGACGAGAGCAGAGTCGTGCCACTTGAAGGTCTCGAGCGACTTTTCGACCAACTCGTTGGCATCGACCTCGTTGAGACCGCCCTCAATCTCCGACTTGGAGACAAGGTCGCGCACGCGTGGGTGGAAAATATCGCGTCCGGCAAGAATGGCTTGAGCCTCGGCGCGGAGGTCGTCGGGGAGAAGGGAAGGAAGCAGGAGCGACGTGAAGACGCGGAAGGGGTTGATTGCGAGAGCCTCAGCTGTAACAGGGCGGAAAGCGGTGGCATGGACGGGCACACCAGAGGTCGAGAGGTCATAGTAGCCAACGGGCTCCATACCCATCTGCCCAAAGAGGCGCGAAATCATGACCAGTTCCTCGGGCTTGCCGAGGCGGATCGCGCCGTGACGTTCCACCTTGAGGCGATCTGTTCGGGTCAGACTTCATCCTGGGGCTGATAGTGCTTGTATCCAGCTGACGCATGGCCAACGACTCACCCTCGGGCTTGGCCTCCGTTTCGGCGTTGACGTCGTCAACCAGCTCGATGAGGTCACCGTACAGTGGCACCTCGGAGCGGTACATGGCGCTCAATGCTGCGCAGAAGCGTGCACGGAGCTCATCTTTGGAGACAAACTGGGTCATCGTGTATGGGTGATAGGGAAGATGGGAGAGTATGCAGTGTGGGAGGGGGACTGTTGTCCCATCCATGCATCGAGTCGTTTGATATATAGAGATACGAGTGCAGCCGATCTACGTTGCCTGTTATCAGTAAGCCGTGGAGGTTTGGCTAGGCAGAGGTGGTCGCCTCCGCTATTCCGGGGAATCTGGTCAGTTGGCTCGACTCCCGGCTCTCAGCCACACTTGACCGTTGAGGACGGTGTCCGCAGGTAGGGAAATCGCGCGACTTGCATGGTCGTTCGCGCGCCTATGTGGGGTATGGGGGGACTGGGGGACTGCAGGACTGGTGGACCGGAACAAACAACCGTCGCAGCAGAGACACAATTGACTACTCTGTTTTGGCGTCGGTATCCGCCGAAGAGAGTCAGTCGAGAGACGCCGGAGACGGAGCTCCGTACTCGGTTGTGGAGGCCATGTCGGCCAGGTCACCGTCATCGGCCAGTGATTCAGTGACCGTTGCTATGCGGCGCCCCGGGCGCCTACTCTGATGAGAAAGAGACGTTGCCACATGTGGTTCAACGACATGGATTGCAACAATTCAAGAGCTTGGCAGGACGTCTCCCCAAGATCCGCATACAAAAATCGAAAAAAGACGCAACCACAGATCCAAGATCCACAGAGCCCTTTTGCGATCCTCTGAACTATCTGGCGTGCCAGGGGTGCGGTTGCGCGGATGCTGTGCCTTGAGCACTACGGGAACCTGCATGGGGTCTTGGACGCGCCATGGCTCTCTTTTGACAGTCTCGACACGAGCAAGCGGTGGTAGCGAGGACAACTCGTTAGCGTGCGAAACAAGGGAAAAAAAAAAGGACGGAGAGAGGAGAGGGTGATACAAACACCGAGGCAAAGCGAGGAATTTGTACGACGCCTCTGAAGACGACACCACAGGCCACAGGTGCACAGAGATCAGAGAGAGGTGGGCAAACGCGGTTTTGAGTGTCCTGACATGTCTCCTGACGGGACATGAGGCAATGTATGTGTGAGAGGGTTGGAATTACAAATCAAACCAAAGGGCAAAACGTAAACAGAGCGCGTCGGCATTTGTTTTACCCCACACCAAAGTCTAATCCGCCTATTGACTTATTTGTGGGGAAGCTTCGGCCTAAATCAAATGATATGTATACGTCACATTGTATTACGTAACCTTTATCAGTGGCCCCCGGTGGGCGCTTAGCAATGGGCCAACTTGGGATATTGGTGCCAGTCGTCTTGCCTTTGCCTCTCTGTTCCGTGTGTGTGGTACGGCTACAAACTGCTACGGCTCGTCGTCTATTTCCATCTTGAGACCACCCCATCCCATCGCTCTATCAACACCCATGGCGTCCCCGTCACCGTCCCTCAGCCCAGAGGCCTCATCCGCATCCAAACGTAAACGGAGCCGTGCGGGCTGCTACACATGTCGCCGCCGAAAGGTATGAGAAGGAGAGAGTGGAGCCAGCCGACGTCGTGGGCTTTCCCTCGGTCCCCCCCTCCAAAGCGGGGGCCCGTTCTCCAACATCCACTAGAGTATCGAACCATCGCTGACAGTGACCAGAAGGCATGCGACAGCGCACGTCCCGTGTGCGGATCATGGTGAGTGCTCGGGGTGACGATGGTGCAATATACATGGACATTTTGGGAGACTGACGATGGGTGACTTTCAGCACTCGACTGGGCATTCCTTGCGTGTTCCCAAAGCTGTACCGCAACGCAAAGGGTGAACTTGTGCCGTCACCTCAGCCAAACGGTCGCACAAAGAAGCTTCGTGAGTCTGGTGCCCATCGCCACCACCACCACAACCTTTGGATGCTGACATAGGCCTATGTCTCTCAGCGCGTGGGGATGACTCGCCAGAAATCGCGACACGCATGCTGCACAGCGAACCGCCTGGCCCATCCACCTCAGGAACAACAACAACTTCAAACCCCTGGGAGACCACTCCGACATCCAACCCTCCAAACTGGCCACAATCCCATCCATCGGCAACGAGTACTGCTTACCCTCTCGACGAGATGGAGGGCGATAGGGAAGGCGACCTGTCCGATTCTGCCCTCGACCAGTTCCTCGCGTCGTTAGGCGACACGGGTGAGAACGGGCAGGCATGGGTCTGGCCGCTGTTCACAGACTCTTCGGCGCTCGAGCTCGATCTCGCAGGGGCCGGAAGTGGTGGGGGTGGTGGGAACGGAAACGGTGCGGCCGCTCCCAGCGGACCGTCCGCCGCACCCCCGAACAACAACAACTCGGCGGCGGGGTATGACACGGGTGGCGCAGCAAATCTCTTCTTGCCGAACAAGATGGTGACGGCGGCGGCCGTCCTTGAGCATCTCCCAGCACTATATGACGTAAGTTATCCCGACGCCTTTCGGGAGGTCTTGGCCCCCAGGCGAGGAAGGGGTAGATCCGAGCCGATACGCGAGATCTGGACTGACTTACCCCTCAGTATTGGGTCAATAGCTTCTCCCATGTCCTCTCCGTTCTTGGCCCCGGTCACAACCCTCAAGTCAACGGCATGCTCCCGGTCGTGCAGCGATCACCACTCGTCATGTGTGCCCTAATTGCCTGGGCGGCTACACATCGGGCGAACATTGGTCACCCGTACGAGGATGTGGCACGGCTTGCGACCGACACGACCGAGCTCCAGATCGACCAACTGGAAATCGAACGAGATTTCAGCGACGAGGAGCGGGAAGAGTACATGTGGACACTGCTGATTCTTGGCGGCCTCGAAATCGTGCGAGGTGACGTCAAGGGCTGGGTCGCGCGCTTACCGGTGACACGACGACTGCTGTCTCGCGCCATCGAGAAGAGCGACTTTAAGAAGTCGCTCACTTGGCAGTCTCTTGGTTATAACTGCGTGTACCACGACGTCCTGGCTTCTTTGACCACTACCCGAGCGCCTCAATTCCCCGTCGACATGTACACCCGGATCCTCACGGCGAGCGACCTTGAAATGGACAGCTACATGGGCGCAACGCGAGGAATTTTCCCAGTGAGTGTGACAAACAAGCTAGATCTGAACCCTGTGTGCCACTCCCGCCTTTCGCTTGTCGCTTGTGGTTTAGTGTATATCCCGGAAGCTAACTTTGCCGCCCAGTTCCTGATTGAAACTGCCATGCTGGCTGGGCACATCCACGACGTCCTCCAGCAACCGCCGTCCGACGACCGTGACGGCGCCCTCGCCCAGCTCCTCGCCAAGGCCGACTCCATCACCGTGCGTATCCGCGCAGCGGACGTTCCTCCTGGCCTTTTTGCGCATCCATTGCCAATTGGTACGGATCGATCCCTGCTTGTCGTGGCGTTTCAGACCTACCAGATTGCCGCCGAGCTCTATGTGCGGCAAGCCGTGTTCCGTACAGGCCCCTCGGACCTCGTGAACCGCCAGCTCGCCACACGGATTCTCAAGTATATGCGCCTTCACCTCGGCACCCCCAACGAAAGCCAAATGATGTTCCCACTCTTTTTGGCAGGCGTATGCACCAGCAACGAGGCAGGACGCAATGAAGTGTTGGGTATTTTCAACAAGTTTTCGCAACGCGTTCAAGTTCGCAATGTGTTCACCGTTGTCAATCTTTTGATTGACGTGTGGAAGCATGACCCCAACGGCGACCGATTTGTCGATTGGCGCAAGCTTGGAGAGGAGGTTAGTTGCAGGACATGGGACGGCCGTTGCTGACAAGTTGCAGATGGGTGTGGCGCTGTCATTTGCGTGAGCGTCGTTAGTAGTAGTATGACGGCAGTCGGGAGAAGGGAGGGAGGAGGCGCTGTAAAAGTATCATTCTTATAATGGCTGTGTTCGCCCACATGACTGTGAGCGCTAGCCATGGGGCGGTAGGTACGACAATGTAGCCGCACGGCAAGCTGGATGCTTGTATAGAATTGGTCTCTTGAGGTGAGGTAACCTGCGGGCACGGATCTTATGCACACTGTACATTTGTACTGTACCACCTCATGCAGGTTATCCCAACTAAGCGACGGGAAAGCGGACGTTCGATGCAAGGGCGAGCTTTGCGGAGTCTCCGAGCATCGAGGACTATGGTGATGAACAATGGTGCCACACTCCTCCGTAATGATGTCGGGAGTGAAATAGGCTCACCACACCATGGTTGATAACACGTTCATCTGAGCAAGCAAACACACAATGCCTATGTCTTCATTAAACTAGACGCCCATTGTGAGCGCTTGGCCAAGTGGCTCCACATGAGTCAGGCGCACTGAAGGCATACACATTCTCCCGTCCTCATCGGACGGACTTGCCGCGTTGGTGTTCCCTACTCACTCTTGTAAGCGTTGTTACCGCCTGCGATAAGATATAGAGAAAAGCTAAGCGCACAGGCACTTTGCGGTATGTTGTGGCCATACTTGCAGTTTCTGTTGCGTTCTGCCAATGCAGATGAAGCGGCGCATCCTGCTGCGTGAAAGTCACGCACACAGCCCGTACAAATGGTCGGAAATAGGCCGGAAATAGGCGAGGCGGTTTCCATGGCGTCTAGCTCTTGCATTTGGCCATTTGGATTCGTTACTGTGATCAACAGTACACGTGGTCTACCCACACTCTGCGCCTGTGCACCACTGTGTGTTGTCCGGCTTGCAAGGACGAGAAGAGAGGCTAGAAATATAGAGAGGTGCATGGCTTGGAGGCGGCCGGGTAGTTCAGTCACGTGATTTACTCCCACGTGGCAGGGAGACAGAGCGGGAGTATTTTTTCCGAGCCTCCGCTGTAATTCTGTAAGTTCTTGTGCTCATCTTGAAGAAGAGGCAACGAGCACCCTCGACCATCAACCAACAACACAACCATGGTCAGGTCGTACATGCGCCATGGCCCCACGCAGGTAAGCTAGCTCGTTGTTTCTTATGACTAAAAGGCTAACTCTCAGGCCTTTGGCATTGTCTGCTCGCCCACGGCCAACGCGTCCTACGACGGCCGCCTTGCCTATGTCGCCGGATGGGAAGATGTCCTTGTGTGGGACGTCAAGCGCGGCGAGATGGTCTCCATGTGGCACGCTACCGGAGTGACCTCTCCCATCACCGCTCTGTCTCCCGCCCCGACCCCCGAAGCATCGGCCTCTACCGCTCCTCAGACGTTTGCCGTCGCCTACACCAACGGTTCCATCCGCCTTTGGTCCTGGGACCCGGAGACGCCCTCCGTGGAGGCTACCGAGGTGGTCACCTTTAACGGTCACAAGAAGGGCGTGACTTCCTTGAGCTGGGACGCGGACGGAGCACGCCTCGCGTCGGGAGGAACCGAAGGCGAGGTTGTCGTCTGGGACCGTGTTGCCGAAGTCGGTCTGTTCCGTTTGCGCGGCCACCGTGGCCCCGTGACCAGCATCACATTTGTGCCCCACCCCCACCTCCCTTCGACTGCGCATGCCGGCTACCTTGTTACCACCAGCAAGGACACGTACCTCAAGCTCTGGGACCTGTCGACCCAGCACTGCGTTCAGACGGTCGTTGTCGGCCGCGGCGAGGTTACTTCAGCGGCTGTCCAGGAGGAGCTTCCGGAGGAGGACGAGGAGGGAGACAAGGAGGGAGAAGGCCGCTGGCTCATCCTCACTGGTTCGGGCGATGGCGAAGTCAAGGCGTGGACGATTGAAAAGGCCGCCCTGGCCGATGGACTGAAGGAGAATGACAAGGGCGAGGTGGGTTCCATCCAGCATACGATGGTGTGGGCATTTAAGCTGACGTTTTACTAGCTCCCCACATTGGTTCATCCCCTTTGCACTGTGCCGCTCCCATCGTCGACGCACGCGGTCACCCAGCTCGCCTTCCACCCTACCCTGCCGCTCGTCCTGGCGCAGACTTCGGACAAGACGACTGCTGTCCTCCGTGTCCGTTCCGAGGAGGAAGTCCAGGCGAAGCGTGTGAGGAGGCAGAAGCGTGAACGCGAGAAGAGCAAGAAGAAGAAGGCCACCGCTGGTACCGAAGAGGAGGCCGACGGCAACGAAAAGGACGTGACCAATGAGCCCGTGGCATGGCTCGACCGCATTACGACATGGTGTGTGGTCAAGGCCAACGCCAAGGTCAAGTCGTTTTCGCTTGCTCGCGACGAGCCCAACTCGAAGACTGTTGGTCTTTTGCTCGCTCTTGCCAACAACTCGCTCGAGGCTTACACCTTCCCCTCGCCCGGCCTCACCGGCGCCAAGGGCTCCAAGTCCAAGCTTGCCGACGGCACCATCCCGGAGCCTGTCAAGGTGCACTCGGTCGAATTGCCCGGACACAGGCAGGACGTGCGTGCACTGGCAGTCAGCAGCGACGACCAGGTTCTCGCCTCGGCCGCCAGTGGTACCCTCAAGGTGTGGAACTTGCGCACCACCACCTGCCTGCGTACCATGGAGTGCGGCTACGCACTGTGCTGTACCTTCTTGCCTGGCGACCGTCACGTCGTGGTGGGAACCAAGGCTGGTGAGCTGCTGTTGTATGATGTTGCTGCGTCGACGCTTCTGGCACGTTACGAGGCTCACAAGGGCCCCGTGTGGTCCATCAATGTTCGCCCCGACGGTCGCGGCCTCGTGTCGGGCAGTGCCGACAAGGACGTCAAGTTCTGGGACTTTGAGATGCGCGAGGAAGGCGAGGGCGAGCGTGTGGTCAGCCGTCTCGGCGTGGAGACTGTGTACAAGACCAAGCAGCTCGCGCTTGTCCACGTGCGTACCCTCAAGATGACCGACGACGTCCTTGCCGTCAAGTACTCGCCCGACGGCAAATACCTTGCCGTTTCCCTTTTGGACTCGACCGTCAAAATCTTCTTCCAGGACTCGCTCAAGTTCTTCCTGTCGCTGTACGGCCACAAGCTGCCCGTGCTCGCGCTCGACATTTCGTCCGACTCCAAGCTCATTGTCACATGTTCGGCAGACAAGAATGTCAAGATCTGGGGTCTTGATTTCGGAGACTGCCACCGCTCGCTGTTTGCGCACGACGACAGCGTCATGCAGGTCGCGTTTGAGAAGAACAGTCACCACTTCTGGACGGCCGGCAAGGACCGTCTCCTCAAGTACTGGGACGGCGACAAGTTTGAGCTCATCCAAAAGCTCGAGGGCCACCACGGCGAGCTCTGGTCTTTGGCAGTTTCGCAGCGCGGCGAGTTTGTCGTCTCTGGCTCGCACGACAAGAGTATCCGCGTCTGGGAGAAGACCGAGGAGCCCTTGTTCCTTGAGGAAGAGCGCGAGCGCGAGATGGAGGCAGCGCACGACGCCGACCTTGCCGACAGTTTGAACCGTACCGGTCTCAACGATGACGACGAGGACGAGGATGGAGAAGGTGGCGAGGCCGAGGCCGTCCAGAAGCAGACTGCCGAGACCCTCATGGCCGGCGAGCGTATTGTCGACGCTCTGGAACTTGCCGATGCCGACAAGCTCGCCTTTGAAGAGTACGAGGCTGAAAAGCTCCGTCTCGGCGCGGCTGGCGACAGCCTCCCTGCACCCACTCGTAACCCCGAGCTCCTCGCTCGTGGTGTCGAAGGCGACGAGCACGTCTACAACACGCTCAAGAAGATTCCCGCGGCGCAGATGGAGGACGCTCTGCTCGTCCTTCCCTTCCGCCAGGTTGTTTCTCTGCTCGGCTACCTCGACGCGTGGGCCCTCAAGGACCGCGACATCATCCTTACTGCCCGTCTTCTCCACTTCCTGGTCCGCACCCACCACTCGCAGTTGGTCGCCAACCGCGTGATGCGCACCCAGCTCGTCGACCTGCGTACCCATGTCCGTTCCGCACTTGAGCGCCACAGGAAGCGCATGGGTTACAACCTTGCCGCTCTCCGTTTCCTGCGTTCCCGCTGGGAGGGCGAGCGTACTGCTGGTATCCTTGAAGAGGAGGGTATGGATGAGGAGGCGGTCAAGAAGCGTTTGGCTGAGGGCAGGCAAAAGCGCAAGCGTGTGGCTGTCGCTTAGTGGAGAGAGTCGGTGGAGGTTTTTTTTTCTGGCACACAATCACATACATCTTCTTGCTCTGCATCGCATTGTTTGGACACGGAAATGCCGCAGCCCGGGCACACACACTAAACTACTGATACATCAATGCGATATGGGTGGGGGTCTGAATGCTGTTTTGTTTCTCTACACCTCGACCAGCTCGAGGTCATCCTCATCTTCCTCTTCTTCGCTGCTCTCCTCCTCGTCCTTGCCAATGTCGGGCTTGCTGTCTCCACCAGACTCCTTCCACGTATCCTTGAGCTCCCACATGTTTGCGTACTGGCCCTCCTTGATGAGAACCGCAACGTCCTTGAGCACCTCGCGGAGCCAGGCGTCGGGCTGCTGCAGCGTCGCCTTGAGTGCCGTGATGGACCAGTAGGGCTTGTCGGAGAACAGCGAGAAGAGACGGTCGGTAAGCTCGCCGCGCTCCAGGCGCGCGAAACGCTCGCCCGTGGGGAGACGCGATGAGCCAGCGACCATGCCCTTGCCGAGGGTACTGGACGCGTTGGAGAAACCGGACGCGAGCTGGTTGAGCTTGGCCTGGGACATTTTCGAGTCATCGAGTTGCACAATGGGGCTGGCAGGGTTAGTATTGTAGACCAGGCAAAGCTCCACATACCGCTTCGACTGCTCGCTCTCGAGACGGCGCTGCTGGAGAATCTTGAGATACTTGGATGAGTTGACGGGGCGGATACTGCCCTCGTGGTCGAGCGAACTGAGAAGACGAGGGTGTGCTGTTTGGTCAGTATCGTGACATACAACTTTATGGCTCACCCTTCTCGCGCTTGCGCTTCATGGAGCTGCTCTCGCCACTGCCTGGCTGGGACACCCAGGTACGCGACTGCTCGGTAAACACGAACGTGTTCTTGACATGGTGGGAGGGCATGACGACCTCGTACTCGTCCGGAATACCGTTCACGTCGAGCTTGGAGCGCTTGGCCGCGCGATCAGCTGCCGTCGCACCACCCGCGGGCTTTTCGTCGGCCTGGACGGGGAGCTTGAGAGTGATTTTGGGTGGGTTGACACTGGATGAGGGTGAGCTTGCTGCGACCCGACAGGACATTAAGCACTACTGACGAATTGTCCACTAGCAGAGTGCCGAGATGGACGCCGCCCTGGCGCACTCTCTCCCAACGCTCGAGCAGGAACCTGGGCACCTAAGAGAGGGAGAAGATCAACATTGTGGTTCATTGATTGATGACATTGGGTGGCAAAACGGACTGCGACGAACCTTCATTGCCCACACTTTGCTCTGCCCCAAGGATGCCGAGACCTCGAGCACCTCCTCTTCGACGGGGATGTTGAAGACATCGTGACCGTCTTGTGTGAGGACTGGCTTGAGGTCCTGTGAAGAGGACGCCATTGCTGCAGGTGATGGGGAGAGCAACAACAATGATGGCGAGCGCGAAGGCCAGATGAAACCACTGCGCCCACACGGCGTTAATCGGCGATTTGCATGACGTGGCATTTACCCCGCACCCAGGCGCGCCAGGGAGCGTGCGGCTTCCGCCGTTGGGTTGCGTCGACGCGCTGGAGGCCACCATCGTCGCCGTCCTCATCATCATCGCCGTCGTCGTCGTCTAAGAAGCGGGTCGTGATCAAAACGCACCCACCCTCTCGCCAACAGGCCTCCCTCATCCCCTTCCTACACCACCCCCCCAGCTCGTCACCATGGACTTTATCGAGAGTACGTCCTTCTGTGTGGTAACGACGCCCCCTCACTGACCACTGACGCGACAGACATCGCCAAGCAGGCGTCCCAGATCACAATGTACGATGTCAAGTCGTACTACAACAATGCCAAGAACATGGTCCTCAACGTCCCCGAGATGGAGGCAAAGGTTCGCGAGGCCACCAACGAGGACGCATGGTGAGTGTGATGGGAGACACCCGCATCGTGCTGGTCACTGACAACACCCAGGGGTGCTTCGTCGACCCTCATGCAGGAGATTGCCGCGGGAACGCACAACTTGTAAGCACTGGGACATGTGGACAATGAGCTCACCTTTAGCCAGCACTTTAACGAGATTATGCCGACCATCTACTCTCGCTTCATGGAGTAAGTTGCGGGCAAGCGCGTAGGCATAGCACCCCCAACTGACATCGTGTTCCAGAAAGGAGGCTCGCGAATGGCGCCAGATCTACAAGGCGCTCACTCTCCTCGAATACCTGATCAAGCACGGCTCAGAGCGCGTCGTCGACGACGCGCGCGCCCATGTCTCGACCATCAAGATGCTCCGCAACTTCCACTACATCGATGAGAAGGGCAAGGACCAGGGCATCAACGTCCGCAACCGTGCCAACGAGCTCGCGTCGCTTCTTAGCGACGTGGACCGCATCCGTGCCGAGCGCCGCAAGGCCAAGAGCAACCGCAACAAGTACCAGGGTGTCGAGGGCGGCATGTTCAACACGGCAAGCGGCAGCCGTTACGGCGGCTTTGGCAGCGACGCCGTGCGCGCTGGTGGTGGTGGTGGCGGCGGCGGCAGCAGCTCGGGCGGCTGGGCACGCGACGAGGACGAATACCGTGGTGGCAGCTCGCGTGCGGGAGGCTCCAACTTCCATGACACTGCCGCACGCAATGAATACGACGAGTACGAGGGTGCCGACGACTTTGATGGCCCACCCCGTCGTACCACCTCGGCAACCGCCTCGACATCTCGACCTGCCCGCACGTCCCCTGCCCCGTCCAAGCCTCCCAAGGCCCAGCCCCCCAAGGCCAAGGCTCCTGAAGTCAACCTCTTTGACTTTGACGACGAGCCCGTCTCCGCTCCTACCGCTGCGCCTGCTGCCCCAGCGGCTCCAGTGGATGCCTTTGGCGACGACGACTTTGACGACTTTCAGCAGGCCCCAACGCCTCTGCCCCGGCTCCCACTTCGCCCCCCGCGGCAGGCGGTGCCAACGCCAACCTCTTTGCCCTGCTCGAGGCGGGCAAGAGCTCGGCGGCACCGGCCCCCACTCCTTCATTCTCCGCCCCCGCTCCCGCTCCTGTCGCCTCGCCTACCGCACCGCCCGCGTACAGTGGTATGGGTGTCGGCATGGGCATGGCCCAGCAGCGCCCTGCCGCCGCCCCGGCTCCCAAGAAGCCCGCTTCCGCCTTTGACGACCTGTTCACCACTTCCCTTGGTGCGCCTGTTGTCAAGCCTGCATCGGCCGGCGGCAACAAGACCATTGCCGAGATGGAGAAGGAAAAGGCCTCGAGCGGGCTTTGGGGCTCGACCCCTACCGCTTCAGCGTCCGCCGCCAAGCCTGCCGCCAGCTCGGGCTTTGACGATCTCCTCCTCTAAGTTGTTTGAATAGACTTTTTTATGATATCCTGTGCCTCTTTACGCCGAGAGGAGGAGAGGCCACCGGGCGCCGGGTACGTACCCCCAAGGTGCCCGTGGCGGGTGGCAGTTCGGATTTTTACATGATTGTTTTGAATTTCCGCCACCGGTTTTCCACCGTCGTCGTGCTCATTCTCATCAGCCCATCATTCTCACCAGACCCCCATCAGCTCCACGTCAATCGTCTCACCCGTGTCACTCCCTACGAACCCCTCCCTCCCCAGAGCGCTGATCTCACCAACACTCCATTGCTCATCCTTCAACAGCTCATTCTGCATGGCCACAACACCCGCACGACACGCACCCACGCTACACAATGACTCACCACCAGTTCTCCCGGGCCCAGCCCTTTACGCCCACCCTCGACACGTTCAAGCCACTGCCAAACCCTCCCGGTGATACCTGCATTCCCGTGGGGACCGAGTTGCCACCCGTTCCGCCGCCTACCCATCGTGACGGCAGGTTCTCCATCCCTCAGAGGTCGGCCACGATGCCTCACCTCCCTACCAACCAGCACCCCTCACGTCCCTCACATGTGCGCTCTGCATCCACGTCTGCACTAGTCGGGAGAACCACCGCCCCATCAGCTTGGTCTGGCACCCGATCACAGCGGCCGGTCCTCACTGTGACTCCGAGGCGCACCCCTCCTCCCCTCTCACCTGAAGCCTGTAACGCTCCGCCCGACTACTGGATGACCGAGGTGTTGGAAGTACGGGTCAGTGAAGAGTTTTCGCCTTGGGTGTACGTTCCTCAGCCTCCGCTCCGACCTGTAGTACGAAAGCCACCCGCGTCTCCTACGAACACGACCCCGACCCCGTCACTGCCACAGCCCTCCGTGCCGTTGTCACCACTTGTCATCCAGAATCCAGACGACAGCGCCGAAGCTACAAACTGTCAGCAGACATGTCGCCCGAAAAAGCCCATCAAGCCTCACCACCTGCGCTCAAAGACCCTTGACAAGAAATTACAGCATCCCCCTCCCTCCGCCACACTCACTCGTCCGGCCCTTCCACCCCGCTATCAGCCTGGCAGCGAGAAGGATTCTCTCTCACGCAGAACGTTAGTTGGGCATGGTACACCCCAGATGCATGCCTCAACACCTCAAGTGTCCCTCAAAGTCAACACGACTCAGCTGGGCTACCGCCTCCACACCGGCTATGACCGGGATGGCGACGCGGTGATTCTGTGCACAGAGGGACAGGTCAAAACCGGGTTTTTGGTGCGCTCTACTGCGTTGTCTCGGCTCAGGTACGTAAACGGTACTCCTTTGGCGCACGCTAACTCCAGCAGTGGAACGTTTGCCCAGGCCGTCGTCACTCGGGATGCAGCCACTACCGCTGGTCCCATCGTCGCTGTGGCAGACACCAGTCTCGCCATTTCTCTGCTTCTCGGCTCCCTCATTCACGGCGCCTTGATTTCCACACACGACACCCACCGCCTACTGAGTGTGCCCGACTACCTCACCCTTTTAGCAATGTACGACAAGTACGCCGTCAAGCCACACATCCGGGCCATGTTGGTGCATGCCATTGATAGCCGGGCCTTCGAGCTCGCTGCCAACTTGAACACGCCCGCGTCCGCCACGAGCCGGCAGACTGCAGTAACAATCCTCCAACTGGCTCACGCTGCTAGATCAGCGAGGCTGTGGGAAGCGGCACTTGCCCATGCACCGTCCTGGGCAACTGACCCGTGGGTTATGGGTGAGACCGAACGAGACCGGTGGGGGGTGGATCTGTTTGACGTGCTTTTGGCCCTCGAGGTGCTGAGAAAGGGAACCGGGGAGAGGTTGGGGAACATCCGAGTGAGATATTCGGCTGGTGAGTGCAGAGAGGTCTGTGGGTGGGTACGTATCGCTGACACTCAGATGGTACACCTGGCGTGTATTGTGCCAAGGAGCCAGACACCGTGTTCTACCTATTATGAGCGCATGTATGGCACACTGTGTACATCATTTCTCTGCCTGCTTCTTCTTATGAATTACTGAATCGGTTTGCCCACGCTACCTTGTCCTGGAGGTCCTTCTTGATCCCGTCGTTCTCCTCTGGCCCCTCGCTCTTACCACACAGCCTACGTAGGTGCCTACTGGCCGTCTCCATGAATGGCCATAAGGAAGAGTCTCCTGTACCAGTCCCTTCCCCGCCTCAGCTCCTCAATGTCCACCATCTGGGCTCGCAGCCGGGATTCCATGCGCTCAAGACGCTCCTCCAGTAGTTCTCGGTGTAGCTTGGACACGGTCAATTCGTTATCGAGCCTTGCGAGATCCTCGAGAAGCGTGCGGTTTGTGAGCGTCAGTGCCGAGTTCAAGCGGTTGGCGTTGTCAACGTCAAGGGAGAGCTTGTAGTTTTCAACGCGGAGCGCCGCGAGCTCGTCCTCGTCCGTTGGCGCCGCGGGGTAGGTATCGGTTTCGGTGTCGGCACGGCAGCGAGACGACCCGTAATGACACTTTGGCTGGCCGCCGCCACCTGTTGGCGTGTGTGGGTGCGCCGTTTTGGCGCTGGTACAGGAAGTGGGGCTGCCGTCGCGAGAAACAGGTGTGACGAGGTCCACAGCTGGCAGGGAGGTGGGACTGGTGGCGTTCTTGTCCTCGTCCTTGTTGTTGCGGCGGAGATAGGCTGCATGCTCGGCAATCCAAGGTGAAGGGGGAACGAGTGCGCTGGGCGCGCGGTGAGAAGCGTTCGCGTTGGGGTATGCGATGGAGGCGACGTACGCCCTTGCAGAGCTTGCGGTCCGTATTGGTGGGCGCTGACGGTCAGCATCATTCGCATCCGGTTGTCCACGCTCACCGTGCCATGGCCAGGCTGTTGCATGAGGTTCCATTCTGCTATACACTCCTTTACCTCTTCAATGTTCATAGTGGTGGAATGGATGGGAAGTGTAGAGAAGGGACAAGGGGAAGGTTGTGGTGGCAAAATTGTATGGCGGTGGGCATGGGGTGTGTGTCTCTGTGTCTGTGGCACGGGTCTCCCTCACCCAAACAAACAATCCAGTCAACCGTACAGTCAACAATCCAGCCAACCCAACACAGTCACCCAGTCACCCTAGTGGTATCCTTCTCTTCTTCTCTTCTTCTCTTCTTCCCTCCTGCTCTCCGCACCCAACTCCACTCCAACAAGCCCACACCCCGGAGTCCTCCCAATGGTCCCCTACCGTGTCGCGGCGCTTCGCGTCCAGTTGAAGACTCTGCTTTGCGACGAGAGCATTCCATGGCAAGACGCACTGTCGACCGCCCACATCAAGCTCCGCCTCGCATACCCAAACTTGACCAACGACACGCTGGAGGCTCTCCTTGGTGGCCCCTCACGCGAGGCCGTCGTCACCACGGTGCGCAAGTTTGTGCTTGACAGTAGGTGCGATGCTCGCGTATTGCCTGTGGATGACCTCCCTCTTCCCGACGACGACGTCGACGACCCCTCGGACCCAGGCTCCAGCAGTCGTTCGTGGAGCCCAGCCCCAACTCTCACACTCAACCAACCCCCTCAAGTCGTCGTTTTCACGCCACTCCCCGTGGCAGCTTCGCCGATTTCCCTCCACCCAGAGTTCAACGGCGAGGGGGACGTTGTGATCGTGTGCACTCAAGATGACCAGCGCGTCGGATTCCGTGTCCAGGGAAGCCTGCTTCGTATGGCCAGGTAAGTGACAAGAGTCCACCTTATCCCGCTGTTGGGGGGCCTGGGCGTGAGCAACAAACGAGGTGGCCAACAATATCCCAGCCCCATCCTCGCCAACCTCCTCTCGTCGGCACGCGTGACCACTCCTCGTATCCTTTCAGTTGACGACAACCTGCACGACCTGCACGCCTTCCTCCGTCTCCTTCGCCTCGGCAGCTCGTCCTCCTCTTCTGGTGTGCCACCCCCGTTCAACCCAACTGTGGTTCAATGTGCCGGCGCCCACCGCCTCGCGCTCAAGTACAACGGTTGGTATGCCCGCGCTGTCCTCGACTTTCACGTGGAGCTCCGTGCCGCTTCCATCGTCGACACTGTGGGACCCCACGCCCACAAGGACCACGTTTACACTCTCCTCGTGCTCGCCCACGACCTCCACAGCTCATTCCTCTGGGCGGAAGTCTGTGACCGCCTCCAAGTCAAAAAGTGGTGGCACGATATCCTCAACCCCTGGAAGATGAACGACGAAGACGCCGCTGCGCTCGGAAACTCGGTCTTCTCTCTCATCTCCATCCTCGCCAGTGTTTCGAGCCGTTCGGGACTGTACTCGGACCTCCACGAGTTGTGTGTCCTTTACTCTGACGGTACGTGTGGAGCGCTGAAGAAGGGGTGCTAATGTTTGTTCAGAAGGAGACGTGTCCGTTGCTGCCGCGGGACGTTCCAGTGGTGGAGCGACGGCGATGTGTTCGTGTGGTTCGTAGTTACCTCGTCCTGGTCTGGGTACCTTGTGCATGTATATGTACCTTATCGTGGAACCGAAGAGGACCGGGCGTGGCGTTTGCTTCTGTGACTGCGGTGTTCCCTATTCCAGACGCGGCCTATGCCACCGCACTGACCGTCACCCACGATCCCACGACAATGTGTGCTGCACCATCCTCTTCCCATTGTCCACGCAGCTCGGCTCACAACGCGTCTTCCATCTTCCTCTTCCATCCTCACTCACTTATAACTTACTCCACGTCTGCCATGTCCCGCGCCACCTCGCGCGCAAGCTTTTTCACGGCCATGTCACCGACCTCGCGCAACTCGCTCGAGACACAGGGTTCCAGCAACGGCGCCAAACCCCACCACCCTCTCCATCGCCGTCCATCACCCTACGACCTGACTCACCCCTATCTCAAGTCCCACCCGAACCTGGAGCTCCACCCAGAGTTTGCTGTCGATGGCGACGTCATCATCTTGTGTCGCGAGGACGAGAACGTTGTCGGGTTCCGCGTGCGCTCGAGTGTGCTTCGCGCGTCGAGGTGAGTCCGTCGGCCCCGACTGCGTTGACCTCTGCAGTGGCGTGTTCGTCCAGGAGCTGAACAGTGCTCGGTTCGCCGACACGCGCACAATCGTCTCTCGCGATGCTGTCACTGACATGCACGCGGTTCTGAGGTTCCTCCACCTCGGGTCGAGCGACCACGCGGGACCCACCATTTCCCCAACTCTCCGCGACTACACTGCCATCCTCGCCTTTGTGAGCCTGTACGACGCCCCACCGGCGCTGCGCTCCTTGCTCCGGTGGCACGTCGAGGGCTGTGCGGCTGAGCTGGTGGCCGAGGTTGGCGCCGAGCCCAATGACAAGGAAGTGATCGCGATTGTCCGTCTGGCTCACCGTCTCCGCGCCGAGGCTCTGTGGAAGGAGATTCTGGACAAGAGTGCCGAGAACATGAGCGCCGGTTGGCGAGTCTTGCATGACCCGTGGACGCTCGAGGAGGACGACATTGAGCACCTCGAGTTTCGCCTGTGGTCACTCCTTATCCTGCTCTCTCGCGTCAAGGGGACTGTCGGGACGACGCTCGACCAGCTCACTCTTCATTACCCTAATGGTGAGCCATTCCACTGGTATGCACTGACAATGCAGCCAAGCAAGTCAATGTGGTCGGTAAGAATGGCCAGAAGCTGGACATTGTGCACACACTCGTCTGAGGCAGTCGCGAGGAGACGGATAAGAGGTGTTATGCATAGTAGTGCAACGGAACTACAACGGGGGAAGCGCGATCAAGGAGTCAAAAAAGTCCACTCACCTGTTGTCTTCCTCCATCCTCCACCCATCTTTCCTTCTTCTCTCAGTCTCACATTTATCCCCTCTCCCTCAGACTGTCCTCCTTCTCGGTACCCTACTCCTCCTGCTCACCCCACTCTACCCAGCTCCGCGCGCCGCCCTCGAGGCCCGGCTTCCAACCCCCACACCACCGCTCGCCGCTTCCATCACACTCCTCCGCGACCCCAGTGCAAACCGTCCCCACCCCGGCCACCCCCCATCCACGGAATCTCAAGACACTCTCCTCCAAGCTCTATACCCCCACCCAGATGCTCCTGCACCCTCACTTTGACACTGTCGGAGACCTTGTGATCGTCGCTCCCGACGGCGACCACATGGTCGGTTTTAGGATCCAGAGCTGGACCTTGGGCTCCTCGTGGTGAGCTAGGAGACTCTCCCCTCAGCAACACTAACGCCTAGCGCCAAATTCGCCTTCCTCGGCAAGAAGAAGCTCCGTACAGAGTGCTACAAAGTCAAGGAGCCAGCCCACGACGTCCACGCCTTCCTCCTCTTTCTCGTTTCTGACTGCACCACGCTGCAGCTCGACGTCGTGCAGTGCGCGGCCGTCTACCGCCTGATTCACCTCTGGGGCGGAAAGGGGTACCTCTTTACAGTACTCACGGGGTATGTGTACGCCAATGCCAACCGCCTTGTCGGCGCTCTCGGCGCTCGTCCTCCGCGCATGGGTATCACCGTTCTCCTTCGCCTCGCAGCCGACGTGCGTGGCACCGAGCTCTGGGCCTTGTTCATTGCCCACCTCCGCAACGGCCACTGGCGCGACGTCGCAAACCCTACCACCATGACCGCAAAGGAGATTTCGGAGATTGGCCCCAGCGCGTACCGTGCTCTCATCTTCCTCGCGACTTTTGGCGACCCCACGAGGCTGTGGAGCGGCATCGAGACTTGCACCGTCGGTCGCGACAACGGTGAGTTCAGGACGAGGACCAGGCTGACATTAGCGGGTGCGTTCTACATTCTGCGCATCACCTCAACGGGTCAGATCATGTATTCGGACAACAGTCTCTGAGGGGGTTTGGTGGATGTTAGCCGGGACGCGGGAAATGGAGCTCGGTAGCTCGGTAGCTTGTTTTGATGTTTTCCCCTGGTGGCGAGTTTCGTTCTGGACACAGATGGCATTTGTAATCCTTCCGTCTGGCCTTTTTCTGGGCACCAAGGCAACTCGAAAGTGTCCCCAAGCACTAAACTACACGACTGGACCCTCCTCAGCGCATCGCTGCACTGCATCCCCCTCTCGAGCATGGCACAATCCGGTCGTCTGTAACCCAGGTGGACCACCTCCACCGGGCCGATTTTGCTTCCGTCTCCCGCCCTCCGTCACTACCTGGCCATCTCACTCATCATTACATCTCACTCGCTCTCGTCTCTCCAACCAACAACCATGTCCGCTTTCAAGCGCAAGTCGCCATACGGCTCAGCATCTCCAGCTCCTGGCCAAAGCTCTCGCGGTGCGAGCGCGGGCGTCAAGCTTGAGCCCGACTCGAAGCGTCCAAGGGGTGAGTGGCATCAGCTGGGAGAAGGCGAGGCCTAGCATCCCGGCAGCCTCCTCCTCACCTACTCACTGAATTCTGCACCCCACTTTCCCTCTGACACCAACCTTTAGGCATCGCCGGCACGCCCTCCTCGTCGCATTACAACTTCAATGACCCGCGTACCGTCGTGTTGGAGCTGCGAGAGTACCTCAAGGTGGGTGGCCACGTTCTCGCGGAGCTGACCTGCAGGAACGCATCACGATGCCGTGGCAAGACGCCTTCTTCCACGTCGAGGACAAGAACCCAGGCATCGATGCAAACGATGTCCTTGACCGTCTCAAGAAGCAGGACCGCGTCAAGTTTAACGAGACCAACCAGGTCTTTACGTACGAGGTGGGTTTCAAGTACGTGTGGACATACTGACTCTTTCCAGCCCGAGATTGTCCTCCGCACGCAGTCCGACCTGCGCTCGCACATCCGTACCAACACGACCTGGGAGAAGACCCATGGCCTCCCATACAAGGAGATCAGGGAGCTCATGCCCGGACCCGAGCTGACGGGTTTCCTCGAGGAGCTCGAAAAGGAGGGCCAGGTGCTCATCCTCCGTTCGTTGACGGGAAAGCTCAAGGACGCACCTTTGCCAGAGCTCGGCAGGGAGAACGCCTGGGGCGAGCGCTTGAATGCCGGCGGTCCTGAGAGGTTCCGTACCATCTTCTGGGACGACCTCAAGGAGCGCAGCCGCGCGAGTGCGCGAGTGGACGATGGTGGGTAACAATGAAAGGGGAGGGGGCCTAACGGGGGTAGAGTTTGTGTTTGGTTGGGCCGACGTGCGCATCGCCGAGACGGACGACGTTGCCAAGCTGTTAGCGGAGCGTGAGTGCAGCGTCCCCATGGCATTGTGCGCAAGCTGAACCCAGGTTCCTCTCTACAGACGACCTCAAGGCGAGCAGTGTGGCGCCATCGGCAAAGAAAGAGGACAAGGAGCCCGAGAAGAAGAAGAAGCGCGGCCGCCGTGCGCTCAAGATTACCAACTCGCACATGAAGGCGCACGTAAGTGGTCCAACCGTGTGCAATGCATGCATGGCTGACAATAACAAACCAACAGGGTATCGACTTTTCGCAAGACTACGAGGCTCCGTCATAACGTGCATGTAGTTGAGACAAAGCCGTGTCATTTGACACCGGCGACGGCAGTAATTTGTTTTCAACGCCGTGTGTGGCGTGGTCATCGTTTGTTGTTGCTCTGCTGGCTCCCGCCCCTGGGGGCAACCCCCTGGTGGTGGAGGCCAGAGGAGCACTTTGTATGATAGGTATTCTTTTTGGCACATGCATTCAACGCATCAGGCATACGTGCTGGAGCAATGGGATGGACGCTGCAGGTTGGTGTGAGCAGATACATGCATATGCATTGAGAGACAGGGTGTCGGCGGACGGGCGGGATTTTTGGGTGGGTGAGAATTGTTTTGATGGAAGGGCCTTTCTGACGTGTAAATGAGCGAGAGAGATGTCGCCTCCCCTTTGCTGCTGGCGGGCACTCCCCCCCCTGGGTGGTTGTTGACTTGTGATATAGCTTCCATCCACAGCCCCCCCATTCTGGCAAAGACAGAACACCCAGCTCTTCCGTTCCGCTCTCCATCCATCTGCACCTCTCCATCCTCCCCCAAAGCAAGCATCCATCCATCGCCCATCGCCCACATCCACACACCCCTCACCCCGCGCAAAAACAAATATCCACCCATCTCCCCCTCTGCCTTTCTCGCGGCGAGAAAACACCAACACCCGCCGTCCTGCCCCTCCCCTCTCTGCTTCCTTGTCTCTACTCCACCTCTGCACCCAACCCACCCACTGGGCCGTCCCCCGCCCTACCTTCGCCCACCACGCCGGCTCAACAATACTGGCAGCCACAGGTAGCTTGGCGCCAGTCGCCAGCTAGTAGTATGGTCGACCTTCGAACTTGCCGCGTGAGTCCACCCACCCCCCTCTCTCCCCTTCCCTTTCGCTGCATGCATCCTTGCTTGTTGTGCATCCACGGAGCCCTATGCAAGGCTCCTGCTGGATGGCAGAGCAGGCTTGCTGGACGACTTTTGGTCGCTGCGGGGCAAACGTCTTTCTCTGTCCCCCGCGGCCGTGGATTGTTGTTTTCGCTGCCCAATGGGGACAACTGGGCCCATTCTCTGCCCAGCCCGCGGCAACCATCCAGCTCCATCCACCATCCCGCCCCGCACAGCACATCCACCACCACAGTGCAGCGACCGCATCCACTGACACCACCTTTGCAGTCGGCGGCAGACCCTCGTACGCCCGGTACAGAGGTCGCAGCAGCAACAGTTGGACGAGGCCAGGTGCGTGCTGAGCAACCCACCCATACATTACTCTGCTGACCCAGAAACCCACCCTCTCCCGCCAAACTCACTCCCCTTCTCGCTTCTGCGTCCTCCCCCCTCCCATACCACACTTGCACACTGTTGTACATCCTCTCCCCTCACTGTTTGTGTACAAACGGGTCTGTTGTGACCTGTTTTCGTGCTCGCACCCATTCCACACACACCCTCCCCTTTGCTTTCACGCCGCCGCCGCCGCCGCCCGCATTTCGCTCGCCTCCATTCCAATTCACTCCGCCTCCGCATAAACAGTCCTCGCCCCGCAAACCCACTCGTGTCCTTCCGACACCTCAATCCCTCTCGCCATCAAAGAACTCGCCCCCAGAGCAGCGTGGCGGCGAGCCACGCTTGCCTCCCTCTTTTGAAAACAACCATCTGCCGCCGGCCATTGCGAGCCGCTACCAGCCTGGGGTGTACACACCGCACTCTCCTTACCGCCCGGGAGAGTACCAGCGCTCCGAGTGCGCTCCGTCTGAGCGCACCCGCATCGAGCGCAAGCTGTTTGACGACGACGACGATATGCCTCGCAAGGACGAGCTGAGGAGCAGCAGCCCGCTCCAGCCCGCGTTTGAAGGCGAGGTCAAGATGGTCCTGCGCAGCGGCGCACCGGTAGATCTAATGTCCTGGTGAGTCAGCCTAAAGCCACCTTAGGTCCTCTACTGTGTTTTTGTCTGACATGTTTCGAAAGGCTCCGCACAAACTTCCACCACCAACCGCCACCCCACTCTGTCATGACGTCTTCCATGTCGCTCGCCCATATCCAGCGTCTTTTACAAGAACGTTTCCACCGTGTCCCTTATCTGTCTGAACTGCACCGTGCTGTCCTTGCGGCCTTCCCCCACTCGGAGTGGGAAGAGTCCAAGGATGGCAAGGAGCCACCCATCATGCGCGGCCTTACCTGGCACGGTCGCGACGTTACAGACGAAGACGACCCGAACGCTACCCCAGGCAAGTCGGCACGCGCCAGCGCCAGCGCCACTGTCTCGCGCGGTCGCCAGCCCCGCGTCGACACGACCGTTGTTGTCAACGGTGGCGCCACCAACGGAGCTGGCACGAGCCGCAGCCCGACACAGTCGCCTCTCATGAGCCCCGTCTCCAGTGCCCAGCGCCAGATGCCCGACACTCCCGCACGCAGTGTGCTCGACGAGTTTGCCGAGATTGCCACGCGCACACCTATCGTCAAGGAGCGCAAACTTGACACTGACGCCAAACCCGCCGCCTATGCCCTCACAACCATTTGCAACTCGTCCGACCGCCCCTGGGACAAGCGCAAGCGCCCGGCGTCCCAGTCGCCCGAGCGTGGTCGCCGACGGGCTTCCACTCCGGACGCTCTCCAGGACCTGCTCGACGCTGCTGAGGCTGTCGAGGGCAGCCCACTCAACTCGGTGCTCAACAAGCACGAGCAGCGTGGCCACAAGCGCAGGAGAACCATTGCCGGGTCCAACGCTCACGACTTTGCCTTTGGCCGTCCCTTACCTCACTCGTCGCTCGACCAGCGCAGGTCGCGGTCCGTACGCGGTACGGCATCGCCGCAAATTGCCGGCCTGTCTCTCCTCGCCGTGCGCGAGGACAAGAGTGGCGTCCTGTCTGCCGACGAGGGTGACGAACCCATCTCCCCGCTGGCATCGGAAGAGTCTGGCGCGTCACACCAGCTCGTTGCCATGGGCGCTCCGTCGTCGTGGGGCCGTCGTGGCGTCGCCTCGTCCACGGCGTCGCAGCTCTCGGCCATCTCCGAGTCGGTCTCGCTCGCTGGACCCTCAAACGGTATCCCCAAGGCTGCCGGTCGCAAGGTCAACGAACTGCCAACGTCGTCGCAGGGCCAGTACCCCGGTGTCGACTGCAAGCCGCCTTACCCTTACCATGAAATGATCCGCTTCGCCATTGAGAATGCGCCTGACCGAAAACTGCAGCTGGCTCAGATTTACTCGAGCATTGCCCACCGGTTCCCATTCTTCAAGACTCTGGACGAGAAGAAGACCGCTGGGTGGCAAAACTCTATCCGTCACAACCTCAGTCTCAAGTGAGTATAACACCCACTTTGGTTACCCCCCTTTTGGCCATTGCTGACACGTTTTTACAGAAAGATGTTTGTGCGCGTCAACAAGGCCGATGGTTCGCCCGACGACTCTGGTGGCAAAGGCGGTTGGTGGACAGTCCAGCCTGGTGTGCCCGATGAAGGCCGCCCCGGTCGCAAGGCCAAGGCCAAACGTGCCAAGGACGGGTCAATGGTGATGGGAGGCGAGATGGGCAGCGGAAGCACAAGTGCCACCAGCACTCCCGCGCCACCTCCGCCGATGGCTCTGCCACCCCCACCACCACCCCCACCACCACCAACCGAGCCGTTGGTCCAGCTCGAGCCAGTGCCGGTTCCCGCGGCCTCACAGTAAACCGTGCACGCGGTACGCTTAAAGCGCTGTAGGTTGCTGTACTATGAGGCAACGAGCCAGCTGCTGCTAGACTCCCCCACCAGAGTGTCCCCCCCCCCATCAGAGTGTTCCTCCAATCCCTGGAACAGCCATATTTTCATGCCCCCCCCCCCCGTTGTTATCACGCTACCAACTACTACTACCCCTGCCTGTGTGAGGAGAAATGAGTGAGGAAAGGACGAAAGGACGGAAAAGAGATCGTGATCGTGTCGCTCGCTTTTGTTTTGTTATCGATGATGAAACTGCATTGTAGTTAGTTGGAAGCGCAAAAGGGTGTGCGAGGAGGGAGGAGGGGGGAGGGAGACGCGCTGCATGCGACGCGGCCACTGGTGTGTGTGTGCATGGACGAGCCGTGTGGGTCAGTGACGTTCGGTGACGCGGCGGTGTGTGTTCATGTGTTCAAATGTTTGACAGTGACATTGTGAAAGGTGCACACGTACGACCGGGAACCAACTGTGCGACCATCCCTGCCATGGCTCGATGACCACGCCCTGTGCTCCTGTTGAAGACATGAGACGCACGTACACATACCTCTACGTATGCACAGTCTAGGACCAGTTCTCGGTCGATCTCGAGGCAGAGCTGTGTGTGGATGACATTGATCGCCCATGACGATCGTTCCGCAAGTAATTATGACATGCGGAGCATAGCCTCATACATGCGACACAACCCGTCGTCTCATTCCCAGATCCATGAAGCGGCGTCGGGACATCAGTACATACACCCATGTTCCAACGCCACGAGCCGGTCACACGATCTCACAGGTCACAAGCTGGCCCGTTCGTTGGGTTGAGGCTGTTCCCAAATACCAAAAAGTCCCAAAATACCAAATTCCACAGGTTCGGCTTTACGTTCTTTGTGTTTTGCTTCTTCTTTTGTTTTTTGCAAAACTGTCCTGATCGAGATTGAGATTGAGGCGTGGTCACGTTCTCTCCGCGGTATACAGTACTGACTGTTATACCGCCATCTCTGGAGCGTTGCAGCTGGCCACCTAAATATATCCTCTGCTTTCCGTTCTCTACGTACAGTACAGTACACGTACGTATCAGCAACGACGGCGCAAATGGCACCGCATCTTGCCATTCATGGTGCCGGTGTTCCAGGCCCAGTTGTCCAGTTTCAACGGGGCGAACAGGTCGGGAGAGGGAGACGCGTCTGCGGCACGTGTTTCTGACCCACCCCCCCCCCCCCCTCTCCCGCTCCTTCGTACTTTGGGTCCAAGGAGAATACCGTTCGACATGTTGCTGTAGATGGCCCTACTCACTTGCTGTCCATACACCGTGTTGCTTGTTGACAGCAAGGGACGTGGGGGGATGGGAGCTTTCGAGCTTGCCGAGTTGCTCGATCCGAACGGCCTCGGCATTCCGGCCCACCATCGGGTTACATGCAAACGCCCGCGCGTGTCTGCCACGCACCGCAGCAACACCGAAGCCCGGGACCAGCCGGAGGGTCGCGCGACTGGTCACTGCCGCTGTAGTCACCGTTGCATGCTGTCAGCCAGGTGACCAAAGGGGCCTCTGGTTCTTCGGCGGCCGGGGGTATGGCCGGCATCGGGATCGTCTTACGTAGAGATTTTTTCGTAGACTGCTCGCTCGCCTCTGTGAATGACCAGTCCTGTCTCCCTCTCCCCTGAGCCAGATATCGTTCCGGGGGTTGTCCTTTGCTGCTTGTGCTGGGTGCTAAACCTGGTCGTGTCTGCGCTGTGCTGCGCCTGACATGTAATCTGTGACCTGTGATCTGTGTCTCGCTGTGCCAGAGGTACGGGAGCGCTGAGCATATGCATGAGGCGGCCGTCGAGATACCCTGGTGTACACCCTGTGGCCCCTGGGGACGCCAGCGCAGAGCGGCGCCCGGAGAGTGGGTTGGGTGTGCACACCTTTGTCTCTCATCGAGAGCGCACGCTCGGCCTGTAAACCCCCCGCGAATGTCCTGATGATCAATGAGCCGCTGACGCGAGAGAGAGAGAGACATGGCGCCCGCCCGCAGGCCGCAGCCGGCATGCGGCCACCCAAGACAAGAGGCAGAGAGACGAGTATAGTCTCATGGCCTTTGCGTAAGCGCAGGGGTTTACCTGGCCGACGGCCGACGGGCAGAGCAGCGACCACAGCGCACACGCAGAGAGTCATTGAGATGCGCGCATTTTCATTTGAGAGGCAGGGTCCCCTTTTGTAGCCGTCAGAGCGTGCACGCCGAGGGGCATGTTTGGTGCGTGTATGCGTTGGTGTTGCGTGTGTTCGCGCGCGCATGCATATGGCAGGACATGTTCATTCAAACACACACCCACACACTATACATCTCTATCAATCAACCAACTCATCTCTCTGTACCTCTCTGGGCCATACCGCTGTCAACCCACGGCCACTTGGCTCAATCGTCCCATCCACCGATCCCATCAACCCCCGCCGCCCCGCCCACAGCCATCATCGAACGAGTGCCCGCCGCCGCCGTCTCGCACGATCGTCTCACAGCCCAACCCCCCCCCCCCCCCCCCACCCACTCCCATTCCATCCCATCGCATCACATCCACACACAGCACACACCCTCTCTTGCATCTCTACCTAGCACTATCCCTCCCTCTTATCGATCCACCCATCTCACCGTCTCCGTCCCCCACCCCACCCGCTCGTCGCCGGGTACTTTCAGAGCAACCAACAACAACAAACTTGCATTCCCCCCCTCCTCCTCCGCCCTCGCCCCGCAGGCACCCTCTTCCGAGACGCCAAGCCAGGACATCCTCCCAGGCCAACGACCACCCACTACAACCACAACTACTCGTTGCGCGTCTCCAGAGCATCTGTCGTTGGACACTACACCATGATCCTCTAAGCATAGTCCCCTCCGTCTCTCAACAGCATACCCTCCCCCGCCTTTAAACGAGCTGGCCTCCCAACCTCCGCCACTCGCGTTTCGTGTCGCGTCGTCTCGCAGTCTGTCGCGCGTCCCGTCGCGACCGCCCATCCTTCTTGTCACCGCGTTTGCATCCAAACAGTAGAGCAATGCCGTCCAAGTTCAAAGAGTTCCGCCGTTCTATCGTGAGCGCGACAGCTCTGGGTCGCAAAAAGCACGGCGGACACGGTCACGGTCACGAGTATGACTCTGAAGACTTTGACCACCACCACCACCACCACCACCACCGCCCAGGAGAGTTTGGCGACTTTGACCTCGCCAGCCCCGCATCACCCTTGAGTGCCAGCGGCGCGTCTGCCCAGTCCAGTGCAGCGTTCCTGCCCCACTCGCCAACACCGTCTTCTAGGGGCTCGATTCGTCGCCGCCGGCGCATGAGCGAGCAGCCAGAGCGCAAAAAGAGCTCGCCACACCGCCAGCACCGGAGGAAGCGAGCCGGTACCGTTTCCGGAACCGATCCTACCTCAAACAACGACGTCGTCAGCGACCACTTGCCGGCGGTGCCAGCCATCAATGTTAAAGACAAGAAACAACGTCCAGTGTCATGGACAAGTCTCTCGCCGCGTTGGAGCCCGCTACCCCTCCCCCCACAACGCGGCGTCATCTCGGGTCTGCCCCGCTCCGAGAGTGCCGGTCTGGCGTGCATCGCCAGCCTCGATCTCGAACTGCCTCCAGCTGTCGCCTCTGTCAGTCCGCGCTCATCGACTCCAGTGGCAGCACCAACAGTCACCATTGGCGCCCCACCGTCACCTACCCCGCCTGCCCCTCTGGCCCCGATCTTGCGTGCGCCAGGCGTGGCACCGTTGCGACGATCCTCCACCTTGCCCTCCATCCCACAATCAGCACCAGCACCAGTCATCTCCCTCTCGCCAGTGGTCGCGTCTCCACTCCAGTACACTACCCCTCTGCCAGTCCCTTCGCCCGCTGTCTCGCCACGTCCGTCAATGGATGCCGGATCCAGGACTCAATTGCCGACAACCACTAGCTTGGAACCCAGCCGTCAAGCCCCGGATGCCACACGGGTGCCTGTGTCACCAGCCAGTGTTCCGCCCCCGGTCGCCGAGGTCGTGGCTGCTACCACCACCCCTGCCACAGTGCCAGGAGTAAAGGCCACCACAGCCATGCGTCCAAGCAAGAGCATTATGGAGCGTCTGTTCCCCTCGGAAGAAATGGAGCGTCGCGCCAATGCTGAGAAAAAGGCGCCGGCCCCCGGCCGCGTCTACGTGTTTGACGTCATGAGCGAGGAAGAGCCGGCGGTGCCAAAGGATGGAAAAGAGCCACTCGCCAAGACTCGAGACCTCCCCGATTCGCACCTCGCGAGGTTGCAAGAAAGCGAGCGCCGCGCTCCGCTCGAGTACCGTACCAGCCCGTGGGTGCTGGCTGGATCCAGCCTCGTCTTCTTTGTCACACACCTCGAGCTTGTCCCACGCATGTTTGTCGGCGGCCGCCGCACGGACGTCAAGGGGTCGTCATCCGCCGTCCTTGGCCAGGCCACAATGCTCGCCGTGAGCGGCGTCATTACCATCCTCGGTACCGTCTCCCTGCTCGCGTGCGTGCCCACAGTCGCGGCTGTCTGCTTGTTTGCTTTTGTGGCAGAGCGGTGCCAGGGTCCGCCGACAAGGGTGTCTGACCGGCCCGACGTCACAGACGCCCCAACAGCGGACCGCGAGGCGTGGTTCTTTGTCAACGGCGTTGCAACCACTGGTTCGGGAGCTCAGGACGACATCAACGAGCTTCACGGCCTCGTTCGCCGCCCCATTACAGCAATCGTGAACCACTCACTTGGTCTGTGGTTTGACCTCGTCCAGTCTGTTATGCAGCGCGACCTCGGCCTCGCCACCAAGGATCTCCGCGAGGGATACAAGTACATCCACGAGGCGGTAAACAACCCGGCCATGGAGCGCGTCGTGGTTATCGCACACAGTCAGGGAGCAATCCTCACGTCGGCGTGGATCGACCAGCTCGTTGCCGACCTGCCAGCTCATCTCCTCGCAAAGGTCGAGGTGTACACGTTTGGCTCGGCAGCCAACCACTTTTCGCTCCACGCGTACGCCCTCGCGCGCGTCGAGCACTTTGCCAACATGTTCGACTATGTCGCGCGCCACGGCGTCCTCGACCACTGCCGTGGCGGCGCCTATGCTCCCGGCGTCGACGACACCGTCAAGGCAGTGTATGGACGGTACCCAGGTCGCGTGTTTGCGCGCAACCGTACAGGCCACATGTTGCTTGACCACTAGTGAGTAGTGACAAGCTGTGCAAGAGTGGAGTAACCCTTTTTTTTTTGCTGACCAGTACACAGCCTCAACCCGGCCGACTCGATCCTGGACGACCCGGAGGTTCAGGTGACATCGCGCTTTGCAGCATACGCTGGGGGTGGGTTGCCGCTCCCCCCCGCGCATGCGGGCGCGGCGGTCACCAGCAGCCGCTCGTCGTCGGGCTCGGGAACGACCACCACCATCGTGACCCCCGGCGACACGACGCCGTACTCGACCGACCGCGAGAGCCGCGACAGGGACGGGCCCATGCCCTGCCTGCCGCGACCGCCAAACACCAAGCGTGGGCGTTCGTTCAAGTTTGGCAAGTCGAGGACCGACAGGGTGTCGAGCCGCGGGTAGAGAGGGGAGGGGAGAGAGAGAGGAGGGAGAGAACACGCGTCGAACAGGGCGTAGTAGCATAAAGACCGGCAGCAGCAACACAACCACCACACTTCATTTTTTCCACCACCAACATTTCATTGTACACTACATGCACATTATTCGCATTCGTCTTGCACTGGAAGCACTGGACGAGGGGAGCAGGGTTGGATGCCAGGTCTCTCTGGTAGAAAACAGGGCAAAGATAAAAACAACATTACGTAATTATTTAGCGTTTACGAACTTGGCGGAGAGTGATTTTTATTAAAATGTATTATCTTCGCTAGTATATCGGTTAGTATAACCGCCTCTCATTGGAGAGTTTTCTTCGGAAGCATCGCGGTAGAGCAGGGTTCAACTCCCTGGCGGAGAATGTCTTTTTGTCTTTTTGCGCCATCATTTTGCTGGCGACTGGACGAGCGTCCCATGGAGATGTTGGTCGTCCTCTGCGACCGGGAAGTGCAGTCTGCCCAGTATTTAGGCGGTCTATGGCTCTCTTGGTGGATATAAACGATCTACGGTCCCCTGTGGGCCGCACACACGCTCCCGTACTGGTGACTTTGACCGCCGGGCGGGTCCTTGCTCGAGAGTCTTTTTGCAACTCACGATGTTGCATTGCGCAAGAGCGCGAGATCCGTGCAGCTTTCAGTCCCGGATACGACGAGCTCCGGGCACGACGAGCTATGCCAAGTCTAGAACATGAAATAACAGTGTCTTCGAGCACGACATGCCAACCGCAAAAGAACAGCCAACCGCAACGGAACAGTTCGCTTGAAGGTGCCCAGACAAATGGACTACCTTGGCGCAAATCTTGGCATCGAATCTCGCTCGCGGATCTGGACCCAGCCGCACCACATTTCGACTACTCGCTTGCGATAGCGCTGTCCAAGACTTTGGAGGCGCAAGCATAGCGGTCAGCGCTGTCGCCATCAGAACCATGACTGTCGCCATTGCCTTGCTCTTTGAGATTGTCTCGCTGGAAGGAAGGAAAAGAAAAAAACGAGTACATATTGATGAAGAACCTCGCGCCGCAGTTGGTTGCCCCCACCACTCGCACCCATGGCTAGCGAAAAGTACCCCCAGCAGACGTTTGACGAGTTTCCACCCGTCCCCCAGGACGAGGTGACGCTCACTCTGAAGCGTGACTGGACGCCAGAGGAAGAGGCTCGTGCCAAGCGCAAGTGGGTTGACCATGCGTCTTTTTGTGGCGAAAAACGAATCGCTGACGTCTGTCCGCAGGCTGGATTTCATCATCATGCCAATTCTCACCCTCGGCTTCTTCTGTCTCCGTAAGAGCCATTTCCCAAGTCAAACCTCCTTGCTAACTGCCAGAACTGGACCGTGGAAACATTGCCAACGCGCTCACGGACAACTTTCTCAAAGACGTTGGCATCAGCCAGAACCAGTTCAACGTGGGGCAGCAGATGCTGTCGCTGGGTATCGTTCTGTTTGAAGTGTGAGGGAAAGAAACCGTGGCAACAACATGAGAGCTAACGTGCCCAAGCCCGTCCAACATGATCCTCTATCGCGTCGGACCTGGAAAGTGGCTCACCCTGCAACTGTTCCTCTTTGGCATCGTGTCCACGTTCCAAGCGTTCCAGCGTGGCTACGCGCCCTTTATCGCCACACGCTTCCTCCTGGGTCTCACCGAGTCGGGATTCATCCCCGGCGGTCTCTGGACCCTCTCGACGTGGTACACGCGCGCCGAGACGGCCAAGCGCGTCATGTTCTTTTACTTTGGCAACCAGATCGGACAGGCGAGCTCCAAGCTCCTCGCGTACGGCATCTTGCACATGCGCGGTGTCGGCGGGCAGCCAGGATGGTTCTGGCTGTTCGCCCTCATGGGTTCGTTTACCGTTGCCGCGGGCGTGGTGTTTGGCCTGTTCCTGCCCGACTCGTTCAACAACCCCTCGTCGACGTTTTTGCCGCGCAAGGTGTGGTTCACGGAACGCGAGATTCACATTCTTCGCACCCGCGTGGTGCTCGACGACCCCATGAAGGGCAAGAAGAAGAAGCATATTGGACTGGATGCGTTTAAGCGAGCAGTGAGTGGTACACACGTCACGTCACGTCGTGCTGACCCAGCAAGTTTGGCTACTGGCGCCTTTGGATCCACCTCTTCATCACACTGTGCAACAATGGCCCGCAGCGTGCGTTTGACACGTACTCGCCTTCCATTGTCAACTCGTTTGGTTTTGCTCCGCTCACCAGTAACGCACTGGCTTCGGTGGGATTCTGGATCCAGGTCCCCGTGTCATATGCGTTCAGCTACGTATCGGATCACTTGTAAGCCTGGCTCACGGCGTGGAAGACGCTGACTCTTAGCAATCGACGCGGTGAGACGGTCATCACGGGCCTCTCGTGCCATCTGCTGGGCTACGTCTTCAACCGCATCTTTACAGAGATCAATAACCGTGGCCTGCGCTACTTTGGCGTCGTGTGGACGCAGACGTTTGGCACGTTCTCGCACCCTCTCAACATTGCGTGGATGTCGCTCACCGCGCGTGACTCGGAGGAGCGCGCACTCGCCATGGCAATGTGAGTTTGCTGCCTGCCAGCGCCAGTGTCCCCGCTCACACCAACAGGGTCATCATGGGCGCCAACACGGCCGGTATCTACGGTGCGCAGATCTTCCGCGCAGACGACAAGCCTCGCTACCGCCGCGGGTTCAGTATCAACATTGCCGTACTGTCTGTCGGTGTCGCCCTCGCCGTGGTCCGGTTCATCGATCAGCTGCGTACCCGCCGCCGGGCTGTTGAGGAAGAGGCGACCACCGCAAGCACCGAGTCGACCTCTAGCGTCGAGTACGCCGGTGACAGCCGTGGCCCTTCCTCCCCAGGGCTGGAGTCTGACTCGAAGGTTTAGAACATGTTGGTTTGAAGGATTAGAACATGTTGGTTTAGCACAAGTTGCTTTGAAGGCTCAGAACAGGTTGCCTAGTTTGTGATGTACGTCAATTCCCGAGCATTTACCCCCAATCATCTACACGGTACTATCAGTTCTAACTTGTCTACAACTTGGCATACTTCATGCGCGTCCTCCACCTGGCCTCCATGAGGCCTGGGTTGTTGCGGGGTCGCGGGAACTGGCCCTTTTCTTGGAGATGTTGGAAGATTCCCTCCTGACGGTGTTAGCACCGCGCGATGGCTTTACGCACCTTCAACAGGCCATATGCGCCTCCGGAAACCACCTGCCCCTCCACAGCCCCTCGCTCCACTGCCCGCGCAACGAGTCGCGCGCGGTCCCCGCCGTCATCCACAATCTCGTCAATGAGGCCAATGTCCAGTGCCTCGGCCTGGGTGAACCGCTTTCCTAGCACAACATCGCGCATGGGCCAGGGGCGACCGTGGGGTGGGGTGATTTTTGCCTTTAGCAGTTCCATGTCGTTGCGCGAAAGGATGACCCCAATGAGGACCTCGTTGATAGACAGCATGCCCTTTCCTGACGTCATGAGTCGCAGGTCGCAGGTCATGGCGACAAGGCAGCCCCCGCCAAAGGCTTTTGGTTGTCAGTTGGCGCTGACTGAGAGGAAGACTTACCGTGCCCGTTGATGGCAGCGATTGTCAATAGCGGATACGTGAGCAGTCGATACTTGAGGGGCTCCCACTGGTCTACCACGTCAGTGCTGTCCGCAGACTGAGTGACTCACTGAGCATGAACCCCTCGACGTTTTGTTCTGGCAGGCCCAGTCCGTTGCAGAAGAACTTGGCGTTACCGCTGGTAAGCACCAGCGCGCCGCCGATCTTGCTGCCCGTCTTTCCTCCTCCCGCTTCGCGCCATTCGGACTCGGCCGTGTCGAGGTGGCAGGACACCTCGTCCATCGCGTCGCCAGTCATACGGTTGTCCTCGCCGACGGTCACAGTGATGACCCAGACGGTTGGGTGAGGACGCGTGAGAGTGGCCAGAGCAGCGCGGGGTGTCGCTGGTGCCCGCGGGTTGGATTCTGTTGGAGTTGCGTGCGCTTCAGCTGTAGAGCTGCTCATTGTGTAGACTGTGGTGGATCTGACAGTCCCAAGTTGTGTTCCTGTTGTCGCGACGGTGCGCGTCGAGGTTACTGGAAATGGAGGGGCCCGGCTTGTTCGGCTATCTCCCGGGGAACCGCCGGACGTCGCCGACACGGCCCCGGGATGCCGGATTCCGGGCCCCCACGACTTGGCTCTGATCTCGAGACGGTCATCTGGGGTTCAGTGGTCACAATCAAATACGGACAACTTCTTGCATCTTGGGGCCACTGTACAAATACGCTTGAGAAAACTTTACTACAGACGCTGGTCGTCGGGCATAAACTTCATCCTGCGATTTGTCAGCTTCATCAGCGATGGCTTTACACTACTCACGCCTGGCGAACACCCAGGTCGCCGAGGACCTCCTCCGCGCCGCCGAGCACAGCGTCAAACTTGCGGGTGCGCTGATAGTGCTCGATGTACTTGCCCATACCGGTCTTGGTCAGGCCGCGACCACCAAAGATCTGAACAGCCTCGTCTGTAATCTCGCCCGTCCAGTGTGTGATTTGCATCTTGAGGAAGCTGATAGGGCCGGCGAGGTGCTTTGCCTGCAAGGCATAGTCCATGTTGCACATTTGGTATGTAACGTTCTCGACCCAGGACTGCATAGCCTCGGTCTTGGCAATCATGCCAGCAAGCCTTGGTGTCAGCAAATGACCACAGACCGTCGACTCACTTTTGGCGGATGACGGGCTGTGCGAGGAGTGGCTTGCCAAAGACGTCGCGCTGCGCAGCCCACAGCAGACACTCTTGGACAATCTGTCGGGCTCCCCTTGATACTGCACAGCACATGTACCAGCGCTCGTGGTTAAAGTTGGAGAAGATGATGTAGAGACCACGCCCCTCGGGGCCAATCTGGTTCTCTGCGGGAACCTTGACATTGTCAAACGTGACGTACGCGGTTCCAGCCGCCGCCGAGTATGTAGTAGGGATAGGTTTGGTCTCGAGGCCCTCGCTGCGTTCTACGAGGAAGGTCGTCACCTGGCCGTCTGGCCCGTCGCCGTTGTACGTCTTGCACGCCAGCAGAATGTAATCGGCGTACCGTCCGGCCGTGATCCACTTCTTGGTGCCATTGATTGTCCAGTATTTACCATCTGCGCTGCGAGTAGCGCGGCACTTCATGCCTGCGACGTCTGAGCCAGCAAACGCCTCGGTGATGGCGAGGCACATGACCTTCTTGCCGGTCAACACCTCGTCGATGACACGAGAGCGCAGCGGCTCCTTGGCAAAGTTCATGACGGGTGATAGGCCCAGGAAGACTCCTGTGCCGAGGCCAGACGAGTAGCCGCGAGTCGGCATCCGAGCCAGTTCTTGCGTCACAATCATCTCGTGGAAAAAGTCAAACTCTTCGCCCTTTACCCCACCCATCAGGACCAGACCGTGAAGATGCTTTCCGGGTCCCAGGCGCATATGGTTGACGAGCTTGTCGGCCATGGCCTGCTCCACTTCCTTTGACGGGGCTTTGCCGTTGTCCTCCTTGACCAGCGCGTCTGGAAGGATGACCTCGTCCACAAACTTTCGGAACTCGGCCTGCAGACGACGGTGCGAGTCGTTGTAGTATGGGGTCTTGAAAGCCGGATTGAGCCAGGTGGGCTCTCCGTAAGGAACACGCGAGAGGTCGCCCGGCTGCGGGGTACGGATACGCTGCTTCTCGCCTTGGATCTGGCCGATGCGGAGCCGTGCGTACTGGGGACGCAGGAGCACCTCGTGTCGGTGGAGGCCAAAGAAGACAGTGGTCGTGTCCTTGCCTGCAATGTCCTCGTCTAGCAGCACAGCTTCGCCGCCTGGGTGCATTGCTGCAAACTTGCTGAGGTCGTAGACAATCGAGTCTACAACGACCCAGATGTCGCCTGGTTTGTTGTGCTATGACGTCAGTCGACACACCTTCAGCTGTGCAAGCTCACTTTTGCGACCTCGTCGCGCGCGATGGGACGCAGCGGAGCGGTGGAGGTGGCCATCGTGGTTCAGTTGGGTGGAAGAGACAGAGGGACGTTGTCTATCATCGTGTACCGACGCGCCCTAGTTGAATCAAGAACACACCACGAACCATGTGACAGACTCAGATGCACGACACACCGAACTCCGCTTTCCGCGAAACGACTGTAGATCACCCACCTGTCTCGGCGCCCGGTTTGTCACACTGGCTCTGCCGTTGGACGATATGCACACAGAAAACACGATTGCTCTGATAGAACGACGCGCACGGACGTGGACAAAACGTACCTGGCCACATGACGTCGTTGTTGACGCGGGGTGGGCATCCGTCTGCAGAGCACTTTGCACTAACATTGACCATTGTACACGGCACTTTTGATGTCTACTCCTTCACACCATGGTTGCAGCAGCAGAGGTCACACGATACCCAGAACCAGCAAATGTTCCTAGTCAACTACGAGATGACGGTCCGCGCAAGCTTGGAACCTGGGACATTGACCTGCTTGCCCTCGAAGGCAACGAGGGAGGCAAGGTGAATCTCATCGTCTGCGCTTTAGCTGACGAAAGAGCTCCCAAACGACCACTTGACGTGGCTGCAAGCAATCCCAGCCGATGCACCGATAGAACACATCCGTGCCGCTTATTCGCGTGACGGGGTCGTTCACGTACGTGGTGTCCTTGATCGAGACAAGGTGTTCGACACGCGGGCAAAGTTCTTCGAGTATGTGTCCCCATCTGGGGTCCTCCAGCCCGAGACGGCACCGCGAGAGGGCCTGTACAACACTCAGCTGGATCCTGCCCAGTTTCCCGGGCCCAGTGCAACGCAGTTCAACCGCAACCAGAATGACAACAAACTGCTGGACCTGAGTGTATCTGCCGGTTACGAACCATTCATCGTCGACTTTAGTGACGATCCCGCCTTGCTTGGGTTTGTGGGCAGGTTGATGAGCGACTGGCAGGAGCCGTTCCGCTTCAAGCGCCAGCTGCTCAGGACAAACATCCCGCGCACGTACAAAGCAGCCACCCGTGTACACTACGACCAAATGTGGGTGCGTCATCTGCTTATCGGCTGACGTCAGGTACCTTCGAGGGATGGAACCGGGCGCGGTCACTGCCTGGATCCCGATGGGCGATGTGTCGCCCGTTTCCGGTGGGCTCATGTATCTCGAGGACAGCGTGCCGCTCGGTCTCGAGCTCGAGAACAAGTTCAAGGAGATGAACAAGGACTTGCCGCCAGAGGAGCAGCTCAGTGCCTTCAACCAGAACATGCTCTACGGCGGTGGTCTCACCAAGGACTGTCGGGCATTCTCGCTGGCTACTAACCGCCGCTGGCTTGTGGGCGACTATCGCGCGGGCGATGTTGTGTTTCACCACTCGTGTATGATACACTGCAGCGCCAACAACGAAGACCCCGAGGACCGTATTCGTCTCGCCACCGATGTCCGGTTCGCCGACAGGGCCCAGCCGTACGACGTACGCTGGGAGGAGTTTTATTACCCCGGCGACGGCAAGTGATCAAGTGAGGCCCCTCAGTGGGGCCGCACAGCATGACATCCAGGGCGGGGCATGTCGGGGGCATGTCGTTATCAGTCGTATCTGAGGATGCACTACTTTTTGTGTCAATCTCTCCCCGTTCAATTGGTCTTTCTCCCAGGCTCTTGAGAGTCTAGACCATGTTAGACTCCATTAGGTTGCTCCTGCATATGACGCACGATGCGGTCCCCCAACAAAGTGGCCCACCCGTTCCGATGTCGCCAGCAACGGTGTGCGCCACCACCACCACAAGGTCGCTGGGTGGCGTGCCGGTCCCGATGCTCGGCTGGTCCCGGCGTGCAAGCCATACAAAGCGCCATGTCGCACACTGCGGGCACTTTTTCTCATGTCTCCCCGCGCAGCCAAAGTGGATCTGGGGATCTGAGAGCCGACAACCGGCGAGACGCGTGCAGCGTGTACCGAGCGCCGACACACGGCCCATAGCCTCGTCAAGAACCACCACCCGACGCCATTGAACTTGACGCTCAGACCCACCCCACAAACAGTTCTTTCCCACCCACTGATATCCACCACCTACCAGACGCATCTCCAACTAAACCCTCTGCCCCAACGACATGGCCTTCATCGTCGTCCCACCAGCTACTCACCACTCGCGCAAACCCTCTATCAGAGTGAGTCTTAGGCGAACGGCGGTCACGCGGTGCGAATCGCCACTGACGATCAAAGCAATCAGCTCGCCGGCGACGCGCAATAACAGCACCGCACGAGCTGCTGGGGCCTGCAACACTGCCAGCGGCATCACCAGTATCACTCTGGACACCGATCCAGCCTACAACCTCTGCAATCACCCCACAGACGGGGCTCGGAGGCTTCGTGCTGTGGATCATGACCCTTATTTTGGTGAGCACCTCGCAAAACCGAACCCAGGACCACCGCTGACGGTCAGGCAATGGTGATTGTGGTCGCACCGCATGCGATTGCTCTCATTCTCAGGTCATTGGCGCACCCAAAGGCCATCAAGGCTACTGTGAATGCGCTCACTAACAGCCAACCCTCATCACCTGGTAAGTGTCTGAAATGTAACGGGGGGTGAAGTCGATCCCGCCGTGTACAACCTGTGGCGATACCTTCGCTGACACTGCTCAGTATCACGACCAATCTCAGCAGTGCGGTCGTCCCGGAAACTGCGTCCTAGGAACTCATCCCCTACCGCGCCACTGAGTTTCCCTTCGCGTCCTCGTTCTCGCCGCACCTCAGACGCGTCTGAGACTGAGAATGACCACGCCCGCGAACGCATCGTCCCGTCTGGGCGACCAGGCGCCCGCGTTCGATTCCTCATTCAGCCACGGCCCATGCCAGCCCCAATCCTGTGCCACAGCATCTTTGGGTCGGACGAGGAGGAGCAACCCGTGATTCAATTCAAGCAATCGTCCCCCAGTCCCGCGGAACGGATGGTGGCGGTTGATGACGAGTTGGAAGACGACTTGACCCCCGACGTGTTTGTATGCTAGATGTTGTAGATTAGATGCCGGCGAGCAATGTACACGACGACTTGACTGGCTCAAGTGTGTTCTTGGATGTATGTCAACAACTCTTTGTCAAACTCTTGTCGGCGAAATTCGCGTGAGGACGGGTGAGGGCGGAAACGACGGTGAGTCACCTCCAGAGGTTTTCCCGCAACGCGTCGACCCACAGCGGAACACTGCTCTCACATTCATTCAACCTGGGGTACAAGTAGAGTCGCATGGTGGCATATTTATTGCGCTTTTAGCTGAATTACATGCACGGAGGAATAGAATGGACCTTGCATTATTACTTTTTTCTGATGAATTGTAGTACCCTTTGGTCTCATCCCACTACTTTGACTGGACCTTTTCGTTCTTGGCAGCCAGCACGGGCGGAGCACCACCGGCACCATCAGCCTCAGCCATCTTTTCATCATTGACAGCAATCTCCTCCTTGTCCTCCTTGTTCTGCCTGTCATCGAGCTCGACCCAGTTGAGCATGAGCGAAAAGACCACCAGCATGGCAGAAAGGCAGATACCAGCGGTACACAGGCTCCGCTGGACGCTGCGGTAGGCCATCTCAACAGCAGTACGCGTCTCGGTGCCGACAGGGTTGGCCTGCACAAACTTGAGGGGGTTGCCGTACACCTGCTTGGCGTAGGTGGTGGCGTTTGCGGTGCCAATAGCCTCGAGGTTGGCAGCCAGGCGAGCGGGGAGCGTGTTTGTCCAGATTGCGCCGGCGACAGTGCTACCAATGGCGGAGCCAGTCGTGAAGCTTGGCGTCAGTTTTGAGGTCAGATGGAGGTGACGTACGCAGTGAGGAAGAGGGCGGTGATGACTGCCATCTTCTCGTGTCCAACCGAAGCTTGCAGGCCGACTTGAACGGGGGTAAGACTGAAACCGCCTGGAATGTCAGAAAGGAACCGTTTTTGATAAACTCACCGGCAAAGCCGAGAACAACTTCGCCGCCAACAAGACCCGCAAAGTCGGCCGAGGTGTGGCCACCACGGTACTTGAAGAGAAGGCCATAGGCGACGACGTAGAGACAAGCGCCGAAAATGATGAAAGGCTTGAGGACGCGGAAGCGACGAACAGCAAAGCCGACCGAGACACCGACAATAACCTCGCAGAAAGACTCGACGTTGGCAGTACGCGTGGCAGCCTCGACGCTCTTGCCAAAGGACACAATGAGTGTGTAGTAGAGGTAGGTGCTCTGGACCGACTGGGAGACAGTGCTGAAGAGGGCGATACCAAACGAGGCGAGGATGTGGCGGTTCTTGAGCAGGGTCCAAGGCAAGAGGGGGAATCGCGAAAACTTGGCTTCCCAGATAATGAACGACGGGAAGGTGACGCAAAGGCCAACAAAGAGCGGGCTAAGGACTGGGGCCGTCTTCCACTTGCTCGAAGTGCCGCCTCCCAGGGTGAGGGGGATCAACACCAACGCCCAGCTGGCCGCGAGGAGGAACAGGCCCACGATATCGGCCTTCCAGAAAAAGTCGAGCCAGTAAGCCGGCGTGGAGACGATTGTGCGTGTCGAGGGAATATCCTTGAGCAAACCCTTCTTCTTGGAGCGGTACTCGGCACCGTAGAGCGCAAAGAAGAGTGGCAGGGCGACGCACGGCATGATAATGGTCCACATGGCAAAGCCCCAGCGCCAAGTCGAGACCTCGAGAATGCGGGAGGCAATGGTTCCCGAAACCCAAGTATTTATCAATTGAGGCAGCGTGGGGACGTAGGCAAAGATAAGACGCGAGCGCAGGGAGGTCGAGTCACCGATGAGGATCTGGAAAAGAACTGACATTAGCTTTAAAACTCGAGTGGCTTTAAAACCCGAGTGGATTTGATCCTTACCATGCTCGCCAGCAAAGCCCAGAATATACAGAATGTAGCCGCCAGTGTAGGTGTGGAAGTTGTGTGCAGTAGCCTGAACGATGGTTCCAATCACGTAGAATGTGACAATGGCCAGGAAGATGGACGAGCGACCAAACCAATCCGAGACCTTGGCGTAGACCGGGAGGGACGCGGCCGCCACACACGAACGAACCACACCGAGCATGGCCGTGTTGGCGGCGGAGTCCCACTCTGCGATGGCGGTGGCCTGGAACGACTTGCGTCCGTTTCCATCGAGACTGTGTGGTTAGTGTGGCGATCGCTGCGGTGGTGGCACCCACTTGCGTGAATCTGAATTGTCAGCAAAAAGCAACACATAATGCTTATTTCCGCCACTCACAAGCAACTAGGAAGATGGCCACAAAGAGAGCGACCTTGTCGTAGATGGTAAACGAGGCGGCGATCGCCTCCATGCGGCGAACACCAAACGACTTTTCCTGATCGACTGGCACCTCGGTGACTGCCGAGTTGTCATCAGACTCGATGTCGGGCACGCCACGCCTGAAGCGCGGGGGCAGCATTTCCTGCCAAACCATGGTGAGAAACTTTGTCGAGCGAGCGGGGGTGGTGGTGGGTTCTGCGGTGCTACTCAAGCAAACTGGAGCCATATATGCAGAAGAAGCACTACGCGCGCAGTTGATGCCAAGACTTGGTCCGGGAACTATCGGGTGGGTTTCTGTGACTGGAAGCCCTGCATAGCACGAGGTGAGGTGGTAGTCGTACCTTCAGAAGGAGCAAGCAGCTAGAGCGATTCAGGTTTGCTAGCGCTCAGACACACATGACCTGTGCGGTTTTTGAGTGAAGCGCGCAGCAGAACGGCGGTGAAACGCCGATGCCAAGACTTTTAGTGACGGATACGACATGTTCGCCACGGCCGAAAGTTATTATCAGATTAGGGGAATTAGGGGTTTGCGTTGCGCTTGTCGCCGCCAACCTGCAGTCGAGAACGCACAAAGAAAGGATACTGCGAGTGCAGAACATTCCCAAAGACTCTCGGCAAAAGAGGCAAGATCCGAGACCCGTCCCCCCCGAGTCCTACAGAGAAACAAAAAAGGAGAGCCTCGTGTCGTGCTCCAAAAGGTTGCTCGGCCGACTGGCGCGCAGCGCAAAACAAACCAATGTGCGAGTCGTTTCGGCCGACCTGTGTACTGCACTTGCCGTCGCAGCTATTGTATGTACCAGGGCCTCACACTGCTAACAAGAAATGGGAGCAACGTGTAAACGCCGGGCGCAGTACGCACTAGGCACGTTGCGGCGTCTACGGGATTGCATCAGATGGGCGGCGTTCCTGTTGCCCATCTTTCATGAGTCGGCGGAATGATGCCAAAGTTCGTGTTCACACTTTCGTCCAACAAATGACTGCAATCAAACCCAGTACCTCCCCACGGACGGGGCCACCGCCACCTCAACAGGCTGAGGTGATTGAGGACCCGCTGGCAACAACCTTTGAACTGGGATCTCAACAAGACGATGGAGTCGTCTGGCGGATCCTCGTCGGGCTCCCAAACGTGCCTGCCCCCGTTGAAGGTTACTCCGCATTCATCTCCACCGATGGTAACGCAACCTTTCCTGTTCTCTGGCACCAGCGCGAGCAACTTGCACCCGAGGCGCCGGTCGCGCTGATCGGCATCGGATACCCATGCTCGACACGGTTCGACCAGGCCCGCAGGTGGTACGATTTGACATCCCCTCACATGGTTCAGCCAGCTGCAGAGCCTTCGCGCGGTCCCGGCGACCACCGAACCGGCGGACGAGAAGCACTTCTGGACATGGTCCAGACGCTGCTCCTTCCTGCCCTCAAGCAACGCATACCGCTCAACATGTCCAACCTGACGCTGTACGGCCACTCGCTCGGAGGTCTCTTCACAGTCCACGCCATGTTGACACGGCCGCGCTTGTTCACTCGATACGTTGCCGCCGACCCTTCAACGTGGTGGAACAGCGGCGAGATTGTGCGGGAGGCTCGTGTGTTTCTGGGTGGAGTCGCAGCTGCCGGTGGACGGGTCACGCCGCGGACCTCGCTGTGGATCTGCCAGTCTGGAGCTTGGAACGGTGCCAAGGCAAACCGTCCTGCTCCACACGATCTCGTGTCGTCGCTGGGCGGGGTCGAGGGTCTCCATGTCACCCTGACGGAGTATCCTGATGAGACACATGGGTCGCTCATTGAACCCTCTCTCGCCCAGACATTGCTCCTGCATGTTACGTAGGCCACAGCAGTGTAAAACTCCGGCGACGATGCAGAGACCGTTCAGGAGCACACGCTCCAAGCGACCACCGGCCCGTTTTTACTCTGGCGAGTGCTAATATCTTTACTGGACGTACGTGGCTTGCGCCGAGCGCACCGACAGTCGATCCCACAAGCCGTCGGCACCCAGTTTACCGGAATGGTGACCCTGGGAGTGTCTTCCTGGTATGTATGGCTGCCGTCAGCTGAGGTATGTGGACGACGACGGAGGAGTGACGATAACACCTCTGTGTGTGTGGACATGGCTGGTATCCAGTTGCCCACAAGGCCACAGGGTTGAGCATAGAGAAGCCTCGAGCGTAGGGGGTTACAATGCCGGAACCTGGGGGCGAGGCGGGAGTGAGCTCAGCCACCCGCCACAGCCAAGGGCGGATTGGGGTGTGTGTGCTTGGCGGAGGTTTGAGTGATCGCTGGGTGACCTTCAATGTCCAGCGCGAGAGCACGACCACAGCCCACAGCAGCCGCTGCTGGCAGGCGGGTGAGACCGTGCCAATAATGACTTGTCTAAGGCGTGCAGCCAACGCAGCTGACGTTCTGTCTTACTGCTACCAAGAGCAGACAAGACTGCGATCGAGAACTGCACCCTGTACACGATGTTCTTGTTATCAGTCCCGCGGATGCTGTTGTTCTGTCCCTCTCAGACATTGTCACTGACACAACCCGACCATCGTGTCCATCCACAAGAGTCTGAAAAGCTGGGCCGGGAGTACGCCCGTGGAATGCGTATTGTTGTCTGTCTCTTGGCCCAGCCCTCGCCGTCAATTGCAATCTGAATTGTCCCGCAGGCTGCATTGGCTGGGTGGCGTCAGGCGGAAGTGCAGACAGGGAGAGAGAGGATATTCCATCCCCTTGGGCCGATGAAGTCTGCGGGCCGCTGTGTCTTGTCGTCTCTGTCCTTCACATCACATTGTCGACAACAGCAGTGCGCGACGACGACGACAGCAAGCCCCACCCCCCATGCACGGAGAAGCAGCTTGTTTGCCAAAGGAGTACCTAGAAGTGCGTCCTCACAAGCATCATCGAGAGAGCGAGAGAGAGACCCAGCTCACCGTTCGCACCAGGCGTACCCCTTCCCCGCATTCGTCCTCGCTATCCCGTCCTCGCTCGAAGCCAACCCCAAGTCGCCGCTCTTGAGTCCACTTGCCAACCTCGATGGTGTTCCAGAACCTGTGTGGACCAATGCGCGCTGGGCGAGGGCTGCTGGTCATCGCTCCCTTCTTGAATGCTTGACACCGGACGCGGCAAGGCAACTAGTGTTATGGATCGACGACCAGGTCATGCAAGGAAGCAGTACCGATGACACCGACGACACCGATGCGGCCATGTACATCGATGCCGACGAGCCAAAGGAGTGCAGCCGCGTCATTACTCTTGGATTTTCGTTTCCCCGCCGCACACTGCAGTACAATCTTGTGTGCACCGTCCTTCCTCAATCGACCATGGTGGTCATCGCGGCCGTCTCAAGGGGCAGACGCCTCCGACCGAGCTCGCGCAGCCCACGGAAAGCAGGCCGCACTGGGACTCTTCGCACGCCGCCGCGGTCGCCTGTCAAGACTCTCACCAAGTTGGAAGGAACCGGCTCTCCCGTGACACCAACCGCTGCTGTCCCCATCCCACCACCTCTGCGACCTTTGATTCCCGTCATCCCTCAACATGGGGAATATGGGGCCAGCCCGACAGTCCGACACCCTCTCAGCACTGGCAATGTAACCGCTCTCACAGAGCATCCCGCCTACATTCCTTGCGGAAGCTATGTTCCAGGTGATCCGATCTTTATCAACAGCGAGGGCGTGGTCAAGGCTACGGCGTCCGCGGCGCGAGTCGTCCTTCTGAGCGGTGACGCGGTTGCCTATCTTCTGCAGCATCACGACTGGGCGTCTACACCATTGGGAGCATATGCCGACTGGCCGATCAGCTTACGCTCCATTGTCTCCATGATGTCTGTCTTTCCTATGGGAACTGCCGTCTGGTGGGGCCCGGAACTGACGTTCCTCTACAACCAAACGTATGCCAACGTGAGTACCTTGCCATACGCTTGCGCTGAACGTTTGTATAGAGCTTGAGAAACCACCCAGACCTTTATGGTGCAAGCCACCAAAAGTCACTGGATCGTAGGTTCACTTGAAATGCAGGTGTGGGCTGACAATCAGACCTGCGGAGCTCCATCGGACGTCTGACAGATGCATTACTGGCGGGCTCGTCAATTTACAAGGACGATGGTGGGTCACACAAGGGCTGAATACCTCAATTGACACATTCAGAGTATTATCAAAAGTACGATACCAATGGCAACAGGATCGAGGGCTACCGTTCTTTGCTATGGGCCCCAATCCGGAACGAAGCTGGAGAGTACGGCGGTATCTGGCACGCCGCTCGCGAGACTACCCAAAAAGTGATTGCAGATCGTCGCCTGCTCCTTCTCCGCGAGCTTGGTGAAAGAGTTTGTGAGTTTGAAGAGATTCGACACATCACGTAGGACGCTGACCCGCGACAGCTTCCTGCCGCACACTGCAAGAGTTTGAGAAAGGAGTGCTCGAGACACTACACATGCACCCAAAGGACGTGCCATTTGCCCTGCTCTACTATGCGGACGAGAATGATAAGCGCGACAGCGTGCGCATGCGGTTCGCCGGCGCGATTGGGGTCCCAGACAACCACGAGACTACTCCCGAAGTCATCTGGTTAAACGATGTTCATCCTCCTCGCGAATTTGATCCTAGGGACAGCCCGACTGCAAGCACAGCGAGTACGTTTGGTGGTGCGACAACTCCAGATCCTGGCTGGGGCTTTGCCGAAGTTCTGTCCTCCCGCCAGACCGCTGTTGTCAACTGCTCCGAGCTCGTGGCGGACTACACCCCACGAGCGTGGGACATGCTGCCTACCCAAGCGTTTGTGATTCCTGTGGTGCTCAACTCGGACGAGGGAGTGCCGGGTGCTGTCCTGGTTGTTGGTATTAGCCCACAACTTGAGCTCGAAGCGTCATACGAGATGTTCACAGAGGAGTAAGTGCATGCTCCGGCGATCTATTTAAATGAGGCACTCTATGCTGACGCTTCCAGCCTCCGGTTCCAGTTGGCGTCATACCTTTCCTCTGTGAGGTCTTACAATGTCGACCAACGAAGACTTGGGGACCTCACCACACTCGACCGAGCCAAATCTCTCCTCTTCTCCAACGTCAGCCACGAGCTGATTGCTCCGATCACCCTTATTGCAGGCCCCCTAGACGACGTCGTGGCAGACATGACGGACGGTGTCAAGCGTGAATCCCTCGTCATGGCGCGCCGCAATGTGTCGCGACTCTCACGACTCGTCAATATGCTACTGGATATCAGCAACCTGGAATCTGGACGTCTCAAAGGGTCATTTACTCACACTAATCTGGGCGTTTTGACCCGTGACGTTGCTGTGAGTCTATGTTCCGACGATCGTCCAGAGCTAACATCTCAGAGCCTGTTCGTCAAGACAGCGGCAAAGGCCAAGATCGACTTCAGTATCGACTGTGATGTTAAAGAGCGCAACGTCTATGTCGACCGCGAGCGATGGGTGAGTTGTGCAGTGACCGAGTGTTGCTGAACAAGTAGGAGAAGATTCTGTTCACCCTCATCGGCAATGCGCTCAAATACACCGGCGAGGAAGGGTGAGTAGCAGCCCCGCCCATGACCACTGTTGACGCCAGTTCTGTCTCTGTTATCCTCAACTATACGCACAAGTATGCCACCATGACGGTGACGGACACTGGCGTTGGAATTCCGAGCGCCAACCTCAAACACCTCAACCTGGGACCTCATGACGCCAGCGACGACGATGGATCTACCTCCGCAATCTCGCTCACCTTTGCCAAGAAGCTTGTCCACCTCCACCACGGCGACTTTGAGGTTGAGAGCGCTACTGCGTGGGAGAGCATCGCCGGGGACCACGGCACAACCTTCCGCGTTCGTATCCCGATGGGCACAAACCATCTCCCTCCCGAAAACATTGGTGATTCAGACGCTACCCGTGCCGTACCAGACTCCCGGACAATGGCCGTTGACTTTGGTCGGGAGATGATCGATGAAGTCGGCCTATGGCACATGGACAGAATCAGCGACGACACCACCAGTGCGCCAACGAGTGTATCATCGCACGAGACGTTCGGCTCCAAGTTGTCACGAGGCATCGACCCTACCACCCTCTACTTTGCGCCAGAGGATGTCATCATGGTTGTCGACGGTGAGTGCCACAAGAGTGTGTGTCACTGATTCTCCAGACCTGCCCGACACTAGGCGGTATATGCGTTCTATTTTTGAGCCATTCTGCAAGGTCGTTGAAGCACGCGATGGCCAAGAGGCTCTGGACAAGTTTGAGACCCACGCCCCAGACCTCATCGTCGCAGACGTGATGCTTGCTGGTCTGAGTGGACCAGAACTGCTGCGCATGTTGCGCAGTGGCTCGAGGGAACAACAGATGGTGCCGGTCATCCTCTTGACGGCGTCCAACGAGCGATCCAGCGACGTTATTCAAGCCGACGACGTCCTGTGCAAGCCGTTTAACGCTCGCGAGTTGGTCGCCCGTGTCCACATGCAGTAAGCCCACTTTTGAAGCGAGCTGCACGCTCACCACTTCAGTCTCCAATTGGGCAAGAAGCGGCGTACCCTCGAGACGCTGTTCGACGAACGCACCATGGAACTGCGTTTGCTGAGCGATCGTGAGTGTGGCGACCGCATGGCGATCTACTGACCGATAGACTCGCCGGCTGGCATTGTACGCATGGATCCTCAGGGTGTGCCGATATACTGCAACGTGGCCTGGCGGTCCATGTGCGGAGTGACTGGGTTTGCCGCTTGGGAGCACGAGTTGACTCCCGAGTGTCTCGCGGAGGCGGCTCCCGCGTGGCACAAGTATGTCGCCTCGGGCGAAAGGTTCTTCCATATGGAGACCCATTGGAAGAACGGTACCTGGAGTGAGTCCAGGACCTGTGTGATACAAGCTGACCGAGTATAGTTTCAACAAAACTGGCTCGATTGGACGATCAACCTGGCGCCGCTGGCGGATTCATTGGGTCGGCGGTATGTTGCTCGCGGTGAAACGTGTGCTTACAATCCAGATTGATGTTACCGAACGCAAGCGCAACGAGCAGCTGCAGGCTGAGCAAATTGCAGAGGCCGAGAAGCGGCGTGCGGAGGCGGAAGAGGCAAGGCAGCAGCAAGAGCTCTTGATCGACATTACATCGTGAGTTGTCAGTCAAAGTTGCGCTGACTCTTTCAGTCACGAGATTCGCAACCCTATCAGCAGTTTGATGCAGATGAGTCCAGCAACGACGACCGTGGTAACAGAATGCTGACCGTTTTGCACTGCTCGTCCTTGGTTAAGAACAACCTCCACGTCTTGCAGGAGACCCTTCAGAACGCCGTGCGCAACGATGCGTGTTTCAAACCGACCAAACAGCTGCTCCTCACCATGGCCGAGGACATTGAGGCCTTGGACAGCATCTACCAGTGCGGTCTTGCACAAGAGCGTATCAGTAATGACGTGCTATCTCTCGGCAAAATGCAGCTCGACCTGTTGGACATGTTCAACATTGGAACGGATATTCGGATGGTGGCCCAAAAAGTGGTTTCCATCTTCCAGAACGAGGCCCGCATGAACCGCATCTTCCTCAACCTTACGATCTCGCCTTTGTTCGACACCCTCGGCCTCACCACCCTTATGACTGACCCGGCAAGGTTTACCCAGATGTGCGTATGGCCCGTTATCTGCATGGAGCTGACAGTTTAGCCTGACCAACCTGATCTCAAATGCTATCCGCTTCACCGCCACTAGCCAAGAACGCCGCATTGAAGTGACAGTGGATGTTGGACTCGACGCACCCCAAGGCCAGTCATGTGTCAAGCCTACCACCGAGTCGCGTGTCCATCTCACGGACGAGACACCGGTCTACGTCTTTGTGTCAGTTTCAGACACTGGGCCAGGCCTCACTGAGGCTGAGCTGGAGAACCTCTTCCAGCGCTTCATGCAAGCCTCGCCAATGACACATACCGTCTTTGGCGGCTCGGGACTGGGCTTGTTCGTCTGTCGCAAGCTCACAGAACGTATGGGCGGACGTATCGAGGTGGTGAGCGAGTACGGCAAGGGATCTCAGTTCCGCTTTTTCATTGCGACACGGCCTACTGCGAGCGTGGCAGCAGTGCCAAGGGAGGTCCCTCACCCACTCCCCACCCCAGGCGGAAGCAGCAAACAACATATCCTGGTCGTTGAAGACAATATTATCAACCGGACTGTGCTTCTCCGCCAACTCAAGCATGTCGGTATGGCCGTGGACTGTGAGTTGAGCCACCGCACACACCCAAGTTGACCCTTTTCAGCGGCCATCAATGGGCTTGAAGCGGTAAACAAGGTTCGAGCTGCCATGGGCCCCGACGGCAAGCCATATGACTGTATCCTGATGGACTTGGAAATGCCCATCATGGACGGATACACAGCTGCGCGAACTCTGCGCTTGGCCGAGGACAGTGGTCTCCCCCAATCTCTTATAATTGCACTGAGTACGTCATCCAGGGTGGTGTTCGACCGCTGACCAGGAGCCGGAAACGCCAGGCAGGCGCAGATCGAAGAAGGAATGGCCGACTTTGATGCTGCGGTGATCAAGCCATATCGTCTCGTGAGTTGTTTGGGGGACCATGGCACGCTGACAAGTGAGGACGACTTGTTGCGGAGGATGGAGCAGTTGATCAATCGTGGCGACAGTCCGCCTCGCCGAGGCGACAATTCACAGTGCGAAGCCTGAGCATATAGTCGGATACAAATATCATGTATAGTAACCACATGTACAGATTCATCTCTTGGGACACTGTGTGCAGGTGTTAGATGCCGAGGCCACTGAACGTAGCAGTGACGAATATCTGGTTATTTCACCTGATCGCCTGCCCGCTTTGGAAATGCCGATCCAGCGACCCTCGGCCGCGGCTTGAGATCTTGCAGCATGGGCACCGAAGGGTTGCCGTCACGGACTGGTGCCAGAACTAGCCAGGAGTGGCATGGTCACAGAGATTAACCGGCAACGGGCTGCCCACCGGAACGACCGTGTTGTGTGGTTGTGGGTGTAGTTTGGTTCTCCCGGATCGGCATCATCCTTTGCCCGAGATTCTAATGTTATCCGCCAACCATAAAGATGCATCGACTGAAGAACAGTCCCCCAGCAGTGTTCCCCCATTCCCCTCCTGGCCCACACACGCAAACATGGTTGCCAACCTCCCACACTACTACCATCCGCGCACGTACGCCCCGTCCCAGGTGGAGTCAACCCCGACGGGCTCCAGCCTACCGGTCGTGGTTGTTGGCGCTGGTCCGGCCGGCCTCGCCACTGCGCTCTCGGCTGCGAAGCGTGGTGTAAAGGTCACTGTGATCGACCAGGGAACGTCCGCCTCGTACGGCTCGCGTGCTACCTGCTACTCTCGTCACACGATGGAGATTGCTCAACGTCTCGGCTACGGCGACCAACTCGAGAGTCGCGCACTTGCTTGGACGGGCGGCCGCAGCTTCTACCATGACCGTGAGATCCTCGAGTTCAAGATGCCCCACAGCTCCCACTCTGCCCTTCCGCCCATGGTCAACATTGGCCAGTGCGAGTACGAAGAGATGCAGATCACTGCCGCCGAAAAGGACAGCAACATTACTATTCTCTGGGGCGTCACCCTGACCGGTTTGGAGAGCGACGCCGATGGCGTCACCCTCACTGTCGACAGTGCTGGTGGCGAGCGCAAGCTTAGTGCGGACCGTGTAGTCGCCTCGGATGGCGGTCAAAGCAAGGTCCGCAAGCTCACAGGCTTGCATCTGCAGGGCACAGCCTACGAGGGCCGCTACATCATTGCCGATATCCACTGGATCAGCAAGCTCCCAACGCAGAGGATGGTGTGGTTTGACCCCCCAAGCAACCCGGGCTCGACGGTGATCATGCACAAGCAGCCTGACAACATTTGGCGAATCGACTACCAGCTTCTCCCCGGAGAGGACGTGGCCGCTCAGACGACCGAAGAGGCCATCATGGCACGCATCACCAAGCACCTGGCCTGGCTCGAGAACAACGGGACAATCACAGCCCAGCCGTGGACGCTCCAGTGGCATAGCTTTTACAAGGCAATGGCCCTCGCTCTTCCGAGCTTTGTGCACGGCCGCATCGTCTTTGCAGGTGACGCCGCGCACCTTGTCCCCATCTTTGGCGTGCGAGGACTCAACTCGGCCATGGAGGACGGCGACGTGCTTGGCTGGATGATCGCGGCAGTCGCGCACGGCGACGCCGACGAATCGCTTCTCAAGGTCTACTCGCAGGAACGTCGTGACGCCTGGGAGCAGAACATTGCCAGCGCTGGCAAGTCGACACTCATCATGACGCCCGGTAGCGATGGCTACCGCACCACGCGCGACGCGCTTTTGCGTGTCGCCGAGGTCATGCCCGAGTTCCGCCACCTCATCGACCCGCGCCAGTCGAGCGCAACCCACGCGCTTCGTTCGTCTCTTTCTATTCCAGGACCTGGGGACACACCCGAGCTGAAAGCTGGAGAGCCCCTAGAGGACCGTCGTCTTGTGATCGACGGCGTCGAGACCAGCCTCAACAAGGCGCGTGGCTACGGCTTTGGCGTGTTTGCCATTGCACCCGTGGACCACGCCGAGGTCGACAGTGTCGTGTCGCGTATTCAGACGGCCCTCCCACACGAGCAGATCAAGGCGGTCGTTCTCGAACAAGGTAGCGACGGCGGTTGCGCCGCAGCTTGGAACGCCAAGGCTGGCGAGGTTGTCATTGTTCGCCCCGACGGCTTGGTCCTTTCCCGTGGTCTCCCTTCGCAGCTCGGGGCCTTTGACGTTCGTCTCAGGGGCCTCAAGCTCGGCGTCAACGAGGCTACGGACCCAGTGCTCTCGACTCCCGAGCAACTGTCGCGCGAGAGCGTCTGGCTCCAGCTTTCAAAGGCGCTCGATTCGACAGACGACAAGGCGGCCCTGATGACCAGGCTCGCGTTGGTGCTTGGTGCCGAGGCTGGTTCCAAACGCGTCGAGGAGGTTCTGAGGCAGGTGGCCTGAGGGTAATCTGTACTACAAGCCGTTGTACCTTGGGTTATGAGCATGAAGCATTTTGCACATGGACGCATCGCTGGCAGCCTTGATCGCAACCCAGACTAGTAACAACACGTTACATCATGGCAAGGTTTTATCAAGCTGGACAACTTTTGTTTTGGCAGTGTTCGACGCATCACGTTCACTTCTGCTGGAGCACACGCTTGGTGGATGCGGGGAACTTGACAAGCTTGTCGGCGGGGCGGATTGGCCTCTTCGCAAGGTCGCCTCCACAGTTAGGGCAAGTCTTGTTCAAATGCGTGTTGACGCAGTCGGTGCACCATGTGCACTCGAATGTGCAAATGTAGGCGTCGTGGGACTCGGGAGGGAGGTCGCGGTCACACCATTCGCAGTTGGGACGGAGCTCGAGCATGCTACCTTGAAACAGAGGAAAAGGTGAAGGTGAGAGATGGATACGATGCACCTGTAGGCTGCAGGCTTGTGCACAACAGCATGCGAGAGATCGAGAGAGTGGGCGGAACTGTTCAGCCATTCAGCCGAGAGGAATGAAGACGGATAAACACATGACGTCATGACAAAAACGTAGACGGCCTCTGGATGTTGCGCTCGACGACCGGAAACGACGGCGGGTTGTGGGTCGACGGCCTTGCGTTCGTCCACCGCATTCTATCGCATTCAAAACCTTTTCCCATCTCATCTCCAAACCTCTCCATCCCTTTGTTTTCGCCATGGGATTGTTCAAACGCAGCAAAGACAAGGAGCGCAAAGAGTCGGAATTCTTCACCACCCTCGAGACCGGCCTCCGCTACATCTGTGACGCTTGGGAAGCCGACGTGTTCCGCTCACGCGACGAATGGGTGGCCCGCGCAGACAACCGCGGCGTGCTCACCCACGAGCTCGCCCAGTGGATGGAGGACGAAGTCGTTGGCGACGGCGGTGTCATTTCCGAGCTCGAGACATACGAAGACAACCTCACCGTGGAGATTGGCGAGACTGTGCAAGACTTTGATCCTCAACTGCACGACGCGCTCGACGTCATGGATGACGAGCAGGGCACAATCCTTGCCCTCGTTCGCCCAGCCCTGGACTTTACCGACAAGCTGTGCCGGGCACGCGATGTTGGCTCTCCCGATGCGGTCAACACGTTGCTTGCGCACGCCGAGGCCCAGAGCCAGGACAAGATCAACGACTCGTTCTAAGGGCATTGACACTAGACTTGTAGCAGTGGCTACATCCACGGACAATTGATACATGTATGTTGAGCTACGAGGCATGACACAAGGCGATCAGTCGCATCGTATCCTTGTGTGTGGTTCTCATCCCAGCCCTCCTATCGCAAATCCTCTTACCAGCGCGACCCACGCTGGCCCCAGATCTCAACGCCAAGCCCGCCTGGTACAGCTTGGCACACGCTCGCGAGGTCCAATTCATCCGCCTCCAGCCCGCCTCCAAAGAAGCACTGCATGCGTTGCGTTCAGTCATCTTTGCCACTTTGCCGCCGCTGCCAAACATCCGTGTTGTGTATCCAGGCCAGACGGGCCAGTGGCCAGTGGGCCAGTGACGGCCCTTAGAAGGGGCACAGCACACACGAGCCAAATTGACCGAGATCTCGGTGTCTGAACCCACATTTCGGCGTTTGCGGGCACATGCCACCCTTGACCCGTCTGATCACTGCTGAACACGAGCGTACACGCTGCGGAAGATACGGAGTGGCCCTTGATGTTGTCAGAGCTCAAGATGAGTGAGCAGCAGCCTGCGGTCTGAAGCGCCGCTCAACCCTACTTCATCCACTACAAACACTAACGTGACTGAATGTTGGTGACTGACATACTTCATACACATGCATAGATACAGGAATCAATCAGGGTTACAGGTTAAATACAATGGGCAACTCAGCACGAGCTGCTATATAGAGAGGAGCTCCTCGACGCTGGCCGCTTCATCCGCAATCTCAGTTGAGCCAGTCACCGGGTCAACACACTGGGCATTTTCAAAGTCGATAAGAGTCAAGTCCCCCGTGGTGGCAGAGCGACAGATGTGTTTGAGGCCCACGTCTCCGTGCACCACAAAGGACTTGTGAATGGTATTGTAAAGCTGGCGAATCCGAGTACTGCATAACCGTGTCAGCCTAACATCGGGAGGTGCAAACGACAACGCACCGTGTATCCACAGGCAGGGTTGACCATTTATATCCTAGATCCAGCAGACTGGGACCGGCGTCGTCGAGAAGCATGACGAGATACGTGGAGAAGCCACTGGCTGTTGGAGGATCCTGGCCGAGGCCATTGCCCACCCATAGACCTCGGAAGCGTGGGGCGACACCCAGTCCCGAGAGCACCGACTTGAGCAGACCAGCCTCAGCGTATACGCGCAAGGCGGTATCGTGAGCCGCTTCCGGAGAGACAGTTGGCAAAACTCCGGTAGGTTCAAAGTCCTGGTATTGACCCGTGTCGAACGCTGGTTGGGCAACTTTTACGACGACGTCTCCAGTGGCTGCACCATTGTCGTTGGAGTCTCCCGTCCAGGACGCAGCGTAGCCATCGTACGTCCTACCCGAGTGGAGCGGACGGTTGAGGGTGGTTGTCAAGTTTGGCGTACTCTTTGACAAGGAACTAGGGAGAACGGCAGGCTTCAGCTCCATGGGGCGATTGGCATCCAGTTCAAAGGCCAAGCGGACACCAGCGAAGCATTCCAGAGTGATGCTGAGCGTGGGGCCAGACGGCTGTGTGGGTTAACAGCCAAACCTGGGGTGAGCATGACTCACCAATAATGGCAGTGGTGGAGAAGGGGTATAGGGAGCGGGGTTGGCGAGCAGGCCGAGACTACCAGCGTCTGCTGTAGTGGTGGTAGTCGAGGACAAGGTCTGCCCGATATCGAACCAGTCCAGGGCAAGCGTGGGCACGAAGAGGCTTGGTGAAGGAGGTGTGTCGCAGGCCGCAGCTATCAACCCCGCGGGCAGGGTCATCGTAAAGGTTCTGCCGACACCTGGAAACTTGCGAGAGAGTTGCACGGTCGTGCCAGACCGCGGAACAGGATCAGAGACGTCGATAACGTTGGGGGCGACGAGCTTGAACAGAATGGCATTGTCCATGCCGCCGTACCAAAGAGTGTCTGTTTCGTTCCCGTGCAGCTCGCGTACGACCTACAAGTGTCAGCTTGTCCACCTGGGCGGTGCACCACAGTAGTCGCTTCAATGTCACTGGATGGAGATCCTACTCCCAATGCTGTGAGAGACAACGAACTCACCTCATGAAGGGCCAGCTCTAGGTCCAACCCCCTATCTAGCCCATCCTCAAAGTTTGCGTAGCTGGGAACCTCATCTTTCCAGGAGATCGAGTAATGACTCTCCCTCACTGAACGATGAATGGCCTCCACAGCGCCTGTGGCGTGTGGGGCCAGCTCGAGGCATGCCGCGGTGTGCAGCTTGATCTGTTTTGAGCCGAGGAGAAGGGCAAAATCGGTGGACCCAAAGGCCTTCGGCGAGGCATGAATCCATGCGGTGGACATGCCAATGGTGGGAGCTTTACCGGGGAGGAAGACGGTTGGGACAGAAACGCATTGGCAAATCCGACCACAAACTCGCTCACTAGGGCGCGCTCGTCGTCTTCCAGGTAGGTCCTTGATCGATGCTTTGACTCTGACAGTAAGGCGCCCGTGGTGGCTAAAGCGTTCATCAGAGTCACGGAGCTCTGCGACTTGGTGGTGGCAGCCGCCCCCATCTTTCCTACAGGCTGGAGGACATTGAACAGGGTCGCAGCAGTGTCGGCAAGCAGGTCTTTGTTGTGACGGAACGTCACCATAGGCTGGGAGGAAGTCGGATCGATCTGGTCGAACAAGTACTGCATAGCCGCCTTGTGGAAGTGGCTGGCATCACCTTTGGCGTACCGAAGAGGTGATTTCAAGGGCGTATAGGATGAGAAGTCCAAGACCGAATTGAACTGAGGGTGGTCGCGGCGTATCGCTCGCCGCACTCCCGCCCCACCCAAAGCCAGCGGGTACTTTCCCAATGGTGAGTTGAGAACGGTCCGTGGCACATCTGGGCAGCGATAGCCTACCAGGGCTGCGAGATGATCTGGGCTGAGAATCCGTCAGACTGGGGGCGTGACTCGAGAAGAACAGAACATACAACAGGTGCTGTGTGGGATGGGTTGATCGTGTCGCCAAAGCTCGAACTGGAGGAAGCTGAGACAGCATGCGGATGCCTCCAACACGCTCCAGCCACGCCATGGCGTGGCCCGGACGGTACTAAGGATGGTCGTGACCGGGGTATGGATGGTGTAGACAGTGCAGATGGTGTGGAAGAGGCGATGTATGTCCGCTACCTAACCCGTCGTCACGACGGACGTGATAGCCGGCTTTGGATCCGGATGTGTCCGGCGACCCCGATGTCAAAGGCATAGGCGTGCATTGCTCTAACAACAAGGTCTACCACATCATCCCTCACTCTCTACTGCTTATACGCGTCGCCAACCTCCGAGTCCAGCCACTCATACAGCTCCTGCGCTTGGCGGTATGCATTCTCCTCGCTGCCGTACTGGGCGAAGATTGCGTCCACGTCCCCGTCGCGGAGGTGGTCGCCGCCGCCAGCCGCGTCGCTCTCGAGCTGAGCCTGACAAAGCCTCTCGAGGCGGACAAAGTAGGCCACTGCAGCATCAACCGTTGTGGCGGCAGTAAGGATGCCGTGGTTCTGCAGGATGATGCCCTTGCCATGAGGTCCGAGAGCCTGGGCAATGTTCTTGCCCTCTTCGTCAGACAGCACGACACCGCCAAACGACGCGTACAGGCGAACGGTTTCACCATAGGTCGCACTTTCTGGTACGTGTCAGTTGTATTGTATAGCCAACAGACCCACCATAGTTTGCAAGGTCGACGTTACGTCCCAGGGCACTGAACGCGCGGCCGTAGTAGCTGTGGCTGTGGGCGGCCGCGTGAATGTCGGGCCGAGCGCCGTGAATGGCGCTGTGGATGGCGTACCCAGCCATGTTGTACACCTGGCCGTCGCCAGGCTTGCCGCCCTCGAGCACCGTGCCGTCGTGGTGGACAAGGAGGAGGTCCGAGGCGGTCATCTGGTCAAACGCACGACCAAAGGGGTTGACCCAGAACGCGCTGTGACAAGGTCAGTTGCGAGACGGCCGTGGTTCGACTCACTGAGGGTTGATGACATCGCGGACGGTGATGTGACCCGCAACACCCTCGTCATAGCCAAGCTTTGCAAAGATGCGGAACGCACCCGCTAGACGCTCCTTCTGGTACTGGCGCTGACAGTGGTCAGATGCAGTGTTACACCCCAGCTTGCTAGATGCTGTGTTGAAACTGGCCGCTCCTGCTTGCTCACCTCGACAAGCTTCTCCTCAGGGGTGCCTTCTGCACGAAGCTTGAGGACCTTTTGTGTGTATGGCTGCGTGGTTGTCTCCGTTGTGGTGACCATTGTTGCTGTAGAGATTTGCGATAGACGTGCTGCAGTCCAGTCCAGCGGAGCGAAGTCTTGATGGTGTTAAAAGAGCTTGGTCGCTGGGAGTGACCGGACCGTGGAAACGCTGAACCGGCGGGCCTCGGTGTTCGGCAAAGCACAAGGTGTTGGGGGCCACGACGCCTACCACCGCCGGGGCCAGCCTCGTTGCGCGAGGGTGGGCGTCGTCCTGACTCACATGATCGCGGACACGATGGACTGCAGCTGAACAGTGAAGGGTAAGGACTCGTAACGGCTCGGTCGGGTCGGATACATCGACATTGCCGCTGTGGGGCACAACATGTGTCGGCGATGGCCGATCTGCCACCGCTGGCCGCCACCCGGCTCATGACATCATTCATCTAGGTTCTACATTGCTACCCATCTCAACAACAGCTGGAAGCAGCAGGGGGCCACTTTGTAGGCTCGTCCATGAGCTCATCAGGGTCTGGAGTTTTGTCAGTGCCTTTCGACTTTTCATTGCCACTCACACAGCTTGCCCGGGTTCATGATACCAAGAGGGTCGACCGCATCCTTGATCGTCTTCATAAGTGCAAGGGTGCCATCGCCCAGCTCGGCTCGGAGATACTTCTTCTTGGTCATGCCCACGCCGTGCTCGCCAGTGCAGGTGCCACCCATCTCCTGCGCTCGGTGGATAATGCGACCCACAATCTTGCTAATGTGTCCGACCTCGGAAACATCGCGCATGATAATCGTTGCGTGAAAGTTGCCATCGCCAACGTGTCTGAACATTAGAATCGGTGACACACCTCAGAGCACCCCGCTCCAGCGGCGACCATCAAGCTTACCCTAGGATAGGAGCATAGATTCCCAGATCTTTGAATTCCTTCTGAAACTCTTCGACAAGGTCGGGAAGGCATGATATAGGAACGCAAACGTCGTTCCCGTACATCATAGGAGCTGCCGTGAGCAAACGTGAATGGATGCAACTGTACTCACTCTCGTAACCACTGTGCGCAAGGGCGGCAAACAGGACCGCCTTCCTTCCGGCCCAAATACCCTCGCTTTCCTTTTCGGTCGCTGCGAACTGCACGTCGCTTCCACCGTGCTGCTTTGCTATTTCTGCAACAACACGGGCCGAGTCTGCAAGCACCGTGTCATTCCCCTGGAATTTGAAGAAGATGGAGTCCTTTTCGGCCAGAGACCTTTCCATGGTGCCCAGGTGGTTTATAGCCGCGACGGAAAGGTCATCGAGGAGTTCGACTTCGTTTGTCAGTGGCTTGTTTTTTTTTCCGATGTGAGGTACTCACCACACTGGACCTGTACACCATCGTTGAGAATGTCCACCACGGCATCCACGGCATGGCGGACCGAGGGAAAGGCGATTACACCAACACGGGTGGGTAAAAGTGGAGCCAGGCGGATCGTCACTTCCGTAATGATGCCCAACGTTCCCTCGGCACCAATGAACAACTTGGTCATGTCGGGTCCAGCCGACGACTTGCGACTGCGTTGCCTGGTCTTGAGGACTGTTCCATCAGGAAGAACAGCGGTCACGTTGAGGAACCATTCTGCTCGTGCTGTGCCATACCTCACAGTGTTGGTTCCCGAACAGCCTGTGCCAATCATCCCTCCAATGGTCGCGTTTGGTCCTGGGTCAAGAGGCAGGAACATGTTGATGCCCTGGCGCTTCAACTCGGCGTTCAAGGTTTCGTACCCCACACCAGCTTGCACGACCACATCTCCGTCCTTGGCATGGATCTCGAGAATCTTGTCCATGCGTGACATGTTCACGCAGATGCCACCGTAGGGCTACGAGTCAGCAAAGTGACCATCGGAGTGTCAGGGCTGTCGTGCACGCCACACAAGTGGGCAAGCACGCCATCGACGAATGAACACGGGTCACCGTTCGACTCACAGCAGAAAACTGGCCCTCGAGACTGGTTCCATTGCCGTAGGGCACGACTGGGACGCGGTGCTTTGTCGCGACCTTCATAATGGCTTGCACGTCCTCGGTGGTCCTGGGGAACACGACAGCCTCTGGTGGAAAGGAAGTGCCATATGTCCATGCGCTTCCACCGTGATGTGACCTGTCGTCCGAGTCCACTGTGATCGCGTCTGGATCAGACGCAAAGATGGCCTGCAGCTCGACCACAGCAGCCGCATAGTCGGCCGGTGAACCGTACCGTGACCTAATGGCCGCCGAGGTCTTGAAGACGGCCGGAGTGGTGGGCTCGGGTTGGGACTCGGCGTGTGCAGTAGTCATGCTTGCCCACATTGCTGCGCCGGCGACGCCGACACCTGCCAGGAACCATGCCGCTGCTGCACTTCGAGGGCGAGCTACTGTTCGTGACGCGGTCGACGAGGAAGTCACAAGGCGAGCTCCCCTGGGACGGGTCAGCGCCAGTCGGGCAAGGCGCAGGCTCATGGTGGGCACAAATCTTGTTTGTAAGGGATATGAGAAATGGGGAAACGTTGGATTCGAGAGGGCTTCCGTTATCTCGCGGCTTTTGTTGACATTACGGGTGAGTGTGACGGGCCACCTGTGCGTAGCAGTGCCTGAAACGCATCGGGGAATGTACTCGCCACCCACCCATGGCCAGCCATGACCTTTTGACCTCCATAGAGCACACATGTTACATATTTAGAATGGGTCTCGTGTCACCAGTTAAGCTGGAGGGGTCGCGTCATGTAACTCAGGGCACAGAAGCGTACACCGCGCGCGAGAGACCGGCAGCGGCTGTGCCCGTAGCGGGTCATGTCGTTTAAAGGAGCTGGCGGACACCGACGACCTCCTCGGCAACCTTGGCGAGGTTGGAGCGCAGACGGACTTGCTTGTCTGGCGGATGCTGAGACAGTAGGAAATCGAGTTCTTTGCGGGTGACCTGGGGAACGATAAAGGTGACGTCTTCCGTATCGGAGCGCAACTTGCTGAGGGTCTTAGGTCGGGTCGAGCCAACAGACGATGCCATACGAGTGCATTTGGTGAGCAGCAACGCTGCGGGGGAGAGGACATTAATTTCGATGTTGTCGTGTTGGACAATGCGAGAGCCGGACTTCAGCGGAATAGGCCATACGAATGAGCGGGTGGTGAGAAACTCAATGGGCAGACCGCAAAAGTAAAGGCTGTTGCCAGTAGAGGTAAAGCGCGAGTCGACAGCCGCGACCTGCTGCTTCGCCTTGACAATGTCGGAACCATCCATGTCTACGACGAGGTCGAGGTCGTGAGTCAGACGCTCGGAGCCCATCAAGACACAGGCCATACCGCCGGCGACCGCGTAGTCGACGCCAATGGATGGCAGAATGGTGGCGAGGGCGGCGGCAGCCTCCACCAGCTGGAGAGGGTCGCTTTCTTGAGGGTCCTGGATGTCTGTCTGTAAGCTCCATTTGCAGCTGGCCAACTGCTTACCCATGCTGATGCTCGGGACAGGGGGGAGTTGTGTTTGGTGCGTTGTTGTGAGGCCAGCATAGCCGCGGGAGACGACGATAATATAGTTATGGCCGTAGCCAAACGACCATTAGCGGGATCAAATTAAAACTAATGGAACAGCACGTGACCATTTACCATTATCGCCACCCGTGTCAGCGATCAGCGAAACGCGTCAAGCTCGTCGTTAACTCTTATTCCACACGCTCCACCACCGAAAACAACATCAATCAACGACAACCAGCACCACCTCCAAGGACGATGACGAACTCTCGTCCATACTCTAGCTCCTCGACGGGCTCCAAGTCCTCGTTTTCCTCCTCTACCTCAACAGCGTTCTCGACACTCTCTACCTCGTCGTACCCATTCTGGACGGCGACCGGCACCCGTGATACTCGCCGTTTTAGTCCCCGCCTTCGTGACCTGCTCATGACCTTACGCGAACATGACATTAAGGCTATCGAGTGGGGTCTGGGACTCGACAGCTCCATGGGCGCCCCCGTACATGTCTCCGTATGTCATTCCTTCATTTGTCACGTCTCTAACGGCTCTTAGAACCACTTTATCATTGTGCCTGCCGACCAACTCGTTTCTGCTTTGGGCATAATCTCTTCTTCCTTCCAACCCGCGTCGCCTAATCCTAGACGGCCTTATGGATGCCTTCATGATCTAGCCCAGGCTTTCACAATACCTGATCAACCCCACTTGTGTGGCTGGCGGGGTGATTTTCCAAACGCATCACTGTACGTTCTCGACACGGATTCGGTGCAGCTGGACCTTGCCTATGTCTCGTTCATCCCGGAGCTCGGCATCTGGCAGCCTGACCCCATTGAGGCCTTTCGATCGTACCTGCACCCCGTGTGCATGCGCGAAGGGTCGCTATACCATCCCGACATTATGAGCCTCGTTTCATGGATGAGCAACTTCATAATATACGCCACCTGCGGTGTCAAGTACATACCCAAGCCAACGACCGAGGACGAGTGGTGAGTAGACGAGTTTGCGAATGGGACCTAACGACGCAGCGATAATGACGACCCGGCATGGGAGCGTGAGGGTTTAGCCCGTCTGGACAGTGTACCATGGGGTGAACGTCAGTGGCTCGAGCCTGTGCTGCGCTCTCTTGTCAAGGGTGAGGTCAGCTACGAGATATTCACAAAGGACTGGTGGGAGTCTCACGCGCCAAAAAGCGCAGAGTGACCGGGTATCATGGCAATAGATTTGAGCGCAATGCCACAATGAGCTCGAAGAGGCCGGGGGACTGCAGGTGAAAGAGGCTACCTGGGGCATTGCCAGTTTGCTGAGCGACGTCGGTCGGCTCTCGGTCGGGTGATTGGTCCCGTCGACGAGGGCTCACAGTGTTTATCAAGAGCCTCCCTTCCGAAAGCTCGGAGCGGCTTGGTGGCGTGGCTTCCCCATGGGCAGAGCGACGGGATTCGGCGTTGGCCGAAGCCACCTGCAGCGACCTGGCAGGCAACTGCTTTGCCGGACCATGTAAATGGAGATCCCAGATCCCTTGACCACGACTGTTCAAGTTCCAGCTGTTCTTTCGATTGCAGACTGCACCCACTGCAAGACGTCTGTCTCTCCTCCACTCAACCTCCATCCACCATGGCCACCCTCGTTCTTCCCAAGATGCCGCCAGCGGCCAACAAGCCTGGTGTGCTCAGCTTCAAGGCCGTCATGCCTCCTGCCTTCGCCGTGAGCCCTCATGTCCTGGTGACCCAGGAACTCTTAGGTCCCACACAGCCCAGCACACGCAACTGACGCACTGGACTGCAGTCTGACACCGAACGTCAGCGCTTCCAGAAGGGCGCCTTGGCTCTTGGAGCGAGGGTCATGGACGAACGTGGCTGGGGAGTAGGCTATTCCGTGGGTCTCAGCGCGCGTGACGCTCTCGACACCAACCTCGTGTGGGTGGTGCCCCGCGGTAAGCCACTCTGCACCATCGTCTCGGCGGACCTCATCGGCGTTGACCTCAAGGGCGAGATCAGGGTGTCGAGCAAAGACGGGCGTGGGCGTGAGTGCCGCATGCACGTGCAATCTCTGATACGATTACAGTCGACCCCGAGTGGCTCCCCCTGCATCTGGCTGTGTACAACGCCCGTAGCGACGTCAATGGCATCACCAGCGGACACACCCCGCATGCACGCGCGTTTAGCGTCAAGGGCGAGACGCTCAAGATGCTGTGGCAGGACAGCTGCACGTTTTACAACTGCGTGCCCGTCTGCCCATTCCAGACGGCTGCCAACGCTGCTACCAACCCCCAAGGCATCGCCGATGTCCTTGGTGAGAAGGGTATTGGCATGATCCTGCAGAACCGCGGTGTCCTCAGTTGCGCCGGGACGATCGAGGGGGCAGTGGGCGGATACGTTCGCATTGAGGGTTTGGTTGGTAACCAGCTGCTTGTCGAGGCAGCCATCAAGGGCCGCGGCGGGGACGTGGTGCCCATTGGCGAGGAGGAGATTCTGGTAGGTGTTCACATCGATAGGGGCTCACCGTTCAGTTTTCCCAGAAGAACACTAGTGGAGAGTACTCGCAGTGGTTCCAGGCACAACCGTACTTTGCCCGTGTGGTGGAGCGTCACGGCTCGGCGCTGGAAATCTAGAGACGTGGACAGATGCAATATTGTTGGATTTCCTACCGTGGCACAGTGAAGTCGATGAGGAGGATGAGCAACTCACTCGACAGACTTGGCTCAAACATGAAGTCTGTGCAAGGCGTCATGCGGAAGAAAGAAAAGTAAGAACAAAACGGTACATTATAATAAAACATGAGTTCTGCAGGCATCGTGGATCGTTCGTTCAGCCGACCGCGATTCGTTTTAGATCCCCAAACAGCAGCCGCAGGGCACCAGTATATAACTTCATCCAGATACACACTACTTCCTCCACTACAAAACGACACACTAGAGGCGGGCAGAAGGAAGACCGCCCACCTGATCCTAGAGCTGGAGGATCTGCTTGAGCGCATCGTCAATCTCCGCGGTGGGGTCTGAGGGCGACTTGGCTGCGCGAAGAGCGACGATACCGTCAGGGCGAACCAGTACAGCACCGGTCGCGTCAATGGCATAGCGTTCGAGGAACTGGCCGTCGATGTCCTCGATACCAGCCTCGCCAATCAGGTAGCAGCCCACAGGAATGTTGTGCTGCTTTGCCGCGGCCGCTGCAGCAGTACGCCACGCGCTGCCGGCCTCGCCCATGGATGCAAACACGGTAAATCCCTTGCCCCAGAGGTGAACGGTCGACAGCGCGCGGTCCTTTCCGAGCCACACATGAGGGGCACGGCAGCCGGGTGTGGCGCTCTGGATATACTCCGAGTAGTCGTCGTCGACGAAGGGGGGCTTGGTACCATCCGAGACGACCGCAGACGACTTGTAGTGGGCGCCAAACTGGGCAAGTTAGCCTCAGTCACGTTATATGTATCATAGCCGGCCTCTCGCTGTGTGAGGTGTGTCGTCGCTGACCCCTTGTTATACACAGGCCACGCGCGCATCCTCCCTGCTCCCTTCTGGTGAACACCACTTGCCCACTCACCTCGACTCCCAAATGGTTGCCGTATCTGTGGGACTCCTTAATAACCTGGGCCGGTGTCAGACCATTGTCGATACCACGGAAAGACATGTTGATTCGGCCGACGTTGCAGTGGTTGACAAAGCTCTGGTTGACGGTCTGGGTCGAGGGAAGACGGCGTTCCTCGTCGTACGTGTTGATGAGGCTCCAGCCCGCCTTACCGTTGACAGCGTAGGCCAACTTCCAAATGAGGTTGTGCATGCCCTGCAGACCAGTGTTGACTCCAAGACCACCCGTGGGTGGGAATTGGTGGGCTGCGTCGCCGATCAAAACCACGCGTCCTTGAACAAAGGTGTCGGCCGTCGTGGCGTTCATCGCCCACATGCCCACACTCTTGACATCGACCTCGAGGTCGGGGATGGCGGTCGCCTCGCGGACCCACCAGGCGCACTTCTCAGGGGGCCAGAGCTCCTTCTTCCACTGCTCCTCCTTCATCATCATCTGGCAGAGCCAGCGACCATGAGTGTCGAGAGGCTGAAGAACGCCGCTGACGTTTTCGTTGCCAACGAAGAGGAGGACACCAGTACGGTCCTGGATGTGGGACTCGATGTCGGCATGGAAGTAGGTGTTGATAAAGTGGTGGATGTCCTGCTGGCCAGAGCGCTTGATCTGCAGCTGCTCGCGGATAGGGCTGCTGTAACCGTCGGCAGCGACGAGAGCCGATCCCTCGAGCTCGTACGTTTTGCCAGTGTCCTTGTCTTCGACCTCGATAACGACACCAGTCGCGTCCTCTTCCGAGCCCTTGATCAAGCCGAGAGAACGCTGGTTGAAACGAACGTCCACGAGACCAGTCGAGATGGCCTTGTCGAGAATGATCATCTCAAGCAAGTCTTGGCTCGACATGACGGGCTTGCAGGGCGAAACATCCGGGCCGGGACCTTCGAAACCGCCAGAGTGGATCTGACCAATCTCGTTCTTGGTGACCTGGTCGAAGAAGCGGATAGGGCTCTTCCAGGCGCTGTCGATACCGCGGAGACGTTGATAGACGTCGTCACCCCAGTGCGTGGCAATCTCCATGGTGCGCGTGTTGAAGTTGCGGGTCTTGGGGTGCCAAGCGACGCCCTTGTGCTGTTCGATCAGGATGGTCGGGACGTTGAAGCGGGCGAGTTCGAGAGTCGCGGCGAGGCCGACGGGGCCACCACCAATGATGATGACGGGTTTGGGAGCTTCCACAGGTTGGATGGTCATGCTGCTAGTCTTGTGGATAGGTTGGAGAGGAAGGGGTGTCCACAATGGCGATGGACTTTCGGCCGTATATATGGCAGCCCGAGCCATCACTCTTGGGCAAAAGCAAGCCCGGAAAGCTCAAGCGGTCCCCGGGACGGTGCCCGATGACCGGGATCCGGACGAGCGAGACCGTGTTCTGCACATGTTGCAGGTTGCCGGTGGGTCGCCAATATGTCCCCCATAAGTGAGTTGATGAGATGGTCAACCACAGCCGGAGAGACGTGAACGCATTGACCAGAATGACCCAGGCACCGGGCGGCTCGGTATCCTTTGCCCACCATCTCCCACCGGGTCGCTCGGGAGATCGCTGGGAGACGTTGCTGGGACGCCTCTGGAGGCGCGTTCGTTGCAGGGCCATGAAGATGGTGTTCGGTGTTGCCCTGCTGTGGATCGCTTCATCACCCAGTGGCCACACCGGGACCGAGTAAAGTCAGAAGATGTGTACCCCAGGAGTTATCTTGGCAAACCCCACAGCGCGGTTTCGCTTCGGTTTGCGGGGTGTACTCCCTCCACGGTTCTCGTCTTAAAGAGACTTCAGGCCCCACAACACTCCCCACGGTCACTCACCAACCTCCACGGTGCCCCCCATCCCCCCACACCAACTTCATCTTTTGAACCCCGGACCCTGGTCACCCGCGCTGACTCCAACATGTCGCCTCTGCCTGACCTCGAGAAGCCGGTCACGTCACACATTGAGGACAAGAACGACATTGGCATCCGCCTCGCCAAGCTCGATGATGCCGAGCTCGACACTGCAGAGCGCCACATCCGCGACGCTGACACGTACACGGATGAACAGTACGCCCGCGTGCGTCGTAAGATGGACTTGTAAGTGCCAAACGCTGTGAAGAGTGGCTGACGTCCAGTATTCAGCTGGTACGCTTGCAATGCCGAAACCTCCCGCACACCTGTTATGTGGCTGACGTGAACTGGTAGCCTCTGATGATGATCAGCAAGTTCTACACCTCGTTTCGTTGGCTAATGCAACAGCGTACGGCCTACAGTTTGCGGACAAACAGAGTCTTGCCAACGGCGTCCTATTTGGTCTCCGCGAGGACACCAAGCTAGTAGGCAACGAGTATGCCAACCTTACAACTTTCTTCTGTGAGTCTTCCATGGGAAACTGCCCTTGTATCTAACGTCACAGTCATGGCGTACGCTATTGGCCAGCTGCCGATGGGTTGGCTCTGCCAGCGTTTTCCTATCGCCAAGGTTATCGCAACTTGCGTGATTCTTTGGGGAATTACCGTGATGTGCATGGGTGCGGCCCACAACTATGCTCAGCTTGCCGCGCTTCGCGTCCTTCTTGGACTGTTTGAAAGCGTGTTGACGCCTGGTTTTGCCCTCCTCACTGCCTCTTGGTACTTGCGGTCCGAACAGACCATTCGCCAGGTATGCTATTACACAATGTCGACATTTATCACCGTCATTTCCAACGTGATCATTTACTACCTCGCCCTCCATGTTCAAACCCACGGCGGTATCGCTGCGTGGCGTGTCATCAATCTCTTCCTGGGTGGCCTTACCGTGTTTATCGGAATTCTCAACCTCCTCGTCTGGGGGACCCCGGAGAACGCGTGGTGGCTTACCAAAGAAGAGAAGAACATTGCACGCTCGCGAATTGTGTCCAACGCTAGTGAGTGCCACATGTTTACTCGCTCTGACGCGTTCCAGCCGGTGGTGGTGAGAGTCACCCTTGGAAGTGGGACCAGATCCGTGAATGCTTCAAGGACCCCCAGTACTACTTTTTCATGCTCTTCAACATCCTCATTACTATCCCCAACGGCGGTGTCACCACTTTTGCGCCACTGGTCTTCGTGTCGTTTGGGTTTTCGCCTTTAAACACGGTCCTTTATGCCCTTCCCCAACAGGCTATCGGCTTTTTCTTCCTCCTGGTCCCCGGAAACATTGTCAACATCTTCCCTCGTGCCAGGTTCCCGTTCGTCATATTGATCACGGCCTTCTGCTGCGCCTGCCTCCTTTCGGTGGGCCTCATGAAGGGCACGGCCGACAACAAGTGGACGCGGTGGGCCCTCTTCTCTTTCTGCAGCACCTACAGCTGCGCCATGTACCTCACCTGGCCGCTCATGTCCATCAACGTCGCGGGACGTACCAAGAAGACCTGGATCAGCGGCACTGCGCTCATGACGTTTTGCATTGGCAACATTATCGGTTCACAAATCTTCCGCCCGTCCGACGCCCCTCGCTACCTTAAGGGCCTCACCGGATGTGCTATCGCCATGGCCGTCTGCATGGTCGTTGTCGGCGCCTGGTGGTCTTACTATGAGTACACCAACCGAAAGCGGGACCGTGACTTTGTCACTTCGGGTTTGACCAAGGAGGAGCAGGACTACCAACGCAAACTTGCTGGCGAGACCGACCTCACGGATATCCAGGTGAGTGCCACAATGTGTATATCCCAACTGACATCCGCAGAACGTCCACTTCCGCTACACCAATTGAGATGTCACGAGGATGGTGGAGGAGGTAGACGATTTGGAGTCTTTGGTGAAGGTTTTGGGAACGGTAGCAGCGTGGCACAAAGTTAGTAGTAAAGCAGCAGAGTATGGGCAGGCTTCGTTGTAGGAAAGGATGAATTCGAAGTTTTGGCCGCATACCTGCAGACTGCCCCACAGCTCCCATAGACCAGTGGGCGATCCGACAGTCCATTGCATCACTCACAGGCCAGCGCAGGGTGCTTGGGACACGGCGTGGCCGTTTGGCGAAGCGTACCATGCTGAAATGCGGCCATTTTTACGTGATTTGATCTGGGGTTTACATTTCCAATACCAAAACACTGTTACATCCTAATTGATTTGAATGGGCGCCGCCAGCAAAACCCTTGGCCGGTTGGCTGCGATTGCCGATCGTTGCGGACGAGACCGTTACCTCCATCTCTCCTTTACACTCTTGTCCATCATACCATGTCGCTCAGCTGCACAGCATGAGTAGTCAAGCAGATTCATCGTCGTCATCATCGACCCCACGCCTTGGATGCCTCACATGCCGCCGGCGAAAGGTACGCGTCGTGGCTGTCGTTCCAAAGCTCACACAACAACATAGGTCAAGTGCAACCTCGAGCAACCCACATGCGCCGCCTGCAACAGGCTGCAGAAGGAATGCGTCTGGCAGGATATGAGCGCTGCTCCTCCTCCACGCCAACCTCGTCGCCCTAACGATTCGGCGTGTGAACAGTGTCGCACTCGCAAGGTTCGTTCTGCGAGATCGCTTGGGCCGCGGATGTAGCTGACTTCCAGCTCAAATGCGAGGGGGATCCCCAACGAGGTGCTTGCACGCGGTGCCAGGCGACTTCAACAGCGTGCGACTGGTCTTCTGAACGTGTAGTTCGGCAACGGACCTCTGCTGGCCCATCAACCAAGGCGTCCACGTCGACACCCTCAGCGGCACCTTTGGCCTCTACTGCTGGCCCATCGATTGCTGCTGGGCCATCGTTCCCAAACGAACTGTCTCAAGCTGAGACCGAGGCGATGATCGACCTCTATTTCGAGACTGTTCATCGTGAGTCACAGCTTTTTATCTTATGGTCTTGCGCTAATGACAAACAGACTTTGGTTTCTTGACGTTCATCCACGAGATGCGATTCAAGCGGCTGCTGAGTCGCGGCAAGGCACCGCGCGACTTGACAATGGCAATGGTCGCGAATGTCCTTCGGTGAGTGACAATTGATGGCTTCCATGCTGACAGAAGCTTCACGTGCGATCCCACTCCCGAAAACCTCGCGCGAGGAGACGCGCTCGTCGACGGCATCATTGCCTCTCTCCTACCCCGTGTCCTCCAAGGATTTGGCGTCATTCAGCTCATGACACTGATTCTCGTGTCCCACTACGAGGGCCAACGAGGCAAGACTGGTTCTCGATTTCTCCTGTCAGCCCTCTGTGTTCGGTGAGTGTCTCGTCCTGTCACCCGAAGCGTGTTGTGATGGAGTAATGGGCGTTGCATGAATCGGCGGCGCGCGCTCCGTCAAGTACAAGCCCATGGGCGTGTCCGTGCTACAACACAGCTAACAAACGCAGAATGGTCCAACTAATGTCCTTGAACACTCTGGATCACACCTTTCCGGCAAAGCTGCCGGAGTCGCACCTGTCACCGCTCTTTACATACGAGGCGCTGCGCCGTGTGGCATGGTCGGTCTTCTTCCAGGATTCGACGCTGGATGGAGGACGGTACGGGTCTAGCCTCGTCGACCTCGGGACATTTCGTATCCAATTGCCTTGCAACGAGCAAAGCTTTCTTGGAAACGACAATTCACGGACGGAATCCATCTTTGCGCCTCCTTCAGAACATACTGCCATGCTTGGACTCTCTGCCTATCTCATCCGTGCCACGCACCTTCGACGGCGTGCACTAAACGCCGTGTTCCGAATCACGCACCACGACCTGCAGGTACCCGAAGTTCAAGCCGACCTGGCAGCCATTGAAGCGACCGTGAAGGAGTTTGTCAACTCGATGCCAGCTCGCTACCATTTCACTTCGGACAATGCCTTCCTCCACCGTAAACGCCTGCCAGCGTTCTTGCTGCTTCACCTGCTACTCCACAAGCTCTACATCATCGTCACCATGATGAAGCTTGCGCTGTATAGGTTGGACCCGGCGTTTTCACACCTTATCCCCCAGGTTCGACACCAGCGTATTTCACATGCTACAGCAGTGTCTGGGATCCTGGCCGAGGGCCTCAAGCAGAACACGACGTTTGACTTGCAGGCGTTCGGCGAGGCGTACTATGCTCTCGAGATCCTCCTGTTCGAGCCTCGCCGGTTGGTGGCCACGGATTCGAACGCAGACGCCATCGCAGCTGCAATCCCGCCCCTGCTCGCACTCCTTCGTATTGGTGGAAGACGTTCAGAGGTGATTAGGGTCCTTCACGTCGAGGCAGTTCACCGACTACTGCGCTGCGACTACCTGCCCCTGCTTGACAGCTTTGACCTCGAAGCGTTTGGCAGCGAGTATCAGCCCGGTCAAGACGAGGCCGAGTTTGATTTCCGCGACTTTCGCTTCGCCAAGATTGAGCGCCTGCGAAGCGTCAGCCGTCCCACCTGGCAGTTCCGCGACGAGCCGTTACTCGAATATCACCCAGACCCCGAGTCTGGTGCCAACTCGGCTGTGGTCTCGCCTCGTCTTGATGCTTCGCACGTCAACTCGTCCAATGCGAATGTGCCGTCCACTCTCGACCTATCACCACTTGGGGGATCAACACTCGACGGCGGCGACTCCCTCAGCGACCCCTGGGTGCGCTTGCTGGACCCCATGGCGAATGTTGCCCCTACGGGTTGTGCAGGACAACTTTGCGTGGCTGTTTGGAGAGTCTAGTCGGCCACGGCTGCAAACTGGAGACCCCACGGAGTTTTGGAGTCAGATCAGCCGGGAAGATGCCTACGACGGTAGGCCATGAGCTCGGCCGTCTGCTCCGTTGGCAGGCTGGTGAGTGAGTACCGCAAGCCGCTGTTCTCGGACCACACGAGCGGCCGGGCGGCGGCGGATCCGCGCGGGAGAGTCTTTGCTGTTGCTGCTGTGCAACCAGTGGCTGTATTTGCCATGATTTTCGATCGGGGAGACCGTTGAACAGCATGGCGAGGTGGACAGGACGAGAGATGTGACATGTGTGTGCTACTCGTTATGCAAGGTTGGGTTCATTGTGACGAAGCGCCTGTGGTCAAGTGTGTCGTCCCGTCGCGCCACAGTGCCCAGCAGACGTGAGAAGAAGATTGCAGGCACTTCACTGATCACTGGACTATTGCTGACTTGATTTCAACGTCGGTGTGATATCGGCACACTCCAGGCTGACCCTTTCACCGTCAACTGCGAAATGGTACAGCCAACGGCAGACAATGCCTACATTGAGGCATACTTGACGCAGTCAGTGTTGTGTGAAGGTGGGTACTTACGTACTGCACTGTACACATGTGCCAAGACAGCAAACATGAAACGAGTAGGGGACCATCCGCGGCTATTGCACCGCTGTTGCCCGACCATCGCAACCATTGTGGCCAAGAGAGGGAATGGGACCTGGAAGTGAAGCGGCTTCTGCCACGCTCCGTCGGAAAACATCCCGACAAGCTGTGGATTGTGCCTGCACACTGGAATGCTTGGCGAGACACTGCAACTTGTCGAGGACACCGCTCCGCCGTGTACACAATACATTATAAATGGCGTCCCAATTCCAGGAGCCCAGACATACCATTCAACAGCAAGACCACATCATGCAGCTCTCAACACTCGCACTTCTCTTCGCCACTGTCGGTTTCGCCACAGCAGCGCCTGCGCCGCGCGACTACTGCCCCCGCAGCCAAGACGTGAAGACCGGCGCATACATCGACACTGGCTGTGGCACAACCCTGCACCCACATGGCAAGTGGGACCTGTGCGTCCGCACCAAATGGGATATTGCCGCCGGCAACGATTTCTTCCTGTACGTTGTTCCTGCCAAACACCAAACACTCTCTAACGTCCACAGTGGTGAATGCGTTGCGGGATACTCGGGAGGGAAGTGGCGGACGCTACCGCTTGAACAGGGGTCGTACGCAGATCCAATCGAAAGAGAGCAGCTCGGACGCGTTCTGCATCACGGCGCCAATCAGCGAGAGCGACGGAGACTGGGCCAAGGTTCATTCGTGCCGTGGTCTCCCCAGCCAAACGTGGATCGTAACCGACAACATGTCCATCAACCTTGCCGACACCAACAAGTGTCTTGAAGTTTCACACTTCCCCGGTGCCCGGCTTCGTGTGGCCGAGTGTAACGGGTCAGACGACCAGATTTTCGACATCCTGGGTGGCGAGGGTGTCCCTGCTTTCACCCCGTCGGGGTAGTATAGAATGGCATTAGAATTACAGAAGCTTCAGTTCGTTTATGCAGCCGCTTAAAGCGTGATAATGGGAGTCAGAATACAGAGCCGTGTTGGTGCCAAGGAAAGATCGAGGAGAGCGAGATTCAATGTTTGTGTAAAATAAATGCCAAATTCACCTTCAATTCTGCTGACACGAGCCCACCGCAATCCATGTTTCCAGGATGGGCTGGGGCACCTTTCCATCCACCGCACACGAGGCGTACAATCTCCACTTGCATTGACTGAATGGTATACTTATACTCAAAACAACTAACCCTCTCCAAATACCCGCGCCGCCCACAGTCCCACCCACATACTCAATGAAGCTCTGCGCTGGCAGGGGGGCCCTTGTACACCCGACGGGCATACACCAAGTACCAGACACTGGCGATGGTGATAAAGCCTCCGAGAACAACGCTCGAGTAGTTCATAGTCTGAGCGGTGACGGGGATGACGGCGGGCATGCTGAAGATGACAAGGCCGCGCGGGGCCCAGATCATAACCACCCAGTTGCAGACGAGACCCACGATGCGCCTCGTGAAAGGTGCAGACGAGATGCTCTTGCGGCCCTCGAGGAGGCTGAGGAGGATGGGAAGCGCGTAGGCAGCCATGAAGGCGTTGACAGCCGTGCTGACGACGAGTTGAAGGCGGTGGTGCTTCCCAGGTCGATGAGGCAAAGCAGGCACTGGACAACGAGACACAGGGCGATGGCGTAGGGCACGTTGCCACTGGGGGTGACGCGCGACCAGATGGCCGATCCGGGGACGGCGTGGTCACGCGAGAACGACCACAGTTGGCGCGAGGCGGTGGTGTTGATGCCGACGAGGCAGTTGAAGCCAATGTAGAGGATGCCGAGCATGAGGAGAATGGCCCCGGCGTCGTTGCCGACGATGAGCTTGTAGGCGTATGGAAGAACGATGCCGTTGGCTGTGGCGTTAGTTTCACGTCTAAATGCAGTTGCAAGTCTAAACACAATGTACTCACGAGCCTCGAGGAGGACCTCGGACGAGGGCATGGTAAAAGTCAAGGGAAGGATGAATGCCCACGCGAGGACAAACGACGCAGGCATCATGCTGTAAGCCATAGCACGCGGAACGTTGGTCTCGGGCTTGTGGACCTCTTCGGTCATGGCGAGCACGAAACCCGGTGCGCAGTTGGCGTATGCGCCGGGCAGGAAACCGATGAAGAAGGTCCAAACATCACCCCAACCACTGAGCTGAGGCTCATAGTGGGTAAACGCGTACTTTGCACTCCTACGTCCAGCCTTGGCGCGAGCTGACAGAACAATGATGTGGGCAAACTTGTAGACCCAAGTGACAATAACGTTGGTCTTCTCCATAAACGTCAGATAGCGAGGGTTCTGAGAGAGGGTCAGGGACTTATTCACACAGGAGCTTTGAACTCACCATCAAAAGGGGAATAGCGGCAAGGGCGAGGAGCGCGTATGCAATAAGAATGTAGACCCATTGAGCAGGGCTCCAGTCAGGGTGAACAATGTTGACGGTGGCGACAATGTGCTGTGAGATGCCAAAGGCGACAGACGTGGTGGTGAGGAGGACGGCCGTGAGGAGGAGCCAGCCGTTGATGTACGAAAGGACAGTGCGGAAACGCTTTGGTGCGAGCTGAAAGGTCCAGTAGTACGCGCCCGCAGAGGTTGGCCAACGAGAGGCAAGTTCGCCAAGCGAAAACGCGATCGTCCACTGCAGGATGGTAACAATGAGGGAGCCCCAGACCATGGTCATCGGGCCACCGCCATAGATTCCAGTAGCCAGCGTTGTTCCGTAACCATATGGGACAGCCAAACCTGTCAAGTTAGCCACACCTCGCGCTTCAGTTCTTGACGTACAGGTGATCGACATGGCAAAACGTCCATGAAGCCTCGGGTGCGATGCAGCTCGGCTTTGTAGCCAAGCTCATGGAGCCCCGCATCGCCATCAAGGTCCTCCTCGTGGGCCACAATAGTCACATTGCCGGCCTCCTTGGACGAGGAGAGGGACGGCGACCCTGGTCGCAGATGTTTGGTGTCGGTAGGTGCCACAGTTTCAACGGTCATGGTGGAAGAGAATGAACAAGACGTGGGGGAGAGTGGCAATGGAGTTTGTCCGCGTGGTAGTGGTTAAGAAGGTCAATGCCTGACCGATGGATCGTGGGGCCCTATCAACGTGATCCCAATGGTGGGGCTGGTGGGCTGGTGAGAGTCGCGGCACACACGGATCGGGCCCACCAAGATAGTTATCCTAAGCGATGCCCTTGTGATAGTTATTCTAAGCGACGCCTGGCGAACGCCATATCGGCTGTCACTTTTCACAGTTGCCGGGAGTCGTTGCTGGGCGACACACTGTAGCGGTCTGAGACGGCCAGGTTAGACGACATTGACGACCTTGACTGACGAGGGTGTTGGTGGTTGGGGGATAATTGCGGGGCCAACTGTTTATCCACTGACGATTATCAGAAGCTCAGAAGAACAGAAGGGCCGCTTTAAAACCCCCTATATTTCATTGCCCACCGTAAAAGCCCTGACGGCCATTGCGGCTCCACCGCGCCCGGTGATATCGCGTTCAGTACACGAGATTGACGAGGTGCTTGACGAGCACGGTGTGAAACATGTGGCACCTCTTCTCACGGACGGCGGGGATCTGGCGGAGTGGCCTCGCTCCGAATCTCGTCTAGCTCGTCTCCACAACCCCACACTTCCCCACTCCGATATCCACGCCGATAGGCGCTCGCCGTCGTCGCCCTCACATATGGGTTTCCTACCTCGACAGCTTCTCAGTGGCGAACAGCATTCCATCCTCTGTCGTCCAAGATGACCCGGCTGAACCGGGAAAGCGTTGATGATCCTGAAGTTTATCCACCTAGCTGCACCACCTGTGCTGCGTTCTGCGGCATTGTTATACTTAAAGAGACGTCTTGGTGTCTCAAAGTCTATCAAACACAACTTGGCTTGGATCGCATCTGACACACCCAACCACCCTTCTCACTCTCACCAATCGAAACCAATTACCGCCCAACATGCCCTGCCACAACTACACCCTCGCAGACCTCACCATCGACGCCAGCGCGCCTCAGGAGGAGATCAACGCTCTCATCGCCAAGATGGGCGCCGTGGTCATCAAGGGTCTCGTAAAGAAGGATGCCGTCGACCAGATGAACAAGGACTTTAAGCCCTACCTGGACGCTCTCGGTGTCGAGGGCAACGACGAGCAGTGGGACGGC